TTAGGTAGGTTTTGGATTAAAAATTCTTGGCCAAAAACTGCACATTTAGGTAAGCCTATAGCCTTGCCTTTTTTACGAAAATCCTTATTAAAGAAAGGTGCTATTTTAGAACCAAAAACAACCTAAAAAAGAGTTGAGAACTGATTTAAACGACTTTATCGCTTATTTAGAGTATATTTAGCCAGGTTTTGGATGAAAAAATTCTTGGCCAAAAACCAGACATTTTGGTAAGCCTATAGCCTTGCCTTTTTTACGAAAATCCTTATTAAAGAAAGGTGCTTTTTTAGAACCAAAAACGACCTAAAAAAGAGTTGAGAACTGATTCAAACGACTTTATCGCTTATTTAGAGTATATTTAGCCAGGTTTTGGATGAAAAAATTCTTGGCCAGAAACCGGACATTTTGGTAAGCCTATAGCCTTGCCTTTTTTACAAAAATGCTTATTAAAGAAAGGTGCTATTTTAGAACCAAAAAAAACCTCAAAAAGAGTTGAGAACTGATTTAAACGACTTTATCGCTTATTTAGAGTATATTTAGCCAGGTTTTGGATGAAAAAATTCTTGGCCAGAAACCGGACATTTTGGTAAGCCTATAGCCTTGCCTTTTTTACAAAAATGCTTATTAAAGAAAGATGCTTTTTTAGAACCAAAAACAACTTCAAAAAGAGTCGACAACTGATTCAAACGCCTTTATTGCCTATTTAGAGTATATTTAGCCAAGTTTTGGATGAAAAAAATCTTGGTCAAAAACCAGACATTTTGGTAAGCCTATAGCCTTGCCTTTTTTACGGAAATCCTTATTAAAGAAAGGTGCTTTTTTAGAACCAAAAAAAACCTCAAAAAGAGTTGAGAACTGATTTAAACGATTTTAATGCTTATTTAGAGTATATTTAGCCAAGTTTTGGATGAAAAAATTCTTGGCCAAAAACCAGACATTTTGGTAAGCCTATAGCCTTGCCTTTTTTACGAAAATCCTTATTAAAGAAAGGTGCTATTTTAGAACCAAAAAAAACCTCAAAAAGAGTCGACAACTGATTTAAACGCCTTTATTGCCTATTTAGAGTATATTTAGCCAAGTTTTGGATGAAAAAATTCTTGGCCAGAAACCGGACATTTTGGTAAGCCTATAGCCTTGCCTTTTTTACGAAAATGCTTATTAAAGAAAGATGCTTTTTTAGAACCAAAAACAGCCTGAAAAAAGGGTTGAGAACTGATTTAAACGACTTTATCGCTTATTTAGAGTATATCTAGCCAAGTTTTGGATGAAAAAATTCTTGGCCAAAAACCGGACATTTTGGTAAGCCTATAGCCTTGCCTTTTTTACAAAAATGCTTATTAAAGAAAGATGCTTTTTTAGAACCAAAAACAACCTCAAAAAGAGTTGAGAACTGATTTAAACGACTTTATCGCTTATTTAGAGTATATCTAGCCAAGTTTTGGATGAAAAAATTCTTGGCCAAAAACCAGACATTTTCGTAAGCCTATAGCCTTGCCTTTTTTACGAAAATCCTTATTAAAGAAAGGTGCTATTTTAGAACCAAAAACAACCTGAAAAAGAGTCGACAACTGATTCAAACGATTTTAATGCTTATTTAGAGTATATTTAGCCAGGTTTTGGATAAAAAAATTCTTGGTCAAAAACTGGACATTTTGGTAAGCCTATAGCCTTGCCTTTTTTACAAAAATGCTTATTAAAGAAAGATGCTTTTTTAGAACCAAAAACAACCTAAAAAAGAGTTGAGAACTGATTTAAACGACTTTATCGCTTATTTAGAGTATATTTAGCCAGGTTTTGGATGAAAAAATTCTTGGTCAAAAACCAGACATTTAGGTAAGCCTATAGCCTTGCCTTTTTTACAAAAATGCTTATTAAAGAAAGATGCTTTTTTAGAACCAAAAACAGCCTGAAAAAAGAGTTGAGAACTGATTTAAACGACTTTATCGCTTATTTAGAGTATATTTAGCCAGGTTTTGGATGAAAAAATTCTTGGCCAGAAACCGGACATTTTGGTAAGCCTATAGCCTTGCCTTTTTAACGAAAATCCTTTTTAAAGAAAGGTGCTATTTTAGAACCAAAAAAAACCTCAAAATGAGTCGACAACTGATTCAAACGATTTTAATGCTTATTTAGAGTATATTTAGCCAGGTTTTGGATGAAAAAATTCTTGGTCAAAAACTGGACATTTTGGTAAGCCTATAGCCTTGCCTTTTTTACGAAAATCCTTATTAAAGAAAGGTGCTATTTTAGAACCAAAAACAACCTGAAAAAGAGTCGACAACTAATTCAAACGATTTTAATGCTTATTTAGAGTATATTTAGCCAAGTTTTGGATAAAAAAATTCTTGGTCAAAAACTGGACATTTTGGTAAGCCTATAGCCTTGCCTTTTTTACAAAAATGCTTATTAAATAAAGATGCTTTTTTAGAACCAAAAACAACCTAAAAAAGAGTTGAGAACTGATTTAAACGATTTTAATGCTTATTTAGAGTATATTTAGCCAAGTTTTGGATGAAAAAATTCTTGGCCAGAAACCGGACATTTTGGTAAGCCTATAGCCTTGCCTTTTTTACAAAAATGCTTATTAAAGAAAGATGCTTTTTTAGAACCAAAAACAACCTTAAAAAGAGTTGAGAACTGATTTAAACGACTTTATCGCTTATTTAGAGTATATTTAGCCAGGTTTTGGATAAAAAAATTCTTGGTCAAAAACCAGACATTTTGGTAAGCCTATAGCCTTGCCTTTTTTACAAAAATGCTTATTAAAGAAAGATGCTTTTTTAGAACCAAAAACAACCTAAAAAAGAGTTGAGAACTGATTTAAACGACTTTATCGCTTATTTAGAGTATATTTAGCCAGGTTTTGGATGAAAAAATTCTTGGCCAAAAACCAGACATTTTGGTAAGCCTATAGCCTTGCCTCTTTAACGAAAATCCTTTTTAAAGAAAGGTGCTATTTTAGAACCAAAAAAAACCTCAAAAAGAGTCGACAACTGATTCAAACGATTTTAATGCTTATTTAGAGTATATTTAGCCAGGTTTTGGATGAAAAAATTCTTGGTAAAAAACTGGACATTTTGGTAAGCCTATAGCCTTGCCTTTTTTACGGAAATCCTTATTAAAGAAAGGTGCTTTTTTAGAACCAGAAACAACCTCAAAAAGAGTCGACAACTGATTCAAACGATTTTAATGCTTATTTAGAGTATATTTAGCCAAGTTTTGGTTGAAAAAATTCTTGGCCAAAAACCAGACATTTTGGTAAGCCTATAGCCTTGCCTTTTTTACAAAAACCCTTATTAAAGAAAGGTGCTTTTTTAGAACCAAAAACAACCTTAAAAAGAGTCGACAACTGATTGAAACGATTTTAATGCTTATTTAGAGTATATTTAGCCAGGTTTTGGATGAAAAAATTCTTGGCCAAAAACCAGACATTTTGGTAAGCCTATAGCCTTGCCTTTTTAACGAAAATCCTTATTAAAGAAAGGTGCTATTTTAGAGCCAAAAAAAACCTCAAAAAGAGTCGACAACTGATTCAAACGATTTTAATGCTTATTTAGAGTATATTTAGCCAGGTTTTGGATGAAAAAATTCTTGGTAAAAAACTGGACATTTTGGTAAGCCTATAGCCTTGCCTTTTTTACGGAAATCCTTATTAAAGAAAGGTGCTTTTTTAGAACCAGAAACAACCTCAAAAAGAGTCGACAACTGATTCAAACGATTTTAATGCTTATTTAGAGTATATTTAGCCAAGTTTTGGTTGAAAAAATTCTTGGCCAAAAACCAGACATTTTGGTAAGCCTATAGCCTTGCCTTTTTTACAAAAACCCTTATTAAAGAAAGGTGCTTTTTTAGAACCAAAAACAACCTTAAAAAGAGTCGAGAACTGATTTAAACGATTTTATTGCTTATTTAGAGTATTTTTAGCCAGGTTTTGGATGAAAAACTTTCTGGAGGCAAAATACTACTTGAAATAGTGTCAAGAGTCGATTGAAACTGTTTGCTGGCCTTTTTATAACTTTTAGTGATTATTGGACAGTGTTGTTGAACTAATATAAAGTCGGTATAAACACATTTCTCTGATCTCGCACGCGCAATTCTGCTTACAAATGCGTAAATTGATCGAAAATTTTGTTTTCTTTAATTTGGTGCAGAAGGCTATAGATATGTGGATAAATTTATTGAATTCAGTTTAAGGCGGTGTAAGTCCATTAATTCTTTAAAATTGAATGTCAAAAAATCAGCCAAGTTCCTTAATAATCCAAGCATGTTGGCTTACAAAAATTCGCCGATTTTCATCTTAATTTCATTGGTAGAAAATAAAGTGAAAAAACTGCGAAAATATGCAAAATTGGTTCGAGTGTTGTTTAGAGATTGTCAAAAATAGAGAAAGAAGGAAGTTTTAGGTCTTACGAGAATTTTATGTTTTTGAATGAAATGTTAACTTTTGAAATTGCAGGGGAGCGAGCAAATACTTTTTAGAAATGACTTCATGCTTTGAAATTCTTTAGTATTTTGCAATTTTGTTTGACGTAGAATGCAACTTTTGTGCAAAAAGAAAAACTGTAGCAATAAGCTTTTCGACTTAGTCGAGTGTGATTTTTTTGATAGGAAATTGAATCAAACTTCATATAAACGTTTTTTTTTCTATTTTATTTTTCTTAAAGGATTTAGGGTACTGAAATTTTCGAGATATGAGCAGAACATTTCCCCTAAAAAACAATGCTAAAGTTTTATCGAAATGGTTCTAAGACTTTATTGAAACTTATGTCAAAATTACATATAGCAATGACATGTTAAGTTCGTTCTTATATCAAAGAGGAATTAGAATTAAAAATCAACTTTTGTCAATCAGGAAGATAACAGCTTTGGGACATATTATATCAAAGTGACAACAAGGGCCATCAAAATGGCAAGTCTCAAATTAACTTTCATTCGTAACTCCCAAACCTGTCCATTGTCAAATTTAAAGCTATCCACAAAATTTTTACCTGGACGAAGCACGAAAAAGCGGGATTATAGCATACTGAAGTGCTTTATGTCCGATACTCCTCAGAGTATAAACGTCGAACAATGGCCAAAGGTAAGCAAACTGAATGCCAACATTTACACTCCAAGGAGTGTCAGACCAAAAGGACTTTAGAATGCTATTGTTCCGCTTTTAATTACTACCTGCATACTTTGCGGTATTGAAAGCTTATTTGGAAATTTTTATCATCAAACCCTTTACAACAGCTTGAAGTTGTCTTAAGAAAGATTTCTGCAGTCAGGCACAGTAGTATATTAAATGTTTTAAATGTTTGGTAGTTTTGATGATAGCCTAACATAACAATATAAATGGATTGTTGGAAATGGATATAGATTGTTGATTTGAAGAGCAATGCTAACTTGCTTCTTTGCCTTAAATTAATGTTTGAACAGCTTGAATGACCTTCCATATTAAAAAAGACATCCTAAAAGTCCTTTTTAGCTACTCAGGTGCTACCTCTTCGAAACACATTGTGCCACAAATGTAGAAAATCGCCAGAACACAATTTTTGCTACGTGAAGTGTTTTTGTGATTTCCGTTTTGATGCTGCAGCGGCCGTGCCAGGTCTCTGCTTCGTTAGTCTTTGTGATCCTCTTTCACGAAGCATCTCATTCTCACCAAGCAAATGATCATCCCGGGTTTGACTCTCAGTACCCATAGCATCATAACTGTAAAACGGAATTTCAAAATGCGTTCAAGATCCGACCAGCGAATCACATTCCAGAGATCTGTGTTCATACTCTGGGGTCGATAATGAACACCCTCCCACCCCATTTACTGCAGGGTAGAGACCACCTCACCTCTTGGTCGACAATACTTTATTGGATGACGCCGGGAAAAATCCTTCTTAGAAAATAACCACCTAAAACCTCCACTGATTACATTGCAAATGTTATGAATTGAAAAACTAAAAAGCAAGATCGGATTAAAAAGGATTAAAAAGAGCTTACGTCTGGTGATGATATACTGGTTGAGAAAGCGCTGTGTCATTCTTTACGTCATCAACATCAAGACTGCGACTTAAGATTTGTGCTCTTTGGTTTCTGTTGTGTAAAGAAAGCCTTGTCGGCGAAAGTTCGGGCCTGAAGTCAAAAGCAGTTTGAGGACGGGGTGGCTCAGAACTTTCTTTGCTTGCCTGTTTTCTCCTGCTTGGCCGTGCTCGACTGGGGTTGCCTGAAGGTGGAGTTGGCGAAATCGCAAGCCTGTTGAAAAATAGAATTAACCTTCTAGATTTGTTGCAGCAAGAAACACTGCTATTAATTATTTCAACCGCAGAGGCCTTTGAATAAGAATGATCGGTTTTGATCAGAACAAGCAAAACTCACAAGCAAGTACTTTAATAGCAGAGATATTAGCATTGAATCGAGAGACGGGGGTCGCCAATTTCCTACAATGTCTGGCTGGGATTGAAGCAATAAGGAAATCAGATGTAAGCCTCTTTAGTGAAGAGGATTGGGCTGCAATGAGTGGGAGGGGGGGGGGGGTTTAAGAAATGCTGCAGGGCATGATAAGGGGTGAATGCCAAACCTTGCATTTCATATATCATTTAAGAGTTCTTAGAATGACAATATATATCCCAACTTTGAACATTAAAGAGAAGGAAATCAACTGGTAAACCAAACGAGATAATTTCAAAGGACACTTACCTGTCGCTTTCATCATGTTGCGTTCTATCAGGATACGATTTCGACTTCACAAGGTCTACCGATGTCCTTAAAATGATGCACATAATTACCTTACATGTATATCAACAATATGTAGCTCTGCAGAAAACTGAGGGAAATTAATAAAAAGGCCTGTAGCATACAGGAACGTAACGAGTAGCCGGAATTCACAAAAAAGATTTGAACCGATTGGATTTGATTGCTCGTATGCACAGGGTGTATGCACGGATGTCAAGTTGAATATGGGACGAAAGTCATGCCATTGTCTGAGGGGGGCATAGAGAAGCATTGTGTGCAATCATCCTCTTAAGCAATATTAAAATTCAAGACACTATGTCCCGTCAGTCAACTTTCCAGAGTTAACAATAGGCCTCAGAGCGTGTTTATAATCGAGAAAACATTGAGAATTAGTCTAACGTTTCTTATTGGATATCTAACAATAAGCTATTGTGTATTTAAACCATTGAGAAATTTAAATGACCAGCGAAATGCTTCAACACCTTATGCTTTAAACAGCAGCGGTACTGTTTACCTTAACTGCATAAACAGCTAGCCTTTTTTTGAAAAGATGTAACGCCCTCCCCTTAACGGAATACCGAGCCACTAGTCTGAAAACAGCCGTGCACTGCTCAATGGTGGGGGGGAGGGGGGTGGGGTATTTGATTAAGCATATCACAATAGTGCCTACTTTTCAAAATTTCTCCTCCATTCTCGCAGTTCCTTGAAAATCTCATTCTTGTCAATTTCTTCGTCACTTTCATCAACAGTGTATGAATGCTCCGGTATAAAACGATCGGCTTTCGACATTTCTCCTGAATACCCCTCAAATCGAAGCCTAATATTTCCCTTCAGCTCCTGAAAACGATTTACACTTTTTAAAATTTATCGTTCTAATAACACTGCGGTTTTCAGCTTATATGAAGACTTCTTAAAGCTGTAAAATGATCACATAAGATCAAACCTAAAATGCACTTGACAGTACCCACTTTGAAAGAGCCTAAGCACTAGATAAATTCAAGATACGATAAAACTAACAACATACAGATCATTATGTACAAAGTAATTCGTTATTAATAATTTTTGATACTCGGAACTCGGATCAATATTAAGGATTTTGAATCGAATTTGATGAAATTTTCTTTCTCAACCCCACTGGTTCTGCAACCCTTCCCACCCCTCTCTAAGCCCAATTTGTATTGCTAATCCGCAAAGACTGGTTGTCAACCAGGGACTATTATGTATAATGCCAACAAAATGAATAATTATTATTATTGTGTTTGTTTATGATAGACATATACATCATTTTAGAATTTAGTTACCACATAATTTGATTCAACACCATCTATATTAGGTCATTAGACCTACTTTGTTTCTAATGCATCCTAATGCTATGTTTGTTATTAAATATAGATTTAGGACGACTGACAGCTTATACATCATCTACACTTTTCGACATTACTTTCAATTATTCTGATGTGCATAATAAATAAATAAACGAATAAATAAATATTAATGAATAAATACCTTTCTCCTTGCCAATAAAGCTCGAACGGGATTGCCACAAATTACTTGCTTGGAGCCTAGAACAGAGAGTAATATTCAAACACCATTCCTGCATAAATCATCATACGCACAGCGTTAAAAATAATGCAGACATTATTCCTGCATAAATTATCTCAGAAACAATGTAAAATATCAAAACAGATTTCAAATATATTCGTAGGAAAGACACAGTAGATTGGCACGTAACAACAACATCTCGATCAAAGACCCTTTTAAATCAGTATTCAAAATTTAAACTCTTCGTTGAAAAATATTTTCAAAAGCATAAATATATTTTGCTACTAACAGATGATTTTTATCAAGGTTACATCCAAATGCATCGATCAATAAAAGACCTATAAAAATGCGATGTAAAGAGACGAAATCTTATCAATGTAACACTCCTTGCTGAAAATTCACATTCACATCCTTCGCATCACTTTCTCCTCATTGTCTAAATATCCAATTACAATTATAACACAATGAAATCAGCTAAACGCTTTGCGAAGAAAAGGTTAATAAAGGATCGGTCACATAACCCACCGTGTGTAAGATCGCTGCTGTCATCTTCGTCTAAACTGCTTTGGTTTTCAGTGCCACTTATGCGAGCTGTAAAAAAGTGCTCATTATTTGAGAAATAATCGTCTGAAACTAAAAAGTAAGCTGGCTTTGTTAATGCTGGCGAAATAGGGGGCAAAAACGCTTTGACTCATGAGAAAAAGCGTGGAGCAACGTGCCTGCCTTTCGTAAAAAAGAAAACTCGGCATTTTTATGTCAAAAAATACCATTTCAAGGTGCCAGAAGAAAACAGGTGTACGCAGAAAGAACTCTAGTCTATTATAGCCATTGATTGGGTTATCTGCATCTGTTGTTCAACAAGAAAAAGCCTTCAGAAATTGAATGAGAAGCCCAGCACACGCACCGGATCTTACGCTTTCAGGCCGCTTCGATGCAGTTTCAGGACGGTCCACTGCTTCTGGCTTTTGTTGAATAAATCTCTGGAGAGAGCTTGCAGGCCTATTCCTTGATGAAGCCGGCCGATTTCGTGACGACTGAGGCCGACTTCGACCGGACATTGGTCTGACTCTGTCCCGATCAATTCCTGAGCCGGGTCGTCTTCCACTAGCACTTCCAGGTCGAGGATTCCCTTATAACAGCAAAAACAACAATTTTTTATACAAAATTTCGATTAAATAGAAACAAAATAGCAATAAGTGTAAACTTGCGTCTGAGGCCCTGCTCAAGTAAAGGTTTATAAGTCATTATCATGCAGCTGAACAGAAAAAAATATAGATGATATCGACTTACTATGGGTAGACTGACTATGGTTCAGAAAATACATATGAAGATGAACGCGAAAGGTAGAAAAGGTATCTAAGCATCCCCCTTCCATGCTTCCCTTTAACACCACTAAATGCAGCTTAGTACAACCTACTATCCTTATACTTCTATACTTCTGCTATCTGATCCTGAGCATAGCGGCCAGGGGGGTATTGTTTAAAGTCGGAAGGGTAGCCTTTGGCAAACAGCAGAATACAAATCAGCACTTTACTTCACTTTATACCTGTGTCATCAACATCATCCTCCTCTATTACAGGAAGAGATTTCAAACAGTCTTGAATCAGAAGAAGGTCCTCCCTCATGTTGTCATCGTTCTTTGGTCTATTTGTATTTGTCGATCGAATGACTTGCTTGCCATTGATAACATCGAAGAGAAACGGCTCGTCGTCTAAAATGCGAAGTTGCGGGACTGCCCGCGAGACTGCCGCTCTGTAATCGTAGAACTTCAAATCCTGGTAAATAAGAAATGAAGCTCTGATAATTATTACCTAAGAAGTTAAATAAATCTGTAGAGATCACCTTTCGCAGAGCAGAGAGAGAATGTAGAGATAGTATCTTTGGAAAGGCACAGAGCTCAACATATAAGTTATTGGCTATTTTCAAGGAAAAGCCAAGTCAACAATGAAAAATATAAAGGCATGTTCTGTTTTTTAAATAGAATACAGCCAGCTCCTGCCTAGATCTCTCCGTGAAAGGCAAACTGAAAGACATAGCTGCTTAAGAAAAGTCGCAAATGAGTAAAGTAGCGTGACCTTTTTCAATGGGGTGTTCTCTTTTACTGAGAAGGGTGGGGGGCCGGGTGTTGTTGGGTGGGGCTTTTTCTGACTTCGCGGTGGAATCCAGCGGCTTGAAATAGTGGCAAACAAGAAAAAACATCCAAAAAGCTTTTCTGTACATGGAATTCTTCTTAAGAAACATTTGGTAACAACTTTTATTGACTAAATGAAGTCAATCTCAAAATATAAGTATCAAATTTTTACATACTTACAGTGGACTTGAAATTTAACATCAAGGAAACAAAACATTTTGGCGTTTTACGGAAGTAAGATATAATCGTGGAGTAGAGAAATTTCTACACGAATAAATGAAAACCGAATTACTTTGAAATCGAATTAAAAGACTTCTGACTTAATCATGATTCTACAGCAGATGACATGAACTGCTCGCGGAAAAGGAAAACGGCAAAAATGCAGCTCTGCTCAGAAGTGAACATAAACTTAAACACAGGAAAGAAATGATTGCAAAAGACCAACCTGAGGGTTTGCACCAGGGTGGGGAGCTTGTTCCACAGGATTTCCCATCAGCGTTAGACTTGCTAATCTTGAGCAGAAGGCAAGGAACTCAACTTGAGCAATATCACTGACGTTGTTCCTGAAAAGGTAAGTGCTTAAATGAATGACGAATATAGACTATATTTTCTAAATAAATCGACTCTGAAAATGAATAAATTACTTAATCATTAATTAATCAAGAAGTCGAAGAAAGACTGTTATTCAAGATCAGAAAAACCATTCTGTGACGTTTTAACTGAAAATGCACAAATTTTCGCCAATACTTACCCTTCCAGATCAAGACATCCAAGGTTGTCAAGCATACTGAGCGAGCTGAGGTCCTCTATTTCGTTGTAGGCTAAATATAATTCCTTCAAAAGAGAGAGATAGGGCTAACCAACTAAAACTGAATTCTTGACAAAACCTGTAACACAATCCTACAACTGCGAAACAAAAAACTGACTAGAAGACATCAACGCAAAGGAGATGGCAGGGGCAGAGCGCAACTTTCAAAATGCCTCCCCAGAGGGAGCTAATGCCAGAGAACCAAATTTTGTCAGAAAATTTACAAAAATTTCGCTACTTTTTCAGAATTTTCAAGAAAATATTACCCTGGAAATTGAAAGCATCCCCCTAAAAAACAAAATTCACCTCCAACTGTGCCCCCTCTTGAATATAGATGAGGAGCACAACAAACTTTGGGATTTTCAAAGTTTATCAAAGGAATTTGCGAGAACAATTTTTTGGCAAGCGCAGAACTTGAAAATGGCTTAAAAAAACCAAAAGTGTGTAAGAAAAATTCTTAGGTCTGTTAACTATGGAAATCAGAACATACTTTGAGGGAATTGAAACAGCTGATTCCGTCTAAATCAATGAGGCTGCATCTTGGAAGCCAAAGCATTGTTAGATCATTTAAGCATGTTCCAAGATCTCTGAAATTTAGACAGAAATGAGAAATAAATGCTGCAAATATGGAATACTCTGCTGGTAAAAAGATGACTGATATATACAAACTAGCCAAATTGAACTGCCATAAACTATAAAATCGCACATTCAAATCAATGTTTAGTTATATTAATGCCAATTTTATTGTGTTTGCTAAAAAGGCAAGATCAAATTATCTAGAGCAAGAATCAAATAATTAAATGTCTGCATACAGATAAATTCGAAATGAATTTTGCCCTATATGAAAAAAGCAAATGGCAATGTGTCTACATAACCTGACTATGATTTGAAAAAATGACTTCAAGGTAGATACCCTTACAAAAACACTGAGTTCGACAAAGTGAATGCTCTAAGGTACATTTACCAAATAGTAAACAAATGGAAAACACATTGCTCTGACATTTGTGCTAAGCAGTTATCACTAACGGAGTGCAAGTTAGCTATCAAAGTATGGCAAATTATCAGACATTTAGATAAAAAACTCTCATTGGTGTGAGTAAAATTTAAAACTGATAAGAAATGATTAACTCGAGATTCTAAACTAAAAAGTTTTTACATATTTACCTGATTGATGTTATAACACTGTTTGATAGTTTGAGCTGCTTAAGATTTGGTAACAATTGCCCTTTAATTGAAAATAATTATATTTCAATAAAAGAATCAGGCAAGAATTCTGAGCAAACAGACAAAGAATCAAGCTCAAGCTTTTGGTGGAAAATGTAAACTATATCCAAATTATCACCATAAACATATTTAAACAATTCCCTTTCAGAGCAACTTTTCTAGCTTTATAAAGGAAAGTTTTATAAAGGATTCGAACTGAATTTAGCCAGGTATTCTGAACTGACCTGAATTCTTAAATCTCAGTAGTCCTATATTTTTATCAAAAACATACCACTAGTTTTATGGTAAGCTGTGCTAGTGCATTTGGATGCTCTAAGCAGTTTAACATAAAAATTTTACAGGAAAACCTATCCAAATATTACTCTGACTACTCCTGAAAGATTTCCAAAAAAAGAAAAAGAAAATAAAAAGAACCTAGATTTCCAATGCTAGTTTCAGATGTATCAACCTCCATCTCTAATGATGAGACTTCTGCAAGATTGCTTTTACCAGTGATCATTTTCTAAAATAAGAAAAAGAGGAATACCAATTATCAAACAGATCACAAAGGGGTAAAGACTTTTTACCCATATACCAAACTGCTGCTTGCTGTTGTTTTGAAGTGCTGGAAATTTCTGTCATGCATAACGAGTACTAAGCAGGATCATTATATGAGATAGCAAACTTGCTTGTTCAAGCCAAAAATCCCATCTTAGATCAACTACTGGCTTATAGAATTTAGAATTTTGCATACATATGAGGCATCCAGTGTAATTAAAGAGCTGGTTAAGGAATCAAAAACTTGAAAAAACTTTGAATGTGCTATTGTTAATAATGTATATTGTATACTCTCTTATAAATGTTACCTCTTTAAAAGAGCTGTCTAAAATAAGTCACTTCTACACAGACAGGGTTTCCAAAGCCTTTTTGTAAGAAATAGCACACGTGAGTGGTCCACACTTGCCTGATTTCTCATGCCCAACTAATCGCTCTCAATAACATAATAATCAACAATGCTAAAAGCATCTGTAATGTTTATAAAAACAGTATGATTACCATTATCTTTAATGAACTCCAAGAAAGATTCAATATTAATGTGCTTTGTTTATAAGTTTTATGTATACCAAAAAGATCATATAAAAATTATTGCCAGCTGGTCGCAAAATGTTTCAAAATAATTTAACTGCCCAGACAATGTTCTTAGAGCTTTGTAGTTTGAATACTAAGTACCTATAGCATTGGCAGTAAAATTGATTTTCAATGCATTTTCTTGTTAAGGTGTGGTTAATTTAGCTTACTTATATTTCCTGTGTTTAATTTAGCTTACTTATATTTACTTATATTGATATACCGGCTTTGTATTGTCACTTGTTTGGGTCACAAAAGATGACTAAAAAAGTGTTAATTGATGAGATATTTACTCCTCACAGTTTACAAACATTTGCGTGGTTGGATTTTTGTGAGTGCTGATGTGATAGTGAGTAATCGCTCACATGTTAAATGAACAGGCCTGAAAATTTCCAAAAAACTGTTAAGTCAACATGTCAGAAATGAAAATATTGAGGTCTTTATGCTAATTGAAGGTAAAATGTCTTATGAACATTCAGTTACACAAAACCAAATCCAGTATCCCATCCAACTTCTTACAAACTTGTGCACTTCTCACAATACATATATAAAAAATGTTAAAAAGTTTTAATATAAAAGCTATCAATATATGAGGCATAAAAACTTACGAGTGACTGGGGTGACAAAAAATCTTCAAGGCCTTCATCACTGTAATCAGAAACGGGTTCTGGATTTGCATGGCCACTGTCAGGATAATCTGTTATCTTTACTGTTGAGAGTACTGACTTATCCATCCCAGCAAGGGAGTTTTCAAAAAATAACTTACTGCCATTTTCCATGCTAAATAAGAGAAAAAACAATTAATGTGAAGACTTTATCCAAAAATTTAATTCAATTCAACATTATCTTCAATTCCCTTAAGCTACTCTTTCCAAATATGGGATGGAGACAGACGTATATTTCTTTATGATGAATTCCTGAAACTGAAAGGCAGGAGGCCTCTGGGGAAGAAAGCACACAGCCTTAAAAAAGCCACTGATGGCTTGGCTGTGTGGGCTATTTAGTCCCTGCAGAATTTGTTGTTTATCTACTTCCATTTGGGTACAAACAAGGCAAAAATATACTAACTTGTCTACTTGTAAACATTCTATATCCTTAGAAGACAGTTTTGTGTGCCTAACTACTCCTTACAATGACAAAAAGTAGCTCAAGGCTCTTTTTAATCCATCACCCCTCAAAGTAAAAACGTCAGATAATTTCAAAAAGGAAGCAGAAATTTTGAGTGGATCAAAATTAATGCGAGTGATTGGAAAGCATGAATGATTGATTCTATGTTTTTGACCAATCTCAATCTCTTATCTTTCACCTAGTTGAAGAGTCCAAGCCTGACAAAAGTATGCTAAAACCAGTTTCAAATGTTGACAGGAACCCCAAGTAAAGATAAATAGCTAATTGGGGTTAGTTTTCAATTTAAGTTTCAGCTTCCTTCTACTTTTTTCACTATGTTTATTTATCAAAAAAAGAAAAGTGAATTATAAGATCTAAATTAAGATAATGAGAGGGCACCTTTAAGCTAGTAGTGTATAGCCCAACTTAAAATCACAAGGTACCAAATTTTTAAAAGCACTAGCTGCCTATCCACTGGTTTTGTCTCCCTGACAGAATTATATTTGTAGAAGGTAGTAATTAAATAACAGATGTAAATGAGTTGTTCTAAATTTGAAAGCCAAATTTATATTGCACTTTCTTTCATAAACTAACCCGGGCTATTTCGTGTAAGAAATACGACCAAGATGCAACGGCCTAAAAATACGAACAATCTATTGATTTGTTAGGAGCGAAAGTAACGCTCATATCACGAAAAAGTCTATAAAATAATTACTCGAAGTATTTCATATACTTACTCATTTGATACTTTCATGTGTCTTTTAACAGCAGCCATTAAATTTGAAAGTTTGAAGCTAAAATTTGATGTGATGAGCCAACTCCATAACTCTTTTGTGGTGCAGTTGCCTATTGTAAAAAGTCAATACACACCAAAAGATCATGAAGCTGCAAATCATCTTAAACCATTGCTGCCAAGTATGCACTCAGGTCCTGTGCAAAATATCAGTATCAGAACTGTGCTTTTCCTATTTTCCAACAAACTTTACCCTGTAAACAAACTTCACACACAAGTCAATGACCCACAGCAACTGACGCCATCTTAAAGTGAAACAGGTACTTCATGTTAAGTCCGTTTGCTACTGTTGCCAAGACGCGAAATTTTGGCAAAATGGTGTCGCGGGTCTGTGTGTGTGGTGTATGGCGTGCATTGGAAAGTGGCTGAATGGAAACAACTTAATGTTATTGTCTTAGATTATTTTTTGAGACTTCAATTCATTTCATAGTGACCATTCGATCTAAAAATGACCATTTTAAGGCGAGGGCAATTCTTGACAAGATTAATTAGTTGATGCAGTTACCTGTATGTTTTGTCAAAGTACAGCAAAATGTTTGTTAACAAAGTTGTGCTTATTGCTAAAATGGTTTAAGCAATATCTCTTTCCGTAATCACTTGAATGCTCTACATTTACAAAGCACCTGGTGCAAGTTTGGAAACGGGATCAATGGCAAAGTAAAAACTGAATGCAAGATATTTTGTACAGGATTCCTCTATTTGCTAAGAATTGGGTAACAAGTCATCGAAGAGCCAGAAGAAGAAACCAGAGAGCTTGGTACAGGACTGGAGGCCTTGGGCGCAATTGCCAGCAAATGGCTGTTTTCTTTCTTTACCGTTTCCTTCTTACTATAATCTTAAGTCAAAAAGGGCCCCTTAAGATTTGAATTCTTTCTGAGGAATACTGGAGTTCTGTATGGATGGAAGGAGTCCAAATTTATTGAAATTTTCTTTACTCGAGAGCAGGGAGGCCTGTACAACCCAAGAACAGTATTCTAAAACTACAATAAAAGGGATACCAGGAATCGCACTGTCATGCACTCTTTAAGAAACAGAAATTTTAAAACAACAATTTTTTGTTGCCTTCGAAGCAATTGAATCCCAAACATTTTGCATTGCACTGATGCTCGGGGGGGGGGGGATGGTTACCTTTACATGTTTGAAGGTACGGGAACATGCCATCGTTTAGGGGTGCCTTTTTCTGAAAAGTGTGGAATTATCGGTATCAGTTTTTGAAATATGTGCGGAACTATGGGCGAAACATGCAGCATTATGGGTATCATTTTGGGAAAATGTTGCAAAATTATTTGGAGGGACATTTAGCATTAGCAAAATGAATGAACAGTTAGAAATGAAACTATGGAATATGTGTAACATGCAAAGGACATGCAAAATGTGTTTGATAATTCTCTTGTGCTTTAAAAATGTTATCTAATTTGTGGAATTTTGGATATACACTAGGGTATCAAAAGTATTGCACCACCTCGAAGGAGGAGAAATGGCGCATGAATGATCGAAAGCTATTGTTATGCAAATTAATTCCGTTTTCAAAGGGCCAATGGCAATTGGTCGAAAGCAAAACAACCACCAATCAAAACTTCAATCTATTTAGAGCATATGTTTTAAAAAAAACAGTAGAAAACGTCTTTTAACAGTTTCAAATTTCAATAATTTGACGTGTAGCCGCAAACTTTTGAAACCGCAAAAAGCCTCCTTGAAATGGATCCATACATTTGGCCAACGTATTCTTGTGGAATTTCGTATTAGGCCTGGAAACCTCTTATAATTAATGATTCTCTGGTCTTTTAACCACCATTTGGATCACGGTTTGTAACCTTTTTCATTTGAAGTCAAACTTTTTAAGTGATGTTAAAAATTGCACTTTACTCTGACTGTGTCAAAGCTTGAATTTCTTTTGTTTGGAAATAATTCTTTGTAAAAATAATTTCCGTTTACTCAGGTAAATTTTTCTTTTGTATTTTTTCAAAACACTCATTATATTTTCTGTGGACGGATTTTAAGCTGCAAAACCTTGCCCAGTTTCGAGTTTCATGTCTTTTACTGCCCTTAGGTGCACACGCAGTGAAATAAAACCGACAAATTCATTCCCCTCTAACATCAATTTATTTTTGGTCGCCCACTTCTCTGTTTCTTTACTACTGTAACACTCTCGAGAAATCTTTTTTAGTTTCCCACAGCTGTTGTGTGACGGCATCTATCTTGGTCAACATTTTTTTGAAAACTGAAGACCACTTCCCTGTGAATATTTTATAGCGACTCGCCTTTCATTTGACAATTTTGTTTCCTCAGGCATGGGCTACATTTTTACAGATAAAAATGTTTTTGCGTAATTTATACATTTCTAACTAAGTTTTCTATGGCGTCAGCAAGATTGGAAAACTTTTCCCGCCAAAGTTTGCTCTCAAATGCGCTTACTTCACCCAATTAATGCATTCAAATGTTTTGCATGGTCAAAAAGTCGACAAAAAGTGCCGCCATTTTTAGCAGGGTGGTGCAATACTTTTGATACCCTAGTGTACTTTCATCATGTTTGCAGAATTATGGGACACATTTCGTCCAACATATGCGGAATTATGGGTCCAAATTGTTTAGCCAAAATTGCACGTCCCTGTCCAAAATAAGGCTTACACCCCCCTCCCGAGCACTGGTGTCTAAACACTGATCCTTTCCTGACCCATTCAACGAAACTGCAAACAGAAAAATTCAGCAAAAAACGAAATTTTTCAATGGAAACTTTTACTTGAGCTTCATTAGGACTTATGATGAAAATTTCTTGGATAACGCGCAAATACCCCAGAGCTTTCCTTTCCATATTGAGGTACTACGATTGCTCTTTGAACGATTTCTTCATAATTTTCCTTTAAACCATCACTTAAAGCAGGACGAAACTAAACAAAAAAAACAAACATTGCAGCTTGATTCTTTATTAAATAATAATCCAGGAAATGTAAACATAGAAAGGAGCAACAAACGTTGAATAAATACTGTTAATGTACCAAAAATTCTAACTCCAAGCAAAAACCTTTAAATTATATATTAAGTGTTGAACAATACAGCATTGCAGAAGACATCTGTTTGTGTGTTTAAACCCTAAACTGTTTTATAGGTTTCTCACGACAGGGAGGGTCATCACAGGCTACTTGGATAACTATCTCATTTATCATTGAGATTATACCAAACCCAATCGGCGAAATAGATAAACGTAATCAAACAGCTTAGAATGTCTAGACACTAAGCTTATTTCCCCTTTCTAGTTACACAAAAACAGATGACTGCTTCCGAATAAACAAACCATTTTAGAATCTATTATGATGAATTTTAAAAACAAATGGTACTATTACAAGTCAAAATTTTGGCTGCATGTGCTTTCAAGGAGAAACCCAACATAAACTATTTATCTTAATCTACTGTGATGGAAGTTTGTAGGAAGAATCGTCGAGTCATTTCCGGGGAATGCTCTTAAATTCACTTTTTGATTGTTAATAACCCTTTAAAAGCTACGGAGGTCAAAATTTGAATACGAGGCCAACATACAAATGAGGTACAAATCTAAAATCCTGAGCATAATTTGAAATCTGCATGTCATTAGATTCGCATATAAAAATGACACTGCAATGCGACTGACAACTGCAGTTCAAAGTATACGGTTTGGAATTTTAATTGGTGAAACTTTGTCCCTCATAAAGTACGGCCTTTTTACTCCTCGTTGTAATAAATCTGTGAACGAATTGATTTTTGTAGACGTGCTAGTCACCATTTTCCAATAAGTTAAATACATAAGATAAAATACTACCAGAGTATCAAATAAACACTTTAAATTTAAAAACATCAACATAAAAAAGGCGAGCACTAAGTAAGCTTTAATTCTGAGTCGAAAATGATTTAGTAATCAAACTGATTATGTATTTTTTTATTCTAAGAATTTTCAGGTTGACCACTGTGGCAAGTAGAATCATTATGCTAATTATGCTAAGTTATGCTAAGGAGAAGCACAATGGCGGATGCTGCATAGCGTTGTGAAGTTGACTTCAAGGACTAAATTAATAAAAATTTTTGAGGGAACAGAGAGAAGCACAGACTTTGCGAAAAGAAGACAAGGTCTTCAAAATGCCTTCAAAAGTGTTCAACGGGAAAGTCCTAGCCCACTAACCCATGTAATGAATTTCCACGCGAAGGTGCATCTTCTCTATTGCTACAGTGCTCATAGCAATTTGTCGGTTTGCCTAGCGCTACATACATTTCATATCCAATAAGCACTCCTTTATTATATATTAAGTCACTATCACGCCACTGAAGTTACTTTCTCTTTTTTTCTGTTGTCAAAGCCAGAATCAATAACTACAGACCATTCATGAGGTTTCTTTCCATACTGCAACGAAAAGAAAAGGATTGTGATGAAGCAAAACTAAGTAATATATTTGCTTGTTAATACCTCAAACCTTGGAAACAAACGAACGGTTGACAAAAACAGATTAAACACATGACGTGAAGCACCCTACTCCCCCCCTCCCACTTTCCCTTACATACCATTCAAATGCTAAAAAAGAAACACAGATAAAGTGACGGTAGATCGTCGAGGAGTTTCACTTGAGATCCTGAATCATATCCTTTATTGGCAATGAAGGTTGAGAGCTTGCAGCTGGAGAGTAAAATATTTATCAAACTTGGATGACTTTTTTAAATTTTAAAGGCACATCAAAGTGAATTCCTTTTACTTCACAGCGAGTCCTTTTTACTTAATTTGTAAAAAAGGAATTGAGAAACAGATCCTCACTTGAATTTGAGTAAGTTCTTCATAAATCTTCTTGGCCAAATTAGGACCATTTTCCATTGTTGGAAGGTGAATGAACTATGAAAAAACAAAATTGTCATGGTACTCAGGTCACTATGAAAAGGTATATTGTACTTATTTCTAATAAATTATAAACATTACAAGCGAATGACAAACGAAGGGAAGAATGGAAATGAAAAAAAGTTGACGCAAGATCACACACATTCAGTGTTAAAAGAAACTAAATTCAGTTTCTTATATTTTTCTTGATTTTTGCATTAGAAGTTTTCAAAGGTTTCTTAAAACCAAGAAATAATAATAATAATAATAATAATTCATTTATTTACAGTAGGCGTTCTTTACAGTAGGAGCTAAACGATAAGCTAATTAAAGCCTACTATTAATAGGAATAAAAATGATAATATTATACAGTGATATAAAAGCTATTTAAAGAAATAAATTAAAATACCTAGGATTTAATTAGACAAATAGTTGAAAATATTAATGTTAGACAATTCATGTCAAGAACACGACCTGTGCTACAAAGGTTCTACATAGCCTGCAGCTGCAATTATCCTTCGATTGTTTGATCTTTACTTTAAAGGTATGAAGAGTATTTAGGTTTTTCAAGTTTTCTGGTAGATTGTTCCAAAGCTTGCATCCTAAATAGGACAAGTTTTCGCTTCCATGAGTGATGGTTCGAGTTTTTGGGATTTCATTAATCTACTGTTTCTAAGCTGGCAGTGGCTGCTCTTTTGTATGAATATTTCATTCATAAAGCTTGGATTGGGTTTATGTACAGTTTTGTAGATCTCAACCATTAGTAGTTGAAGGTTTCTTTTGTGTATGGAGACACAGTTGTTTTCAATCAGGAGAGTATCAAAATCTGACACATTGTTTTTGCATGCGATACGCAGTGCCTTTTCATGTATATGGTTTATCTTATTATTTAGGCTTTTGTCACAGAATATCCATAAAAGTGGGCAAGAGCTAAATTGGGATAGAATAAGTGCCCTCATTGTTTGCTTGAGTTGTTCTGTGCTCAAGTAGCATGAAATGCGGGAGAGGGCGTGCAATTTTTGACTAGCCTTTTTACACAGTGTTTTTATGTGTGGCTTAAATGAGAGTTTTTTGTCAATAGTTACACAAAGTAGTTTTTCCTCGCTGCTTTCGTTGATTAGGTTGTTGTCTATTTGTATGGCTAAGTCATTACTTTGATCGCCAAAGGTCATGAAGTGGCATTTGTCCCCATTTAACTTCATACAGTTGTCTTTAAACCATTCTGCAACTGTTGAGGAATTTTTCTCTAATTTTTCAACTACATGTGAGGGGTTAAAGTCGCTCGCATAGAGGGTTGTGTCATCTGCATAGTTGCATATTTCTATGTCTGGTACAAACATGAGCAGATCGTTAATGTAAATATTAAATAAGAGAGGCCCTAAAACTGACCCTTGTGGAACACCCTTGTCGATTTCTCTCCACTCACTGAAGGACCCATTTACCTTCACTCTTTGTTTCCTCTTGTCTAGATAGCTATGAATGAACAATAAGGCTTTTCTGCTGAATCCATATGCATTAAGCTTTGCTATCAGAAGTTCCTGGTTTAAGCAATCAAAGGCCTTTCATAGGTCTATAAAGACAGCCCCGACACACTCTCCGGCGTCCAGACTAATCTTGCATTTTTCAGTGAAGCGCACTAGGGCATGTTGTGCACTATAGTTTTCTCGAAATCCACAAAGCAAAGGGTTAAGGAAGCCTAGTGAAAACGGTTTCATCTGAGATTCCATTAGTCATTCGTATGGGCTACATTCAAGAAACAAAAATCATAGACAAAGATAACATCAAAATTGACCACCTTATTGGTCGCGAAGAGTTTATTTTTCTATCATGAATGTAAATAAACAGCCTGATTGTCGAAAAGAATCCTTTTTAGCCCATCTTTAAAAATGAAATTTGAAGGATCTTCTTAGAAATGAGGGTGATAGCACCATGATTTCTTACTTTTGGTCGTTTTAGCGATTAGATGTTATCTTATTAAACTTAAGTGGTGTAATGGATGAATTGAACACTTGAATTGAACAAGAATGCAACATTCGGAATAAAGATATGAAGAAACCCACAAATGAAACTGCTTATCTCCAACAATACGACAGGTTTACCTCAGGATTATTCAGAAAAGATAACTTATCTCTTATCAAAAAGGATACTTCTGACAACTAAACTTTCTTTTCGCATATTTCAAAGTGGGAGGGGGGGGGGGGAAGGGAGAGACAAGAAAGCCGCAATGCGTTTGTCCTACGAGCTGTTTAGATCCATCAACGGGTACAGAGTGGGAAAGCACTAACATAACATGACTATAACAAGTAGATTATCGTAAGTAACGAAAAGCCTGTATGTAATTAAGCAGGTGATCATATAGATGTTTGCGTTCCATAGACATTGCAAACAAGATCATGCTAATTGTTATACTAACCTCATCGTTATATAAGACTTTGTCAACTGGACATACAACACAAGCAGTTCCTGCGCCAAAAACTTCTTTCACCTTGAAATTTCGAAATAATTTCAAATCATTTGTGAGAATGCATCTGCTACAAGATACTCCCTTCCATTAAAAGGGGAGGGGGGCAGCTAACCCACTGTTATTTTAAATACACTTAACTTTTTTTTTCTTTTTCTAGCATGGGATGGATATTTATTTATAAAAATTAGAAAAAAATGGAAATCACGAAATAAAGAGTGAAAGATTATCAATAGGAAGAGCCAATCTGGGTGGACGATGTTGTAAAAAAGTAAATTAAATTATATGTTATGCATGTTGATAAAGCAGCAATAAATAAGAAAGTTGATCTTTTCACATAATCACGAAGGGTTAATTTTTCTTTCTGCAGCTAGCTGAATTTGTTGCCTTACATCGTTTTGATGTTGTGAATAAAACACAGATTCCCTTGTAATCTTATACCGTGTTTATAAAGAGGACTGAGATAAAATTATTGTTGTGAGGGCTTTGGTATAAAAAGAACATACCCGTCCTTCTTTGGTTCCTTTGATTAATTCTTGCATCGTAAATGACCTCTCTGTTACTTTGAATTGGTCCTGTAATAAAATATTAATATCGAGTTCAATAATGAGCTCAATAACGAAAGAAAAAAACAAAAAATCACATGAGTAATACAAGCTGCCGTCTACGTTTTTTCAGCTATAAGGGGCTGCTCAATAATCACGTCACGATAAAATTGCTTTCTTTGAACCACCAACTCCCCAACTCCACATTCCGCCACGTTTGTTCATAAAATCCCCTTGCGTTACATCGTGCTCAGCAGAAACACCCACCCTCTTCCCAATGAAGAGCTAAAGTTTAGGATAAAAAGCTAAAGGGATAGGGGAACAAGAAAAGAAAGCTAATTCCCCTATCATATGTTTTTTTCAACTGCAATAGGTACCAAAAAAACCAAAAAACATGATGTTATACATACTAGGATGTTTCAAAAAAGCCTTGTGTGTATAACTTAATGTCGACGTGTCAACAGCAACAACATGTCGTTATTGTCAGTTGCTTGTCAAAACTGGTTTTATATCATCCAAGACCGGGGTTCTACTTTCATGAACAATTTCCGGAATATCACTTTCCTCGTCATCAAAGACAACCTCTTCTTAATCACACAAGATACTTCATTGATTTTTTTTACCCTGACGCCACGGACTGGAATCAAGTACCACCTGCACCCCTAATTTACCATCATGAAGAATCACGGAAAGCGTGTAGAGTGACCTACCCCCAAAGCGTGACGTAATTATTGCCCAACCCCCTAAGCTCTGTTACAATATTTGCGTACATATTGGTCTTTTGATTAGCAATTATAGAATCCGGTGTGGGCTAATCGCGTGGTGGACAAAATGCTTATCCAGTATATCGTACCAGCATGCTTTAAACACACTTAAGCATTTTGTTTTAAATAGACTGCACACAAATCCAATACAACAATTATATACAGTAGCATCCGTATAAAATACATAAATTTTACATTGCAACTATTAAGATATCCTGATCGTACAAGTCATAATAGTTTATTTTGTAGCATTTTGCGCAAAAGGAGATGTTTCTTAGAGAGCTGGAGGCTTAAAATGATTAATAATAATGAATAAACAATAATAAGTTAATGAAGACAAGATGCTTACCCATTGTCTAGTTAATTCGAGAACTGATTTGCGTGTTACACCAGGTAATATCAGACCGTTCAAAGGAGGGGTGATCAGCTCTTCCTCTGAAAATAAAAAATTGGATTTTTAAGAGCTTGTTTGCATTTTAAAATTGCTTTATTGAGAGCAAATAGTTAATTATATGAAAGTAAGTAAATAGTAAATGAACTTCAGATGCAGATCGGAAATATCTAAGCGCGTGGCTATCATGCTGAAGATCGGAAGAAAAGCCATGGCTTTTCAAGATATAAAAACACTGTTTAAATATCAAGCTTTAGAAATAAAGGTAAGCTACAATGCAACGAAGCCTGATCATCAATAAGTCAACTTACCACCATTTTCGTTAGTCCAATACATGAAAATATTCATTGTACCAACTTCTGTTACCTAAAAACAGTGGAAATGGTGAAAAAGGGCGAAAAAGACAGTGAACAAAAAAAACTTACCCTGCCTGCCAGGGCCTAAGAAATTGGAAAGGGATCTCCATTTTGCTCCCGATTTCTTGGACACTGGTACCGAGGGTAAGGAAAGCTACTGAATTACAGACCAGCTAGAACGCATATGAATATACTAAAATGCGTGCGGTGCAATATGATGCTATAATAACGATCAATATTAGTATATTTTTCCAGCTAGAACGCCTGCCTAAAGCCTTGGTACACTTCGCTAAAATTTTTTAATAGTTTTTACTTCATCCCCCTTTCCCTATCCGAAAAGTTTTATAAATTATAAATTGGATTTTAATCCTGTTGCCTTTATAAATGGGATATTATTCCACTCTACTACCAACATTGCGGTAAACACTTAAGTTTTTCAAAACAATATTTTAGCTACAGAGGGGTTTCAAGAACTTATTGCAGGCATTGTAGATATATTTCAAGAGGAGACGCTTGACATAGGAGCCTCCAGTGCAACGCAGATTGTAATAATAATGATGGTGACAACGATGATAACAACAATATCCTAAACACAACAAGAAAACTGAAACTCACTTCATCCTTGTACAGCCAAAGACATTGCGAGCATCCCTTTTTCTGCGCAAGCTGCTGAGCAAAAATTGTCGGTCCATAATTTCTAAGGAAACAATAATATAGGGTCACAATATGGACATTGAATTGAAAAGCATTTGTGTGAATATTCAGTCATTCGTAAGATTTCCAATACTGGCCACAGCTATACTCTATACTGGCCACATCTTATTTTAATACATTAATGTAGAATGCATCAAATGAATCTACAATTTATGCTATTCATTGGCCATTTGTCTAATTAATCTTAAGGTAATCAGACTGACCTAAGATTCACAAGATTGATCGAGAAGTTATTCGATTTCTCCGATTAATCTGACGATCGTCAGATTGAACTAAGATTCATTACACTGACCTACTAATGCAGTTGATTAGCCATTTCAGACCATTAAAAAGGGTGTCTCGTGGCAAGACAAAATCCATCTAGCAAAAGCAGTCATCTAGCAAAAATATTGTAAACAAGATATCACGATTTGCAACTTTTTCACTTACCCTCCAGCCTTGCACTCGCCAATACCTCCAGGCCAGGCTCGAACAAAACTCGGATCAGCAAGCAAGGAAATGGGATTGAAAGTTCCGGATGCAAAGTAGGGTCCAACAGGCCCAGTGATGACGAATAGGCAGGCGCGTGCAGGGGGCTTCACACCAAGAGTTGCCTGAAACGAAAGCTTTCAGTTATGGCAAGTAATCATTTAACGCATCAAAGAAGATATGGCCAGTAATCCTTGCATCACTAAAGGCTTGCTAAAACACAGTTTTCATTACAAAATAAACAGAAAAGAACAACACTAAGCACCTATGGAGCACAAATTTGATATAAATAGGCTTAGAGTAGGAGAGGGGGTGATCATGGACATGGACGTGGGGACCCGAGGCACGTACAACACCCGAATCTTTTAGAAACATAGGACTGCTGTTAAGAGCTGGGCCCCTTTTTCGTCAACATATGCCCCCCCCCAAATTCAATAATTTTGCCTATGTTCTTAGTCTTAGTTTTCTAGAATAATTTCTGGATAACAATGAAGATTTGTAAAAATTTTTATCCTCACCACCTGATGACACTGTCTTTTGCAACAAAGGACATTACTCTGATCAGAGTGTTTACGATGGCGACTTGAGGTGTAAATTTCTAGCACAAAACAATAACATCAACTAAAGGATACATCGGAAAAGCAGTTACCTCTGTGCTAATTAAAGTCGGTCTTATGTAAAGCGAGCACTTTTGAGAGTGGGGTATCCAATCTTGATCCAATTTAATGAGTTCAGAAATACACTTCAGCAATTCGTCCTTGTCAAAGCCCTAGAAAAAACAGAAAAAGAAAGGCTCTTTCAGACAAATCTTTAAAGGTAAACTTATCTTTTGAAGAAGTCTTTTAATTTAAAGGTAAACTTGCACGTCTTTGTGTGTTTGTATACCGGTGAAAGACCTTAGCAATATCTTACAACACACAAGTAAATTCATACAACAGCGGCTAGCAATTCAGAAACGACGAATGCTTTGAGCCATTCTTTCTCTACATATTCCTGCAAAACAACTTTAAACAAGGTTTTTTGAGATAAAAAAGAAGTTCATTTTACTTCAAAGAAAGAAGCTTATATAAAACGTGACTTTTAGACGCTCCACAAGAATCTTTTCTATTCAATACCTTAACTTCAATCTACCTTTGTGTAAAAATTGAAATTGCAACTTCTTTTTAAAAATTTATAGCTTCGAGCTAAGATGGCACACATCTAATGTCAATCGATTTTGTCAAGATGGAACAAATCAGGATCTCAAGTGAACACTCATCATTGATGTCATGCAGCCATTGACAACCAAAACCAAAAGAGGAAACATAACAAAGAAGCAGAAACAGGGCAAAAGGTCATGCTAAAATGTCGAATTATGATAAAATAACCCATCAGGATATGATTAAACCTCTACTGTACTAAAAAGGAGCTAAAACTAGGTTAGGTCAGATGTAGATTAGATTCGATTATTATCTAAGGTTAGATTATCTAAGATTAGATTATCTTACAGGATCAAAGAATAAACTTTGAACAAAGAATAAACTTACAGGCAAACTCAAACGTATACTTGACTTGAGGAATCTAGACATGTTTTCCATCGGACGAAAGAGCCGTATCTCTCCTTCATCTCCTTTGTAAGCCTTCATGCCTTCAAAAACCTGACAATGTAAATAGCTTGGTTGAAATCAGGATGAAAAAAGAGAGAAAATACAGATATAAGAATAAGAAAGTGAATGTTAACAAACGTTTGACATACGGGTAAAAACGACCCAGGATAAGCAGCGGAGGTGTGAATTTGAAGTGAACCAACAGGTTGGATCATGAAAGCACTCGCACTAAAATTTGTATAAGATAGGTAATTTACAAAAGGAGACCATTCTTGAAAATCAGTGATGTCGTAAAAAGGGTCTTTTTGGATACAGTTTTAGCTCTAGCTTTTTCTCAAACCAAAAATACAGAGAACCTTTTCGAATGGGAAATCCATGGCCCTAAATTTTAGTAAATTATTATATTGGCTAGAGGGGAATTAGTGGCTAGGGGGAAACAGAGGCTACAGGGAAACAGAGGCTAGGAGGTACAGCAATGATCTCTTATTCTGCCTGAAGACAAATGTTTCATTTAAAGACCTTAAACATGAAAAGGCCCTATTTATTAGTTAGAAGCCTGGCTTCCACCGGTTGAAATGTTCAATGCTTCAATGCACTATTTTGAACCTCTAGATAATCCGTACCTCTAAGCCATAGTGTAAGACTGACGCGCTTGGAGGTATTGATAACGGGCCATATGGGGTAATCTGTGGCTTTTCCCATCCTTCTCCAACTGACCAATTTATAATCAGCATATGATCAGACATCGTTTTACCAAAAACCAAATCGGCTTCTCGTGGCTTTATTTTCGGGCTCGTGGTTTTTTCAATAGTCAGATCACCAGCCTGCAAAACAACACATATTTGAATAAACAAAGTAGAAATGAACAGCAGAATAGAATTTAAAACTACATGCGAAAGCAGAGGTTTTTTCAAGTCAGTATTCAAATCCCTTCTCAGTTAGTATTCATGCCAATTCTCCAACAATCATTATTCATTAATTTCTTTGTAGATTCTAAATTATATAAATATTTTATCGCCATTGCGGTTTTTATAAGATTCACTAAGCCTGGCAATGAGATTATCAGCTAAGAATATCGAGAACCTTGGTGAAATTTTGAAATGGAACAAAAAAGTGAAATTTTTGGAGAAGTTAACAAACCCATAGCACTGACGGGATTATAACAGTTAGACCACGTGACAACAAGGGTCACCGTGAAGAGCAAAATTCGGTGTTGTGCGTCTGACTTTGGCTTTTCAATCCACTTTGAGTTGGTACTTAATTGTATCACAATTTGATATAGGCGTTTTCACAAAACTGACTACAGAAAAGTGGTCAAAAATATGGAGTCACATAGTGGACAAAATGAGAAATAATAGATGGTACCGTGATACGTGGATCGTACCGTCAGATACCCGTGGATCGTCCAGTTACGTCACGGCACGGTTTGATAAACTTTCGATTTGACGTTTCGATCTATGGCATCATCGCACGATCTACGAATCATAACATGATTGGTAATGTGTCGTTTTGATTCGTAGACCGTCCCGTCAAATCAACAATCATCTATTAAATCAGGGGGGCATCACCTAATGACAAAAAGCCTGCATGGTTTGAATTACTCACGCAAGGAAAATACGCTAAAATATCGGATGCGTTTGTGGAGATGGAGAAAGATAAAAAAGAGCACTGCAATTAGAATTGCAAATATATTACGGTCAGCCTTAAAAGGCATCGAAGAAGGCATTCAAGGTGACTAAAGGTATATTCAAAGTGGTCAATTCGCTCCTAATTTCCACCATCGTCAATTGAAGGTTGTCAGATTGGGTCTGTGAGACAAACTTTCTGTTAATTCTTACAGTCTTTGGTTTTACTTCTTTTCAGGTAGTAAGGTCTTCCTGAAGCCGTCTGCGCAAGCACCGCGCGCACCAGTATAAAAGTGGGTGGGCTGAGATGGGTGTGACCGAACATTTTTTAAGCCACGCCCTTTAGAACGCCGGAAAACACCCCTTTATTTGCTTCTTTCAACTCATTTTTTTAAGTAGTCCGATTCAGTTTCCTTTTTTCCTTTTTTCACAGCTATTCTTAAATTTTGTACCACAAAAAGATTGATTGCTAAAAATGAATTAGCAGGATAAGACGTCAAGAAAATGAACAAAAAAGGGTTCCCACTCAAGAAGAACTGCTACTACTTAGGATCCGTTAGATTAACTTTCCAAAGATCCGCTAGAGTAAACTTTCTAAAACATTTCTAACCTATTATTGCAAAAAAGTGGAGGGAGGGCTATAGCCCCTGCTAGCCCAATGGCTACGCGGTGCCTGGTTCTGCGGATCCTTCTTGTTACGTGGATGCTGTCCAATGAACAAGTTGAAAAGGCACTCGGAAAAATTCACCGATTATGATGTGTACTGGTAAGATATATGTAAATTTAACTCACTACTGTCAAGAGCGAGTTTTAATAGCCATAAAGAATACATTCCATCACTAATCAGAAGGTAAAAAGATGTGCTCTGTCTAGCGAGCTCGATGCAGAGAGGACTCAACAAGGGAAAGTTTCGAAACAAGACAAAAGACAGTTTTTAAACTAGACAAAAGAAAATAACTTTATAAAGCTTATGAAAACTGATCGAGCAAAAAGTGGAAGCTCTGCAGATTTAACACAGTAAATAACTCGATTCAAAGCCATTCTGTCACCTTATTAGTTTTCTTGTGGTTTGTTTCAAAACAAACGAATAATTCTAAAACAGGCGTGCGATAAACGCACTTCCCAGTGTGGGGAGGCGTGTACCAACGCGCGGGAGTGCGAAAGCCTGCATTCAAACCTGCAAAAGAAATTGTTTTTCCTTCCTAAGAGTTCTTGTTGACGAGATAAACCAGAATTTGTTAGAAGGTCTTTTGGCTTTCAGATTTTGCATCACATACACATGTATGCTAAGGTTGATGCTCTTATTTCACATCATCTAACGTTTTCTGTGGCAGAAATAGTGACCTGGCTATGGGGAGGGGGGAGGGGGGAATCAAATTAAAAAATCTAGGCCAAGCCCTTTGTACTATCAGGAAATGCGCTTTTACCAACAGGGAACACCAATTTCGCCAATTCTGAAAGCCCATTACTGACATTTTGTTACATAAAGTTCATAAAAAAATCTATTCAAAGGTCTTTTGTTGAAAACTTACATTTATCTGCCCTGAAAGCATCCGTGCCAGTATTCCATGCTTCTGCAAGCCAGAGACAATTTTCTAGAAAGGAAAAAATCCTGGTAATGATACAGGTGCTTATAAAAAATAAAAACAATTTGGCAATTATCTTAGGGCTGTAGCACTTTTCCCTACATCAACTTCTAACAGCCCAATTAGCGAAGTATACAATAGATAGGTAATTAAGGCTATGTTCACACTGCTCTGTACTTGTTTTTTTGGTTTTGTTTGATGAAAAGGCAGTCTGTTCACACGGATCTGTTTGAAAATGAAAACCGTTTGAATTTGGTAAGTATTCACACTGCTCTAACAAAAACACTGTCAGTGGCCTCATTTTTCAACAGAGGTTTTGATGAATCCTCATCAAATTAGACTTTTCCAAAGTCTATTTTATGTTAAATCTGTAAGGCCTCCGCAGTTTAGATAAGCCCTCGCAGTAGTACGAATGCCATATGCCCTCGCAGCAGTATGAATGCCTTATGAATTTAACATAAAATAGACTTTGAGAAAGTCTATCATCAAATTGGCACCAGAATGAATAAAAGTAAATGAAATTAAATTGTGAAGAATTTCTGTAACAGTCATCTGTCCATTGTGAATTCTCTATTTTCAGATGTTTGAGATTTGCCATTTCAAAAAGCACATAGGTTGTCTCTATCGTAAGACTATTTTGAGCATAGAAAATTGAGCAAGTTAAATATGCTCCATATTCAAAAGTATCTGTACTCATTTGCCTTTTCAAATGACTTGGTTTTCAAAGCAGAGCAGAGTGAATGCAGGGCAAAAACATAGAGGTCTGACTTGACTGAGCAGTGTGAACAGGTGTCCCTTAGAGCCAGGTCTTCTGACATTTAAATAACTTCTTGACAATTCAAGGCAATTTTGATTGACCCTGCTCTTAAACAGTAATTTATCTGCACTCAAGGATAGATTCTCAATAAATCCACAGAAAGATAGATTGAAATATCATCTTAAATCTAAAAGAAGACAATAACAGTGAAACACGCATGTCAGATCTCCACATAACATAGAGTATGATTTGTGAAGAAAGGAAAATTTCAAATAAAGCACAGCTGAAGTATATAGTATAGAATGCATATTTCATCAGACGTAAAATACTAATCAAACGTCTGCTCAGGGTCTAAAAGAGTCAGTTAATGTTTTCTGATGCAAATAAGCAAGCCAAAACCATAATCTTTATTGTAGACTGCACAGGTGGTCCTAAAATTTAGAGTGCTCTCTCTAGCAAGAATTTCTGTCAAAGATATGAAATATATGACCTATGCCAATCCAACTTTTGTGAGTTTCTAAAAATTCATTTCACCGTGTTCATTGGTAGTAAGGACTTAGAAATGTCTTGGAGAAAAGCCTATATGTTTAGAAGCGAACAAACAAGCATTCAGCTTTGACCCAACATCCAAATAGGTTGAGGTTTAGCAACTTGAGATCAAATATATAGCCAAGAGGTTCATCTAGTTCAACCTTGTGGATGTCTTTTGGTAATGTAACCTGGGAGAACAGAAACAGAATTGCAGTTCACAATACGGTAGACATTTAGAAAGGCCTTGTAAGTACCACCAAATTAGACTTAGGTAGAATTAGATGTCATTGACAAAATTAGGTATAAGAAAATTAAACTACCAAATTCATTGAAGATAACAAAAAACATGCATTCTATCTATAAAAGATTGTTTTTAAATTTAAAAGAATAAACTATCTACTTTCTACTCAAAACCAACCGTTTCAAGGTTAAGCTTGACTTAGCTAGTTTTTGATAATGAAATTTCAATTAAAACACAATATCAGTTCATTCATTGCCAAAACAAATGATTAGAAGTAACTGAAACGTTGACCAATCATCCAGAAACCACGGTTTTTCTCTATTTATACATTAAAATTAAATCCACTAAACGGTTAAAGACAATTTAATAAGAAAATTACTCACAAGGAAAACAGTGTTTTGGAATGTGGAGCAGTTTAAAAACTTTCAAAACTGACTCGAAATGCGAAAAAACTTTTGTTTCAGAGATGATTTCTGATGATTCTTTCCGTCATCCAAACAAAAAAACAACCATTCATTTCTGTAACTGTAGCAATGGGCACACTACAGAAAGAATGCATCTAAGAAAAGTTGGTTTGTTACTAACGATATTTATCATCGTTCATCTAAAATTCAAGAAACTTTTAAAAGACTTACGTAGTCAGTTTTTATAGAAAATAACAAAGTTTGATTACTGTGAAACCTTCAAAGTTTCTTACTAAAAAATGGTGCATTGAAGAAACTTGCAATGTAGCACCCTACAAGTAAAAATGCACCATACTGTGTGGCACAGGTGGCATAATTTTTCGGAGACGTATGCCAGTGAACAGCGTCACACTATTTTCATTGATAGTATCTTTTGGCAAATGCAACGTTTATACTGAAATAAAAAGGGTAACCCTCTTTCAAGTTGTTAGCAATAAGATATGCCTTAAATATTCAAAATAACGTTATTTCGAAGAGCATAACTTTATTTTCTTCTATCATAGATCAACTGTGCATTTATGTAGAAACGGGGCCTAAAAGACACGGATTCAAAAATTATATTGATAATTGAATCTGAGAAAAACTCTTTAAGACTTAGTAAAACATTTACCTTTGTTAATCTTCCGCATCTTTGAATATTTTGCATCTTTGCCTTCTTCTAACTTTTTTCAAATAGCAGAAACAACACTGTTTCACTTCTCCGTCTGTCGACGACTATTTCTGTTGAGCAATTGAGAAGTCTGTTTGTCATGGTCTTCAGGTAGATAGCGTCCGGAGTCTCTCAGCACCGAATTGAAATTTTATTCAAATTAATCATTCAAAATAATAATTTTTGAAACAGAAATTCATTTCCGTCAAATAAGGCTTAATGATATCATTATGTGGCTGTTTGAATGCGCTATTCGACCGAAAATATTTATTTGAAGGAAGATTCTTAAAGTTTTTTTGCAACCGCAGATCAATTTAAAAAAGTGTGCCTTAACCCTTTCTGAGAAACCGCAGATCTTGCGAATTTCCCTGCTCTGATGATTGCAAGCACTTTTTCGAAGATATATATCTCACGCGACAAAAAAATGCAATTGCCTATCGAAAACAGCGTGCTTTGACTCGAGGAATAATGCCTTGGTGATTATCTTTTGAAATTTCGGCAACGTGATTATGAATTTCTTTTGCCACAAGTTGTCATCATAGAGTTTGGCTGCATGCACATGTAAAATAGGCAGCCACTGTAGCGGAAGTTATAGGGTTGTTGGAGCCAGGGGCGTAGTACAGCACCACTGGTAGATGCGGACTATCGCCCCGGTCCCAGTTCGATTTTACTCAGAAAACTTATAATTCGAAAATACATAGAATATTTTGGCAATTGAAATCATAGAGAAAAGGCCATTCAAACAAGAAGCCCACGGCGCCTGCTCAACAGCTCAAAAAACCCAAATTATGCTAGAACAGATTTTCAAAACCATAAATATATTTACAGGGGTGTTGTCCTAAACGTTAGGAGGGGGCTGTCTGCAGTAGGCAACTTCTAGAATGACCAAATCCAATATATTTATACTTGTGTCGATTCTCTGTCGTGTATTTGAATCATTCAAACTATTCACGGATTCAAAAGACCGATTAAAATCGCTCATTCAACACAGTTCGTCGAAGCAAACAAAAGCTCATTTGCTAAGGGGTCTGAGCCCCTGAAATCTCTCTGGATTTTAACAAAGAGGCTGAGCCCCCGAGACCCCCTCCGCGACACTCCTGTACATTTGTCTTTATAATTTCAGACACTGTTTAGGACTTTTTAAGTTAGTTAGTTAGCACCTCGAATCCCATGACATTGTGGCTGTCCGCACATGCTTAGCTACCGGATCTTGATTGGTTGAAAATATGTTCGATGGGGGAATGGCTGGAGGCGGATGATCACATGGTAACCGTAGGTTTACCAGTCCTGCGTCACAAACCACCAGTACATAAAGAGTAAAGGACGCTGATAGTTCTAGAAATAGAGATCCCAACAAAATTAAAACTGTTTCTTGGAAAGCGTCTTTGCAAGTTATGCTGTTCACAATAAAAGCCAAAGTAGTGGTTATGAGGGGCTGTAGCCTGCTATTAAGTACTTTGTTGCATATTTTTTCGCTAATTCTTTGAAAGAAGGTTTTATAGATACCAGGTACCAAAATAGATACCGTTTTAGAAACCCACAAACGTAAAAAGAAGCTCTCTCTTTTATCTACGTCGATTTAACACGAAGTAGTTTTAACTTGTAGTAGAAAAAATAATTTCCTTCCCTTCTAAAAACACGGAATCACAAACAGAGGTTGAGGGTGATCAGTACCAGGGTTTCTAATTTTTTTGACCGTTCTAGGGCACGGTTTCTTGAGACAGCTTGTTACAAAACAAAATAAATATATTGGAAAGAGAGTTTTTGTTCGTTGGAGAATTTATTGTCTGGTGCAACCGGGTGCAACTACGGTTTGGATTTTATATTTATCAAATTTAGTAATGTTCCCGTTGCGTGTTAAAGTCACATGTTCTGTTAAGTCCTGTTGTGTTAATGAACGCCTTTTTATGGCAATGTGTTTGTCTTTGAACATGTAGTGTGACGCTCGTATTGTCTTGTTAATTAGCTTCCGTTTATGTTATTAGATTGTTAGTGTGTGTTGATCACGATATACGCTAGTCTTTCTGTACTTTTGTGTACTTTTGTGTACGAGTATTTTTGTGTGCTACTTATTCAGGGCTTAGGTCCTTTGGCCTAGCCCATCACTCCATCAACGAGGTGGTTATTAACTGGTTCTTCACCGTTATGACAAGAACTCTTATCGTTACACAACCCTACAAAAAACTTTTTACAACAAACCTTGGTGCATAGCCCCCTCCCCCCTCCCCCCAGAGGTCAGTTTCGAAAATGTATCACAGGTGTCTTGAAGAATAAGGATCGCATGTTCTAATTGCGCGAGGAAATGACAGTCAAAAATGTATCCTAAATGATATTAAAAACAGGAAAAAGAGTCTTCTAATTACATCTATAATTACACTTTTGAAATGTACGAATTCGATTAAAATGCTATTTTAATCTTTGGAAGACTTTGCTGCTCGTTTTTACTGAACTGATTTTCAAATTTTTTATTTTCGATCTCAGATTTTTCAAAAGTTGCTCGATGAGCCTCAGATGCTTGAAATGAGAACAGCTACTATACAGTACTTGAAATGTTTTATCATGTTTTAAAAATTGGAATCAAATTCAAATTTATTTTATTTCAGCAACTTAGTTACAAATTTATATCAATATGTTAATTATATAGTAATTTATTGTCGATATAATTAATAATTTTGAAATTATATAGTTGCCTAGGAAGCTTTCGAGCGCAGCACTCTAGATATTGAATAATCTAAACAAATAATAGTAACAATGAAAGAATAAGTATATTTTGAAAGCTAAACTAATTATTAGGCATTACCAGTTATTAATCTATTTGAATTCTATACCAAAACACTCAAGTGCGGGGGTTTATTTTGATGCTCGTATCAAAAATGAATAAATTTTTAATTAAAAGCATTGTTTCCTAAACGTTTATGAAAGTCTTGTTTAGCCCACGCAATGACCAAATGACCTGATTAGGTGACTGCGTAGCTCTGTGTTAGCATTAGGCCTCTGCGAGGTGCAAGTGCTGTTGCTGTGGTGTGACATTACGTCATTCTCAACAAAAATTACTAACCAGGCTAACAGAGCATGTCGAAGTCGAAGAAGGGATGAATTGAAGTTCTTTGTTGCTATCTCAGGTATGGAACGATATGTTAAGTTACTTAAGATTCTCTTTTTACGTTGATGTGATGGTTTATTCACTCGCTTCACTGTAGCTGGACTTTCAACTCGCAATGTAAGCTGATTGGCAACTATCCTAACACATCCACACCGCATCAAATTGTAACCAAATCCAAATACGGGAAATCACCGAGAAATCAGAACTATTCGATAGATTTCTCAGATTGAATGTTACTTTGTGAGTTGAAATTTTAAATGAATGCTACAAGAAATAAATTTACTCCCTCTCCTGCATAAAGCAAAATAAATAAAAGATTGTCAGGGTATTGTTTTTTTTAATTCCAAGAAAAAAAACAAAGTAAAGTGACAATACATCAACCAAGTCCAGACGGCCTAGTTCGATGAATCACGCCCCATGCTTTTGATGCGGATATCTTTAGGAAGGTTGCATTTCCAGGCTCTGAGTTTCATTTATCATTAATCCACAATGGTTTAATCACAGTTAAATGCCACCCTGAAACCTTAATGTATTACATGTGAACCAAAAAATGTCAATGTCATGTGTGCTGCATGCAAACCTCTTGTTATCAATCGTTAAGTGAACAAACAGGACACCTAATGCCAATTTGCCTAAAGCTGTTAACCAAAAGTGATAAAAGATTTGCTTTGTTGTTGTACACTAGCACAAAAACCCTTGTGCCTGGAGCCCCAGGGAACAAGCAGTACTGTAAAGAGGGGAGTTAGTTGGGGTAAATTTCAGGGTCTCAAGAAGGGCTTCCAAAAGTTTTGCTAATTAATGCAAAATAATTTTAAACAAGGTACTTGTTGGATAGACACTCAACTTTTTTAAAAGGGACTTGTTTGTTTGTTTGCCAAGTTAATTCTATTGTTTGGCTTTTGATTTATTGTTTTATCAACCTTATCCCTGTGCCACTACTCATGCACAAGGGCCTGTGATGTTTATAGTTGGGATGGATGTTGAAAATGAAAATTTGACCATCTGGGACGCATAATAGTGGCCAAATGACCTAAAATGGGTAAAAATGCCAACAATTTTCATATGACATTTTGTTGGAAAACTCTTTTTAAAAAAGTCGTTATAGCCCCAGGGCCAGAGCTGGCTCCCCTGATAGGCCTGGGAACAAGTTCATGTCTGAGATCTCTGACATGACATACATTTCCACCCTTTGTTATTTTGTTCAATGCGAGAAACTATTTTCTCTTGATCGTCTTAATCAATTTTGGAACAGGTCCTTCTTAAATGGGAAAGGTGCAAAGTCATATGGTAGAGAAGGTAAACCAGGCCTTCACAGATGAGAGGAAAGCACAAATTAAAAAAAGCTTTTTGTATTGCAAAGAAAGAGCATGTGTCTTCAAAGAGGTAACCTTACTTACAAGGAGCAGCTTTCAAAGTAAGTGCCAGATATCAGGCCATTCAGTTATGTACATTTCTTTAGAAGTCTATTTGCAGAGCAAAATATTATTTAGTGATCTGAGATGTTAGCACTTATAGGAAAGAAGGTGATTGAATTCTCCAGTCTTGAGTTTGTTGAAACAATATATCTAAGGCAGAGACGCTATGATCTGGAATTTCAGTAGGTGAGAAGTATATAGGTTATGTTTAGCTAATGCTAGATGTCTACTTTAGGATATCGGTTTTCAGGCATGGTAAATTTCCAGGTAGTTCTTCTAATTTTTCTTTTTATTTGCAGATGCCATTAGTGATTTGAATTCAATGTAAGTATTGACATTTCCTACTGATTTCTTTTTTGTCTATTTTCTTTTGCTATGACATAATTTTTTTGCCTATTTTCTTTTTCAATTGCATAAATAAATTTGTTATTTATTTTTTCGAAATTATTTGACAAATATTTATTATTTCTGTCAATTGTAGGTTGGAAAAATCTTCTGGGGAGAAAGTTTTGTTTCATAGCAAGGTTCCGGACCGCTTGGATTGGAAGAAATCTATAAGAATACTATGCATTCAGGTGAAAAATTTGACTTGATAGAAGATTTGAAATTTGTTTGTAACTTTCTATAACTGGAAGCTTTCTATTGTTTCTTTTATTTTATTGTTGTAGTATAGAGTATCTAACTATTAAATAAAACATTAGACTATTAGCAATAACATGATAATTTTTCGTATCGATTGTGGATTCAGAGCCTTAGTAAAGATTATATATATTTTACTGGTCTTTTTTTATACTTTAATTATATTTATTGTATTGTAATTTATTGCATTGTATTGTATGTGTGGAATTTTAAATAATGAAACTGAACTGAACTGTCTGTTGTATAGTGTTCTATATTAGGGTAACACCTTAGAACCACCCTGTTCAACAAGCCAAGCATATTTTTGTATGTAAATACAACCAGATATGAAGTATATATCATGTTTATATTTGTTTGTGTGTCAGGTTGATCAGTATAATTCAGATCCAGTGGTGACAAGATTTATGAATATCATCCAATTTTGGACACTTAGAAGTGAGATAATTCGCCAGTTTGGTGGCAAGTCAATCTGTGATGAAGAAAATAATTTTCAGTTTGTTGATAACGAAGGGGAACTCATCAATCCAAATGAAGAACCAAATATTGTCCAGTCTGATCATGAGGTAAATACTGACCAAGATATAAACATTTTATTTTGAAATTTTCCAAATGTGTAGCTAGTCATGGTTCAATTTCAGTAAGCGGGATTGTCTAATCTCACTAATTGTCTTTTCTACAATAATAGGATACATTTTCCCCTTAAAAATATGTTATCCAATATTGATTGTTTTTTTAATCTTCCTTAATCTTTGTTAATCTGTTATGATGAGATTCAGCTTTCTCATATTTCTAAAATTTTTTTGCCAATTGTACCTATTGATATGAACATCTGAATTTTAATACAGGTCACAGCCCAGTTATGGATATTAAACAACCAACTGCCTTAAAACTATTGAAAACAATTGTTATCCATGTTTTTCTGAATTAAAAACCCCTTTTACATAAGAATTTTTGAAGTGTTACAAATTCTGCTTTTTTAGGTGACTGGCCTTTCTTCAGCTCAAATACTTGAAAGGTTGGTTTGAATTTTGTAGGCCAATGGCACTCTTATTCAGATAAATTATCATGGATAGGATTACCTCATTGCTATTTCCTATATCTTAGTTTTAACAGTCTGCAGTTTTAAAAGCTATGCAGTCTAAGGCGTTGCAGTTATGTTTACAAACTTGGCTAGTGGTATACTGTAAACTTACATAATGTGCAAACTTAAATAAAATGCAAACTTGAAATCTTGTGTTGCAGAGCAAATGAACTGAGCATGGAAGATGTAGAATGCTGTATTTGTATGGACAATAAATCTGATGTTTCACTTGCATGTGCACACAGTTTTTGTAAAGAATGCATAGATACGTGGTAAGGGAAATTGTTTCTTGTTTTTTTACCCTTATGTAAAAACTCTTATAACCTGTTTATAACCTAGTACTTCCATTACTTCTAAAGCCTCTGTGTTGATTTACTCGTTGTCCAATTGTATGTCATCTATTGTGATGTCTGAAATCGTGATTTAGGGCCAGGCCACGGACAGGTGAGCAAAGAACATGCCCTCAGTGCCGTGCAGTGATTAAAGCTGAAGATGAGTATTGGGTGATGGCTGATGTCCCAGACAGAGAGGAAATGCGGGACTACATTGCCTCATTAGCATCAGGGCTCTGATGCAGAGATTCAAGTTCTTTTGAGACATTTAATTTGTTGTTGTTTGCCATCTGTTGTATATACATGAACTCTCCTCTGTAAATATTAATAGCTATTTAATTGTAGTTTTTAACTGCTCTTGTTTTATCAGGTGTTTCAATACTGGGGATAGGGGGCCACATTTCCAAGTTACTCCAAATTCCTCCACATCTCCAAGTTGAACCCAAGAAACTATATATCTTTTTTGCTAACCTAAAAGCTCCATGGGGATGGCTCAACAATACTTGTGGTAAAGAGTTTGAAGGAAGCTATGGGGAAGTTTTTCAGAATGTTTGCATTCTTGGCATTGGCTTTTCAAGTCAACCCTTCTGCCTGAATATTTTGTCATTCCACATAGTATAATGATGTTGATATTTCATTTATAAATGTGAGCAATGAAGTCTTACCTTGAAATCAGGAGGCCTTATGTAGGATGCAGCCATCTTGAACTCGGGAGGCCTAGGCATCTAAAACTCAAAAGTTATATCTCTTGAAAGATATTATGTTGCCAAATTTCATGCCTAGAAATATTAAACCTGGAAACATCAAGGTTTTCACTGCACCTGCCCTTATCCCAAAGAAGCTTACCTCTTATTATATGGGCAATAGCAAAGGTTAGTTGTTAATAGTTAGCCTTTATTTCATAGTGAATTAGTCAGGTTTTATCAAAAAGGAAATCCATTACAAGAAAGCAATATTATTTTGCATTATTTTCTTGCAATAATGCATTCTCAGTAAAGTTTATCTAGACCAACTCTATATATTAGACATCATTCAATTGGTGGATGCGCATCTTTGGCCATTTGTTAGTCAATTTCATACATTGGCAAACAGAATAGATTATCACTATATTTTGATAATTATTCACCAATAGATAAACGATATTTAATATCATAAATTAGTTTTCGGCAGAGCTTTAGTAAACATCAATCATTTTTCACATGTTACTGATTTCATTTTTCTAGTTTGATTTTTTCAAAACTTTAATGAATACTCTTCATATAAAATTGTGTGGTTTTTTCATTCTTACTTGCCCTGTTGTGTCGGAACTCCTTTTAGAAAATACTACGCAAGATTATTTGTGAAAATGAGATTGTACGGGCGTTAAAAAGATATGGGACATTTTTAATACTGATATCATTGTCGCCTCTTTAGTGTTCTAAGGTACCGTGGGCTACTGTGGGCAATGACATGGCCTATGCAGCTAGGCCATGACAGCCAGACTATTTCCAAATAGGTTTATTAATATTTCTTTATCCTGGTCAAAAATGCCGATTTCAGTTCCTACCGATGTAGGATCATTTGTCTAAGGGGCAACCGCCCCCTTCTCAGCGGGCTTTGGCAAGATAATCGTGTAGGACAAAATAGCCCCTCAGTGTCTCTAAAATTCAGGGTTTTGTAAGTATCTTTTGGCTAACATAGGAGTAATTATATCGGGTGGTTTAAGCGAAATATTCAATCGGTGTCAATGCTGCTTCAAACCAGCAAGAAGTAAAAATTGAGTGCTAGAAATTTTGAAATGAATATTTAAGCTCATTTTGCATTCTAAAAAACTTCTTGATCCTTTTTGCGTAATCAGCTTCCGAAATCAAGTTTAATTTCTTAACTATTCTTCAAATCCAAGCTCAAAACAAGCCTGATTTTCCTTTTAAATTCATCAATTCTTTGTAAAAAGTTCTCGTCTCCATACCTTATAGGCTGATCAAAGCTCTTAAGTGCAGCGCACTCTGTACAACCACCATAAACATATCTGTGATGCAGTCTTGGTTTTGCTGTTGATTGTGCTGTTGTCTTCTCGACGATTTTCTTATCTGTTTGCCAATAAAGAAACTGCAATCAAACACTAAAAAAGAGGTTGATTCATTGATTCATCTCCTATAAAAACATTTATTCATAGAAAACAAAGTCCTATTACATATAGTATTTCTTATACTCACACCCAAGAGTTGACGGGTGTATAATGAAGTAGAATGGGTACTGAAATTTTCCAAAAATTTAAACTTGACTGAATATGGTTCTCAGTGTTTCATCTGAGTGTTTCTCAAATGAAATCCCTCGTAGCAAATTGTACCAAATTATGTCTTGGTTCCGTTTCAATCAGATTGTTTCCTTTTTACTGCGTCATCCTGGAAAAACTCGTTGGCTAGCTTTTACATTCAATCGTTTCCCATGCAATAATTTTGTGAGTTATGAGAGATTTAGAGTACAAACTTCGTCAAAGTATCATCACTAAAATTAGGAGAACCAGAAAACAAGATTTGAAGTTCCAAAAAGATGACATAAAAGACAACACGAAAATCAAATTAGAAAGCATTAATTTCATAAGAACCTAAAGACTAAAAGACATACACTGAACAAAAGCATGCCTAAGCTTTAATGAGAAATTAGCTTCTAATATGGAGGATTCTACAATATCCATTGAAGACTCGTTTAAGAAATTTGAACGTTGAATTGAACGACAATAATTCAACCTACAGAAATTAGCATCTGTTAACAACACGTGCAATAATTTGGAGTATAAATACAGAACAGGTGGATTTTAACAAGCTGTGTTTATAAGTAATCTTCTCAAAATATCGAGAAGTAAATTGAATAAAGGGCGAGGAGGGGTAGAAAACCCCCCAAGGCTACATATAAACCAGGAAAATGTTTTCACGAAGCCCTAATTTCAGTAGAATGGGACACCAGGTATGCATGTCATAAGTGGAAATTGCGGAAGATCAAACAAAATCTGATTGGTCATGATATTTCTGTCAATCAAAAACTAACCAATAAAATCATCGTTATGTGAGTGATGGGTAAAAATATAGTTGTAGAACAAACAAAAAGGAATCGGGTTTGGCAAAATGTAAGAGACATTGAAGCGATTTCCCTGAATATGTCAAAGGGAGTAAAAAGCATCTTGAGCTATGTTAATGGTAACGAGTTTCTATAAGTTGTTAATTGTACGAAGAGTGAAAATGGTGTTAATTGGACGACAGCAAGGCCCTTAGTTTAATCTCCTGACTTTCAAATCTGCATAGTATCAGTTACCAAATACTCTAAAAACTCAATTAAAATAATATGGATACAATTCAATGATAAATATCAGGATGAACTGTTAAGAATATCGAGATTCTGTATTAATAAAACTATCTTTGACATTCAAAACTAAACTTTCTTCCAATTTTTTTTGAGTTTACAAAAAGTCTGCCAAAGACATTTTCTCTTTGGGCTTGGCGTTATACTCCATTGAATCGCCATAATCATCATCAGAATCGTAGCCACCTCCTCTACCCCTGCCTCTTCTCCCTCTTCCGCGACCCCTTCGTCTTCTCCCTCCACCCCGACCACGCCTTCCTCTCCCACCACCACCACCACCACCCCTCGTTTGCCTGCCTCCATCATTGTCCATCCCAGGCTTCTTTGCTAATCCATATGCTGTTACCATGGGGACAAATATTGGATCGCAAAAAGGACATCCCTGATGTCTTGGAGTACCAATATTCGTCTGTGACTAAAACATAGGGTAATGAAAGCAAAATAAAAAAATATTCAGTTTTGTCTGGGCAAAAAGCGTCCACATCTAAATAAAGTTTATAAATACACGATTAACTAGAAGGAATCTCGAAGAAGGCCTAGTCAAATTGTCTCGCACAACTATGACTAGATCTTCAAAAGGCTGAAGATATTCACAATCATAAACAACTTGGATGAAAAGTTATTCGATCGATGTCTAGCTTCATCTTCAAAAATATCAGCAAAGGTTTTTAGATACTCTGAAAGCAATATTTACCTTGTGGAATTCTACATCCATATAAGCAGAGCCACAGTCACACTCATCGTCAGTTACGGCAACGCGATGGGCGTCCTTGAAAAAATGCACTATTACTCTGCACCTGAAAGTACAAAACATTGGGAAACCATCAGATGAATGATAGGAAAAGTATTGAGTTACAAACCCAGTCGATGTAATTTAGAGATGGGCGTTAAACATAACAAATTATGATTATGATGATGAAAAATTGATTTATGTGATTTATACAATTGATAAAAAACCACGTGGTGTGGTCACATCGAGAGGAAGGACCACTGTTCGATAAGAATAGCTTCTCAGTGTGCTAAAAACTACCTTCGGATGCTTGTGAAATACAAATACCAAAAATGCATCGAAAATAAAAACACAAAAATTAGTGTCGTTTTGATATATCATTACCGAAGCAATACCTACTTGTTACATGCCATTCTCCATTTGGGAGCAGACGTTGGGTCAAACATAAGAGTGCCACTGTCACAATCAATGCAGCTTGCAACAGAGAGGCTTGCGATTGAATGTTTACAAGTTGGATGTGTGCACTGGTTGCAGCACATTCCTTTACGCATATCCTCAAATGGTGGATGGTTATAGCAATAAGGACACAGCGGCGTGCTCTGAAAACAGATAGGAGAGGCAAGGAATATTTAAGACTATACAACTACAAGAAAAAGGCCTACAAAGATTGGACGCTGTTCGAAAAAGATTGAACTTCTCTGCAAAAACATTGTGTGTGTCTCAAAAGCTTTGATCAGGATTGTAGGCAACGGGCTTCTGTTTACAACAACATAGATAAGACACCCTGGTATAGAAAGCATACTTGTAGAACGATCACAGTATCAATAGTTTAAGGAGCTAATGAAAAGGTTAATTGCCGTCTGGTAAAAATGAGAAATCAATAAAGCTAAACCAAACACATAAAAGGACTTTGATAGACGCCTTCCCTAAATATTATCTGGTATTTCATAATGTTTGATTTAATAGAGAAAGTTTTAAGTTCTACTGACCTTTCCTCCTCTGCCAGCGTACAGAAGCAGTTCGAATTCATCTAAAGGACATCGGAGTTCCTATAACAAAAATACTGGCTGTAACTCCCAGTTCTATGTACTTAGAAAATTATTCGAAATATCGAAATTTGCCTTCTGGTCTTTCTCCAGGGGTCGTACAGCCAACCTCTGATAATTCGAAGCCTTTGGTAAAGAGACTGAACAACAAGACGGAAAAGAGGAACATAAAATTATTATGCACTTTCGTTCGCAACACGGAGTACAAACGTCCGACAATGATCAAAGGTACGCCAAAATATGTATTCAAGTGAGGATAAAAAATAACACGAGAGAAAGTCCCCCTTCTTGCTTATGAACAGTCAGGGACCGCTTACATCTTAGATAGTGAGAGAGTCTAATCTAGAAAAAGGATTCTTCCTGTCTACAAAAGTCAAAACTATTTGTTCGCTGTAGACAGATTCTATAACACCTAAATGAAATTAACAATTAATAATCAAAAACTACAAAATAGAATGGCCCCAAGTACAGATCCTGATTTGCATTAACGTTGTCCATTACAAGAAGTACGAGAATACCTTGAAGAGCTTAAGATTTCCATCATTCGGCAAGCTATATGTCTCGTCACAATGGGCGCAGTGAAGCCGACATGGCTTGGCTGTAATGAGCTTCATAAATCGATGGCACTTGCCGCATCTACCAGGAAGATTCGGTAATTAATACGTTTATTAAGAACTGAGACAGCACTAGCATCTAATAATCTACTTTACACCTTTTGAAAAACTGTCGCCAAAAAGACTTTTTCATTTAGGATTTGAATACAGATCTAAATCCAAAGCAATGAGTATCTTTCTTTTTCAAGAAAGATATTAAGGCAATCTGCAATTTTATTTTCATTCCACCTTCTCTCATTTATTGTAAACAGGGATTCTGTCATCATTTTGCTAAATTGACAGGGCATCTGCCAAGTCGCATACAAAAGCATAAAAAACGAGAAAAGAAATTAAAATAAAATTTACATAAAACTAACTGCATTTCTTTTTACTGTGAAGTTGCGAAAATAAATGTTTCAGAGTGCTTGACTGGCTTTGACGCAGACTCGAGAAAAACTTAAAGCATTGCAAACAGCAACACGTAACTATACTGGCAAACTAAAAATGGTAGCAGAAATAACCCGGGAGAGTGATTCCAGGGAGCCATGTGCCACAGCCTTATTTGAACCTTCCTTGGTTAGTCCGAAAATGGTCTGTCTCTAGAACGATTAAGACTCTATACTGAGAACAAAAACAAACTGGAAAATATTCGGTTGAATGTTCGTGTCTTTGCACGATATAAGTTTTTATCAATCAAAAAACGACAGCACTGGGCATCAATGTGCAACATCTACAGAGGCATAACTGGCTTGACGAAGTCTTCCCAGAACTCTTTGCGGTTCTTGGAACTAACTGCATCATACTTAACAATCTAAGAGAAAGTTCAATCTTACCTCGAAAGTGGCTTCCCACTTTCAGACAATTTTGTGAATGAAACCTCGAACAATTCGTCCATGTTTTCAATGTTTTTACGGAAATATTCGAATTTACTGTTAAAGCAGTTGATGCTATGATGCAAAACCGCGTTGAAATCTGCCTGGAAATGCACGAAAGAAAAATTATAAGATGAAGAATTTTCAAAGACAAAGACGAAGAATGACAAGGTAATTAGAAAGAAGAGTAAAGGATTGCCATAATGACAATCTTTCACAAGATTCTAAATTTGTAAAAGAGCAATTGTTAAAATTTTCTTGAGAATTTTTAATCTAGAAGCAACGGCGATGGTTACAGTGTTGGGTTGGACGCTTTTCATATGAAGAATCTTCACACATTCAAAGTGAATAATTTTTGGCGTTCAACCCTTTTGAACCAGAGCTTCATCAATACGTTTAACGGTAAATGGGTCATAAACCTTAACACTGCGATAATCAGGTAATAAAACATAAAGTCTTGAAATTTGGAAACATCTTCAAAGCTCAAGAATACCCTAAATTGGCCTAAAATTTGCTTACTTTTACAAATTGATAAAAAGAATTTTGAGAAGGCAAAAAGATGGTGGAAAAAATGGATGTGAAACAGTCAATATAGCAACTGATTAATACCTTGCGAATTACAGGACTTTTTCGCAATCGGCAGTTAGGCACGCTATAGTAAAATAGGCGAATGGTGTGCACGATAGATAGAGATAAATTTGTTCTACTAACATAATTAAAAAAAGGTGACGAGTACCTTTCCCTGAGCTATCAAATTCAGCTGTTTTTCTAACGCTGCTCTCATTGTTGGTAAGACCAATTCTGGATCAATCTGATGAGGAAAGATCAATTGGTTTGCATTTTTTGGACTACATACTCAATAAACATTTCAATAGTACGTTACCAGAGCAGCGAAGAGACAATCTCCTGGATAAGACTTCCAGAAGTGTTGTGGAGATAAAAGGACTTACAGCCCCTTTGAGGGGCCTCTTAAAAAAGACAGCAATCTTCTAGTTTTTTTCAGAAGGGGCATTCAGAAGGGGCTCAAAAGAGTCAAGTGGTCTATTTCGTGGTACCTTCGTTACACATCTTGGAGGTATTATCCAAAAATTTGATTACTCGCAGATATCCAACTTTGGAAGTGTTGATTTACAAAAAAGTGACGTACGTAGTTAAAAAGTTACCTTCCTATGACTTTTATTATACTTGCGACCAGTGGCGGACACTTGGGGGGGGGGCGAGGGGGGGGCGACGGCCCCCCCAATACTTTAGAGGACAATGGTCTTTTGTTCGAAAACAATGGGAAATGTGACGTCATCTTATTAAAACAATAGGCTTGCCCCCCCCCCCAATATTTGACCAAGTGTCCGCCCCTGCTTGTGACTTATACCTGAGTGTAATTCTCTTGAGGGAGGGGTGGTGGCATTGAAAATGATGAAGAAGAAAGCAAGTTGAAAGTTGTCAAAGGGCGAATAGGTTTACAGAGGGGCTAACATCCATTGAAGGTTTCCGCATAAAAATTGAGAAAGTGGTTGAATGTTCCAAGGAATTCTTACAGACCTTCTGTATATTTAACCAACAGTTAAGAAGTGGTCGTGATTATCTAAATGAAAAAAATAAGCAAAAGTTAAATACCTTTTGGTAGCCATGCACGAGAACGATCCCAAGAGATGTCGGTTGAAGTCTTCTTCCTGACGTCACTTGAACGTAATTCCGTTGGCAGATGTTGTTTATATGAACTGGAATGCTGGCATCCTAGAGTAGACGAGAAATTCGTCAGACAGAGCTTCACCTACTAATTGGAGCTAAGAAGGGTAGACTAAAAAGGCCAGGGGCATTTTGGTAAAAATCAGCATAAATTTGAGACTCAAAGAAAGGGGGTAAGAATCAATAAGATGGTTAGAGAACTTCGGTACTGAAATTTTTTAGAGTGACAGTGAGTTCCAAACAATATGAAAGCGAAGTTCCTATCATAGAAGACCTAGGTTAATTTTATGTAGCAGGTAGGGCGTTTCTTCTCTCATCGCTGTCTTTAGAATTTCCAACAATCTGGTTACCTTTTACTTTTCGACAAAGCTAGGAGAATAGGGAATGCCCAAAGCATGGACTGAGCCTGGCAAAGTATCCGCGACTTTCAGCACCACCGTCAAATGTTTAGCCACTTTATCTTAACGTTTTAAAAATTGTCAGTTTTCCTTACCTATGAAGGGGAGCTACAAGTCCCTTTACTAGAAGAGCATAAAAAATGCTGCCTATTTGTGGTACAAAAAAATGCAAATAATTTAAAGTCCAAACTACTGAGGGTAATAGATCCTACATTGTCGGCGGTCAAAATCATCATAATCATCATCATCAATTTATTTAGAGATGGTAATTTCATAGTTCTTATAAAAACTAATTTACACCAACTTTTTTACAATAAACAAACCTAAATAAATTTATATCAATTACTAATTAAAGGAATACAAAAGTCTATTTACAAATTGTACAGAGGCAACTGGCTCCATCCTAAATCTTAACTTCTATTTTTAAAACTTGCAACAGACTCTGGGTTCTTTGTATTATCATTTAGGGTATTCTACAGCGTAGCCCCCATTAAATCTTAGGGAGCTTATCCCAAATTTTATTGTGTGGGCCCTCTGAGGAAGCTCGCATAAAATATGTTTGCGTAAGTTAACGACATAAAGCCAATAAATGATTAATACGAGTGTACATTAAACTTGTAATCAATAATCTGCTGAGCCAAAGAGGTATAACATTCTATTGACATAAGCTTTAATTACGTTTGGTTTTATAGAGATTTTACTCACAGTTCCGATTCCATGTTTTTCCATTTTACTTATAAGTTCACTTTCAGAGAGCAGATCTGGGGGGCTCGTTAGCTTTTCGACCAGTCTGACCTATATGATTGAAAAGTAAAGAATATACTTGGCTCTTTGAAGGATAAAAGAAGTTTATTACATTGAAATAAAATTCTGCCGTCAAAATAGTAGTACCTCATTATTGATAAAACAAAAAAAATATGGAGCTTTAACAAGGGATGGTGCAAAGACGTGAACCCTAACGGCAGTCACTCTACAATATGCTTTCAGGGAATCTTAGGGTGCCTTGAAAGACAAATCTCTATAATATAAAAAGGTCCTAATGAAATCGAATATCAAGAACGTATTTGTTCCAATCAGAATGTAGATTAAAGCGCAAATCACTGAATCAGAATTTATGATAGCTCACCCGGGTGTACACTCCTCAGTAATACCGTGAAAATAAACAAATACTGCTCCAAGATCACGGATGTTCAATGAAAGTAACTTAACTTTTGTCAAACATCTTCTCCCAGATCATGTTAAATTTCAACATGTCAAGATATCAAGAACAACAAGTAGAAACAAAAGGCGGTTTACCTCCTTAATGTCACACACATCTCCTTTTTGAAAGTGTGGTATTGACTCTTCGGGCTGAATGGCAAGCCAGTACATAATCGTTGTAAATCCAGGTGATTTCATCGTTTTTCCTTCACAGCTGAATTCCTCTTTGTTAACACGGAACCCCACGGAAGTCAGCATGTACTTGCAGTCAAAGCTGACCTAAAGATTAAAAATCCAATAACGGATTAGAATAATCAATGGATTGACTGGATTCACGACCTCTTAGAAAGCAATTGTATAGTTATCATGAAATTGTAACATCATTTTGGATCCATTTAGGTATCTTGGAATCTATCTTAAAATTAGGGAGTAAATTTCTTGCAAGGGATACTTTAAGAAGCTGGACCACTGGCAGAATGTACAATTTTGCACGGAATTGCTATTCTGAAGGGAAAAGGAGCGATACCTCTAGCAAAATGAGCAAGTATTCTAAGGCAAAAAAGATAGAAAAAAACTGCTTCTATAGAGAAAGAAGTGGCCAAGATGTTCCCTAACCGTGGGTAGGTTATCTACATCTGCTCAATTTTCAAGTGAAAAGAATCCAAAATAATTTTATTTTGTTTAAAATTTTCCTGCCATTACCAGACTTTTAACAAATGATATCATAAGATGCAGTTGGTCGAGTTAGCATTATCGTTGTTTGTCAAGGTTTTAAATTGTAACAACCAGTTACTCACAGACGCAATGAAATGTCTTGTGATGTAATCATAGAGTCTCCATGAATCGTTCGACAGCTCACTTTCGTAGGCAGGCTTCATCGGGGTTATTGGCGGATGATCGCCAACATCTGTCCCTTTCCTAAAGTTTTCAATGGTACATTGGTGTCAAAGAACAGTCAGAAAATTTATCCCAATTATATAACTTATCTGGCTATGTCGTTGCTTTACCTACTAAGCTACCCCGACAACGACGTACTGTCGAGGCTTCGAGTTCTGCCTTGTCCAATTTTCCCTCAGCTTTTGTTTATTACATATTATCTATATTTTCACATTTTCCTTCAGTCTATATTCATACATCATGTTGTGCCTTCGGTTTATAAGAACAGGTCAGTTCTAAGTTGCTACCCCGTGTTCCACGCTTAACTCGATCATCAGGCAACTTTTAAATGAAGCGTGAACAGCTCTGCCTTTGCAGCATCGTGCACTTTATGACGGGCCGATAAACAGTAATATTCTTTATAAATCATTTAACATTATCACTCACAATTGACTAAATTCAATGTCATTCTGTTTAAAACAAGCTAAACGAGTTAAGGTAACCCCCCTCTCCGTTCTCCAATTATCTGAAAGATAATTACCAGTAAATTTCTCAGGTGAAATGGAGAGTAGACTGAATCTACTTAAAAGATAATTGAACAATCCAACAAATGTAAATATTTCTAATGTAAAAATGAAGGATTCAAACAAACTTTGGTTTGGCAATTCCTTCCCGGATGAGTTCTTTCACGTATGAACCCCAAGCTGGATGGTCTGCTTGCTGTCTTAAAGTTCCACTAAAACGAACATTGTTACAAATTAAATATAGGATAATCTCAGGGGCTGACACTTGGTCAAATATTGGGGGTGGGGGGCAAGCCTATTGTTTTGATAAGATGACGTCACATTTTCCCGTTGTTAGAAATGAAATATAGCATAAGAGAGAAAATAACTGACTGATCTAAATCTATCGTTTTCTAAAATGTAGGCACTTGTCTTTCCGTTTGACTTAACATAATGGGATCTACACTACTACTTGGTAAATTGAAACCCCGATAACTCAAACATTCGCTAACGCGAACTGATATAGATTTTCTTTGCCCAATACTTTCATTCGAAAGCCAACCCCCCCCCCCCCCCAACAACTCAAACGCTCGCTATCTCGAACCATTTCATAGGTCGCTATGATGTTTGAGTTATCGGGAGTTTACTGTACGTTCTCTTATCATAATTGCCCTCGTCATAATGGCAGTGGTATGTACTCACACTAGATCAAAGTTCTCAGAGTATTGTGTTGTCTCCGTTCTTGGGTAGCTGATATACCCCTATAAGCAAATATAGAAAACAGAAATTTATAGAAAAACGAAAACTTTGAGAGCAAATTATCTAGCTTAAACTATATGGCTTCAGTACTGCATCAATATAAAGCAAAAACAAGAAGAACATTTACTAAGATGACTGACATCAGAATAGTAATTCTAAGTTATCATAAAAGTACAGTGAAATATCTATTAAACGTACACCTGTTGGGCCTAAGTTAAAGTTCGTGAAGGGAGATGTCTGCTGTAGTGAGGTGTCTATTAAAGGCATTCGTCCCGTTGTCAGTAGGTGTATGTTCATCAAAGGATACTTGAACAGTGTTTTGATAACAGGAAAAAAGTTTGGGACACAATTTTGGACAAAATTGCTTGGAATTGATTGTCATTGAGAAGTGCCCGCTAATATATGGCTTACTCCAAACGTGACAAAACCTATTGGTCTTTACATCTTTGGTTTTTGAAATGAAGATGGCCAGGCAATGAATTCTTTACAATACGTCACCTACGTTCAAGTAACACAAAGTCATGAAATTACAAAAATTAACGATTGCATACTTGAATGTACAGTCTTTCAGCAATTTGCATTGTCTGCTGGGGTCCAATTCCAAGCGATGATGACGCAACTCTCAGCATTTCAACTGTGTTTAACGCCCCGGGGCGAGGCTTCGATTTCTCTTTTGTTGTGACACTTATTACTCTGGTAATTAAAAAATTTCGGATTATAGAAAAAAACAGATATCAACTGTATGTAGTATGGAATACAACCATCCGATTGTCTCTAATGTGATACCAGAAAAGGAAAAGTTGACACGGTAAAAGAAATGTTGTATATTAGAAAACCTTAATGTATATTGAAGATTTGGAGGAAGGAAACGTGTTGCAGCTCTTTAAGGACGTATTTTATTTTGAGGTTTGATTAACACAATGATGGGACCACTAAGTGAAATCAATATTGCAATAGACCCTTATTGCAAAGACCCAATATTCAGGATAGTTTTTTAGGGGGTCCAATATTTAGATAGGATTTAGCTTCATTTAGGCCTTTGTCCTAGCGGTCCCTTCTAAAAGTCCCCTAGGTTGTATTTAGCAAAATATGGTAAGTATAATATCCTGACACGCCCATAATTCGGCAACTGAAATATTCTGATAAACAAATTTCAGGCAGTACCAAGCTTGCACACCTCAAGGACAAGTCCTAAAGTTAGATACAATGTGATGCTGGATTTTGGCAGTCAATGTACACTCGTGACAACAGAATCAGCAGAGAAGCGATTTAGCACCGTCCTGTTCTAGCTAGCAAGGTGTATGATAGCATGGAAGAATAAAGAGTACAAAAAACTTACGAAGCTTCGGTGAATCCTTTCACCATATTATGGAACATATTCCCAACATCTCTATCAAAAACACGAATGCGGGACCAGTCTAATTTTACGTTTTGACCAGAGTGTAACTTTATCTAAATAAACAAGCAAATAAATTGTTTGAAGTAAAAATAAGTACAGCGATATCTCAATTATTGCTTAACCTTTACGGTGAATACTAGTTGTTTTTAGAACACAAAATCGGCATTACTTATACCTAAAATAAGTTCACAAATATCATTACTTTCCATTTAACACTGGAGTTCAAAAAGAGGATAGATCTTGACAAAAAGCACCTTGTATTGCAGAAAATATGAAACCTTTATAAGAAATAATGATTCTCATTTAGCAAAAATTTACTCTTATCAATTAAAAATTGGTTTAAAATAAACAAAACTCAAATGAAAAGTATTCAAATAAAAGATAAGAAGGAAAGATTGAAGTGATCGAGGAAACCCAAACAGTGAGTATTAAAACGTCAAAAGAAAGTTTCAGTCCTTATTGCAGCAATTAGTTTGCTGACAAACGAAATGTCTTCTTCCCTGTTTCCGATTATATCTGCCGACAAAATTTTGCATTGACACCAGTTGACGGGTCAAGCGATAGTTTGGAACCTATGGTTCGTCTAGCTAAGGTTGGCTAGCTAAATATATACTCACATATTAATGTTGAGCTTTATTTACTTAAATAAGTCTCTGGTACCGCAAAACTTGAAGACAGCACGGAAAAGCGGAGAGATGGTGTGACGAACCAACCTGAATCTGCCAATAATTCATAATCGACATATAAAGTTTCCTTTTAATCCTCTTTTTCTTAACTTCCATAAAGTTTTTCATACCTATCTTTCATCAAAAGCTCCGTATTCTACTTGTTTCAAAATCTCTTATTGTCATTACCTTTCCCATTCTCTATTAACACGTGACACCATAGCTAGGTTCCAGTTTTTTCATATCTCAACAGTAGCAGTACTAATGATATAATGACTTTGAAATTCTGAGAAGTATCCGACGAAAAGTACTCTAGTATGCTATGTTGTTACTTCCCCGTGCTATCTTCAAACTTGAATTATTCCAGGGCAGTTCTCCAAAAAAACATATAATTTCTACAATGCTTCCAGTTTACCTCGACCTGCAATTGCCAGTATGGTTCTGGCTTGAATGACTGGATCTGATCATGTCTCTCGACGCAAAAGCCAAGGGTTGGTGTTTGACACGGACCATAAGAAATGAGGGAGCTGTCCAAATCGCCATATTTTCCCTAGCAATAAAATATGTCTTTACATTATTTGCGGAAGACAGTTTATACAATTAGCTAATATCAAACAAAATTTTACACAATCGAGCAACAAGGCCTAATATCGGGTGATGGATATAAATGGAATCACAGTATAATAATTTCGAACTTTATGCCACTTTCTGACAAGTCATGCGAAGAAAACTTTAAAGATTTAGCTTCAAAAATGCAAACGATTATTGAAATGTCCAGTACAATTGCACCATACGTACCAAACTGCAGAGCTGTGTCAGTGCATAAATGACATCATATAATCACATTATACAGTAACTGGCATTAAGTAACAAGATGTATACGGTAATGGAGTTGAGCACCTGTTACTGTTAAAGGCATTTAGTCATGATAAAATGGATTGGGTATACCCTATCCATGATTTTCATGACTGTGATGCTATTGGTTGACCTGGAACTGGTCACATGAACTCCCCTTGTACTGATTGACAAAGCAATTTTCATTAATAGCAAGTTGTCAACAATGGATGAAAATATCACACGAAAAAGCAGCTATCACGCCGTAACCAAATGCCCCCTTGTAGAGAAGGCCTATTTACCATGACTCGATGCCTTCAAATAACGAACATATAAGTGTATATATAGTTTGTGCTTGATCGATCAAAAACGTGACACTTTCTTTTATCCTGGTAATAAGAGCCAATACAAAAATTCATAACGAAAATATTAACTATGCCTCACCCAGTTTGCTTAAAGGATTATTTGAAAAAGGAGCGAAAACGGTGGCTAGCTGTAAAACTGAGTTCAGCTATCTACTAACAAGCCAGGACAGTTATCGCCACATTGATATCTTAAGTTGAAGCAACCTACCTGGAAATACCTGGTCTGAAATCGTGTAAATGCACAGCCCATCCTTAGATCAAGCTCCTGCCTGGCATCAACGGAAAGTGATTCATTCTTATTCGGCTCTGTCAAATTCTGCATGGCATATCGAATATCTTTGTCAGTTACTGCAGAAAATTTTGCTCTGAAGATGACCTAAGGTTGAAATAAATCATCTGTTTGACTTGAACTTCATGGTTTTAGCCTATCTTAAAAAAACAAAACATTGACGGGCCACTGAAATGTTAAACCTTTCTTATGTATCTATAGCTGCAACTTAAATAACACAGTTTTTTATCATTTTTGTGGTAACATAATTAAATTCAAATTCAAATTCAATAAAAATGGATACAAATGTACATGTTTTGCATGAAAATGTATCAATTTTTCACAGCATTTTAGAAGATGATTTAATAGAAGCCCTTTCCATTCCATAATCAATATTTGGAATTTAATCCCTAATTAAACATTGGGATTTAAATACATGTTCGTTTATCATCCGATTAAAGTATATTGAATAAAGATTCAACCAAGCCTGGATGAGACTTAATCCTAAAGAGATTCTCTCATCAGATGAAAATATTTGCAAAGAAATTCAACAGTTGTTGCTGGTCACCACTTCTAATTGTTTGAAATTTTTCTTCAACAAGGCTACCAAGCTTCAAATGTCACCTTTTCTCCAGGCTGCCCCCTTTTCATTACTGATGCAGCACAATCAACAACCTGTAAATAAAAACACTTTTCAAAATTAATTCAAGCTCTCCATTGAGTTGCACTAAAACAACAGAAAATTCAAGCAAAATATATATGGAGATTGCGTTAAATTTCACCCATTGAAATTATTCAAAATACATACACTGGCAACAAACAATGATGACAGTGAAATAGAAATCATGAACATCTGAAATCTGAGGTCCTTGCCAGAGCAACAACCATCAAATTTTCTACGTAATTTCAAAATGTATGGAATAGAGGAGAAAAAACAAAGAAGTGTGTACATCATTTTGGCAAAGTAAATCAAAGCAAAGCTCATTTGAACAAGAATATGATTTCAGACTATCCACCAAAATTCAATATAAGTTTGGGTTTTCTTAAGACCAGATTTTATGTAAAATTCAAAATTAAATTTAAAGTGCCTTGCTTTGTAAGCTTATCCTCATATCATTGAGTAGAAAAAGGAACACAATAAATCAGCCAGGTAAGCAACTATTACAGAAAAGAAACATAAATGAAAACCAACCTCAAAACATATGTTTTCACCTTCTTTGTCACAATCTAGCCACAAAACGAGGTAGTCAACTCCACGGGCCTATAACACAGCACAAAAATTGTTTGTCTGGCCTTCCTTTCAAATATAATGTACCTTAAATTATGTACCCTAAACTTGTATTTGGTTAAACTAAGGCTTCTGTTTTTATAATTTGCAGTTTTTACCATGAAAAAAATTGTTACAAATACCAAATTAAAAATTATTGTTCTGACATTGGCCCAAACTTTTAGTATATTTCAGTTTTTCTAACTGAAGTACCTGTTAAACATAGTTAAAATAACATGCTACATAAAAAGACTTTAGAAATTTTGAAAATGTTTCATTTTTATAAAAGGGTTCTAAAGAGATTACAGGATAACAACTTTTCACCTCAGATTCAAGAAATTTTGGAATATTAAGATTTTCCATTGCTTCTTTCTTCCTTGTTGGTGCTTCAAAAAGTTCTCCCTAGAAATAATGAGAAATGGATTCAAAATAATTAAGGCATTTCGGAGCTACATTAACATCATTGTTAGCTATTGATAATGCAGCATATTGTATTCATTCCTAGTCTTCTGAGAACAAATCTTTCTTATGCAAACTGGCTAAAATGCTCTTGCATTTTTCTTTCCGACCCTACAAGCTAAAAGACTGCCAGTATATCTCAAGATCCAACATATCTCATATTCTGTGACAACCCTTAGATTCTGAGGCCCCATAGTGACTTGCACCCTCTGCCCCCTCTGCTCCCTCTAATTCTCCAGCTTTGTTGATAATTGGTTTAGTAGAGCCACTAATGTTTCCAATGATAAGAAAATAAATGTCTTGGCTACTGTAGGGGTTTTTTTTTGTTACTGTTTGAATTAAATATAGAGTATTAGTTGAGCAGTGAATTTTGTATCAAATTTGATACTTAAATCTAGATTATATGCACAACTTTATAAATACATCAGTCATGGAAAATTCATACTCACAGGATCAACCGAATCCCAGTTGTTATACTGAGACCTGAAGTCCAAGGACATCACATGACCACAAACTGATGTCATCTTGAATTTAACTGCGTGTCCTATAAAGGTGCCATGGTACTCGTGGACTTGGCAAGCAGGAGATATGCCTAAAAACATAAATAGTTTTTATACTTTGGTACAAAGAGTCTAAGAAGACTCGCATGAAATTACACTTATTTTTCTATTATCAACTAAAAGTTTATAGATTTCTATGCAAATTCTCTAGGTATACAAAGTTTTTTAAATTCTGGGTACATAAATCCCTAAAAATTTTGAATGGTAAAATTTTGGAACAAATACATGGTCCGAAAATAAATCTGATATGATCTATTGAACCAGGCAATGTTTATGATTTAGGAGAAGAATGCGAGATAGTGACAGACACTTGGTTGAATATTGGGGGGGGGAGGGGACCAAGGTTATTGTTTTAATAAGATTATGTCAAACTTTCCGTTGTTTTAGAATTAAAAACCATTGTCTTTCAAAATATTGGGGGTGTGACTTCTTATAAAAAGTTTTTTTGTAGAAAATAAGTGTAGGACTAATTAGAATTGATGTTGAAACTGTTTTTAAGATTTTTAATATCATATTTAGCATAAATTAATAGTGGCAGTCATACATATTGCATGCAGGCACAGGGGCACTGGAAGCTACTCGAAAAGTGCGCATTTTCAATGACTAACATTAAGTAGAATAATACTTTGGTACTGATAAAAAATTTGATCTAATAGGTCTAAGATGTGGGAGTGCCACATTGGAGTGGAATCCATGTAAATATCAGGACATATATATGCCAATAAACAATAGAAATACAATGGGAAAATGTTAATCTATGCCAGATATTTCTGGCATAAGCAAATTGGATTCCACATTGGGTACCACATCCCTCAATCTCATTCATTGAAATTCATCGAATTAGTCACAGAATTTGAAAGTAATGGGAAAATCTAAGGCAGAACTCCAATGCTTAATTATGCCAGAGAATAATTTCATATAAGGCGTCTCATATAATGTTAATAAGTCTCTCGATCCAGAAAGAAATGAACAAACTGCAGTACTGCGGTTCTGAGTTCTGTAAGTAAAGGCTTAGTAAAATGATAGTACAAAAAATAACTGCTTATTGTCAGTAATAAATTTGGAATCCTTCACCCTCCCAAAAAAATTTGTCACTCAATGTCCCTGAAAAAAGGAAAATCACGTACTTATTGAAGAAATTTCCCATCAATTCGAATAATGAATTGATAATAATTCAATGCTATGAAATTGCTTGTTATGTTGCACGAATGTGTTTTCCACCCAGTGCGTGTTGTTTGGGCATGCGATACAAAATCATGAGACAAAAGAATCAAAGTTTAGACCTCCACCTTTTCTAGAGTTAACTCTGCCATTTGAAAGGATCTTGGCAATAGAAAGCGCGAGAGACGGCTTCTCTGCAACCATTAAAACAGTCTTCATTTTAGACAGGCTTAGGGCTGTGTTCCCTGGCAAAAAATCCTTTTGCACTTGCAGTGATTCCTCCTGGTAAAAACTGTGCCTGCTTATTATAAAACTCCTTTCAATGCACTGGGCAGCCCCTCACTTGCGAGGACAGACATGCAGCAATACCATCCTTAGATGATAAGTTCTGACGTCCTGGTTTAAAGAGACTGCTCGCCAACAAACTAAAATACCACCAGCCTCACCAGCCAGTGAACTCGTGGGTTGCCTCCAAAGGTGACATTATCCCACAGCCTCTGGTTGAATGCGAAGTACCAGACGGGCTGCGAGCAATGATCCGTGATTGCGAGGTATCAAATTTATGGGGGTTGCAGGAGGGGCACATGTGGGGCTATTACTATCATTAAATGCTAAAAGCCGTCAATTATTTTCACCCTTGACTCTAGGCATTTATGACTCTATGCTGAATTTTTTTATGAAGCCCAAATAGATGTTCTTGACATATAAATGATGCAATGTATAGCTTTTATAGGATAGCATTTTCAAAGATTGAGAATGAATAGGCTAGAATAATTCTGAGTTCGCTGCAGCTGTATAGGCCTGTAAACTGTAGCTGTCCTGACTCTAAAAAACCGAGCCCACGATTACAATTCTGTTTTTTGTTAAATTCGTACCTTTCGCAAATTTTTCAAGTTTTCTTAAAATACAAAAGTGTTAAAGAACTAATTTTCAGTGAGAACAATAACACAAAAATAAGGACATACACACATAACATAACATAACATAACATAACATAACATAACATAACATAACATAACATAACATAACATAACATAACATAACATAACATAACATAACATAACCTAACATAACATAACATAACATAACATAACATAACATAACATAACATAACCTAACATAACATAACATAACCTAACATAACATAACATAACATAACATAACATAACATAACATAACATAACATAACATAACATAACATAACATAACATAACATAACATAACATAACATAACATAACATAACATAACATAACATAACATAACATAACATAACATAACATAACATAACATAACATAACATAACAAAGAAATGCGTGTAGTAAAAAAAGAAGCCTATTTCCGACAAAATATTATCCAGAATTCCAGATGTGCACAAATCAGGGAACTGAGAGCAAATTACTGATCAGAACAAGTCGCCGACACTTTCAAAACAATCATACATATGGTTACATATGGTAAAGTTTGTATATTAAGGCTGCATAAATAAATATGAAAAAAGCAGCATCTGATGATTTACCGATTGTATTGTATTGGATTGTATTGTATTGTATTGTATTGTATTGTATTGTATTGTATTGTATTGTAGATTATTCAATGTTAGTCTTTACAATAGTGAAAATACACTAATTAAGACTAACATAAAGCAATTTCAATGATTGCATAAGACAGCTCATATACTGCAAAACGAGCAAGTGCACTTGTTTTCAAGGGGCCAAGTTTTAATCAAATTCTTGAAAAACTGACGAAGAACTGCTTACATACCAAGTAAGTGTTTCATCAAGGAGAGGCAAAACTTTTCAGCTATCTTTTTGCAGGTTGTTCAGCGAGTGCTTTATTCTAAATTCCGCAGCTAAATTAATGTTGATATCAAGTTACAAAATTTTTATATTAACACTGAAACAATCACATTGACTCGTTTCTAATTTGAATCAAGATGTATGACAAAACTTTTTACTTAACATTTCATTGATCATTTGTTTAACCAAGTTAGAAAAGTTCAACTATTGTGACAAAAGGTAAATAAGCTTTCTCTGAACTTCATCAAACTTTTCTGAACTGTGAGCCATCCAGGACGTTGTGCGGGCGTAGGGGAACTTGACGGGGGAATTAGCTGGGTACAAATAGTAAAGTTGGAGCTACAGCTCATTTTGTTATTGAATTAAAAGAAGAAAAGCTTCCAAAAGATAAGAAATGATGAACGTAAGGGAAAGGGTAAGTTAGCGAATTGACTACTTATAGTTTTAAATTTTGAAGATACACGAACGATGCGGATGTCTCACGATGACTTCATGTTTAACTGATTGCAACATGACTGAACCTGTAGGCCTGTACTAAACTATGACTAAATATATTTTGCAAAGATCAAACGTTGCTCGACAACGTTAAGAAAGCTAAAAATCAGTAAACAAGCTGGCAAAATGACTCAATTTTCGCAAAAAAATCCAATAAAAGAGAGTTGAATCAAATGTATATTAAAAACTTCAGTACAACTACAAAGGGTGTTCAAAGGTTACGATCCATGTCGAAATTATTACATGCTAGCGCTGGTCATCCAATAAACAGAATTTCCAAACTTGCACAGTTAACCTGTTGATTAAACTTTTAAAATTCAAAACGCAATAAAATATATATTTTTATTACAGCGTCACAGCTTCTATTGTAAATAAAACTTATTAAAAATTATTCATTTCACAAAGAACAAATTATCTATTACATTCAGAATGAAGTGATCATAAAAACATTCTGAAAAAATAGCCTTTATTTCTGTTTTACTTAAAACAATTACTGCAGATTGGCTTTGTTTATCAAAATAACACAAAAGCAAAGCATTTTCTATTGAATAGATAATAGTTAAAATAATCATAATTGAAAAGGAAGCTGAAAAACTGCTTATTTTGGTACCGAAACTGGTATAACAGAACCTTAATGTTTGCAATGAATTTCAAAATAAATATATATGGCCCTATTAGAGACAGTTTATAAACTTCAGTTAAAAAGTCGAAAGTTCCTCTTTCCTACTACAACTGTTGAAAGAACATTCTTGATATTCTTGAACTTTCTGCAGAGAGCCTGTATTATAAGAAGTTGAACTGTAATGTAATCTCTTTTCATTCAATGCACGCATTTTTATAAGAAACAGGTTATAAGAAACAGCAGACTCGATTTTTGGAAAGTTAAGAATCAACCCAACCCAAATTGAAAAAGCTAAGATACTTTTATAATTTGCAGTTTTAATTTTCCAACACTGTTTGCAAGTTGAGTGGAGCAAGGTTGTTGAGGAACTTAATACACAATCGTTTATCATTTTTCGAATTGGCACATTACATTAGTTTATCTCTGAACGTGAGTGAACTACTTAGTTTGCCTTGGAAGCACGTTTAAAAAAATCATTACCTAAGAAATTTTAGAAACATGTAAGAAACTTTTGATAGCAAAATGGCAAGCATTTGATAATAAAAAGTTCAAGATTTCCTGCGAATCTTTGCCAAAGTTTGAAGAAAATGATACTTTAAGTTGCTTGGTTTGTTTAAACATTTGTCCTAAAAAAGAACTGTCCTACTAAAAAAGAACTAATTGTTGGTCCTCGATTTTTGATCAGAGCTATTTGAACAGCAATCATTTTGTTTATACTTTATTAGATGATCAAAGAGAACTTTCTTTTAGCTTCCTTTAATTAAATTAGTAGCTGAAAATCATGCCCGGAAATTTGGTATAAGATGATCAAAGAGAACGTGATCGAGCACAATACACATAGTTTGTTTTCAAGGTTAAAATTAGTAGATCTGAAAATCCAGGGCCGGCGAAACGTATTTGAAAGTGGGGGTGGGGCCAAAAATCAAGGTTTTGAAAGGTGTTAGGAAAGGCCACCACAATGGTTGGCGGCAAAAAAGATTTTAGAGAAATTTTAGAGATATTGTCAAGCTTTCTTTTATCAATGTGTCGCATAATTTCGTATATAGTAATGTTGACATGTAATAGGACGGTCTTGCAAATTTTTGGAATAGCCTTTTATTTGTGGTTCGTGAACAAGTTTTTTTGGATTTAAAGAGGAGCCAAGATGAAATGGAAGAGAAAATTAAATGAATCAAGCTTTAGCAAAAACATTAACATTGAAATATCAACAGAAGCACTGTCAACGGTACAAAGCTCATGACCTAGAACACATAGAAAAGTGGTATGACCATCATCCAGAAAAGGTAACAGAAAACAAAAAAGTCAAAATCCCTTGAGATATAAAGATACAGACTGATAAGATCCTGGAACACTCAACACCAGACATTGTAGTTTTTGAGAAGGGAATTAGAACATGCAAAGATTGTGGACGTGGCATGCCCTTTTGAAACCCGAGTTGCTGAAAAAGAGAGGGAGAAAGTTGACAAGTACCAAGAAACTTTCAGAGGATTATGAGCTGCAGTAAAAGTAACAGTGATTCCCGCAGTTATCGGTGCTTTGGGTACCATCTCAAAGGACTTCCATAAATGGATTAATAAGATCAATCCTAACATCTACTTTGGAACCTTACAAAAGGCCTGTCGTCTTGGAACAGCGAGGACCCTAAGATTACTCTGAATATCAGAGGTTATGTATAGCAACGTGATGTTTAGCCGAATAAAGCCAGCCATTTTACATCATTGAAGCTGAGATGAACAGTAAATAAATAAATAATAATAATAATATGTGTCATGAAAAAGGAGAAAGTGTCAATCATATTGTTAGTGAATGCTCCAAGTTGGCACAAAGAGAGTACAAAGGAAGACACGATAATGTGGCAAGGTATGTGCATTGGGCAATGTGTAAAAAGGCTAAAATAGAACGAGTGAATGAGTGGTATAACCAGCAGCCAAATAGCTGTGCTGAAAATGAAGAGTAAAATGAAGTTGTTATGGGATATGATGATACAATGCGAGCAACACATACAAGCTAGAAAACCAGATATTGTATTGCTGAACAAAAGAACTAAGGAGGCTACAATAATAGACATCGCTATTCAAGGTGACAAAAGGGTACAAGAAAAAGAGGCAGAGAAATCTGAAAAATACCAACCTTTAAAGAACAAAATGGCAAGACTTTGGGATCTGAAAAAAGGTCAAAGTGGTACCCGTGTTGATTGGTGCTCTGGACACAAAGGCGTAGCGTGTGGGGAGGGTGGAGGGTGTACACCTTCAACTTTCAGAGAACTCGTCGGTAGAATTGAATTTATAACGAAATACATGTGTAGCAAAAGAATTTCTATCGGTCACATATGATTTTGCATCTCTCACACCACCCCTCTACCCCCCCCCCCCCCCATCGAGAATGGTCATGCGACTCTGGGAATGATTACTTAGAAGTTTTAGGGATACATCAAGGAATATGATGATATCTAGCCTGCGCACAGACTCTAAGTATCTTACCAGAACTGTTCTGGTTCGAGTCTGCGCGCAGGCTAGATGATATCAGGATTGAATTAATTCAAAAAACGACTTTGTTAGGTTCTGTTCGAATCTTAAGGAAAGTACTATCTATGTAGAACAAGGAGAATGAAGCCTTGAAGCCTTTGGTAGCTTGTTGCTACCTGCTTTCAAAGGAAATTACCGAACTAATTCAAAAAATATGGTTAGTGAACATAATAACAACATAATAACAATAATAATAATGATTATTTAACAGATCCAATACAGGTGGTTTTTCACTGTTGAAGTTACAATACCTAAAATAAATTTTGTTTTTTTAAAATATTTACAGAAAAAATGGGATGTCTTTTGAATTAATTACATTATTCAGCTCTATTAACTAAAATTCGTTTTACAAAAATAAAAATGTGTTAGAGTTTGAAGAGTTTTTTAGTGTTTCTGGCAGGGAGTTTAATAATGGAGGAGCATTATCTTGAATAGTTCCGCTCTCTTTCTTTGGTATTTCTAGCGATTAGTTGCCATTTGATCTCACTTCTCGCTTATTTTCTCTAGGCCACGTTTCCGAGTTCAATGCCTTTAAAACTTGCTTAAGGAGATTGAAATCTCTTCTCTCTTTTATAGGAAGCCATCCTAATTTCAAGATATCTTTTATGCTCTTTCCATAGTGACCAAAAACAAACGATGCGGCTGCAAACTGTACTCTCTGCAGACGTTTCTGAAGCATGACAGCGGTGTATAGACCTGGTTGCCATAGTCAATCTTTGCTAAGATGAGTGATTCTGTGAGCTGCTTCCTTGGACGAAACAAAGCAACATTCTTTAATTTCTTTAGAATGGATAAGGTTCCGTAGCATGAGCTGGTGATCGTTTTAACGTGGTTCTCTCACTTTTAGCGTTCGTTTCTAGTTACCCCCAATAGCTTACATGTCTCTGTTCTTTTCATCTTCTTTCCTTTAATATGAATTTCTAGTTCAATGTTATCCAGGCCATGTCTCCTCAACATTTCTTGTGTTTATAGTACCATGAGCTCAGAGTCAGGAAAACATTACGGTCGCACGGCCACTGACCGAAGGAAGGTACACGAAAAACAATAGAAGCTCCTAAAACACACCCAAGCCACGCCCACTTTCTATTGTTTTTTGAAGAAGGTTTGCCTTCTGGGATGTTTTTGTCTAGAGGAAGGTTAACAACTTTTCTGGACTCTGCATGAGCTTAGTCTCTTCCCTATTAAATCAAGACTGTTATTGCTGAACTGTTCCCCGGGTTGGTAGCAGAAGGTCGATGAAGAGGGCCAACAAAGCCGCAATTCCTGTTCAGGGATTTTGCGATAACCAATTAATAGATAAAGTTTGAGTACACCATAGTATGTATAGACCACGAGTGCACCAATAGGCAACAAGAAACAAGGAGCACAAATATTTTGCCAAATATAGGAGTCGCAGAACCACTGTATACTTACGACGCATGCTCTGTAGCCAACTAGATAAAAACAGGTGATTCACAGCAATTGCTGATTAATCTAGCTTTCAAACGTGTATTGCCACGATGGAAAACAATTCTTGAACTTGGCTGCACGGAGTGCTTCAGCATCTTTGGTTACAAAATGAATGGCCTAAAGCATTTTACTTGCATACTTATGTTAGTTGAAGCGGTACAAAGCAAATCTGATATTAAAAGGCAGCACATCGATAGCCACACGGGCAGCTATCTAACCGGTGCAGCATCAGTAACAATTCTTGTGGCATCGGCTATTCAGTGCTCGCATAAATGCCTGCGCTTTGACGATAAATGCATTGGGGCCAACTTCAACACGAAACCTGAGAATGGCAATCATCAGTGTCAGATAATTCATAGCATTAGTAAAAATGATGCTGTACAAAACAAAGCTGGCTGGACATTTATGGTAAATAATATCTAAAAAAGAATATACTTTCTAAATTTTTGCGAAAATCCTACATATCTTATAATAATCTTGTAAGTAGCAGTGAAGCGATTTTGTCTCATATGTTTTCACCAATCTTATAATCTCTTTGTTGAATTTCAGGAGAAAAAACCCATAGCAGCAAAAGGTATGAATAACTTTGAACTTTTGTAATAGTATTTCAAAGACAACTTGGATTTTCGAAGCAGAGCAGATGAATAGCAATGAATGAATTAATAAACATTTCAATGTTTTAATGTTTTAATCTAACTGCCAATTTCTTGGTTCTGAGCCATATCACCAATCGTTACCTTTTCCTACACAGCTAAATAAATAAATCTTTAAAAGTCAAGGAAGTAATTACCTAATCTGTATTGCAATCCATGTATCAAATCGGAGTTGACATATTGGAATTGATGAGTCCCCGGAATATGCACCTTTTCTTTAAATTTCTAATTTGCAGTCATGAGACCGGTAAGTAAGTTGAACTGCGAACTCAAAAATGCATCAAGAGGCAGAAATATTTGTTGATCTGGGTTGGATCATCTAATCATCGTAATCACAATCATCATAATCACAATCATAATCATAGTCTCTTTCTCAATAGCAAGTGTAATGCCTTCAGCAGTTGCATATTTGAATTACCTCATCACGGTATTTGTAAAAAAAGTTGTAGAGTGCAATGGATGCACAGAAAGCTTTAGCTGTAGCCATGGCCCAGGAGGCAAAGGGGCTGAGGGATTGCAGTCAAAAAAAGTCTTTTGAATTTCATTGAATTTCAAGTTTATCCACTGATCAATGATTTTCTTCCCAATGAAGCAACAATATTCGGGTACGACCCATATTACCCTCCCCCCTTAAACGTTTAGTCTCTGTTACACCGATGGCTGCATTGGTTCCGACAAAGGTTGGAAAGTGGGGGGCCAAGGGAAAATTTAACACCAATAACAAAAGAATTCGTGAAATTTCTTTTGTTTTGTAAAAAGGTGGGGGGCCATGGCCCCCGGTCCCCCTTTGTCGTCGACTTGACGAAATATTACTCGAATGCATTCAAGCCCCTTTTCTTTAACTTTATAGTGAGAATACAGTTGACTACTCTAGGACTGAAGTCTTGCAAGGAAATCAAAAACAAAGAGCCCAAATCATTGAATGGAAAGTATCGTTTGTCAATTGGAGGAAAAGACACAGAGGTATGAGAATGTTTCAGGTTTTCTCTCACCAGTAAAAGTATTCTGTATATCTTTCTTGAAAAAAATGTTTTCATGTGTACTTGGACAAGGTGCCAAATTCCTTGAAAATGCAATAAACGCCCGAAAACACAATAATATTTTAATAATACAATCACGTAGCTGTAATGTTCACATAACTAACTAGTATCCCGTATGTACATTAAGTCCCGTATGTAATCCACCCATGTAATCTCGTACACACTTGTTTTGTTACTGCGTTCAGTCATATATGTATGGAGTTCATTTACAGTTGGTATTTTAGTAATTATATTATCGTCGACATTTCTCTATGATCAGCTCCTAAAACATTATAGTAGCTGTAGATGTCGGCTGGGGTGGGCAAATTTGAGCAAGAACCATACCTGACGGAGGCAGGCTTTACACAAAGAAGACAGATATAAAACAAACAGATATAACTTGAATAAATCAAGCTTACAAAAGGTTGCAAGCCAACTTTGAGTCAAAAACAGAACAATGAATCAATTACAAAATGGCAAAAAAGCAAACTGCAAGTTTTACGTAGCAACTCAGTTGAAAATTCCTCGAAAGATATAGCTTAGGTTTTTTCGAAAAAAGGTGAGTCAAGGCACTCTGACGAAACGGTGTGCTACACTCTCTTTTTAGAAGAACCAGCAAATTTAAGTTCAGGCTGACTTTTTTAATTTTTAAAAAAATCTGAGGCTGGATTGTTCTTAATTTGTTCTTAAATTAACAGGGTGTAAGCACTGCGATTGCTAGCTTTTTCGCTCTAGGGAGGTGTTCAGGCCCCATTGGCAAACAAAGTGAGTGATAAAACTTTCATTTGCCGACAAGTTTGAACATTCACGGATTAGCATCTACACATGAATAAAGATTCCTGGTTTTTTAGAAAAAACATTTTTCCAAATTACATTTTACAGTAGCGCAGCCTCAGCTTGTTTTTAATTTATTCTTAACTTTTGATCAATTTTGAGGCTCGTGTTCTTATAAAAAAGAGTGCACATCGCCTTCTTGAGGCATCAATATTCGTCACAGATAAAAAAGGCATCCCCCTGGCCGGAGCATAATCGCACGTCATTGCGATTTTGCATATCATAATCAGAACTGGCGCAGCGACTTCATAATTCTTCAGAAAAATCCTGTGCCCACAATGTTATAGTCTGCTTGCACTGGCATTGGCCCTACATGCCGCAGCTGCACAAATTTCACGGAATTTCAGCTGTGCCAACTTTCCAAATTATCATTTGGGAAAACTGTAGCCAAAGGGGGCATGTTGTTGTTCGAATTTTCATTTGGGGGGCAGAGCCCCCGTACACCCCTGCAGCTACGTGGCAGGAATAATAAATTTCGTCAATTATCGAAATTTGCCTAAACAGAGCCATTTTGAAGTAAAACTCATTTGAAAGAGGAAAAATTTAAGAATAAACTTCAAGGTAACTTAGAATTTGACTTGGTTTTTTATGCTACGAATAATAATTCCAGTTACCAGGGAGTCAAACTGTTAAGCTTTGGTTTAGCTTTGGTTACATTTTGTAATTTATAAATCGTCGTCTTCCTTTTGACATTGCAACAACGGTCCTGTAGGGTCGATATATATTTAGAAATACCGGGTGAATATCATTGCAGCCAGTGCAACTGTTTTAGGTATACTGTGACATGGAGAATGGTGGGTACACATTGATCGCAAGGTTTTCCAATGCAGACAACAAAACATGGATGCACGAGTCAGGAGATATTTGGTACTCTATGCAGCAGTACGGAAACGTGACATCAAGCAGTGACAACAATGACATGTTAAGTCAGGCATTCTCGAAAGTCAGCGGAGATGACATCAAAGTGACCAGAAATGACGACCCTGGACACACCGCTCTCTTGCTGGCAGCTGGTTGTTTGACCGGGAAATCAATGAGGCAAAAGATGGCTTCTTTCGGGGACTTCAGGTTATTTTTATTATTTCTTTGGTAGACTGGATCCATGAACGTAATCTACTCAATGCCACAGTAAACGCCCATTTACCAATAAGCAACGCCAATTTTACCAATGGAAAACGTTTGTATATGTAAAGGTGATTTCAACCACAGGATCATATCACAAAAATAGCTTTGCCAAACTAGTATCCCTCCCCCAACATTTTCTCTTCGAATTTAGATATTTATCAAACTAGCAGTTGCCCTGCGTAGGTGCAAAAAAGGGTGCATGGGGTGTTGCAGTCTTCCTTTCAGCAAATTTTATCGATTTACTGCATGAATTCTGAATTTAAGCTTTTGATCATTTTGAGGTTTTTGTGCACAATTTTGAACTTCGGAGCAGATCACTATATGGTTCTTTACTATGGAATACTCTTCCGCTTTTTATTCATGTTGCTAGTTCTGTCTCAGTCTTTCGCTCTAAATTAAAACTCCATTACATGGACTCATATGTTTAATTGATAAATTAGTTCATCTGGTTTATGTTTTTTATGTATAAAATTTTTAGTTTCTTTTCTTTTATGGGGGGACGGCTCTCGTTTAGTTTACCTACTTGAAGAGTTCCTCCTTAATCAATGTAATGATTTTTCCTTTATTTAGGCGTGTAGTTCTATAAGCGTGTAAATGTATTTAATCTTAGTATTGTGTTTGTATTTAATTGTATTATAATTATGTAGAATTTTATGTAGGATGGATTGAAAAACAAATGAAACTGAAATTCTTCTTCAAAAGATCGTGATAATGGCCTTACATTTAAATCTCTTTGCCTCTGTTAGGAATGGAAAAGTTTGGTCTTCAAGTAACAGGTGCCTTGGTAACTGCAGTGCCGTGTTTTCGGGACAGTATGCGACAACCGTTGGATTCAAGTACGCTACATCAACCTGCATAACAAGCAATGATATTCTTAATGGCAACAATATTGGGTTTTGGTGTAGATATAGCACTGGAGATGGCTCTGTAATAATGATAGGCGGAGGTGGAGCAAGTTGTGCCAGAGCAGACCACGGCATTGGCGTTACAGAAGAAGACAATGCCAGATTAGGTGGGTCAGAGCCGTCGAAGGATTTTGGAAATGAAGGGACTTTTGGAGCTACTACCTACTCGCTAAATCTTTGGATAAAATAGGATGAAATGAGAACTGCTCATAGTCTTGAACTTAGCATAAACCTACGTATATCTAGTATTTTCAATATGTGATGAACTTCATTTAAGTTGCTTCCTTCGCTGCAGATAAAGTAAGTTATATGACGTCCCTGCTTAATCTATTTATATGTAGATCTCAAAACTATTTAAAATCTTTAAATAATCGCCAAAATGAGAACGAATTTGGCTACGCGTGAGTCATCTCAATAAAAAGCTATTCGGTAATTTGCTTAAGATTTAGTTTGTGTTTACACAAGTGTTACGTTTTAATTTCAGATGGAAGAAATACTTAAAAATTAATACGGCCTATGCTCAGCGAATGCAATCTTGAAACTTTACAAACATAACAACATGATTATTCGTAATTTAATATAACAATAGACTGAAGCACATAATGGATATTACAATGAAAACGTTTGCTTACTGTGCAAAACAGTTCTTTACCAAAATATGGAATGTTTTCAGAAGTGATTGATAAGGAAGGCAAAGGATATGCAAGGTTCCATTCCGTTCCCTTGAAACAGGAGCATAGTCCAGAAAAGTTGTCAACCTTCCTCCAGACAAAAACATCCCAGAAGGCAAACCTTCTTCACAAAAGTGGGCGTGGCTTAGGTGTGTCATAGGAGCTTTTATTGTTTTTTCGTGGACCTTCCTCCGGTCAGTGGCCGTGCGACCGTAATGTTCTCCTGACTCTGAACAGGAGAACTGCTCAATAATCGACTATGAGAAAACGAAATAATTTCTATATTTAAACCTTTAGCAAATTGCTTGCACTGTCTGAAACTGTTGCCCTTGGTAATGCCATCGAGAACACCCCTTTGTAACAAGCCTGGTGAAAACCGTCCCCGGCGAGAAATTTCTTTATCGGGGATTCTCTTTCGAAAAACCGAAAGTCGCGGGCATTTCGCAATATCCCCGCATCCCCTGCAAGCTTGATTTTTTGTCCCTAGTCAGTCTTATGTTCTGCCTTTGGCACGACATAACAATTACGGAAATTGTCTAGGGTTTTACCTCTTTGACCAAAGTGCTACCAATATTTGAAATTTTTTCCCATTCCATGCCAATCCAAGACATTTTTCTGTCCCTCGCATGTTTACCTGTTTTCTCGTGTAAAAACCATCGAAGAACTTGTCACACAGGGGTGTAAAAGTATTTGTAAAGTCTGTTTAATTTCGCACAAAAAAAAGTGGAACAGAGTGATTGCATTTCCGTGTAAACAGCCTATGTAACTATTCTATAAATGTGAAAAAATGATCCCGTCTTAACACAGCCTGTTATTCAGGAGCACATAGGTACAGGCTTAGCTCTAACCGAGGGCTAGGAACTTTCTTTGCAGTGGTATCGTTGTGTTTGATACTACAGTTTGCAGTACTTAGATGGAAGAGAAAAACAATCAATAAATCTACCTATAATAATGATAATATATTTCAAAAGGCAATATAAATAGATTTACCTATATATTCCTTAGAAAGTAAAAGCGTAATTTTGCAAGTTCAAATTGCTCATATTATCAAAGGTTTGAATGAATTGAAATGAATTGCTGATGATTTAATGTGATGAACCAGTGACCCCCAGTCTGCTAAACACAATGAGGTATAAGAAAAGCTACCTCATTGGCTAAACATAACAAAAGACTGCCTTATAAAGGTTGATTCTTGTTTGAGGGTTTTTATATTTATTCTGATCTGCCGTGTCGAATCTAGGGAATGAGCACTAGGACAATTATTTAGCTTCAATTGCTACCTCATTGAAACCTCAAAAAAAGGCTGAAGAAGTTGATCTTTCCTGTTGTAACTTAAATCGACAGCAGTTTTCCGCCTCTCTGCATCTTTTCACGAAGGGCCGTTTCAATCGATTTCTTTCGTATAAAAATAGTGCAGTGTAGGAAAGACAAGCCTCGTTCTCTTTTACATTCCTTTTTGACTTTGAACAGCACAAAATGCCTTGTGTTGTGTTGGTTCAACCTCCATAGTATGTGGCGAGCTCTTTACGGCTGTTCCCTTCGAACAATCCCAAATTTCAAGCGTTTTGAAAAAATTGACACACCTTTATAATACATCATAAGATATATATCTAGGCTACACATTACAAAGAGATAATCTAGATTAAGAAGTAAAATATCAATGAGCTAACGTTAGCGTTAAAAGTATTACAATACATCGAATTACATGAAATTTACTGCAAAACAATTCTGTTGTCCCTTGGCAGTCACATTGGAGTTATTGGTAATCGAGCAGTCACCTTCTGCTTTAAAATAACCAACATAACCAACATAAACAACAACAAGGCAAATGATTCATAGGGAATAAGATTAAAGGCCGTACCATTAAAAGATTAACTGTCATTTCACCAACAAAAATACTTGAGTATAAATAGTATGATCCACAAAAATGATCCAAAAGAAATTGTTGCCCATTCTAAATGACAAATGACAGAACTAATGAAAATTAGCTACTTCTAAGAATTTTTTTAAGGCCCTCAAAACATACTTTTACGATAATCACCTTTCTTCTCCAAAAAATAAACAACGAGTTACCAACATCACAAAAGGAAAGGTGTTATACTACAATATACATTTGTACAATTATTGGGCATTAAGAGCAATTATGGTCGGGCAAATGTGTATACAAAATAGGCCAAGGATTATTCCTATACTTCTGTGTATTTACTATTAAAGGCCAGAGCAGAGCAGAATATAATTATAAAATGAATATGGAGCGACGATGAAAGCAATTCTTACCTTTTTGGGTTTCAATTGAGCTTTTCAAATCAGGCAAATGATATTTAATCTTCAAATTGATTTTTATTCTCTCATGAACTTCCCTGGTATTGCCTTAGTAGAGGACAGGGGAGGGGGATCCGCCCCCTAACTTCTAATAACATCTTTCTATGATTTCCTGAGACCAATGAAAGGCTATACATGCCCAAAGATTCATGTTTCCCGATACGTGTTTGTTACCGTCTTTTTCACCAGACATCTGGCAGTGAATTTGATTGGTCAAGTAAACAATAGATGACCAATCACAAGACAAGATGCAGATTGCAGCTTCATGGCGTAGAAGCACTGTCCAAAACACCTCAATGCTGGTCTTAAGAAGTCGTTCAATTCAAATTAGACTTCATGCTTGATTCGTTTCCTGGTTTTTATACCGTTCTCAATTTGCTTCGAGGTGGCACAATCGTATTAGACGCAATCAATACAGCTATTGTTTCATTTAAGTAGAAACATTTTCACTGCACAAAATGGAACGCACCATCAAAGAGGCTGTTTCTCTTCAACTAACCTAAATCGGGAACTTATGCTATGTTTAAACAGCTTTTGAAACTTGAAGTAAAGACTTCAAAGAATATGCATTTTATATCTTAAGTAAATTCTAACAAAATATAACAACTAAGCAAGATATTCGGCATTTTCAAAATTGCTGATTATACAGGAGGCAAGATAGAAATATTATTGACTGACTTCACATAATTATGCAGCTGCTTGAATGACTTCACATAATTATGCAGCTGCTTGAATGACTTCACATAATTATGCAGCTGCTTGATCCACTTTCGGTTCTTTCTGAGCTCAGGTTTCGTTGGTCTCCAACAGGAGTGTTGATTTTCTTGAATTTTCTAGGAAATGTTCAAATATTCCTTTAAAACCATTGCAATTGAATAACTATAAGTTAACTATAAGTCACCACACAATTTAGATTGCACGCTACATAATACTATTGGTGAAAACGTTGTTGGTATAGTTCACTCCCGGAATCAATAAAGACAGCACAAAATACTAGACAATTTAAGAATTTGATCAAAACTTGGTTCCTTGAAAACAAGTGCACTTGCTCGTTTTGCAGCAAATGAGCTGTCTTATGCAATCGTTGAAATTGCTTCATGTTAGTCTTAATTAGTGTATATTCACTATTGTAAAAACTAACGTTAAATAATGTACAATACAATACCACTGGAAGAACCGCTTTGAGTGACATGGGGTGGCACCGAGCTGCCTTTTAAAACATCATCAGTTTCAGAAGAAAACAGATCAAATAAACAGGCTGTCTTAAGATGCTACACGAATGGATTTACTACTTTCGGCATTGTAGGAAAAAGCAGAAAATCTTTTTCAAGCCTTAGAAATGAATAAGAAAAATTTACTTTATTTCTAGTTTTTCACAGCCTCTTTAAAAACACAGTTTATCCGTAATATAGCAACCGCGGACAGGGGGGGGGGCACACCCCTTTCAGAAACGTGGCAAGAGTGGCTATACTAGCGCATAGGGGCGTTCCTTCTTTGCCAACATGTGTTCCCACCTTTAAATTTCTTCCTATGTTCAAGATATCAAATCTCTCAGTCGTTCACAGGATAAATAAAGTCTTACGGAAATATAACAGAGATGAAAATACGCCAGCATACCCTTTTGTTCCAACAAGCAAGCTACTGTTCTCGTTGTTGTCACTAAGCATGGGCTCATCAGAGCATGACGTAGATTTCTGGTATGGACGACTAGTGCTCAGTCTCCTATTTCTTCGTCGTAATTTCGATACCTAGAAACAAAGAGCACGTTATATAATATGAACCGGCAAGAACACATTTCCAAGCAGATGTAGCAACCTTGCCTGATCGTGAGGTTGTAGATTTAGAAAATAGATCAATAGCGAGACAGCCTGTAAACTTTTGTCAAAAAACTCACAATTATATCAATTCAGAGGCCTGTACATAGCGAATATTAACCATTCCCGATAGAGTTTCTCGTCTATCTGCTGACAGTCAACACAATACGGGGTACCCAATACATCGATCAAACAAAGACAAGGAAGTTAATCAGTTCACACAGAGACATTTCTGAGCAGCTCTTTTGCCGTGGCCTAATAGCACAGTAGACTCCAGTTATGGTCACACCACACCAAGTGTAGCTTGAAAACTTATGACTTTAAACTGAGTGTGACTGTACCCGGAGCTAAATTAAATTATTTTGCATACTAGATATAAACTTTATGTAACCGTAACCATTAGTGTGACATTAACCGGGTTACTGTAAGCAGAGTCGACTGTAAGTACAGTAGATTAGTACATTGTCACAAAAATTAAAGAACAAATTTTGAAACCACCTTTGATTTTGCTTGGTAAATTGCTCCCTTCTTTTTCCGTTTCTTGCTAATCTCATTATCATCTGTTAAGCTCCAGATTTTCGAGCCAACGTCCACCCCCTTACCAGCCTTCGAAACTGTATTAACCTCCTTATTACTAGTTGCCTTCAAATGCTGGACCTCAACCTTTAAATCTGGTTTGTTTACTGAAAATTCAGAAGGGTCATTTGTTCTTTGCAGATCTCCATGCAATTCATTCTCCTTTTCAAACAAAGACTCAGGTGGAGCAACTGAATCTAAACCATAAGCTTCCTCTATAAAATGAAAAGGACTATGATGAACAGCTTTAGAAAACTGGAAATATGGTCTTACAAAGGCCTACAGAACAGAAATGATGGCTCAAACGAATACCAAGACATCACCACAGAGCTAAGCACTTAACAGTATAACATTAATACACTCAAGAAGCCCTTGTTCATAAAATGTGAAAGTATCGGGAGGTGTACAAACTTTTGATTCAAATTAATGCAACTTAGTATGATATCACAGGACAATCTATAATCAAATACAATGAGATGGAATAAATTACAATCACTGCCAAAAGTCTTGGAACACTTACGTCAGTTTTCAAAGGCAAATTTAGCCACCCCCTCTCTCCCCCAAAGAACAATGTTGATTTACTATAGAAAAAAGGAAGGAATTATGAAGTACGCTTTTTCGTGTGCCTTGTATGATATTTTTCTATACTTTCAACATTGTTTTAGGGGGAAAGGGGGACGGAAGTAGTTGTATTCAGGAAAACAAATGAAAAATAGAAAAGCACAGCGCAAAGTGTTGGGTGTTCCAAGTAATTTTGACAGTGATTGTAAGATAGAGTAAGATAGAATCAATTGGAATACAGTACAGTTATATCATATAACAACACTACTTTAATCCCCTAAAATAGCATTCTGATTATTTTGTCCAACAATTTTGATCATATTTCTGCTGATTACATACTACTTCCTTTTGGTTTAATCGTGACACTCAACTTTTCACTTAGATGTAGAATCATTATGGCGGAGGGCCAAGGCAGTTGAGAGTGTGTGAGAGAGAGGCATAAAATGTGAATGAGCTAGCCTCGTAAGGGCTATTCTCCTCTTTAGATAAAAGCAAAAACGGTGCCCAGACCATCAAGGCTATAATCAATCACATTTAAGAATTGTTTATGCTGATTGGTCAAAATAAACAAAGAACGACCAATAGAAGAATGTGTAGCGACCATAAGAATGTGAAGTTCTTATAACAATGATTTTCAACGTTAAAAGTCAATGGGAAAGCTGTGTCTGTTCTAGATTTGCAAAGATAAACGAGAGTTAAGCAATACCTTGAAGGCTTCGAGCCTTCTTTGCTGATCCAAAACACCCCGGAGAAAGAGCCTGTCTCTTTGCCTGCTTTCGAGTATCAATCAGCCTCTGATTGATATTGCTATCTAATTCAGCATCATTAGCTGTTGAAAAACGAACGGGTGATTTACAATTTCCCGAGCTGGCATCCATTTCTTTGTGGCCTCTTTTACGAAGTTCTCGCGTCGGGTTGGCAAGCGTTGAAGTTTTACTATATGAATCGTCAAGATGCAGTCTTCGCAGCCTCGGCTTCATGCTATTGTCCTTTTTAGCTGAGCTGAGGCATGACTGTAACAAATTTGTTTTTTCCTCGTAGACCATGAAGTTCGGTTGCGATGCAGTGTCCGTAAGCTGAGGGAGAATGTCCTTTCGCATGGGATAAAGAATATCCTGCCTTGGGCTTACATAGCTTTGCAATCGCTGAAAAGGAATCAGAAATTAAATTTGATGAATAATTGTCCCAAATAGCAAGAAAAAGAAGCCTTGGCTTGCTGCCAATAGTCTGCCATTAAAAGCACCCCTTTTAAATGCGTTTCGGACATTTTATGTTACACAATGGATTCAATTTATCTTTAGTTACATCATTTATATAGACTTTAACAGATTTTATCATACAGGTGTGTGAATAATTTGAATTAAACTTCGCACTAAATGAGGAATTTGCAGTAGCCAAATATAGCCACTGTTCTATAAATTCCTGGATTGAATCACCTCTTAAGAAAGGTTGGAGAGCACAAAAAGTTTACTTGACGCACAGCATCCTTTTCCTCTATACAGATGCGTCCAGATTTCTTAATTCGCACATCTAGAACCAAGAGAGCTGTTCTAAGCTGCTTTTATCTTGCATGGTCATTAAAAGAAAGGATACCAGTTGCTGATGATTGTAAAAGCCGGCGAAAAAGGCTGATAAAAGAGGAACCTCGTTGCTATAGGAGGGGGAAGACGTATAGAGGAAAAGGCACTCCTCCAAGGCTGACAATACCCCTCCTTTGCATAACTCCACAGAGTGATTATATTCGGTAAAATCTTAAAGCAAAATGACGGTAGACACTAACCTGAATTGGAGACATTGGGTTGTTTTTCTTCAACAGCTCTTTGGCACCTTTAGAACGCCTCATTTTTGAGTCTCGCTTAAATGCAGCATCAGGAGGGGTGAAAGGATCCGTGTCTCCACGCCGTAATGATGCGAGGTTAGTATGGAGCTCGCTGAAAAAGATGACCGATCATTGTGCTAACCATAATCAAAGTAACTCACAAAATGTTCAGGAACAAAGCAAAACGGTGACGCGCACCAATGTAATTCAAAATAGATTAGATAAAACGAGTTGACAAAAACTGTGCTTATACGTGGATTCAGTCTCTGTTGGCTGCAGAGAAGATGTGCTTGTAGACACTGACTTTTTACAATGCTTTAAAATTCGATATTCTTTGGTAAGGCTGTAGCTTGGTATTACTTTAGCATTTTCAGTAACTGAGGTATTGCATTATTTGTACTATTGTAGGGCCTGTTTTGTTCATCTTTCCAAATCTATAGTATAGTAACATTGCTTTGGGAATTGTTTTATAATGAAAAGTAGTAATGCCATATAGAGAGTTATCGTCGATTTATCATAAGCAGCCATCACAATCAAATAAGCTAATCACCAATGGTGATCTGCAATCAAGAATTGGATTTTCTGTTCGAAAGAAGACACACTATTTCTTAGCTGATGTCCTCTCACCTGATCGCATTTTTTATATCTCTCACCCAAGATCTCGCATTCTGCTTTGAAGTTGAATAAAGCAATAAGGTCTTGCCTTTGCAAATAACCTGAAACGACAGAAATTATCATCAGTATCACTGTTGATTACACTATCAATCTCATGTTGTTGATTGATTATGATAGCACGATGAAGATTATAATTGACGATCGATGCTGTTGATTGAGGATGAAAATTATACTGATTACTATGATCATGATAGTGATTGACGATGAGGAGAATGATGGCGGCTTTTTAATCGGATGGCGGTTCTCATAACCGTTATAGCTAATCTAAAGTATAATTATTTGCCCCCCCCCCCTCCATTCTTATACAATCTCACCATGGCATTTTCACAAAGCTACTTTAGCATCTTTTCACATCAGTCTCAGATAACACCTTTTAATCAAATTTTGATCATAGGTCGATGACTGTGGGACAATAATCTTTTTCACATCTGTAAAAGTAACACACCATAATAGATGCCAAATTAAGAAAGGAAAGCTTTTGTCATGTGAAAAGTATAACTTTACTTCAGTGCATCTAAAAGGCCACGTGTTTGAATCTCAATAAGATTGATGGCATACCTTGAAAAGAGCTCCACCTTCTGAGGGTCCACGAGTTCCACCCATTACTTGCTCAATCATACAGTTGATTAAAGGAAAGACACCACGACAACTGTATGTGCTGCGAAGGAATGATATCCAAATCCCTTGAGATGTGTGATTACACAGACGACAGTAAAAAACGCATTTCCGTAGCAACAATTTAGACCAAATATATACATAATAGGGAATAAAAATGATATATTTTTAAAGCAGTTCTTTAGAATACTATCAGGAATGTTTCCTCTTCAAAGGCAATTAAGAGGAAGAAAGTGGGGGCTGTTTGAGGGGAGAGGGGGAGAGGCTCGAACACGAAACCATGTTCATTTTATCTAAAAATCATTTCAATATATTTCCCTATTTCCAGCTTCTTTGGAAAGTAAGGTTACGTGGTTGGAGCAATTTTTGCTCAACTCGTAATCCCTCTCAACAAAGGTCTCTTACAAATCCTATAGGATACATTATGTCATCTAACTTATAAAGTAAGTTTTTGTACTAAATAGCTATCATAAATTCTCAGAGGGTGTGGTTAAGAATAAACAGTGTCCATTTTCAACCTGACTATTTTCATCATACTTAGAATTTCTTCAGCTAGAATTGGCTTCGTGGAGAGTAGATGCATTTTCATACCTCAGAGATTCTTTCTTTGCATAAATTAAGATATCGTTGAACAAGAAAAACATCCGATCCTTTGATCCTCCTCTTTCACAAACCTGATATTTCAGAAAAAGAAAATTTGATATGAAAGGAATTGGGTATGTAGCAACAAACGGATAAAAAACACTTGAAATTTCATGTCTTGAAGCCATTCCGGTTTCAACAAAGAAATGACAGATGAGCAAGTATTCAAAGATCGATTCAAACTGTTTACCCTTTGCAGAATGGAATGAATCTTAAAAAAGAGCTTAAGCCTTTGCTGTAGACATTAAGCTTAGCTAAAGTTGCAGGTAAATGGGATCACATACAAATACGGAGAATGAAACTGGTTTATGAAGTAATGACAGACTTAAATATAGAAGAGGAGAAAGCTAGAAAATTATGAGCAAAATTTGAGTGAAAAGTGAAAGACGAAAGGCAATTTACAACTGAAAAAAAAGTACAAGATTTTCATGAAAACAAATGGATTACCAAGGATTTTCGGATAAAACAGATAGATTTCCATCAAAGGTGTAAGAGTAGCTAAATTGTAGTGTTCATCTTTTAATAAGCGTTATATGCTAACAACACGAAGTAAAGGTGTCTCATTTGCTATTCAAATTCAGTGGTATAAAAGATTGGTTCTAAAAGGAACCTGGCTATAGGAAATGTAAAAATAGCTGTTTTAACCTTTGATAGCATGCCTTCTCGCAAAAATTTTCTTCCTGCAAAACACATTGAAAGCATTAATTATTTTAAAGGTTACATTCGAAATATTTCGGATCATGAAATTAAGATTTTGGTTAATTGCAGACAGAATACTGTTTCTATATTTTGTGTGTCTATTCCCGGATAGTTCAACTCCCCTTCCCACGACCCCCGCCCTGAAGTAATTCTTGTGAAATAAGCCCCAATCCTCGAATAAGCCCACATGGGCAGAGGTATTGCCTCGACAGCATCTGCATCTTACTTTGGTAATATTATTGGCTGGCAGAAAAGTGGTAATATTTTTGGCTGCTGCTAAACAACCCCCCGAAGGCTTATTCGAGGACTTATGGTACAAGTCAAATAACAAAACATAAGCAGAATCTTATCTCCTACGTCGTTTTACAGAAAGCCAAAAATGTAAACCAACAACAAGGGGCAATGAGAATTGCTGCATTTGCTGTTGAAAACTGAAGTTAATGTTCCAAATCTTTGACAGGGACTGTAATACATGCATACAGGTTGGATGGAGATTTTGAGAAGGAGAAACGACGAAACAAAGTAAAACTTCGTGGTAAATTGTTTCAAGAGAAGAGGACGATGGGCGAATTCTACCTTAAGGATTCGAAGAAGGATTTGAATATTCATTAGATGGCGTGGAGGACTGTGAATTAGAGCAGCTGAATCTGATAAATAAACATGATGATAGGGATGATAAGGAAATAAACAAAATTTATTATTTACATGACTCTTATGGAGTGCTTGATGCCCTTTAGACAGAGCTATACATGCTTCGGAGAGAAGGAAGAGTTGGTTCTAAGCTTCTACTCCACGTTTTACGTTTAATGGGACGATCAGAACACCAAAGATGTACATAAAGATGTACAAAATCGGAAGAAATTTGTTAAAGATCTCGAAGAAACCAATGTGACAAACCTGGAGCAAGAATTCTAGGAGCACCATCGCCAACAAGGCTGTTCTGAATGCTGAGCATTTTGTTGAAGTTTTCGTGAAGGCGAAGACATTCATTGATATGCGTAGCAACCTTGCTTACTTCTGCGCAGGCATCTAAAGAAAACATATAAGCATGAAGTTTCTTTTGGCAGTTTTGCAGTGGTATGTGGCATCAACAAAATAACATGAACTTGGGAGAATGATGTTAGAAGGAAGATGTGAAATGAAGGGGAAGGAAGGGCGAAGAAAAGTATACCATTTTTCAAAAATATAGAATAACAGTATACACTCTTTTTTTTATAAGAACCAGTAAATTTGAGTTCAGGCTGATTGTTCTTAATTTTTCCGAAAATCTGAGGCTGGATTGTTCTTAATTTGTTCTTAAATTTATAGGGTATAAGCAGTGCGATTTCTAGCTTTTCGTTCTGGGGAGGTGTTCAGGCCTCTTTTGCCAACAAAGTGCGTAGAGACAAACTTAATTTGCCGGCATGTTTTAATATTCAACGAAAAACCACCCACACATGGCTGAAAATCCTCGTTAAAACGTTCTTCAAAATTTCAGTAGCTCAGCCTCAGCTTGTTCTTAATTTGTTCTTAAATTTTGACCCATTTTGAGGCTCGTTTTCTTATAAAAATGGTTCTTATAAAAAAAGAGTGTATTCGTAGAAAAACAAGTTAAGAATTTGTGCTGAACTTAGTGAAAGGGAGCGAGAATTCGGCAAAGGAGGACCTTTTTTTCTGGTTGAATCTTTTTTGTAGATAGATATATAAATGCATATGCATTCAAAAATTGGCAAGCGTAAACATTTCGGTAAATAAAACGGTTTAAAAAATTGTGCTGAAAGATCCCTTGAATAACTTGATGCTATCATTTACCCTCATTTGACACACTTTCTGAATAGAGAGGAAATTAAAATGGCCACACGATACAATTTTAAAGGTTGATCCAAACCAGGGCTCTTATGTTTTGCTAGAATATGGAAAAGTGGGTAATCTAAACGACATCTTCATATATCAGTTGCTTGAACAAGGACTGCAACAGATAAATCAATCAACGAAGCCAAAAAAACAAACCTCGAAGCTTCTGGTAATCCGGATGGTCAGGCGTGGTTTTTTCCAGAAGTGTGTCAAGAAGCAGTTTATACCTGGGGTAAGAAATCATAAAATCTAAAAACTGCGTACAACAATTAACTACAATTAAATAAATAAATCAACTGCTACTGAGAATATCGAGCTACAATCTCTGCCAATCACTTCCATTTTGGTGCACTGTTTAAAAATCTTGCCATTAGCACGCCCCTATCCCCTTATCACGTTGTTCTTTCAAATCTGAAGAAATTCGATGTTTTCCAAATGATTTTTTTGAAGTTCGTTGCAAAATTGAAAGATACAGCAAGCATTTTACTTGCAGAGGGTTTGTTATATTGGTTATTTACAGCGAAAACTGTTGACTTTCATGCAAAACAACATTGTGCGAAAAGCGTCTCGAAGTCTTTGGCAGGGATTGTAATTTCAACAGTTTTCCAAGAGAGATAAAAACCAAGAGGCAAAAATCTTGAAAAGACCTTATATTTCCAACTAATCTTTGCAATTATTTGTCGAGATTGCTGAAACCATTGAAAAACTGGTCTTGTTTAACAAATTTCACGAAGACGCAGAATGGTGTTATATAATTCCGTGGATCTTTGGTGAATCTAATGAGTGCAAACTTTGATTGTAATTTCTTTAAAATTCACGATATGCAAAGCAATTCCTTTTGTTTGAGAGAGGACCATTCTCCAGCCAAGAAAAGTGTCTCTCTGTTGGTTTTTCAATCAGGTCGAGGAAGCTAACATGATTTACTTATTTATATCAAGACATGTTAGCTCGACATTAATATGATTTAATATATCAAAACATAGATGGTTTACCTTGGTATTCTCTGAATCGGAGTAATCAACAATGCCCTGAGTTTTAATCCATTCATTTCGTCTTTATTCTCTTGTAATTCTTTAAACGCAACAAAATCGGGGTTTTTCTTTTCTTGTTCCTGCAAAAGATTTACTGACTTATTCTTTACAGGAAGCAGCTTACGTTATATATGATGACCGAGAATAAATTTGCGTTTTTAGAAGATTTTTGATTTTGTTAAGTGTCTGGAACGAGAATGGGCCCAAAAATTGCATTTAACTTGTTAGGTTCAGCACAAGCTTTACGCTAGTGGGGCATTCCATGATAATTTTTTTTTCAATCAGAGCTACATTTTTTAACTTCTGCAAAAAATTCTTTAATAAAGTTCACTTGTAAACGTACACAAAAACAATCAATTATCGTGGACTTAACACAGTGCAATAATATTGTGCTTTGAGCATCCCAGGAACAGATCTAGGTTGAATCAAAGACTATTAAAAATGGAAGGATGCGAAGTTGCAAAGCATGAGAAGTTGCAAAGAAGGAACAAAAGGAAATACAATGTTCTGGCAAAAACTTGAAATTATCATACCTCGATAGTTTTGTTTGACCTCTCAAAGTTGTTAGCATAAAGCGAATAAAGTTTCATGAAGGGAGCAAGCTTATATAAAGCAGTTGCAACATCATCTGCCTCCATCAGTTCCAGCAACTGAATATTGACAGAGCAAATGCCTTCGATGTTACCAAATATAGCCTCAATTGCAGCTTTTGGAACCAAGCCTCCAACTTTTATTGGAACCAGAAACATCTGCAGGAAACAATTCAATTCACATTCTAATTTGTTAGATTTCTATTTCAATTCAATAAAATTTAACATTTGACAGTATCACTTGTTGAAATTTACCATACTAAAAAACTTTGATAACCACAAGTTGCCAAAATTCATTTGACAAGACCAACAAAATAGCTAATGACAAAACAAACTCTGCTAGCATTCAACACGTTTTAAAACTGTTTAAGGAGTCTGGAGAGGGAAAATATTGAATTATTTCCAGGTCTGCAAAATCCTAGAGAGGTTAATAGCGCAAACCTAAAACAATTGAAGAGGCTTGAGAATAGGAAACTACAGTCAAATACATAGAGTCAAGATTTTGGTACTGCATTGCCATTGGTGAGCCTGGAATGGATCACATGAACTTATCTCTTACTGAGTTCCAAAAAAGATTCTCCCACTATCAAGTTGAAACAGATTTTTTGCTGTGATCTCCGGTGCAGTGCATTCAATTAGGGTCCAGTTTAAAAAAAACAAAATTTAGTTACCGTGATTAACAGCTGCAAGTGATGTTGGTATGATTTTTCACTTTCAATGATTTCATTAATGATCTTTTTTCTTTTTCTTGTCATAGTTCTCTCCTGTAACCAAAATCAAACTGAAGCAAAACCTGACATTTATTCTAAGGGCAGCTTAAGAATAAATGAGAATGCTATCGAGGTGTAGTTATATAAGATAAGCATGAACAAAATGACTGCAGAACCAAACATTTTTATGCAGCTGGAGAAGCAAATATCGCAACAACAGAAGGATAACATCCTTACAATCTCACAACCTTGAAGATAATGCCTACAGCAATCAATTGATGTAAAAGACTTCTTACCTTGAAAAGCTCTTGAATTTCATTTGTAAAAACTTTAGAGGCATTTGATGCTTGAAGTGACATGAATTTTCTGGCTCCTTGAGCAACTACAAAATTCAATCATCAACTCAATTGTCATATATTATAGCCACGCATAATAAAGTTGGTACTTTACAGTTCTGTAAAGTACTAAGAAACTAAGTTGTACCAAGAAACTTCTAAGTTTTTTGGTAAAATTTGATGTTGTGTATGATAATTACCTTTGGAGTTGAACGGGCTGCTAAAAGTCCGAGCTAAAGATGAAGACATCTTGCTTTTGGACCTATAGGAGAAAAATGAGGGATAAATAAATGAGGATTAACAACCTAAGTCTCTATTGATAAATGCACAATAGCTAAAACTATACAGACTTGTGAATCTCAAAGGGAATGAAGAAGTATTTACTTCGCTATATATAATGAATCTTATCATATTACTGATTAACCTGACAATTAATCTACAATGAAGCATATACAAATCATGATTGCTAAATCATGGTTTTATTTCTTTGAATCCTGTTTCTATAACCTTCATCTGTAAACCTATCACCTTAAAGGTGTTTGGTGTATAGAACAGGACAGTTCTTAGTTGCTACCCTGAGTTGCACACTTAATGCAATCATCAGGCAACTGTTGTAAAAATATACTATATCACTTTTTAAAAAGCTCTGGCTAAATCCAAACAGTCCTTCAGGCTGGAAACCCAGGCCAAGTTTAATAATTTTCCCTCTCTTCGCTATTGTTCTTGGCACAGGAGATTAGTATTAGTAGACTAGTTCTTAAATTGTTTCCTTGTGTCTCTTTGTACTTCATTTCTTTAGATTTCATTCCTAGCACAATATGTTAGTTGACCACATTAACAGCTGCAACCTGCGAGCAGAAGCATTTGAACTGCGAACAACAATGCTCATATATACATTACTATAGTATGATATATGAATTCCTTGATATTTTGGGTCACTAGAGGTGTGAGGTGCGAGCACAAGAAGTCTAGCGTCACTGTGAGCATATGCAAGTTTTCCAGCCTGGCAAGTTGAACAGATTTTTTGCTGCAGTCTCAGGTGCAGTGCAGTCAGCATCTTTGAACATATCATTAATAATTTTTTTGGGAGGGGGGCAATAAATTTCCCCTGCAGCCTCAGTGACCTTCTATTTGTTCAAAAGATTAGGCTATGGTCCTTCTTTTTATAACTGCAGTTACTATCAGCCCTAAATTCTGTCAATTCTTATAGTTTTATGTTCTGTCAACTAATGGTGAAGTCTTTTTTTAAAGAATAGTCTTTTTTTATTCTGTGATGATTATTTATTGACAATAGAAATACTATCTCAGACAGGACAGGAGAAGAAAAGCTACAGTCAGTTTCAAATTTTCTTTCATCTTGTTCCAGAATGCTTTGCTATTTAATATTGTAAAAGACTGAGAAAAGTGTAATATTCCCGGCTGTGTTAAGTCTTTCTGGCAATGACTGAAAGGAGACTTGAGTGGACTTTTATATTGTTGTTGCAAATCCCCAACTCAACCTATTGTTGGCGTGTGGCGAGTATGTGGTGTGGCCTGACGCCTGAGAGGTAGGTTGACAAATAGTCGGTCACATGATGAACACGGAATAATGGATAAGAAAAAAATAACTGTAATAACAAATTATTATCGAAATTAAAAACAGAAAAGGCCCAGAAGTGTCCCCTTGCAAAAAGTGCTTCATCTTAACCCGGAAGGCGCCAAACGGGAATGTGATGCAGGACAACAAAAATGAGGTCCGGCGTTGTGATGAATTAAAAGTAGATCCTTACCTTAGCTGCAATGGTTTATTAATCAACTGCAACAGGAATTGGCTAACAACACACAACAAGCTATTAGAAATTGCTTTGAATTTAAATCGAAGCCAACGGGAAGGCTCGTTGATCGCCTGCAGAAACCAAAACTTTTGAATTTCCCACAAAGAAGAATTCCCTGGGTACCAGGCCTCTGGGATGAAAAAGAGGCAAGATGTGACGTCACCAAAAGATAAGCCCAATCTTTTCGCCACAAATGAATGATTTAGTTTCCTTTTAGTGGGTTTGTTCCCAACTTTTTTTCGACTTTACTTGAGCAATTACTCATTGTTTGCTTTCTTGGATTTTTGCCTCGGATTTAATAACAGTGCGAGGATGGCTCAGTTGTTAGAGGCGCTGACTACAGACCTAAGGGTCCGTGGTTCGAGTCCCTGACCCAGAGTGAGGAGAGTCGCCAGCTCTCTGTAATTCCAGGCGTAGGAATCACGAGGCGCTCGATAAGCATAGCTTCTCAGTGTCCTAAAAACTACCTTCGCATGCTAGGTAGCAACAAATACAAAGCTCATTCGTTTTTGGTTCTGCTTCTCTAAAAATTGCTGCTGCTTCTTTGACTTATTATATTTCAGAAAGTTTTATTCAAAATGTTATTAGTAAAGTTTTAGCAATTATTAGTAAAGTTATTAGTAAAGAAATTCAGTCTCAATAATTTCTAACTCAATAAACTTGACAGGCTCGATAAACTTGAGAAAGTCAGCTTGCAGTTTCTAATAAGCATTGATGCCGGAGCACGGAGGCCCACGGGAATAGTTGCCCCCTTGGCTTCGAAAACTTTAACAATATTCTTTATTTCGTTTTGCTCTATTTTTCTAGCGCTTTGCCTCCTTGCCATATAGCCCTTCCGGCTGCTCTGCTTATAGGTGAGTTTCATATATGCGTGTTTTACTGTACCACAGTCGTGGCCAAACGAATCCAACTCGCGACTTGAGCAGTATCCAATAGCAATATGCTTGTCTAGTTAGGGCCATGTTGAATTGTATTTGCCAACTTCTTTACTTGCTCAATAATCTTGTTCGCTGCTCAATCCTTGCTAATGATGTTTGATAGAGATGAAAATATTATTATTATTTGATAGAGATGAAAATATTATTGTTAAAAGATATGTCCCTTGCCGATATGAGTTCGCGATGCTTGTTGATTTGGGGGTATGCAATTTTGCAATTGATTCCTAGTGTTCCATGTATATGCTACCCACATGTTTTTGTGTCTACTTCGGCCGTAATAGGCTATCAACATCGATGTATTGGTACCTTTAATTGATAGAGAAATTTTTTCAATTTTCACTTTCATACCAAGAACAGAAAAGTTTGAAACAGTTGGGAGCAGGGCATTTTTTAAGGAAATTTGACTAGTGGGCCAAATCCTCAAGAGGGCCCACTTTTTCGCGACCAGAGCCCTTGACCCCTTGACTCAAAAAAATGAAAATGAGTATAAAAAGAATAAAGCTACGAAAATGAGTATAACAAGAATAACAATTCAATAAAACTTTAATAATATGTTTAACATTTAAAAGTTTCTAAAAAGTTTCTAATGTCCAGAAAATGTCCCGTCACAGACAACCAGAGTCACTCGAAAAGAACTTTTTAATGAATTCCCTCTCTCTATAGATCTCTGAATTTGGCTCTCTGTTACGTCTGTCTTTGCTCTTGAGAAATTCGAAAACTGCAGGTCTTGGGTCAAAATATGCAGTCCCTGTGCCATTGAGAGAGACATGCATGTAGCTGTTAATTGATTCTGGCTTTAGTGATGCTCTGCTGGATATTTTGATATTATTATAATGGGAGACAGCTCTCTCTGTTCCCATGCTATGTGGTGTCAAGGTGAGGAAGGAAGCAAGGAATTTTCTGAGCAAACCAATGCTGGCCTCTGTCATTTTTCTCAGCTTCAATGCATAGAGTGTGCCAGAATCTTCTATCTGGCTATAGACTTGAACTTTGCTTAGGTTTGTCCATGACATGCAGACATCAGAGACAAACTCTTCAACCTTGTCCTCTCCAAATATCTGGCTCACAAGATCTCTGCTGGCATTTATCATCTGCGCTGGTGAACTTGCATCCAATATCTTTTTTAAATTGTTGATTGTTTCATCTTGCTCAATGTTCATGCGCTGGTCTAGAAAGTTTATTGCTGATTGAACAATTTCCACTCTGATTGGACCATCTTCTCTGCGTAGTGATGTGACAAACCTATGAGCCTGGCTGGTTTTTCTGATATTTCTTTCTCCACTGCTTTCTTTACTTGAGTTTAAGTTCTTCAAGTATTTCTCTTCCTGCCCACCAGGCACTGGCATCTCCTTCATGACGTTCAGGTTGACAATAGCTGCATCCCTGGCTGTTAATACATCCAGTAGGATGAGGTCAGATTTTTGAAAAATTTTCTGTAAGTTCTTGAAAATTTTGCACAGATCATGCATAACAGTGGTCAACCACACTTGCTGTGTGCCATTGCCCCATTTCATAAGAAATCCTTTTGCAGATGAGCTTTCTTTTCTGTCCGAATTTATGGTTCCATCTGTCATTTTTGTCCAAAGCCTTCTTGCTGCTTCCAGGTTATTCAAAATTGCTTTCAGCAAATTCAAAGTGTGCTCTGCAAACCTGACCTCAAAATGCTTTGGAAAAGCAAGAGCCTGATCATTTTCTTTGTGCAGCAACTCTGTGCGTCGTGGGGATGAGTGGAAGAATGTCGAAAGAGCAAGAACATCAGCCATCCAGAGATGGAGTTCAGGGACCTCAGATTGAACAGATTCAAGGGCCAAATCTGAACGATGACAAACACACCACGCTGTCAAGATATCCCTGCCAATATGTTGTTTGAGCAATGTCCATAATCCTGCGTTTTTGCCTGTGTTTGCTTTTTCTCCATCAGTGGTGACTCCAACAAGCTTCTCTGTCTCCACACCAACACTTTTCAAGCACGAAATAAATGAATCAAGAAGTCCTTCAGCTCCTCCTAAATCACTGCTGGCGATGCCAAGAAAAACGGTCTTCACACTCACTTCATTCGTTGGGACTAACCTTGCTGTTATAAATTTAGAATCAACCTGCTGCTTGTCAGCACTTCCATCAATTTGAACAGAAAAGCACAGACAATCTTTTAATACATCAGCAGTTTTTTTCATCTCTTGCTTAGCAACTATGTCTCTCATTGCTGCATAGGTTACTGGATCCCTATAATGGTGTTGGGGCCCAGACCTTCCTTGGTATCCTAAGACCCCACACAGTTATTGTTATTACATTCGGTAGTGTAATACGTGCCGAGATACACGGCGGCATGTAGAGTTTTAATTATAACGTTGATTTTATATTTGATTTAAAGCAGTAGTAAATAACATGTTTTGAATCTCAATACCTAATAAGGACAACGTATGGAAAATATCAATCGACAAGTCTCAGTGAACGTGATTATCTAAGTTGAAACTCGTAAGAAGTTAGTTAGTTGGTTGGAGTAGAGTTGAAGTAATGATGGTGATCGGCGAAAATGTGAAACAGAATATTGATGGATTTGATACAAAATAGTTACACAAAATGGTGATATTTCTCTGAGTCTTCATCTTACATTTCGTTTATCATTAAATATTAAGATAGGGGCACCGCTAGAAATAGTGGTCCCAACAAATGGTATACAGAGCTTGGTTGACTAAAAGGAACAAAATCTGTGTGCCATCCTTCTGTCTCAAAATTATGGAGTAAAGCATTGCTATGTTCAGTTGCCAAAAACCTTGATGGCCAACTTCTTGCACTGAGTGTTTCTGTTCTACAATCATTGTAAACATCAACAGCCATTCGTAAAAGAAACTCTAATGTTTGTATTTTGCATTGTTTCATAACTTTGACCCAAGGATGACTGTCTGACGAGAGACTCCACGCTTCTTCAAGTTTCTTCAATCTTAATGCTTCATTGTGAGCAGAGGAAAGCAAATGATCAACAAGTAAACACAGTCTGTCTTTCCCATCAACCCGGACTCCACTGGCAACTGGTATTCGTCCATTAGTGGCATACCTTTTCACTTCAGGTTCATACTTGCTGCAAAGTAAGCAAGTGACAACGGGACGTCGTCGTTTTTTTTGTCCTTTCTGTTCTTCCCTACTTAATTCCAGGCAAGATTCAGCTAAAAGCAGCCAATTCAAGTCTAATTTTTTGCCTTTGTACCAACGATCATCTGTGGAATCGATTTTTGACGAGGCACTGTCTGGTTTCGAAGTTTCGGCGTCAGCAAGGCCAAGGCCATGGCCTATGTCTGCATGAGTATCATCACTATCGACATCGTCAATGACATAATTTTCCTGAGTATTAAGAAAATATTCGTTGACGTTTTTATCATCTTTCATTGAATCGATGAAACAGTCAGAAGCTGTACTCACCTCAGCAACGGGTACTGCAGTTGATGAGTTTTGATCGCTTGTTGGTTCGCCATCAATAGGACTGGCAGTCTTAGGCCGACTGCTGGTGTTTGATTTGGTAAATCCAAACGAGGAGAGTAGCGATGTTTGGCCACTTGCAGTGGCAGCCTCTTTCAATTCATTCTTCTTTTTTTCCAAAATTTTCTCGTGACCACTCTTTGTTGCTTTTCTTTTCATTTCTAACATGGATTTCTAGCTGACAAACTTTTGATCTTTCTATTTCGATTTTAGAACACAGTCTAAAATGACCATGACAACACCAAACATAAACTAGCAACCATAGCAACATAGAGCCTCGACAGAAAACCCAGAAAGAGGATAGATATGCAAAGGGCCTTTCCTTCTGTGCTCAACAAGTGGCACAATGTGAAAGACTAATTTTTTACTTTTTACATTTTGAAAAAAACATTTGTGAAAAGGGCCCAAACAAGTGGGCCGAAAGCCCTAAATTTTGCTTTTTTACTGGGCCGGAAGAGGGGCCCACTGGGCCAGTGGCCCAGTAGTTACAATGTTAAAAAATGCCCTGGTTGGGAGCATTGTAAATTTTCCCTTCAAACTTGTTCGGTATAGGAGATTATGATCAAAACAAATTTTCATGAAGATTGTGAAATATTTGCGGTGAAAAATATCAACTTAGTAGTTGCATAATGAAGCAAACAGCTTCTTATAGCAAATGCCTTGAGAAAGTTACTAGTGCGACAACACTGGAGGGAGAATGGGTTAAGGGAAAAGGACCACGCCTTCTTAAATGCTTAAAACTGCCCATTTATAGAATTTCTCATAAGTCCGTTTTTGGGCCCATTGCACAACAGAAAAGTTCTTAAATTTTGTATAACCTTGCATCAGATATGTTGCCAAACTTTCTTTTTGGTTTAGCTAAAGGTATCGCCCTCTAATCAATCAACGACAATAGTTATGTTGTGAAGTAAAGAAAGCCACTGACACCTCAAACAGTCGGCAGTAGACCGGTTTCGCCCCATACCAGGGCTCATCAGTACAGCTAGACTGAATGAGGACCTAAAGCCGACCTAGGGCCAGCAATTAGGCTGTCAGTGGCAATGCATGTGGGAGGTAGTGTAAAAAGGAAAAGAAGTACGCATGAGTCTTAGAGACTCGACAGTCTCTTTAAGCTAGTTATGTTGCTAGGTGTTGGCTTACCGTAAGTCCTAGAATAAGCCTCGGGGGCTTATTTCGCAAAAAAGTATTTTTTGGTGGGGGCTTAATCAAGGGGACGGCTTACTAGAAAGTGGGGGCTCTTTTAGCAGCAGACTAAAATATTACCAGGGCAAACATTTTTGTTCTATTTCAAAGTACAGCTATCTCCGAAACATAAAACTGTAACAAATTGAAAGACAATGGCAACTTCTCTCGTTGAAAAGTTACTCGAAAAGATGGACAAATATAAGAAGTTAGATGAAACTGTTCAATGTGCAAAAAATAGCTTTGATAAGTTAGAAAAGTAACGATAAATGAAAGTTTTTTTCTGAAAATTAATTTGCCCCCTATGGGGGCTTACTCGAGGTTGGGGACTTATTCAACAAAAAAATACTTTTGAGTGGAGCTTATTCAAAGGAGGGCTTATCCAAGGTGGGGGCCTATTTGAGGACGCGATGTAATTGAAAATCTTGGTAAAGTGAAATATCAGTAGGTAAAAACCTTTTAATAACAATCTAATTTATGATTCTACAATACTACATTGCAAAATATTACATTCATACGACTATATGAAGAAAAGGTGCTCTTCAATACTCAAACAAACATGAAACACTAATCTTCTTAGTAAGTGCAATTTCTTCTTTACAATTATCAAAAGCTAACTGTGACGCATTGATAAACCTTTGACTGACTAGTTATTTGCTGTTAGCACAGGGCACGTGCCACTGATCCTAAACTGGAGGGGCCATCAGAATGTAAAGAATGTTTCTTCTTACTCCTTCTCTCCTTCTAGCCCCAAAGTTGTAAATTCATTGCTTACACTGTTTAAATAGGTTACTTTCCTTCAATATTTTTGTTGTTATTTAGAGGCTTATATAAAGAAACAAGGTAAGCTTGTGAAAAAGTAGGGAGGCCATGGTGCCTCTGACACCCCCTCCCCCAGTGGCACAGGCCCTGGAGCAATCATGTTTGATGGTGTCCTTCTCATGGTCTACCGTATTTCCTCTAATGAATGCTGCCCTCTATTGAACACCACACCTTCAGCCGACCATTTGGAAAAAATGCCGCCCTCTGATAAACGCTGCCCTCTACTGAACACCGCATCTTGAAAAGATGTGTTCATTAGAAAATACATCACTATTTGAAAGCTATGAAAGTTTTTATGTCATAGTGACGAGGACTCTGACGGAGACAAGGATATTGACATTCATTGACATTTCCATTACGTGTTTTGGGGAAAAGAAAACATTGTTTAAAGTCTGTTTTTATGTTTTTCATTGCATTTTTCATTTGAAAAACTTTTCATTTTGAATTAAATGCCGCTCTGCACTGAACACCGCATCCAAAACTTGGAGTTCGTAATAAACGCAGCGGTGTTCTTTAGAGGAAATACGGTATGCTAAAAACAGAACAACCAAAAGACAAGCTGAATGTAAACAAGAAAAAACATCTTGTTTTTAACAGAGGTTATAATCATAAAAGCTTTAGCCAACTCATTTGGAACCTAGCAAAAGTAAAGATGTTTTAGTTACTAGAAATAGGCATTTTTCTTAGGCTCTAACATAATAGTTGATTCCTGTTCTGTTCTGCTTGATCTTTTGTTGTTCCCTCTTCTAGTAAAAACACTTACTTGTCCACAGACAAGCCCTTGACCTTCTAAGGCCTATTAGACAGACATTTACTCATGACAGCTTGAACCACCAAGTAGTTAGCTGCATTTAGAGGCAAAAGGAATGCACTACACTCCTTTATCACCACCAGTAGCCCATATAAAATTTACAAAACCTATTTGTATCATGTTCATAGTCTTTAGAAATATTAGCTTAAATAATTTGTGCAATGTCAGTATTTATTTCTGCCGCATCCAAAACACTAGAGCTGTTACTGCACATCCTGCAAGGAAAACTCCAATCATTTGTGCAGAAGTTGAACCAAAATAACTTATACAGGTGTCCTGCAACAAAGAAAAGTGAAAGCTTAGAAAAAGGCAAGTGCTTCACAAACAAATGTAGCCACAAACAAAAATCTTTGCTTTATGTATTGAAATAAATGAAACTTAATTATTTCAAAATTGCTTACTAAGCAGTGATAGCAACCCCTTAGCTCCCCCTAGTATTAGCCTTGTTTAGAAAAACCCACAATATCTATATTTGTAGATACTATTTCAGAGCTTTGCACAAACATTTAAAAGAAAATATTCTGGGTAGGTTAAGAAGAAATAAAGAAAAGTGGCAAGAGTCTGAGGAAAACTTCTTTGTGGTTCAAAAGATCCACACTTAAAAAACATTACTCACCCAGCCTCCAAACTGTGCAATCCATGTCACTAGCTTTTCACTTATGAAACGCAGAATCCATTTTATAATTGTCTTCAACAAACCACCTTCAAACAGAAGCTTTAACCCTAGTTTATAGCCAAGATACAATAGTGTCACAATTCTGCCCCAGTTGATAACTCCATCTCGAAATATCTCTGATGCAATGGAAGCAAATGTTTCATATACATTGTCCATTGTTACAGTCAATCGATCCATTAATAAATTCAGTTCCTGGTTATTCACCATATCATCTCCAATCTGCCTCAAAGCTTGTGCGGTGGCTCTAGAAAATGAATACTCTTCTTATAAAAATGATTTAGAAAACACAATAAAAAATTTAAAAATATCATAATAAAGAAAATCTTATTTTTTTTTATTTTGTACCAGACAACTTGAAAGCTTGTCCACAGAATAGCAAAATTATCCAAGTCTGCTAGAAAAAGGCTGAAATATGGCCAGTTAAGATCTGAATGTTGATATTGAATGTTTATGACTATTGTTTATGACAATTGAAAGTTTTGGCATCATATCTATTACTTAATCATATTATTTATTATTATATATCATAACTATTATTATTTATGGTAAAAGAGGAATAACAGATCCAATTTGGGATATGACCAGTTTCTATAAAAATGTATGCTGTCAAGCTAAAGTACCTTTTAACATTCTGGCTAGAATCTCTTAAATAGTCAGGGACCTGAAAACCATCCTCATCCAAACGATCTGCAATGAAAGATGACACATATCCTGTAGCTTCCTGCATCACTTCATCCACTGTGCTAACGTCCCTATGAAAAACTCTTTCTCGATATGTCCTTTGCCTCACTGACCTAGGCCTGACGGGAGAATCAGTTTCATCATTTCCATCTTCATTCTCCTCATCAACATCACGCGACTGTGCTTCATCTCTGTCTGGTCCTCTGTTGACTGGAGGACCCATGTTTCTTTTCTTCAAAAGTCAAAAACCAATCTGTTCTTTTAGAAGAAATTGTGTGTTTTTAACTAGTGAAGAAAAAATCAGCATATGAATGTGGGTTTTTAATGTACATAGCAAATTTGAATTTTAAAATACAGTTATCAAAATAGTCTCAAACAAAAACCAAATGTAACTACCATCAGTTGAGTGGACCATTAGGCATTCAAAAAAATATGATTTCTTGTTGACTATTGCTTTATATGAAGGTTTTAGTCAAAGTGCTTATGAAATACTAAATAATATAACTTATTTATCCAATGGAAGGTTCAGGGTTATTTCGAATTTGTTTCACAAAGAAATAATTGGGAAGTGAGTCATCTACAGCAGATGCCTGATTACTGTTGGGATACCGGAAACTGCGGTCAAAAAAGGACATTTTCATCGTTATTATAAGGAAAATATAAAAAACGAAAAGATTTAAGAATCTTATTATCTCAAAAGATACTTTGATTTGATATTTTGAGTTCGGATCTGAATCTCCCCGGCACGCCGATACATACTTATGTGGGCCTAAAAGTCAGACATCTGCTATCATCAACAAATAAGTCTTCTAAAACAAACCGAAGCTTCTGATCCAACTGGAAATGATAGTACTTAACCTACTTACAGTGTTTTAACGAAATACTCCTTATGACTGCTCTCTATAACTTTATTATCTTACAGAAGTTCTCGCTTGACAACTGATCGTCGGTACTTTCCAACTTTCTTCAAAGGGGAATCCGTAACCTCGTTGTTGTATTGAGGCCACAAGGTAATTTCGCCATCATCGACATCCGTCTAGACATCAACTGTATGACGTCACGAAAATAGTACCCCAGACGGGATTCGTATCCAGAATTATACCTTTATTTGTAACTTTAACTTATAAATCAGCTTGTAATTTTCTGCCAAGCCAATCGTATTTTTCTGCAGGATCTAGAAGACCAATAATGAAAAATCAATAAAAGCCCTGTTTGCCTCTTGCTTAAAAGAACATGTTGAGTCCATGACGAATGCATGTTGTGTCCATGGTGTGATTGTTTTTAGCTGTGGCACATTGCCGTATAAAGCGAAAATCTAAATCTTTGTATGGAACATACCTAACAATTGCCCCCCCCCTCAAAAAAGGCCCCATCGAATAAGCCCCCACCCTAGAACTACAAACTGTCAATAAGACCCCCTCCCTCGAATAAGCCCTCACTGCTACCGTAGATTCTCTAATTGGACCCCTCAATTTGATGATTTTTGCCATCTGAAGTTGCCTATGGCGTTTTGTTGAATTACCACAACGAATTCATACTTTTGGTATTAATTAATTAAATTCTCATACAGAAATTCCTACTAAAATAAATGATGTCTTTTAATAATGTTTCCTTAATGTCTACAATAATCTTATAAGTCCCCCCTCAAATAAGCCCCCATCCAAAAATATCAAAAATAAATAAGGGCTAATTCGTGGATTCACGGTATACCTGAAAAATCACTCCTGTCCCCTGTGGGCAAAAATATAACTTATAGCATTGTTTGAATGCAATATGTTGATGACAGTCTCCTTTCCAGTGGTGACGCCAAGGGGGTTATAGGGGGGTAGTTAGCCCCCTCCCCCACTTTTGTCAAAATATATGGATTCTTTGGATACGGACACAGTCTACATAATTCTACTAAAAATCGATTTAAAAACTCTATTTCCTGAAACATTCCCTATTGATGAAACTAAGAAGGCTGAGAACAAATTTTTAAAATGTCTACTTAAAGGAAATGTGTCTGTATAAAAGGACTGCGTATTCCCAACTTGTCAAGCCACTCATTAAAATAACGGCTTGCGATTGGTTAGTATTCTTGCAATGCAAAACTGCTCACATGAAAAGCTAACCTCACAGCAGGGTAAATAAACAGAACGACCGTGATGGCCGGGGCGATGATATGAAAAATCACATGTTCCTGAAAACTCTCGCAGAGCTACTTGCTTTAGCTGGACACATTACCTTTAAAAAAAATTAAGGAAAGTGCTTGGGAAAGTGATGTTTGTGTTGAATTGGGAACCAAAGAAACTCATTCGATTTTTGAAATTCTTTGCTGCTCATAGAACATTTAGAGAATTGCACAGATTGATTTCATTTATGTAATTTTTTTAAAGATAACTGCCAAATAAAAACCTGTGATCACTGTTTAAAATTTTAGAATCCTCTCATCTTTATTCAATGTAAACAATATTACAGTAAAAAATGCAAATGTGAGACACAGATACTCTATTTATAGAAACTTTGGCACACATTGCAAAAGCTAACAATGAAATTGCAAATACAGCTCATGCCCATGGGCAGTTAAAGAAATTTTGCTGATTTGATATGGAATGACCAAGCAACCTGGCTTTAACATAACTGCATGAAAGATAGATAAAAACTTGCTTTAACACTAAAGACAATTTAATGATATAGAACTGGCTAGCATAATACATGATCTTTATTAATCTGACAGAAATCAAGTTTCAAGAGGCACAAAATTATTGCTGGTTCAATCATACATACAAAATTTATCAATCAACACCAACTCAGCAAAATATCATCTGCTTTCTACAGCCTCTATAATCAAAGTAAAACCTATTTGTATGTTCTTTTTTAACTGGAATGCGTTTATCTACAGGATCCTTTGGTCCAACTTCTTCTTTTATCTTATCTAAAGTCCTTCCTTCTTCTAGACCTTTCAGAACTTTTTGCATATAAAGCTTCAGCTCCATTCCTTTCCTGGACCTCATTTTATTTGGATGTGTCTTTAGAATGTACCTGTCAAAGCCACCAGCATTGTCTATGCATTTTAAAGCATGTACTGTCACTTTCAATGTGAATTTCTCATCTAGAATCTTGCTGTATAGAGTAGCTGTTTGTATATTGGGCCTCCAGAGTCTGTTCACTCTGTATAAAAAGAAGACACATATGTGTGAGTACCTACTGAATTGTTTTCCTCTGGCATCAATTTGTCTTTTCATTTCTAAAAAATTTACATAAAATGAACCTGGTGCAATTATTAAGTCCAGGATTCCAAAGTTAACTGGCAATTACATAAAACTTTATGAGTCCGAATTGGCATGTCAGATTATTTGCAAAAGTTCTGCCAAGCAATGTTTGTGTGCTATTGTTGACTCATTTACACAAATTAGGGTGTTAAACATGATGACTGACAATTGATTGGTGGTATGAGTGAAACAGAATTTTGAGCAAACTTAGCAAAACATTAACAGGTTATATGACTCTATTGATAGTCTCATATTTATGGAAGCACCACATGCTATCGTTTCGTATATAGTTACCTATTTAGGACCTAAAAATGCAGAACGGAACATTACTGCATTAGCGCCAAAAGCTACACCCCAGATACTAGAAAAAGTCCTTCCTCCTGCCCCTGGTCAGAAATTACAAAAGCATATTGTTGAAACGAATACATGAGATTTGGTGCATATATAATATATGCAAAATCAAGCACCTTATTTAATGTCATTTTTTCAAGTACCAACCCTTGAAGTGGTTCATAAAGTCCAAAGGAATAATGGCTGCAAACATGCAAGCCTACCTAACTGGAAACTTTGTTTCTTGCATAAATAAGTTTACATAGAAAATTTAAGACTGCACATCTAAAATCATAAATTGTTAGTTACTTTTGTAGTTAACAATGTTGTTATTATCTAGGGATTTGGGTTGCCAATATGCAAAAGCGTGCAGATGTATGGTGGCCCAGAAGTGTCACTGTTGGGTTAGTCATGTGATACAATTATTGCCAGTCTCCTTTCAATGTTGATAGACGCAAAGTTCTTGATGTGGCGAATTTGCATTTGATGTGGTGAATTTGCATTGGATTTGGTGAATTCGCATTTGATGTATTTTTGTTTGATGTGATGAATTTTCATTTGATGTGACACTTACGTTATGGGCGACCATATAGATATGTGTACAGGCAATATATTGCAAGCCCACAACAAAGTTTCAAGTCTGGCGTGCCTGCTTAGGCTTATTCTTTGAACAGTGAAAAACATGGAACCATTCCTTCAATAGCGACCATACACACCCAACAGTTTATAATAAACCAATTTGAGTATACAATAATTTGATATTCGTACCAAATTCAGGGCATGTAGGCAAGGCAGCTGATCCTATGTCTGCTGACAAATTTTAAAAATTGCAGGTACACCAAGGATATTTTTCGTGGCTCAAAGAGAGAATGTAGGGCAAAGAAAATTGCTAATCTTAGGAGAATGAAAGAGGTTTTACATCCATTTTCTTGTATAGAGGACGTGTACTACAAATAAAACTAACATTCAGCGGAAGCTAGAAACTTACTTCTTTCCTGACCACGTTTTATAATGTCCAAAGATTATTCCTTTACCATGCCAGAGACCTTCATGTGCTTCGGGCGGGTAATACAACCCTTTCGTTTTCATCGGAATTCTCTTCTCAGGATCAAATCCTTCCAAAGATCCTTTTGGGTAAAAGAACCCATTCCGTTTAACAACACCACCTCTTGCATCTCTTATTATCCCTTCTGGTTCTGGTGGATAATACCAACCTTTATAATAGCCACGGAACTTTGCAAAATTATTGAAAACCCGGCCTAGCGAAACCATTTTGTTAGACTCAGTCCATTTAGCCTCAATGTAAATACGAGGCCCATGCAATTCAATGACGAAATTAATGAGAAATCACCACTTTTTCGAAGGTCAACATTTCAGGAAGAAGGAGAGTATCACGAGTTTTGTATAAAGTTTTACTGAGGTCGTATGAAATGTGACAGAAAACCTCTTGAAAATGGACTGTCTATGCCATATTGTATGTCCATGTTTTAGTGGAGGAGGGAGGGGTAACCCAGAAAGCGATTTTGATGTTATTCCCGAAAAGGGAGATTATTTTGGTGAAACAAACTTCAGAGGTGCCAAACATGGTCATGGTGCTTTTTCGTTTCCTAACGGAGATATGTATGAAGGGCAGTGGAAGGATGACAAAATGCACGGATTTGGAGAGTACAGGTTTAGCAACGGAGAAATGTAAGCTGTCTATTAAGCTTGCACTGTGTCTTTGTTATTACAAGCTTTTGTCGCTATGTCTACGTGCGTAATGCTTTGTTGTGAAAAGGGTTACAGGTTGCCTTGTATGGCGTTGATATATGATATATCATTGAAAGATATCATTGAAGGAAGCAATGCTATTCGTTAATGTGTTTGTCTTACTGAATAACCCGCATTGCAGCAAGTATATTGCAAAATGATTCCTACAGAAACTTCCTCTTTTGCAAGTCTAAGGTCTTGAAAGCAACCAGCCTTTTAGTGAAAAACTTTCTGAACAATATGTATCAATGTAGTATTTAAATAAGATTTAGCATAATTCATGTAAAATCAACATTATATTACAGAGTAATTTAATTAATCAAAGAGGAAGTTTAATTTCAAAATTGCAGGTTACGTTGCTAAAGTCTGCTCTTGTGAAATTGATAAATGCATTGATAAAATTTGATAGAGCACCACCTGCAAATGTCTTTCCCCCTCTCTTTTTCAATTTATGAAACTACAAAGTTATTGGGCATCTAAAAATGTGTCCTATTTCACTTAAAATGTTTCTTTACATTTTAAAGTCATGATTGTATACAAAAATGCATTACTTTTTCGCCTTCTCGTTACAAATTTAAAATGAAACTTAATTTTACTTGACTAGATTGAATGGTTTTTTTGAAAAAGGAAAATTTGTTGGGAATCCACCAGCTGAAGTTGAAAAGCAGTTAAATTCACATAAGACACGCCCACTCACACCAAACTCCATTTTGTAAGTACATTTTCTTTCACATTGGCTCATAAACCCAGAAATGCCACAGAAGTACTAATTATTTATTTTTCAGCTTTATATTTTTGCTCTACCAAAATCTTTTTTCATTTTTTAAAAAAATTTTCATTCTGCAATTATTTTGACTATTCTTTCTTACCATGTATCTTCTTGTGACTCATTTATATTGAAGCTTTTACATTATTTATGTTTTCTTTTTTCCGCACTAGACAATCTCTGTTTGGATAAATGATAGACATAATCATAAACCATTTAAGACTTTTTACCATTCTATTTTAACCATTTAACCCTAAAACCATTCCATTCATATATAGACTTTTCAAATGTTTATTCAAAGACACTCAACAGATACAAAAATGGCTTTGAGCCATCTGCCAATCAATATTAGCGAATCAGTAAGCCTGTGATCTGAGCAGCACAACCTGCCTCAACAAGATGATTAGTCTTCTATTACCAGCTGAATACCTAACATAACAATAGTCCTATTGTATACTCCAAACAATGGAAATAAAATGGCCATCCAGAAGGCATATAATGTGAGGACTTTGGTATCAGTTTCTATATTAAGAAAAATTAGCTTTTTACCTAAATGTCTTATCCTGCATTTTAAAGGAAATATAAGTTTATTATAAGGACACACAGAAAGCTTTTTTTAACAATATTGTCATGATTGTCATTTTTACATACTTGGATTGCATTGATATGATAAAACAATTGTTTTGAAAGAGCTGATCAGAAACCAACAAAGGTGAAGCATAATGAAGCAAGCTATTCTTTTGCAAGAGTAGTTGGAAATCTGAAGCAAAACATCAAAAAGAAAGGGAAGTAAGTTGTGAAAGCTTGTCTTCATGTATTTGAAAGCGAGAGGACTATGAAAGGACAACAGAAACAACAAAGCTATAAATGTGGGCAATATATCTTGTGCATTTGGAAATATGAAGTATGATTGGTCATTTAGGATTGAAAAAATGTTGGACTAAATACATTGTTTCAACTATCTTTTAGAATATTTGAGTGAACAGTGAGTGCGATTGAAGGAAAATTTGTTAAGCCCCATATTTTTCTTATTTTGGAATTATGTGCCCACAAAACCAGATTGCCAAATTATCCATAATAAAATAAGCATTTTAATGACCTGTTATGATGATGTTCTATTGTTGTATCGCTCTGAGTGTATTTTCTGTCTTGCCAAATGATTCAAAATGATGCTCAGAAACATAAAATTAATTTGTTTTAAATTTGTTCCAAATTTCCATACCAGAAAAGCAGAAAGTAAAGATGGCACAGACCATGAAGTAAGGAGTCCACTTCTTCATCATGAAAATGCCAACAACAGGATAAATTATGAAGCATTACAGGGTTCGGCAGACCCAAGAATCGCAGCACAGATTGCCATGGAGAGGGAAAGAAAACAAAGAGAACGCCAAGAAAGGGTACAGAGGATGAAGGATAAGTACAACATCCGCTCATAGAATCTTCAAAAAGAAAATAATTTTCTAATGATTTAAAAGTAGTTTTCAAATGCAAGCATACAATATTTCAAGAAACCTTCAAGAAACTTTCATCAGGATACCGTCCTTTACTTTCCCAACCATGTGGGAAAGCCTTTCCCAACTGACTTTCCCAACTGTGGGAAAGTCATATGAAGTACTAGCTCTAGGGTGCAACATCATTACTCCAGCAAGTGAGAGTATGAATTTACATCATCAAATTGTGGAAATCATACCAGATCACCCCAAACAAAACTGGATTTTAGTCAACAAGGATCTTTGTATATAAGTCTGCCTCTTATTTGGAATTTCATTAAAGGACAAGTGACACGCTTTTGGCGCCAAAATTTGTATTCCTTTTAACTCAAAGTAAAATGCTGTATGAGAGTGTTGTTGAAATATTATTTTTTCTGATTTCATTTTCCTACTTAAAAAACCCTTTTCAAATTATGGCGGGAAATGAATCACGTGACACCATGACATAGATTGTGATAATTTGTTATTGCTGCTACTGGTATACAGTAGAATATTAACGTTTACAACACGCTTCTAAGCGAATTCAGTTCGTCTGGACCTGTTGCGTCGTGTTTCGTAAACTCTCTATTAATGACAGGAAAATTCCGAGTTATCACAATGTACGTCATAGGGTCATGTGATAAAAAGCAAAATCACACCCCCTGCGCCCCCTGATTAGAATTTTTTGTTCTAAACCAAAAAAACTTACTTATAAATGATGATCTATAAGTTAATGAAAAGAAAAGATAGGGTGAAAAGTGTGTCACTTGTCCTTTAAGCTTATACTTCAATTTCCTTTTTCAATTATCTTGGGTCAAAAGTCAGTAAATTTTTGCATCACCTAAGAGCTCTTTGGTTCTTGTTGTTAATTAAAGAAAAATCTTATAAAAAATCACATCACACCTACTTTTTTTCAGTTATTTGATAACACATTTATGATATTCTCACAAAGGAAGAGGGTCAATAAACGTGTTTTATTCTTAAAATGTCTTGCCTTTTCTTGTTAACTTCATAGATGTATGCCTTGTTATTCAAAACATGATTTATTCTGCATTGAGTTTTAATTTTTCATTGATAATTCAATATTTCTTTATAAATACAAACTTGTCTGATAATTCTATTAACACATTTCATCAATAGGTCATTTTGTATTTCCCAGAATTCACCATGTTATTTATCATGTGTTGCTTTTTTACAGTTACAATTTTGCAAATCGTTTTTACATTTTGTATAAAGTTTTTCATTATATTCGAGTGCTGTAAATGACAGTTACAGCTCCTGTATTTGAAAAATAGTTTCTGCCACTGCCATAATGAATTTTAAGTTAGGTATTGAGTCAATTTAGGGAACCCTAATATACAAAACTTGGTGAATTGTTTACACCATTTTACTATAATTTTTTACTTCTCAATTTGACATTTCACTTTGTAAACACTCTTTGATACTTTCTGATAAAACAACAAGTCTGTTAATTTTCTAATTAGACATGTACCCAGGAGACAAAAACAGTCATTTACAGTCACCTTTCATTATTGGTTTTCTATAACTAGGCATCCTTTATGGAAAGTTTCCCTTGATAAAAGCTGCAATCACTGCCAAAATTACTTGGAACACCCAACACTTTACATTGTGCTTTTCTATTTTTCATTTGTTTTCTGGAATACTACTACTTCTGTCCCCCTTTGCCCTTTCCCCCAAAACTTTGTTGAAAGTATAGAAAAACATTCTATAGGAAATCAGAATTTTTCCTGGAGGGAGAAGGGTATGGCTGAATTTGCCTTTGAAAACAGATGTAAGTGTTCCAAAATTTTTGGCAATGATTGTAGCAATATTAAGTGATTAAAATGTTGATGTTAAGGGTTTCTCAGACAAAGTTGAATAATTGGTTTTTCATAGTTATATATCTGCAATTTTGATAGATAATTTTTTATAACATAATTTGTAGGATGTTTGGGAGATAATTTTGATATTGGTTGCCCAAAGGGTGCATGCAAATAAGGGAAAAGGTTTGACAAATATAACCAATATAACACCAAAATGTTAGTAATTGTTGAAAACTTGTCACCAAAGAAAACATTTTGTCAAAAACCTAAAAATACATTAAATAAACTGCCCTTATAACTTGATACCCATTTCTGAATTCTGAATCCAATTAAATTGAAATACAACTTAAAAAGTCACAATTTTGAACAAAAATACATCAGATCTCCTCATCCAAATTATTTTGATTGCACCCTTTAGGACTGATTATATATAATAATTAAAGGTCCCTGATGACATATGAGACTTCAGAATAATTTTTCATTTAGCTACGTAATCAAACAGAGAATTTAATATGAATCAATAAGAATATTGATTCTTAGAAGATAGATGATTATAAACCATTAAATTGCTTCTATTGTTAATTGTTATAAACAATGTTAATGATATATAAAAAACAAAAAAATATTGAAAAATATGTTGGTTTTTTGTTATTTTCCTTTTTCTTGTGGTGATTGATAACTTTAAAAGTATCATGCTCAAAACCTGAGTATATTAAAAAAACAATTTTCAAGCTTTTAACTGAAAATAATGATGCAGTAAACATGCTTTATTTTCTTGCAATTTAACCAGTGATTGAATTGAAAACATAATCAAAAATTAAATCAAAAACTTTCATATGTATTATAGGCAATTTGATATCTTCATGATCATCTTGTTGCAATCCATAAGAATATATCATGTCAATTTCATTTACCTGACTTCCATAGATTAGATCAGTAATTTTTTGTCATTTGAAATTTTAATCAGCCACAGAAACCAAATGTTGAAAGAATGAGATCATTGTGCATAATTCCCAAAATGTGAACAATAAATCTTTCAGATTAATGAATACCTTTGCTTTACCAAATCTACATTTTCTTTGCAAATCCTTAGGTCTATAAGCAATGCTCTCTTGTCCTTTGGGTCTCTCTTACAAGAAATTGTCCCACCTAGTGTTTCCCCAGCCAAAACCGCAATCTTCTTCTCAAACAAAAACAAAGTTTGCTTCCAATGGGTTGGTGGTACATCACATCCTGTACTAAAATGGACTGGATTTTGTGTATTTTTAATGAAACCGATATCAAAGAAACCAACCAAACCAGTGCAATGACTGTCTTTAGTAATTTCCAGTTTGAAAGAAGTTTCAAATTCTAGATGTTCAACCTTGACTGTTAAAACATCAAAATGGGCAATTTTAACAGGATTTGAAATCACAGCACTTTCCTTAACAACCTCAATTAAAGGCTCATCCACAGCATACACCTTCATGCAAGACATTTTGTGACCATATACACTGTCCCAGAACTTGATCTTAGCATCCCAAAGCTCTTCATCAGCAATAGCAGTAAGAAACATACCACATTGATCTGGGTAAACAAGACCTCCATCGCACAGGTACTTATCCCTACATCGCAAAACTGAGTCTAACATGCTCTCAAATAGCAAAAAGTAACCCATCCACTCTGATATGATCACATCAACTTTTGTAACACCAGATGGTAATACAATCTTCTCTGCATTGCCTTTGATTACTTTGATGATGTCATCAAGGTTATTTTCTCTGATAATGTCCATTGCTTGGTAAGCAATGTCTGATTGATCAACTGCAATGACAAGTTTTGCTCCTGCTTTTGCTGCAAACATTGACAAAATACCTGTGCCGCAACCAACATCTAGAATAACTTTATCTTTGAAAACACCTGAATTTGACAGAATAAAATCTCTGTATGCCTCTGTTCTCACCTTATCTTTAAGCATTTCTTCATGGATGCCATGGTGCGCATAGGATTCAAAATAAGCATTTCCACCTTCTGGTTTACCACCCGCAACTGTGTCTGCAGAGCTCTCTGGATGCGTGATTAACAACAATCTTTGCATCTCCTTTTTGCAACTTTCCATGTCACTTACTGCTCTTGCAAGGTTGTCTTCTGCCAAAGCAGCTCTTCTTTCTGTATCCCTCAGTTTCTCTAGCAAACCTCGCTTCTCATCATCTTCACCATGAAAACCATTCTGAGATCCTTGTAAGGAGAACCCACCGCAGCTTTCAATCAGTCCCTCAAAATCAACTTGTAACAACCCATCGTCTACGACAACGGGTTTAAGAAACTGATCGTCTTCAAAATCTGACTTCTTCACGCTCTTTATTTCAATTTGACTGATTCCTTTTGCCCTGATGAAATTTATCAATCGAATGAAGCCATAAAAATCAACATCATTGGACTTGCAAAAACCAATCACATCAAACTGGTGGACATCCTTCATGTGGCCTAAGCATGCATTTGACTGTGGAATCTATCTTGGCAAAAAATACACAGTGTTTCACAGACTTCAATACCTTCGTTATCTTCTACATCAGACCATTCTTCATCTGAACTGTGATCTCCCATTATTTTTCTTTTTGAGTTACGTTTTTAGGCGCAGTAAGCGCAAGAAACAAAATGTCTACCACACGTGCGTGCAACTCTTCGAGGCTCGCCTCCATTTCACAGCAACGACACCGACACCACTGATCCAGTGAGTGAATGTTACAAAGTGTTTTCTTCAGACAAATTCATTCTAGTTTTCTGTCCAGTAGACAAAAACAAATCACTAAAGCAAAAATATTGTCTAAAAGTAGATATATTTTGATGAATTATTTTAGAAAGGTGACAAAATACTTTCGAGCAATTGTCACTTGTTTGTTTGTGCTTGTCTTGTTCTGATAACAAAAAAAGGCTAATAGAGAAAAACTAATTGTTTCACTCTTAATCTGGGTAAAACGTTTCCAAATTCTCTGGATGTGATTTGTTCTGAACCTCGAAACTTGTTGTTTTTATTTCTAAATTTCTCCACGAATCATTTGCACAAATGTACGATAGTTGAGCTGACCAAGACCATCAACCGGAGCAACCTTCAACATGGCGTTTATTTCTTCATGCGTCATTCTGTAAAATAGAACATTTAAACTAAAATAGGTGCCAACAGCAGAACATCGGCAGGAGGACACATTTGGTGGTAAAAATCCTATGACTGTGAAAACAAGATTCCTACATGGCCAAAGTACATATATTGTCAAAGGAACCAAACTGGACCAATTATTACAACTCCTTGCATAATTATAAACCCGAATCTATATTCAACTGAAGAAATTTTTCTGTGAAAACCTTTCTTATTACAGCACCGGCAATGTCCGTGTCTGGTAATGTATGTATCCTGTTGAATGTCAAGGGTGTTACATGAACAAAGATCAGTTCAACTGATTCTAATACATATATACCTCTCGTATCCGACTGTACGAAGTAATTTGCAGAACTTTTTCACAGGAATAAGACCCGTCCCGTCGACATCAAGAATACTAAAGGCCTGCAGTAGCACCTGTATGATAGGGAAAAAATCAAGCAAGTTTGAGATATAAATAACAGTAATGAAAATGTCTCTCTACCGGTTCGTCACAAAATGCTCGATGCTGTATAGGCAGAACTGTACATACAATCGACTGATGATCATATTAGGCAAAAAACACGAAGTAGTAACTTAGAATCGTTATGTTTTATACTCTAAAAGCGTATCTATAACATATATCTGAATGATTTGAAAAAGAGAGAACACCAAAGAAACTGTTGCACTGGACTAATAATTTTAGACTTCATTTCTTTTTGTTTGATTGTCACTGTCAGTTGGTGTGTTATATGACAACGGAAAGTTGGCTGTAAAACAAAAGGGACTTGCTTTAGGATGTGGCAAATAAAAAATTTGACCACGCCCATAAGTGAAAACATTTTTATTACATTCAGCTGATACCATTAATTAATCAACCAATTTATGTTAATGGATAGAACTTGAAAAACCTTCTGTTCTATTGATATATGAGTTGATGAGGATCTCATGGATTGAACAGATGATGAACGAAGAAGTTTTGGCCAAGATTGGAATGAAAAGACAACTGTTGAACACTATCAGGAAGAGGCAATGGGGTTTCATTGGCCCAATGGCATGAATTGAGAAGAGAAGTGGGGGTAAGAAAGGAAGATTATAGAGGCTAAGATGGCCGACAAGCGAGCAAGAGGAGGGCACAGGCTGAAGATGCTAGATTGGATGAGGAAGAAGCTGAGTGTTAGAGATGAAAAACAACTAGGCGAGATTGCAAGAAATAGATGAAGATGGAGGAAGGAAACACCGCCATGATCCCTCTACAGCATTCGATGCCATGATAAAAGAAGAAGAGATCTCGTTTCTGACGTAACTTTCGTAGCACATTCGAACTAAACCTCGTTAAGAAAACTCGTAAATGCTGAATTGGATCGTAAGCCTTTTGGAAGGAATTTGAAGTAAGCCCACCTGAGTATCGTCCATATCTCCAGCTCTAGACGCCATCATGATTGTAAACTTTGAGTGATTCATTGGACCTGACACTTCGTTTAGCATTTCTTCGAGTTTGTTCTCGGCCATATGGGCCCCAAGTGACTCATAAACACCTTTTAAATCGTCTGAAAATCAGTTAAAATCAAATTTAAATAGGTGTAGAGCAAATGAATTCTTACAAAGTCTATAAAACACCTTCTTCAGGTAAGCACCGACGTCATATGATTAACATAAACTCTTCCAAGGTCTGAAAGAAAGTGGTGATGGCATGCAAGCTAGTAGGGCTGGCAAATATAAAGAAGATCCTCTATCCCAAACCTAGACCATGTATCTATGGTTAATGTTATAAACCAAACCAACTTTTCATATTTTTCCATCATGACCTTGTTATCAAGATTTTCCATCAAATTCTCAAAGTACCGGCATCGTTGTTATCAAGACTTTGAGCGTAGAGCTTTCAATACTTTTGTTAAATATGAGGATCTCTATCATCAAAAGTAGAAATTTTAAAAGTAAGGAAAAAGTATTATAATGGAATAAAGTAATACTTGGGATGAAAGCTGGAACGTTTACTGTCCTCTTTGTATTTTAATCATAATCACTGCACTGGGTTTTTCAATTGACTATATTTTAATGGGCAAATCTTTTTTGAGGGAGGGTTCTGCATGCAGTGCCATGGTGAGAATAAAGTTGTTGAGGGAAGTGAAAATGCTCTTCTAGGGGCAGGTTATTCACTGCGGCTCTGCCATGTAACAATGTCGGCCGATGAGCTTAAATACTGATTTTGATGCCCCTTTTTGAAAGCAGTTATCAATGTTTGAATTGCTCGTTGCCCAATTGGATTAGTGAGATAATCTATTTGGTGCCTTGTCCTGTCCTCTGAATCCTTTTGGTGCCCGGACCCCGACTATTCTTGTTTACCGTAATGCCTCGGATATGCGGTAATGCCAGGATGGGCGATTTTCGAGGGAGGCGCTTAATCGCGGGGGGCGCTTCGCTTATTTAAAAAGTAGATTTGGGTGCAAATTGTGTTGTTAATTAATTTTACTTGTTGAATTGCCTTCCAATTATGTTTTCGTTGAAATCAGAAAAAGCGCCGTTTCTGAAGGTTGAAGGATGGGCGCTTATTCGAGGGTTGGGCGCTTATTCAATAACTTCTCCTCAAGGGTGGGCGCTTATTCGAGGGGGCTATTATTTGGGGGGCGCTTGTTCGAGGCATTACGGTAAGGTCGACTCTGCTTCTGAAATATCAAGTTTATTACCTTTGCTTATAATGCCATCTCTGTCCTGGTCAATCATATGAAATGCTTCTCTAAACAACTGGAGACGCACTTGAGACATCGAGTGTGTGGAATGGACAGCATGCAAGGAGCCATCTTTATGAAGCCTCGAAACTGAAGATCTGCTTCTCGTTTGGCCCGGTGGCAAATTTTTGACCTTCTTTTTTGAACTTTTCATATTAAATTTTTTTGCAGTACCTTTTAGCTGCAGTAAAAAACAAACGAATAATAACGAGTTGTTGCAATGTCGATTGTCTTCGAAAAATGATCAATCGAATGCATTGTACAATCGAATATGGCAATCGACCATTCCAAGATCATGCCAAACTTTAAACAGGGGTGTAAGGGGAATTTGGGGGTGCGTGGCTTAATCATTATAGTTAATACCAAAGTGGAAAATTATTTGTTCTTGCTATTGGTTTTGGGATATTTTTGCCATGGCGCTTTGCTTTTTTCAAAGAGATCCACGGGCCATATGGTCCATAATTCTATACCCTAAACATACTAGTCTTACAGTCATTTTCTCAAGTGTTGTAATGTCAGTGGGGCTGTTATTCTCTATCATCTTAGTATCACAGACGGGTTGATAAATGCTAGATTCTGTATTCTTTTGTAAACATTGTTTAAACTTGGTCCAATTTGAATGCGATTTTTTCTCCCCTCTCAAGGATTTTCAAGCTATGTACACAAACATTTCGCTGCATTTCGCAAAAAGCGGTGTTTGAAGCTAAGACGGGAAAAGTTGGGTGCCACACAAATAATAGAAGTTATTTTTCTTAATCTTTTACATTGCTAATGTGAATCTTTCTCTTAATGCCAAGTGAGTTTGAATTCCGCCGAACGAAATCTTTACAAAAACGTATTTTCTGGAATAAATATTGGATTTAGGAAAAATCATAGCAAGTTAATTTTTCCAAATAGATTACAAATAAGACTAGCATGCTAAAGAACAAGTGAATTTCCGCGCAAAGAAAGCAGCGGTCTAGATTTCCTTGCAGTTGAACTAAATGCACTTACTGTGCGATGTGAATAAACAAAACACAACCATGATCAAACTGTTCTTCTTTTGTGGCATAATTTACTATGTTCTATTTTTAAAGCTTTATTTTTTAAAATGTGAATTTTAATCAAAGCTATTTCTATAGTTAATGCTGATCTATTTGCTAAAACTCATTTCTTTTTTGATTAACTACAATACATTTGAAAACGCGCTTGAAAGCAAACGCGGATTTTAATAAATGCAAACGAAAATCCGATCGTTTGAGCCGGGTTTTGATTCAAGAATATTTTATTACTTAATTATAAGTTGCTATGGATCTATTTCAAAATCAGAGCTTTAGTCATTTTAATGGCGTCTATTTGGCTGCCGCGCTCCAATTTGCTGACAATATAGGTGAGCCGTCCTATATTTGCCGATAAATCTGAAAATTTTTCGACAAAGCATCCCTGAATGGCAAAAAATTCTCGTTTCTACAATTAAATTTTCTTACAAGAGATTGAAGTGATTGAGCACTGCAAGATTTGACGAGCAGATTGGGAAGGTTGTAATCGTAAACTAAGACAGAATGTTCAAGAAAATATAAATCATGCTTGTAAGAGGGTGAGGGGTGGGGTACCAGAAAAGCAATAACCGTTTATTGATGAAACTGAATTGATACCTGAACATCGTTATTCGTGGACAGTTGTGATCCAAAGTTCAGAAAACTCCCTTAACCTTCCTCCAGATGAAGTTTCGCCCTAGTTGTCTTTCTCAAAATTTCCTTTCTATCTTAAGATTAAGAATTAAGTATTTAAGTTAAGTCATTTATGATTCTTTCTCAGAAAAAATGAGAAGTTCAAGCAAAATTCCTCTCATTTCATGCATTGGTCATCTGCAAAACTGCTGCATCATTTGGTAACTTTCCTCCGACTCAGAGCCGTGGAAACGTATTTTTTCTGGACACTGTTCGTTCCATTAATTATGAGGGAGGAGCAGGGGGAGGGAGGAGAAGGGGGAGGGAGGAGCAGGGGGAGGGTGGACCGGAAAAGCATCCCGCTATTTTTAGGAAACTTGCACAAAAATCCCTTCATGAGTGATATTTTTCTGGTTTTTGAAAATACCCTTTTCTATTGTCATTAAAATACCATCTTGGCACAACGCAGTTTAGTTTGAGAATTTATGTAATATTTAAAACTATAGTCTGTGAAGAAGTTGGGCGTGGCCATGCTTTTCTTCATTATAAATTGGGTGTGGTCAGTATGAAATGAAATGATAGACAAACGAGCTTGTTCAATGTGTGATGCACTGATTGATCACGATCATTCCTGATGTTGCTTATAGGGTTAAAAAACAAACGAGCGTGTTCAGTGTGTGATGCATTGATTGATCACGATCATTCCTGATGTTGCTTCTACGATTAGAAAACAAACGAGCGTCTTCAGTGTAATGCACTGATTGATCACGATCATTCCTGATGTTGCTTCTACGATTAGAAAACAAATGAGCGTCTTCAGTGTGTGATGCATTGATTGATCACGATCATTCCTAATGTTGCTTCTAGGGTTAGAAAACAAACGAGCGGGTTCAGTGTATGATGCATTGATTGATCACGATCATTCCTAATGTTGCTTCTACGATTAGAAAACAAATGAGCGTCTTCAGTGTGTGATGCACTGATTGATCCCGTTCACTCCTGGCGTTTTTATAACTGAACTGATCGAGTGATTTGAAAAGTGATTGTTCAGATTCAGAGCAGGTGCTTGGCTCCATGCAGGGAATATTAGATTAGCAAACAAAGATAACAGGTTGCCTGTTTTTGGCTTGTTTGTACAAGCATTTAATGAATTGCTTTTTTGATCACTTCGAGCGATTGAGAGGACTTCGACCATTTGAGGACGATTCCTGGATGATTCATGGACTTATTGCTCGTCTTGATTAAGTAAATCAGACAGAATCCAAAGATCACTTTCCAGGGTGAAGGTTTTTTTGATTAGCACCCGAAATCAAACTTATGAATTGTTATTTGCAGCGAAAGTTCTAGGTGGCTTTATCCCTCCTGTCTTGTCATAACTTTACAGGAATATCTAAAAACGGCTTCTTTCGAAAGATTAGGTTACATTTAAAAAGGAGACACCCCAACATTCTCCACTGCATATAAAGGAATTTTCAGTTCCCAGACGACAGAAGAATACCTGAAATGTTATTAAGTGTCAATATTTTCTAATTCTAATTTTCATTATGATTTCACATTAATCAAGTTCAGAGAGATATCACAAATAACATCTTAAAAAGCACATGCATCATATTTTCACATGCAATAAAAAGTTTGCTGTTGTTGCTGCATTTTTGCCTATTGCAATAAAAGAACACCAAAAGCAATCTGGTCTTTATAAGGCTTTCATTTTATTTGTTAACGGCTGCGATTTTCCAATTAAAAATTGATGCTCTTAAGTTCAGCCGTAATTTACATTGCATGGAATCAAATTCTGTACAAGATTCGACTGTGAACAAGGTCCACAACTATGCAGGTGCCTCTTATGTGAACGGGGGGTCACTGATCATTTTTGTAAAACTGCCAATAACTGTAATTTAATCATCATTTGTGCTGGCTTTAAAATATCAAAATTATATTTAAGAATATGTGTTGGATCATCAAAATCAAGAAAAAACACTATCATCAGAGCTTTTCAGCACAAAAATTAGATTCACAGGAATTGCTTTCTAGTCTGCTTTAAATTTTTCATTCAGCTGATCTTAGAATGTAAAGGGAAATGATGTATACAAAGTGTTACATCAGCCAGCCCCCAGCTTCAAACAGTACTCGAATACTGATTTAATACTTACTTAAAACTTACGAAGTAAAGTGCCAAAAGCTTAAAGTTCACTTGAAGAATCAACACGACAAGTTAATTTTTTAAGTATAGGCGTAAACATTGGTGTTTATTCAGATTAACAAGAAAATGGTTACCAAATAAAATTGGGTTTCGCTGACCTTTTTTAAATAAATTAGGCAAAACTTTTAAACCAACACATGCTTGCTTTTGATGCTACCTAAGATTTCAATTTTGCAGAAAATGTACAAAAAGGTACAAAGGCACTGCAAGGTACAAAAAGCTTTTTGATTTCAGATCAACACCCTATTAGGCACTCGATGACTTGTTCAAAGGACTTTGACTCAGCCAGCATTTTGGCACGTGGGATTTTCCGTGACACAGTCTCTTTACTAAGCAAAACAAATATGGCGTATGACAAGTATGGTGTGTCTACAATTGTGTATATGAAGTATTTTCAATAATAAATGTTATCAAAAGTAAACAAGTAGCTAAGGCATCTCTGTTGAATAAGTCTGATTCATACAAATGGTCTAGTTAAACATATATTTATCTAAGTGACTCCGAAACACAGTGCTTCAGGAGACTGGACACTAACTGTTATTTTCAGTGACGTAAAAATGATTTTCTTGATGTAGTACAATCGCTTACGTGAAAGAAATCAAGAGTGACAAGATAATGTTTTGAATGTCCCGCGCCCCGCCATTTCTCGCCCACATAACTTCTTGATTAATTCGTTAAGAATTTTGAAATTAGAATTTCTGGCACTAGCAATGTCTTCCAAAGACTTGTATTTCTTACCATGAAGGAGAAAGTGTTCATTTCGTCTGGAATCAGGACAGTTTACTTTAAAACAGGTGTTCTATAAGCTCTTAGCTATTTACAACAATAACTAACGACATCTCATTCTCATTTGAAAACATTTTCAATAACATCTATTGCGTGGTAGACTTTGACAGATGTATGCGAACCAAAAACATCATAATACAACACAGCAACCAGAAAAAAGTAGCACACACAACTGGTTACTTAATGCTTCAAAATAAAGAGGTGAATAACAATAAGAAACAAGCAATACAAAATTGTAAACCAACCTAATTTACATTTTGAAACTTAATATACTACGTGGTTTACTTTGAAACTCCAAATCTATAACAACATGGAAACTTTTGTAATCTGAAAATCTTCAGCAAGTGTGATTTTGATCAAATGCTTTCGAACCTTTCATAGACGGTAGAATAGACGAGCTTACAAAATGTCTTCAGAAACTGTGGTTTCAGAAAGAATTGCAAAAAGTGAATGAATTATGAATTATGGTACTAAAATGATTGAAATTTTAAAAGGATTACATCATAACAAAAAAATTGACAAAGTATGACACAGAAAAAAGTTTGCTGATAAAACATGACACAAAACAATATTCGCCGATAAGAAATTAGCAAATTCTCTATGTAGAAGTTACAGTTTGTAACTTGTAATCTATGCCATCTGCTTTTTCTGATGAAATGGACATTGGAAACGCGGCTTGCACGATAAAACAAGCGATAATGTAGATGTATTAAGCAAACACTCAAGTGCAGACATCCTTTTAACCTTGCAAAGCTTGAATTTCATTATCCAACCCCCTTCGTTAACTGAACATCTGTAAACGAACAGAGTTTTTGGCCTACAGGTGACGGTGAAATGCTGCCTAGCAACGAAATCCTATTGTTTACAATCTGCTTCTGTTAAAAGAGCTCATTCATTCTAAAACTGGATCTACTACAGATACGTATAGTCATAGCTGAAGGAATCATCTAGATACAAGACACTGCGTTACAAACATAGAAGTTATCACTTTCAATGAGGAAAGGAAAACTCTACATATTTGGCGATGTGCATTCGCGCGCAAGAAACGGCATGGCAGGTCTTCGCATGTCGCACTGTTTCAAACAGATTTTAACAAGGTATGCAGTTTCAAAACATTTGCTTTAGATTCCAAGTGTGAGTAAGTAGCCAGTTGAGTTATTTTAAGGCGACTGGGTATGCAAGGCAGAGATTTCTCAATCTTCGACATTGTTTTGATTCAAGCAGATCCTGATTCAAACTGACAGTTGATCACCTGCAGATCAAGGGAATATAAATCAAATTCTGCCTTTGCTTAATGATTGTTCTGTTGCAAGTGGTTTCAAATGAAGATTCAGAATAGCATGACTATTTTATTCAAGACAAGGGAATAAAAACGCCAATTTATCTTCTCTCGACCAAATAAACTCAACATTGACCTTTTCGGGCGATGAATCACGGGCCTCCAATCTTTGATCTCATTGCGAAAACAATTTCTTTCCAAACCAGAGCTATCATTGCAAATTTATGTAAATCGTGCTATCAACCTCTCGCGAAAAATACAACTCAATGAATTTTCTGATAAGAAAATGGAAACGATGTTTCACATATTGGTATCTAAACATATTATTTCCCGACGTTAAAAGTGTTTTATGCAGCGCAGTTTCCCCACGCTTGTCTTCCAAAATAGGACGACTTATAGAAGGACCTAAAATAGGAAAGATCCTTTCAAAAGGGCTTCAATTAAGCTGACAAATTCATAGAATGACAGATGAAAAACCTGCAAAAAGACGCTGTTCAAAAAAAGGAGAGCGGTATTATAATTCCCTTGAACAATTGTTGTTCTTTTATTCAAATTTTGACATGATTGTTTTCATGTCCACAAAATGTCACAAATTCTAACCCATAATACATTCAGACACCTACACAAGTGTAGGGAAATTTCAGGAGATGAAAACAATCAGATCACGCAACTAGTTCACGAGAGGAAAATTCGCGAAATGTGTAGCTAGGTTGTAAATTTGGCTAACAAGAAAACATTCTTGTCCGCAAAGAAGTTTTTGTTTGTTTACTAGAAATGTGGCCTGAATGAAGTATTTACATTAATGGAAATAAAGTAGTGTGCAATAGCGAAATTCATTTTCTGCACAAGGCAACTTTTGTTTGTTTGATAAGAGCTACTCTTTAATTAAGAATTTCATTTCCATGCAGCCAAATTTAAGTGCAATGGTGAAATTCATGTTGTGCACAAAGCAACTTTTGTTTGTTTGACAGAAGCTTCTTCCTATTCAGGGCAGGTTAAGATTAATTCAAAAACTTGCTCTGTAAGTTGAGTTTTGCGTTTTTGAGCTAGAAACTGTTTGAAAACTATTACTTTAAGTACAGAAATAAAACATGTAAAACATGAGGGACTTTTGAACAAGCAATGCTAAGACAGAAAATACCTCGATCTTAATTATATTCTTTGAAAAGTCTTATAACTTAAAATGGTACGCGGAAAGTTTCTCGCCAATTTGTTCAAACATCAGGAACTTGAAGTCTTTACACAAAACATTGTTTTCAATAATTGCCCAAGACACAATAAAACCCACTATATGTGTTTTATTTTGGTTTGAAAGCATCTGTACAATTAATAAGTTTCTTGAAAAGATTCTAAAATCTCGCGGAGGGTTTTTATCGTGTGCATAGTAGAACTTCGTGTACGAGATTTCTACGTGTAAAATTTGCGTGTCAAACAAGATGAATTGCACGGTGTTTGTACAGAGGACTAGTCTGCAAGCTTCAATGTTACTTGCTCGGATAAGCTCACCGCTTTCGGAGAAAATCACCGTAAATTATTTAGAGCATTCGGGAACGGTCGTGATTTCCATTAGAATTAAAACGAACAAAGGAATTTGCCATAGTCGTGCGCAGCCAGATGGCCGTGCATGCATTAATGATAAAAGGAAATATTTGCAAAACTGTAAAACTAGATCAAAAACAGTACAGCGATTGCAAAATATTCACGAAGGATTTTCTTGAGGTGAAAATATTGAGAAAGAATGTCAGGTTTTAATGCTTTTAAGACGATGAAACTATAAATTTATTAACGTTGAAAAACTGATTACAGATAAAGGGCAAAACATTTGTAAGGTGATGCTGCAAAATATCAGATAAGTCCAAATAACGGGCCCGTCACTAGGCCCAAAATTGATTTCCGTAGATGGAGCCTTAATGATGTAGGTTCATCAATAAAACAGATAGAAACTCTGGCCCAACATAGAAAGGAAGATGGTGAAATTGAAAAGAAAACCAAGAAACATCATTAATCTTTCAAAATAAGTGAATTCTGTTGAAAAAATTTGCAAATCCATGTAAACATTAATTTTTAAATAATATAGAGGAGAGGAAAAAAGAAGAAAGTATAAAAAACAGAATAATAAAAGACGCAGAAATCGTAGGACCAAGATAAAGAATAACTGTCATACTGCAATGTCTATCGCTAGACATATATGAAGGGAGAAGAACAAAAAAGTCTATCCTTTTGTTTCGCCTCTCCCACAACCATATAGTTTTCGTGAATATCAGACCATAGGCCGAATTATCGAGTCAAAACAACAAAGGTTTGAACCAGAGTGGAGCATTAGCTGCTATAAGCCACAACAACTGGTGGCCGTTGTGGGTCATCCACAAGTTGGCTTAAATTAAGCAGTACCGATGGTTGGAGTACTTTAGCTGAAAAACACCAAAGAGTTGTAAAGACAAGGAGATGGAGGTCATAATTGTTGATCATAGAGATGGTTCTGATGATAACGACACTTTAATAGTAAAAAATTCAATGTAATCTGTTATTCAAGCACTGTAAAACAGGTCACCAAGATATTGAAAGCGGGTTGAATTCAAATTATTTAATGCCTTTTTGTACACAAGAATTTAGATAATACGCAGGTAAGTATGCTTCCGATAACATTAAGTCTCGGCCACAAAAACTAACTCCGCCTTAAAGTAATTTGAGATTTTTCCAACATTAAAAAAAATTCTAGCTGAAAGAAAACAAAACTACATGAGCTCCGACACAGGTTGGAATGTGGAGGGGAGGGGGGGGGGCAAGGGACGATTTAACACCCATAACAAAACATTTCGAAAAAGCTCTATTGTTTTGCAAAAAGTGGGGAGCATGGCCACCTTCCGGCCTCACCTTCGTCAGAGGTCCTATACTAGTTAGAAATCAAAATGGAGACCAAAATGGAGAAAACGGACACGAAACATCGCGTGTTATGATGATCACCTTGACTAATCAATATGATCAAACATCGTTATTCTGGACAATGCAACACCATTTCTATTTGATTAAATATAATTAACGTTTGGATGTTAGAAATTATTTGCATAAAGACACACTCTATAAACACAAACAACGGGCAAACTTCAAACATGTTTTGCGTTATCTGCAGGAGAAAATTGGCTTCGATTAGTATCTATTAGCAGCTTCTATTTTCAACCATACAAAATGTATTTTTGTTACTGATCTGCTAGTCCCAGAGAAAATAGCCTGAGCATTGTGTGACATCAAAGAAGTGCTCTGAGGTGGACTTATGTTAATGTTGAACTAGAATTCTGCAAACGTGTTAACGTGGTAAGGTGGTAAAGTCAAAGGATAGATGTATTCTGTGGCACACTTGTACACTATTTGTGCGAAGGGTCTCGAAATTTTGACAAATATACCTAAGGTTAGTCCGTCAGATGATATTTCAAGTGAGGAACTAAGCAGAGATCTTGAAAGATTGCTTTTATGGTCGTTTCAATTGAAAATACAACTTCAATGCAAGCGAAACATAAGGAAAAATGTATTTTATCAAAAACTGTTTGGCTCTGCATCATCGCTCGAAACGACGTCATTGAGAAAGGCATCATTAATAGATAATCGGAGTAAAAGCATTTCGGAATGATCCTTGACTATAAGATAAGTTAACAAAGTCATATCAACGAGGCTCAAAGCTAGGCTACGGGTAGGAATAGTAAGATATATCTCCAGATAGAGCTCTAGAAACGTGCTTGATCAAGCTTAAGAGAATTACTTGAGCACTAATGAAGGCTATTGCGACATTATCTACCGCAGAAATGGTCCTAACATGGAACAAATGTCATAAAACGACTTTCACAGACTCAGTTTAATGCTGCATTAGCAGCAACTGGAGCTGGGAGAAGAACCGAGAGGCAAAACTGTACGATAGATTAGGTTGGGACGAGCCATATCAGATAAGATGGTGTAGCATAGACGAGAGATGCTAGGAACACCACCAGAATGCGAAGAATCTTACAACTTAAGAGGTCTCTTTGGCCAGCTCACAGACCTTTGGTAGACACATAAATGAACTTGATTCGAATGCACTGTGCAATTTGCTTCTATTTTGGACCCAAAATCTACAAGAACCGTCTTAGAAGCAAAAATTGCACTAAATGAAGAAACATAGCGTTTTCATAAATTATAAAAGCTAATGCTTTAAAAAGCTAGCCCTCTACCTATAGGTATTAGCTTTTATAAGTGAAAGTTAAGGTCGACGAAGATGATTTCTGCAAATACATCCATAATATAGCAATGCATTAACAAAAGACTGCGCACATTTGTCTGTTGTCGTTTTAGAGTCCAGCAAAGCAAAAGTAGGCGAGAATGACAGTATCAAGGCGAACTAGTGTGGCAAAAACATAAATTAGCAGGAATCAGAAAACTGAACACATCTTACTACTTATTGACGAAGAAACTCAGGGCTATGACAGGAAAAAGTTAAATGCTGTATGAAGAAGCAATTAACATAAAACTGAAGGAAACAGGAATAGATTGAATCGGCATAAGAGATGCCTAGATATTTGCACCAGCAACCTGCTTATCAAGGTCTATGATAATCGCAAAAAAATTTCTGGGTTTCAACAAAGAAAAATTTTAATATTATAGATCCTATGATATAGAATATAGAAACAAAATTTATAGCTCCTATTATAATACCAAGGTAAAATGGATTTGCACATTTAAGATTTGAACTTCCTGAAGACGATTACTGGCTGGTTCCAACTATACTATAACAAGTTTCGTTTTCTCACCAGAGTTTTCTGAATACACATAAAGTTAGTCTTGATTGATTGGTCAAGATGAAGCTAATAAGGCCAGTTTTCCAGATTGTCTACATTCCTATTGGCTGAAAATCAACCCATTTTTGATTACCAAGCCGTAACCCATTGTGAATTTGGTAATCTGGTGATCGCGATCTGGTGAATGCGTGTTTTGCAAAAATAGTTTTTATTAGGCATGTAAAATCGTTTGCTTCTCTACGCAATCCTTAAAAAGAGTTAAGGACCTCGCACCCTTTTTATGTAAGGAAGATCTGTCAAGTACACTGTTGTCTTCAAAATGATAAAATAGCTTTTAGATCCTGCATTCATGATTAAGAAAGGCAAGATACTCTCATTAGGACTCAAAACACCCATTCGAGAGCTGCTCTAAACTTATTAAGTAAAGCAGTCCTTTAGAAGATTAAAATGCCCGTGTATTCTCGGCTTAAGATATCAATACAACACGGATATGGATTATTCTTTTGACGATCTTTGTGAAATACTAGGATTATGTGTTGATGCAATGACGGTTGTCCGCTAAAACGATGAACGGGCTGTGGTTCTGCAATGACGTCAAAATTCCAGTCAGCTACAGAGAACTCGATTATTGAACGTAATAACTGCGATGAAACATCGAGGCAATCGCCCGATGTGACCTGGTGAAGATGCGTGAAAATTCACAGGAACTAGAATATCTACGCTAGACGACGCCATTTTGTCTATTACAAACTGGCGGGCTTTATTCATTTTCTAGAAATAGATCAATTAATACCATCAAGATGTGATAAGATGTCAATAAAACATGGTAGAAACACGTAATCGTAACAATTATAGCATTTCAATGTAAAGATTGATTAAAATTTGCCCAATTTGATAATGGATTACAAAGAGGTTGCGTAAGGAATTTCTAAAGCTGCTAGCGCGTTCTGCGTCATGAAGAGAGGTTATTGCGCAGTCATCGAGTTGATAGAAATTAGACAGCCATTCGTAAAAGATTCGCTGATAGACGATTGTACACCCTTTTGTTCTCTCTTCTTACGATATATCTGCAAGTACTTTTGTAAGCTTTGCGGTATTTGACAGAAGCATAACTATCAGAGAAGTAGCTAGGCGGCACGGTGAAGGCTCAATAATCGCAAGAATCATGTTTAAACATTGAGAACTCATGACATAACACGAGCTTTGAGCCTGAGCTTGCACGCAGGTTGGGTCAGATTCTTATTGTGTTCCAATGGGTGAAAATACTCTCTGTCGATTTATGTCGATGATCTCATCCAACTAATGCTCAAGGGAGAGGTGCACCTTTTGCAAACTACAATCAAATTGACAAAAACAACTTCATGTAACAAATACAATGCAGTAATTTAGAACCGACATAAACAATTATTGAAGGAATGTATTCTTTACTCTCCGCTTGGATGGTTTCACTTCGTTCATCAGTCTATTTTTGCAAAGGGCCTCAGGCATGATAACACGAATTCCGTGAGTTAATCTAAAAATAGTCGCTTTGCTCGGAGTTATCAACTTTTGTAGCTGAGTTTCCTTGCACGCTGCTCATCAGCTCACCGAAATGATGTTTTCAAAAAAAAACGGTAAGTAATCATGGCTTGTTTTAAACACGAAACCGGATTAATGTCGTTCCCCGTTCCCAACTCCGCTAATGTAATATTATGTTAATAAGAAAAGCCTTACTACGGCTACGTTAAGTTAAGTCCTTTGTGGTAAACACAGATTGGGTTTAAGGTTTATGGCAGGCTGTTATACGAACAGCAGGAGAAATCAAAACTGCAGTTAGGAACAACTACAACAAGCCAAATATATTCAAAAATGGCTTTGAAAAAAAGTAAACATTTTGAGTCATACTAAAGCTTTTCGTCCTGCACTCTTTAGAGTTTTAAACATCAGAACATAGATGTTAGAACTATAACTTTATCTTCAAAGATTTCAATAATCGCTCCTCGCAGCAAGATTGTTAAACACAACTGCGCTCTGTTTGATTAGCCTCGATTTATGAGAATATACCATGTTTATACTGGAAGAAAATTGGATTAATAAAACGAGAAGTAGAAGAAATTATATTGATTACAACGTCTGTGTGAAATCCTTATGAAAACAAGAATTTTAATCATAAAAGCGGTATGACAATAAATCAGAATGCAGAAAATCAACAGACAGATTTTTCTGACATTGTCAAATAGCTATAGCAACATGCGGGCAAACGAAAACAATTTAGCGTTATCAAAATTTACAAGGCTGTGTTAAGATGAAGAATAAATCACATGGTAAGAAAGCATCTAACCAACACATATGGCTTTTGTGAATACCAGTTATCCTATGTACCTTATAGGCTCAATCAATCAGAAAATCTCAAAGTAAGGAAAGGATACTGCCATTTTCAAGGAAAAACAGCGATTCTAGATGCGCGGTTTCTACTCGAAATGACGTCACTTGCATAATGAAATGAGTTGCTTTGTGAAATTTCATTTACTCAAGGAAATTTTCATGACGTCAATTTTCCACATTTCGTTGCCTTTGAGTTTCTTTTAATGCAATTACGTGAACAATTCCTTGAAAGTTCACTACTGCAATCTAGCGCTCAACTAACTCGGCCAGGTCTCTAGAGGCAAAGTCTTTAATAACGGCACTCTAAGTATCAGATGCCTTGTAATCTACATCACAAAATCTATCAGCTTACATCACAAAATCAAACATTGGAGGGTACCCATGATGCAGCTTTCCTCATTTTGATTGCAAAGAGATCGTTTATTATGCTGCATATCCAGATTCGCTTTTATCAGAAACTTGGCGACGATCGGTGGTTGAAAAAAAGCCATGTTTCATGATTCTTATTTTTTTTACTTCTTTTCCAGAAATTGAATTTTGCCATCTGACTACCAAGCTGTTAATAGTTCAGTGAGGAGCAACTCAACAAGGTGCATCTAAAACTGGTAGCAAAGAAGATAATTTTTGAAAGAATACCTTGATAAAGATTGAAACGTATTCAAAAAGAAAACTTGAAAAAACTCGGCTGAAACAACGTTTGAAACAGCATAGAAAGTGATGTATTCATGAAGACTGTTGAAAAGATAGCTTGAAAGATCAACCAGAGTGGATTTATGAATTGCTGGGTTAAAGAAAACCTGTATTTAAATGTAAAGATTAAGGACCAAGTTATCCACTTAACTGCAAAATGGAAAGTACACCGATACTCAGCTGCAAAATGAATGGAATCAACAGCGAACCGAAAATTGAAAATGAGGTTGCATCCTCACAAATTACGGACGAGCAGATTATCAAGATAAACGTTAGTGGTTTTGTATACGAAACTCTGGAAGCAACAATTACTAAATTCCCGAACACGTTGCTTGGAAACGAAAAGCTGCGCAAACGATACTTCGTCGAATCACGTGGGACCTACTTCTTTGACCGCAGCCGGACGGCGTTCGAGGCAATTCTGGCATATTATCAAACCGGGGGAGTTCTTATCCGGCCGCCAACTATTCCGATGAAACTCTTTGCAAAAGAAGTCTTGTTCTACCAGCTCGGGGAAGAGGTTTTTCTTCAATTGCAGAAAGACGAGGGCTTCATACAAGACACACAACTGGAAATGCCTAAAAACCGATACCAACGAGCTGTCTGGGAGCTTTTTGAATGCCCGGATAGCTCTTTGGCAGCCCGGTTACTTGCAGTTTGGTCTGTGATTGTTATAGTGGTTTCTATCACAATATTCTGTATCGAGACATTGCCGGGCATAAAGAAACAGCAGGGAGGTGACAAAGGCGAACAACAGCCTTGGGTTACGTTTGAGATTGTTTGCATTTCATGGTTCACCATCGAATACGTTGGAAGACTTTTAGCGTCACCAAGTAAACTGCGCTTTGCACGCTCATTCTTAAACATAATCGATCTCGCCGCCATCTTGCCTTATTTCATTACCCTGCCAATGGACAGCGCCAAGGCTGCCCCGTTGTCTGTTCTACGAGTCATACGGTTGGTCCGTGTTTTCCGCATTTTCAAACTTTCTCGCCATTCAACCGGTCTGCGAATTCTAGGCTACACGTTGCGAGAAAGTTCCCGAGAGCTTGGTATGCTTATGTTCTTTCTCGTCCTTGGAATCATATTATTCTCAAGCGGGATTTACTACGCAGAATTCGCAGATAACGAGGAAAATTTCCCAAGCATTCCAGATACATTCTGGTATTCTCTCGTTACTATGACAACAGTTGGGTATGGTGACAAAGTGCCTAAAACACCAACCGGAAAACTTATCGGTTCGTTGTGTGCCATTGTTGGTGTACTGACCATTGCCTTGCCTGTTCCAGTAATTGTCTCTAATTTCGAGTTCTTCTACAAAAGGGACAGATTTACATACCAGGAGCTGTGCTTGTCGTTAGATGAAGAGGAAAAAGTAAACAATACTAATTACAAGAGGTACGAATACCTAAAAGAAACAAACGTTTAAATAAAATAATGGTAGTTCTGATTAGCGCAAATTCTCTGGGATAACAATTGAACGTGTGGCGAGTTTCCAGAAACATGCAATCACAACAATTGGCTGATAAACCAAGCCCCTTGGCCAGCGGTATGATAACCCTCTAACCAAGCCGAGAACACTGCTGGAGGTGTCAGTTGAAAAGTGGAAGTGAAATCGAATGAAACTGCGTTTCTCGTGAGATGATCCGGAAAAATAGAAATTGTGCCAAAAATAGATCTTTATCTAAAACACTTGTGACAAATCAAAATAGTAAAGGTCAAATGTATTCAAAGTACTTGGAAAAAAAATTGATATTCTCGATGGCTTAGGCAGTGTATTCATCTCTAAAATATTAAAATGTATATCAAATGACCAATAATTATGAAAATGAAATTAATTTGCTGCTGGAATCTTGATAAGCATAATTATAAGTGATATTCCGGGTGTAGTATTAAAAACATCGTGGCAAAGTGTCAAACGGTAGATGGGGTTCTTTGATACCTAAATTTAAGACAATTAGCTTAAGCTGCTTAAACAGTATTCTGCCTCTTCAATTATTGCTGTCCAACAAGGATCTGTGCTGACACCTTTCTCTTTAAAAACACAAGTAACAAAGCTGGTGGCGAACTATATCAGGGCTAATAGTAAAAAGTTGTCACAAGGCACATTCGTGTTTTAAAGTTGACTGCGTCCCAGACAAAACACCAGGAAAAAATATAATGCAAAATGCATGAGTTTTAAAAGCATGATCTTAAAAAGGGATGAAGATTCATTCCTAAAAGTTAATGACCTTTGCAGCGATTTTAACAGGGTAAAAGTAATACTTAACAATCTTGGAATATCATCAATATCTAACCAAGCTACATTTTCTGTCTTGAATGAAAACAGGAATACTTGTAAAAAGGTAATAGTTCTTAAAAAGCAATACACAAACTCTTGAATTTATCTTTAATGTGTCTGTCAGGAATGCTTTAGGAGGGTAGACACACGGGAGGCGGATGAAAAGGGAACTTCTTTTGAGGACGGTACTTGAGTCAAAAGGAGGAGATTCTGATATTTGCAAACCTAACAGAGGTCTGGGTAGAAACAATCTGCTTACATCTTTACCTATCTTTTCTATAAAAATTGGCCTTTCTATGTGCATTGATTTGGTTTTGGCTGGACAAGATTATAGGGGCAGAAGTTTCTTCGGAAAATTCGAAATAAAAATTGCAGCAGGCAACATTATTTATCAAGGAAAGACCGCCAGTTAAACAAAGGTATTTCAGGTTTTCTGCAAATTTGGCTGATGAAACCCAATTGTACAAAACTTGCAAACAGAGCAGAGGGGGAAGAGGTTATGTAAAGACGTCATAAGAGTCGGTGGACCAACGATACTTTAATTAAAAAATAATTGCTTTTAAAGCAAATTCCATTGCGCTTAGCAAAGTAGCTGTAATTAAGGATATTGCGATTGAACTATGTAAAATCTTCGAATGATCATACAAAAAAACAAAGCCGCATTCTAGCAAAAACTTTTTTAAAATTTAATGATAATTTAATAATGCATGACTGCTCTGGGCGATTTTGGAACTGCAGAAATCATTTTGTCAGTTTCTTTTTCTTAAAAACCCATAAACATAGGACTGATTGTCAGTAACACAAGCCTCAAAAATCAACACCGCGATAAAATTCTATAGAAATATCATTCGTATATGATGCAATGGCGAGCTACAAATTATAACGGGCGCCATTTCTCGGATATAAACACGCATTTGAATTGAAATGTGCTTCCCTTGATATTAGCAAAAAGAAGTGCATTAAATGAGAAAAATTTCGGACAAAATATTCTCGGACAAAATATTTTCGGACAAAACATTATCGAACGTTTTCTCGCGAAATATCGGATGATTTCACATAGACATCGAGCAAAACAAAAACACTCTCATTATATATTGATTAACATACTGCACCTTGTCAAGCTTACTAAAGTCTATATTTCACTTAATCTAAATAAAAATTATCTCGAAGGATAAGTTCAATGGGGATTAAGGCTTTAATATTCATCTCAGATTATTTGCGATATACAACATCCTACGATCGTCGCAAAATCATGTGAGAGGAAAATCAAAGGAATCTTGCCCAACTCACAACATTTATTAAAGGAAATTACAAAGTGGATGTAATAGAGCCAGATAAAGAAAATAAACAAAACAAAGAAATTGATATTGACTATGATGAAAGTATGACAGAGGACGATATATTAATTGTTGAGGTTAATTATTTGTGATTGCTAAACGAGTTTGTTTGCCAAGATATGATACAGTTTCACTTAGTAGCTAGTTCTTACAACACTTCCCCTTTAAATGCTAAATGTATGTGAGCAACACATTCCATTTTTAAAAATGAAAAATTCAACTGTGATTTTTTCCGATAATGCAAAAAAAATTCGGACAGCTAAAATTCCGGACAACAAAAATTTCAGACGGTAAAGATTTCGGGTGCTCCTTCTGTCAGAAAACAAAAAAGTCCGAAATTTCAGGCGTCTAATTCTTTCATGTAAGTTCGAAACATAAGGTAATCATGGTTTTTAGAAGGGGCATAACCATCTGTGTAGGGGCGCTTCAACCTTGTGGGGGAGGGGGGCTGCAATTTTTTTGCCCAAATGAAAAGCAGGTACATTAAAAACTGTGATTTTTCTTTTTCCCTCTATTACTTCTCTTTCGCTGCCACATTCCTTATTCACAACTCGAATACAAATTCATATATTTTCACCTTCATATTTATTCGAAAGTCTATGCAAACAGTTCGTTTGTCCCAACTGTCCCAACAGACGTTCGTTTATGCCCAACAAAGGTAGGGGATAAGGGGTTAGGTACTGATGCCCCCTCGCTCTTACGCCTATTGATGCCATCGTTAACGCCAACATCTACCTTTCCAAAGGTTTGGTCGAAATTCGAAATTACTATGTTATCAAAAAGCAGGGCCACCGAGAAAAGGGGGCATAAAGGGGAAATTGCCCTAGGACCTTAAGATCTAGGGGGCCCTATAAAATAATGAACTCCATTTTAATGGAATTAACTGGAAATATTACAACTGCCAGAAAATTAATAAATTTTAGCTTATTTAGAGGGCGTGGTCGCAAAAATTTTCTAGGAAGGAAGTCATAGCATCACTTCAGGGCAGGGCATCACAGAATTTCGAAAAAGGTTCCTGCGCTTCTTCAGATTTCAGTTTTATGCAAGAAGCTTACAGGTTTTTTTTTCGTTGTTTATTTTCTAAGAATTTAAAACTTTCGGACAACAAATTTCGTAAAAGCCAGATTCTAGACAATAAAGATTTCGGGCAAAATTTTGTCAGAAAATTTCGATCGCCTGAAGATTTTAATCATTTATGAAGTAAAAGGTATGTGAAGAATGAAAGTGATGATGAACCATAACTAAGATGATAAGAAAGATTCGGTAAACTTAGTTAAAGATTACAAAAAAATTGTTGCTTTTAATATTTTAATGCCTAACACATATGATGTGATAATGATTGATGAAACCCCCTCCCTTCTCTAAGATATATATGCTACCTCATCTTGCAAAATTCATATCCTTGGCAAATGAAACTGTATCAAATCTGTCTCGCTTGCTGACCCCAATTTGGCAGCCAGTCACAAATGTCATGTCATAGACGCATTCATAAGAACCATTGGCACCAGAATCTATATTTTCCATCAAACATAACTATTTCTGAATGGTGCAGCAATTAAAATTGATAAAACAAAATCACCAGAAATCAATAATTCATACATCCTGATTGTTCATATTGTGCAAAGCATTCACTAGTCCATAATCAGCCATTCATGGTACATTTATAAAACCCTGTCGCCCCAGAAGCGTACATTGTTCGATATGAATGGCGTGCCTACCGGGCATTTTGTAAGACGTATAACACAAATCGATACCATTTATACCACATAAGGTAAATCAAGTGACCTATCTTTCTGTGACGTCAACAAGTTTTGTTTGAGACCTATTTTATATAACAATTTACTCATTGATCAATGTAACAGTCTTAGAATGTCACTTATCTTTAATATGCAATTCAGACATTCGCAGTCAAAACATCATTTGTCCAAAACTTGGTGCTGTATCTTTCTCCATTTAATTTCATTAATGATATTTCGTTTCATAATTCATTTTAAAATTGAGGGGCACACAGCATCGATAGCATAGTTGGCCTTAATAACGAAGTTACGCTTTTCATAATCTAAATCGGTTTTTCATTTGCCATTAATTTGGTGATTTTATCTGCCACAGTTGAATGTGGTAATTTGAAGGATAGTACATAAAAAGTAATTGAACGAGGACTAAATCCCAAACACGACGATCCAGAAATATAACATCAATTAACAACGTCTTGGTACCAAGGTACCAAGTCAGATAAAAATATTCGCAAAAATTTGCTGATCAGATTTCATTCCAGGAATTTGGTCCATTTGGATGGAGCCTTAGCGCCCCGTTTCGAATTTTTCGGATGGAGCACAGCGACCCAAAGCAGCTTTAATACTGACAAGCGAAAAGCCATAAAAGGATTTTTGATGGCTTTACTTGTCAGTTGCTCAAACTGAAATGCACGATTAACAATTGGCAAAGACTCGTTTTCATATAATGTCTTTACTTTAAATCAGACCAAGGGGTGTCACACCAACACAATTATTCTTCTCTTGTTACAATAAATCCCTGCATATAAGAACCTACAAAAATAGGAACCTAGAGGCTGTTTTTCCTATATTATGCACCTTGTAATTAAGAACCTGTTTCAGTGTGATAAAATATAATAGGTTCTTATCCCAAGGGCACAAAATAGAGTTTTCAATGGTCCTAATTTACTCCCAGATTTTTAAAGATGAGGTAAAATCACAATCGGTATAAAAATTTTCAGTTGTGCATTTTCAGCATTTTATACACTTTAACGAAAGAGAACTTTAAAATCACTTTGACTTTTTAGCATAATTATATATAGCAAAATCCAAAATGTTGAAAAATGAAATAAAAGCATTAGAATTCATAGTTTTCAATTCCTGAGGACATATGAGATCATCTCCAGATCCATCCGCTGTCATAAGGCAGCCAGTGCACTCAAATGTCTTCCTGTAAATATCTTTGTAATGTTGCATTAATATAATTGCCAAAAGGAAAAAACAGGGTTGAATGCATCTCTTGATGATGAATTCAATAATTTGAAATAAGGGATCCTTCGAAAAAGAAACTTCATACCCTGAAAATAATGTAAGTACCTTTCCAATAAGAACCTACTTCAGCCTGAACCTCAAAAAAGTAGGTTCCTATATGCGGGGATTTACTGTACTGCCCTTTTCAATAAGGTCGGGGGGGGGATGAAATAAACAAAACTGAAATATTGAGAAAGTCATGAATAGAAATGCAACTCTGAATATTTAAACAACATTATTACGAAAATTATCCGGAAATTAGATTATAATTCTAAGATCAGATCACGCGATCTGTCACCTTTTTCGAATATTAAATCATGACGTTGTCGAAGCTCAAAGACATTGTCATAAATATATGTACATTGACTTTGAGTCTAAAGACTATTTATAAAATAATGTAAATCGTACATGGAGGATAATAGCTGAAAAGGAATTCTGAGCTAGCAAGAGAATCAGAAATTTCATAAATAAAAGCTGGAGGTGGGGGGGGGGCAGTGGACTGGTTCGGAAATGGTCTTCTTACTGTTTAGTGTAGAAATGAAACTTTCATCACAGTTACTATGAGTTTGTCTAGTATTGTATTTTTGCACTCTTCAAACGCGCTGAAAATCAAAAACTTAGCTGAAAATGTATTTAGGAACATTTTTTGAATAGATAAATAAATGAACATTTATCTTTTAATGCATTTAATAACCGCCCAGGGCGTCGAGAACCATATCTTTGTCCTAAAAGGGGCGTTTACCTGGTGCTTGGTTTGAATAACGGGGCATTGAAACTCACGTTTTCCTGTTTGTTTGAGCATACTTATAAATTGTATCCAATATAAATATATATAAATTATATATATATATATATATTTATATAAATATCATTAAACAGGGAATATACAGTTGAACAGAGATTTTCTAATTAAGGAACGGGGCTAAGGTAGCAAAAATGAATCACTACTTGCAAAGATACGAAATTCGTGTCCAGGTTCCTATTTGTGTCCAGAATGGCTTGAGGAGTCATTCTTACCTTGAATTTCAAAAGGAGGCTGCTTGAAACAATGATGGCCATAAAAGTGGTATTACCAATGGAGAATTATCAAGTAGTTATCTGCTAAAAATATTCTGAGATCTATGCAAAGTTAGACTCGGTAGAGGAAGAAAGCAGTTAACAAAATTTGTAGATGATCAATTCTGTCTTCGAAAATATCATGAAGTTATGCATTGTTATTGATACATCTGGTCTGTTTTCTTATCTTAGAGTTTTTGTTGGTAAACTCAGGTTCTGGGAATGGCCTTTCATTCAAATTCAATAATTTCAGGGGACATTGAAAAGGCAGTTGCAATGGGAAGAAACAGTTACTTGTGATCCTTTAGGAAATGATATAGAACGAAAAATGATATAAGTTGTATAACCAATGGAGAACTTTTTGTTTTTGAGGGAATTTTCGAGGGAACTTCAATAAATATACAAATAATACGATAGATATTGGGGGCAGTAATGTACAATGGGGAGGGGGCATTGGCATCGAAAGCGCACCGTTTTATCAAAGAAAGCTGATTTGCGGGTCTTAGTAAAGCATAAAGAAACATTAGATGTAAACCAGAACGTAACTGATAACAAGGAGGAGCCTTAATATATCTTAGATACCCTCCGGGAGTAATCTATCACAAAATTGAAATTGAAAGACATGGCTCTAAGAGATAAAATTGATCACGATATGAACTGAGCTACACAAGATTATAGGGAATTATCAGCCGAACCATACTAAACTGTAATATTCATTTAAATATATTCGGGTAAAAGTTTCTGACGGATACTACTCTTTATTAAACGATATTTATTCTGGTTTCCTTTTAAATGATGAAGAAGAAGCGATATTAACTACAGGATAAAAAGCGGTTTTCTTTGACTATATGCAATTAATAACGGAAACTATTTCAAAATTAATACTGCAATTTTTAAAAAAAGCTGAACAATTTTCTGCTCAGATTTTATAATAAAAAATCCTTACCTCTGTTTATTAAAGCGAGATTTTGTGCCATACATTTGTTGTTGTATTAAGTTGAGCTTTATCAATCAAGTTTGAACTTTAGGATTCCGGCCATTTTGTGGATTGGAGTGATCAGTCAAGGGCGACGTTGATTACCATCTGAACAGTTGATTGCAGTTAATGAGCCTCTGATTGCAGGTGACGATTTAGCAATATCGATTGATAGACAGTAATGATCGATCAAATCTATCTGTGATTGACAATTGATATGCTCATTTCAAATTACGCATACAGAATGGTAGCTTGGGCTTGCAGTGATCGGGAAATCGCAATGGTCAATCAATGGGGATTTAGAATCTAGATGGTCTGTTTTTCAGAGTAGCTGATGACTGCAATCAATGTAATCAGATAATAACAGAGAATGTGGGGACATCCCGATCTTGAACTGTTGAAATTGGACAGGAGCGAAAACAACCAAGCTCGTATGTGCATCACATTGTCATTCTCGTGCTCATTTGTAAACTATTCGTTTTGTCACTTCTATGGATAAAACTATTAGACTATATCATCAAATTAATATGTCTATATATGCATACAAAAATTTACACCAGGAGCAATTGTTTTTGCTCAATACTGAAGATCGGCTTCTGCTTACTGTCATTGAGACCATGGCAATGACATAAGGGGGCGATGCCTGCATGCAATCCTTTTCTTGTAGCTGGGGTATGAAGGCGGCAGCTGAGTACCCCAAACATGAATGCAAGGTAATCACGCTACTGCTGAAGGCTGATAAACAACAAGACACAACTGAAATGCTGATGCTATTTCTGCAATTTCAGCTTCACAAGAATGCTGACAAGTCGCGCAATGCAGCTTTTAGCGGACAGTTGGCATGGGTCAGTTGACACCGGACAGTTGACACCGGACAGTTGATGCCGGACAGTTGATACCGGACACTTCAACATCTGACATCGGTCTTCCGATATTGGTACCGGATTGCTCAATTTGACAGCTGACATCAGTAAGATGACATTACCGGCAGCCCCAATCAGCGTAAAACTTGCGTTTGCTGCGGCTATTGTAGCCAAAACCAACTCTGATCGAATTTAATCGCAACATCACACGGACGTCGTGCTTTCTTGTCCGTCGTCATCTAAGGGTATGGAGATAAAAACTGTCTCCCCATTGGACCGTGTTTGGTGGCCATGGGACGAGCCCTCAGATACGTCATCTACTTCTTTCCTTCTCTTCCGACTTTTCGGTATCATACGAGCTACCATAGCATCGGTACAAGACCGTACAGTATTTTGCAATTTGTGCACATTACCGTTGCGATTGTCCTGATTCCTCTTTTCCTCCATTCTTTTTCTATTTCTTTCTTTAGTATAAAAATGTTCAAAATTAGACACAACCACTGGGACTGGCAATGCTATGGTCAAAACACCACATACCACAGCCAAACCTCCAACAATTTGCCCCCACAAAGTTTGGGGGGCCATGTCCCCATATCCGACCGTAGTCATTGTAACTATAGCCCACCAAAATGAGGCTGGGATAGATGTGAATTTTGTGCCTTTCCGCGAGGTTTCTGCGTAATACACGCAGCTTCCAAAAATCAAAATAACAACAAACAGGAAAAAGGCAAGCATCATGAGCTCATTAACAGAAGCTTTGAGTGTATTTCCAAGAATCTGTAGGCCACGTGAGTGTCGTGACAGCTTGAAAACACGCAAGACACGAATGACTCTAACAACACGCAAAATTGACAGCGTGCTGTTTCCTGATGGGAGTGCTATACTGATGTAAAAGGGTACTATGGACAGAAGATCTATAGTGTTCAACGCATCTGTGAAAAACTGAAGTTTATTTGGGCTCACAATAACACGTGTTAGGTACTCGGCAGTAAACCAAATAATCACTGCGGTATTTACATTGAACATCCAGCCAGCATGCTTACTCGGTATAGTAGTTACGCGGCCGTCCACTACTACTTCCTTCTCGCTAAATTCCGGTAATGTCTCCATCACAAACATAACTAACGATAATACAATTATGATAACCGATGTTATTGCAAATAACTTGGCTGGCTTGCTCGATTCCGGGTCATCTAAAAAGTCCCAAATAATCCGGAATGGTTTCCATTTTGGTTTTGGCCGGTCCACCTGAACCTCCTTTATCCCGGACTCTATTTGGAATCCATCAATCACTTCAGTACCCATATCGAAAAATATCAATTCACTAAGAAATACATGAATGGGTATATGAGATGGTCTGACCAATTCTCCATTTGGTGATTGATAATAATATAAAATCGCCTCAAAGGCGCTTCTGTGTCTGTTAAAGAAATACTCTTTCTTTTCTTCATTGTAGTACATCAGACGTCGTTCCGCATCTCCTAACAACGTGTGAGGATATCGTTTTAAACATTTATCGTATGTCTGGAAATATTTCCCTGCCACGTTAATCGTGATAACATCGGCTTCATCGTGTGGAGTATCGTGTGCGTGTGATTTGAGCTCCTCTGGATTCGGTAAGCGAAGAGTGGGTGCCCGCTTCTTGCTTACTGCATGTATCATATTCATTTGTGATTAAAAATACCCGATGTATGTCAAACAAAATGACCTTAATCTCTAGGTATTTCTGACGACGTCGAAAGATTGTCAGTCGCCGAAAAAATCTGTGGCCGCCATGTTGTTTCTATTCACCCTTTGTCCTCAAATACCCGTGATAAAAATGTTATGAACCCGATAACTCCCATTAAATCAGTCATTCCAACTTAGGCGAAGAAAAGCCATAGGCATTGACAAATACTGCCAAGATTTAAGCTCGTCGAGCCAGGGCGTCATCAGGCCGTTTGCAAAGTCAGCACAGGAACGAGCTGCTTCTTCAATTTTCACAAAATAAATCCAAAAATCGAAGTTAAGTAAGCAAATTTATACATCCAGTAACTGCGATAATAATTTCCATTCCAGCAATCGAATCATAAAAAATGATTTCAACTGCTTTTGATCACAAACTTTTCTGATGCTTCTATCCAGCTCCAAATATCACTAACATGGTAATTTGTCTCCACAAATGTCCAGAATGAGATCATATACGATACAGTGCAGTATTCCGAATATCTTTATTACTCAAAGAGAAGTATTGCTCTATCCAGACGACAAAAACTTTGACGAAGCTTCATACGATGGCCACGGCTAGCAAGATGCTCTTCCTTGCTTTGAATGCAGCAAAACCTCAATTGTGTTTATGCCGTATCCATATTTAATGATGTGTTCAAATTCTCCCTTTTACAACGAGCAATTAAACAAGGGAGCAAAAAAATTGATACCTCCAGACGGCCAAGTTTTTAAAACAAGTAGGAAAATCAGAGTCTAGTATTGAAAACCAATGATAAATTCTCCGTAAGTTTGTTTTCCATCAGATGCAGATGGCTTAGACCTACGCTAAAGTTGTGGGTTTCACAGCACAAAAATGCAGATAATAAGCATTTGAATCGGACTTGACTACTGATTCATAAAATAACAGGTCATAGCAAATGCGAGCATGGAGACGAATTGAGCACCTGAGAAGATCTGCCAATAGACCATCTATACACACTGAAAAAGAATTGGTCTGTGGAACAAAGCAGGTTTATTGAATATTCACAAAATCATAAGTTAAAGCAATGGTTTGAGTACTACAGTAGATTGGTAGTAAAATGTTTTGAATGACAGTTAGGAGTCGTTCTCGTGTTGCTCCACGATCCAGAAGGAAAGTAACACGAATTAGGTTACCGAGTCTGAGAAAGTGAATGTAGCGTAGGGCAGACAAAAGGGTGGGGAAGAACGAGATTGGACTTAAAGATTTCGTGTTAAAGGGCAAAACGGGCTTTATGTGGAGGCCGGCGATTGGAGATTTTGTGTCATATGATCAGTTGAAGCAGTGCAGCGTTGACCTTGAGCCAGCAAATCTTTGAAGCGATGTTTTTGAGGATGTTATTCCTACCAATCCAAATTAACAGCTGACTGCGTTTTCATGGAGAAGTTTCTCAAGAACAAATTTTCGAATTATTGAGGCAACTGTATTTCAACAACCCAATCCGTACAATTCATATCTTCTTAAACTAAAAAAAAAAGATTCTTCCTTACACACGACCACAATTTGTTATTGCTATAACTTGAATGGTTGGTTTTCTCTCCTATTCTTATTTTAAGTAACAGTATGTGTTTACACTGCTGCAATTGCACTCCTTAGCTTGTCCCCTATAACTGCCCTGCAACGATTTTCCCGTAACGTTCTGATAGAAGATAACGAAGCAAAGCAGACATTTTCCCCCTAAACCATGCAACCTTCTTCCTGTTGTAGCCCTCTTTCTATTGCAATGACAAAGGGTTGAAAACAATATGAACACGGCAGCCAGCATTGTAAAAGTTTGCGGCGATTTTTTATGTAAAAACACCTAAAAACTAACCAATCGAATATAATTCTTTTCACAACACCCTTTAATCAATACTTCTTGATTCATGGGCTAACTAAAATTCCAATGTACTCATACAGGATAACGCTAGTTGAATAAAAAGGATGGTAAAGCTATAAAAGAAACATTACAATTTCGCAAAGGACAAACGTTAATCAATCACGGGGGTTATTATTTGAGGCAGTAGAAGCAATGTTGTGGACTCTTCCTTCTGATACGTTGGTATATTATCTCATGGTAACAGCTGGCTTAGTATCGACCCATTTGGCCATTAAGTTGAAGAGGATTCGAGGTCTAGAGACAAACGTGCAACGAATCGTTTCTCTTTTTGCTAGGAAAATTTAGTTTTAATTTCATTCAACAGATTAGCAAAGAAAGTGAACAGTTAATAATTCTTGAAAGTTTTGGTTGCATTTGAAGAGACGTCTTGAGCAAATCGATGTATAAATGCTATTTAATGATTCTCAATCGTCTTGCAATACATAGGTCCCTCTTTCCAAACTCACCCCGTACTCCCTTACAGATCAATCAAACTTCTAAACACCTTCGTCGAGAACAATAACTCGATTTATTTTATGAGACCAATGTGAAGCGGATAAAAAGATGGTTAAAATTGTAACAAATTCATTCGCAGAAATGAGGTATCAACAATGAACATATAAAACACTTTCTTGCTAATCCAAAGTTTTGCAAGAAATACACATTTCAGAAATCTAAAAGAATCCATAATAATTGCTGAGGTTATCGGGATTAAAATCAGTTCACCTTACTGTGAAGTTTACCTTGGAAAAGCTAATGCTAAATCCTCTATTTCAATGCAAACGAGATTTTCGTCATGAATTTTCTTCCTCAGAAAACCTTCTTTGTTTTGCTTCATACTAGATTTCTAAATTGATTGCAGATAATTAGAGCAGTCTTTGGCTGCATTTTTAACCGGGAATTGTAAACAGGAACAAGCATCTTGAAAGGAAATGATCCCATTCGACTCAAATTCATATGAACAAAAACAAATACATAAGAGGCCAGTGACTAACCATGAGCTATACAAAAAAAAGCAGTTGAGCACAGTGTCCACCAAATTGAGATTTTAAGATCTGTGTCGTTAAATGAATGGCTAAATCTATTTCCCTACCTGGCGAAAAGAAAGAGTATGGGACCATAGGCCCAGTGGACCCCAATAGTGAGCTGTAATAATAACGGGAAAAGGAGGGGTTTATTCAAAAAGGGAAACTGGACAGACCATGAAAATTTGATTATGCTAGTTTAGTAAGAGAAACATTTCTTAAAAAAAATTATGGAGAAACAAGAGGAACACAGAGCGTTTTGAAACTTTGAGCGTCAATAAGAAGAGAGTTATATGTAAGGAAAGTTGTTGATGTGAAAAAGTTGATGTTATGAACAAAACAACATTGCGCAGCTCAACAGAAGAAAAAAACAGAAGTATGTATAATAACAAAGACAATGTATAATATGAAACTTTATTAACAGATTTCATCTACTTCTAATAGATCAATAAGCAACTTCTAATTTTAGCCTACAAACAGTCAGGTTTACCGAGCGTACACAGCTGGACTTGGGCTAACCTTTTTACAACACAATGTCCCATATTTTACCACTGGTTCAACTTTACATTGCCTTCAGATGCCTATCTCCATAGCTGTGGCAACAATGTAGACTGGTCTCCCTTCTTTCTGTCATAATATTGTCCATTTCTAATGTACTGTTTGGTTACCATGTGTTTTCGTCTTCCTATAATTGGCCAACGTTGCGGCTCAAGGCACGCTTTACTTCCGCCTGACCATTTAGTCAAAATGACGGGAAAAACTTTTCAGTCCAGCAAAGTACAAACTTTCGTGTAGTAAAAGGAACAAGCTTCTTTCATCAAAATAAATGGGTGACCGCGACATTGGAAAAAGATAAAATTTTCCTTTAGAGAACTGTAAGCTATCACACAAAGAAGTTTGTTTAATAATCTATGAATGAATGGGTTTGATTGCGTTTAGAGCGACTCAAAGTGGCAAAATTAATTCGATATCGGGGCCTGAGTGCTACAAATTCTACCCAAGCCCTAAGTAGTCTTCTTCCGACACTGATCAACCATTTTCTTAGGTGACGCAATAAATTAAACACGGGAAAAGAGTGTTCTTTAGTTGCTCAACGATATCTCTAACCTGTGCTTAATGAATCCTTGTGAGCTCTTCAACTTGCTTTATAAGATCCTCTACGGTGCAATCTCTTTTCATACCATCGACCTCTATCTGCAAAGCGAAAACCAGAAAATGTTAGACTGTTACTCTAAATAAAACATAGGAGTAGAGGGCTTCATGAGAAGATGGCCTCTCGAGAAAGCAACCAATTTTTCCAATATCTTCCGCTGAATTCTCCGGGTTTGCCAACTTTGCCCTAAAAACTCAATTCATTTATGCATTACATCATTTATGGATCTTTAACAAAGTCAAGAGAAATGTTTCCATCCTCTGGCCGAGGAGACAAATATTTAAAATTTAAAACAACAAAGAAATATAGTATTTTGGGTGTGGAACTTCAGATTTTTTATTGCGATTGATATTTTTCAAGGTCTTGGACCGCTTGACTGCCAATTTTTCTGGACTCTGCTTTAACCGTATACGGTTTTATCAATGTAAAGATAAATTTTTGTGAATACGACAAGCCTTCAAGTAGGGCAAGAAAATATGAACGAATATTGCATCGGGGCAGAGTTGTTGAGCATTTTGTGGTAACTAGATTCATGATCAAGGGGCTGGATTTTGGAGGCGTCTAAACAATAGGGACCCCCAATATTTCTCTTTTGAAAAGAAACATTAAATCAAAAGCATCTTATTGTATGACGTCAGTTGCGTGACCATTGTCAAACTGTCAATAAGAACCCGATCAACTAAACAGAATAGCCAAACAGAATTGCCCGAAAATGATTAATACCAGAATTTTCTAGAAAAACAAACTTTGTTTAGTTGGTTGTTAGTTGGGCTGGTTTCAAAAAATACCTAAGAGCAGAATTTAAGCGATGTTCATAATCGTTGTTGCTGGGACAACTGAAGTTGTTGTCATGGAGATCTACGTTTTGTTTGTCATATATCTCAAGCACAGGAATTTGCTGCTTGCATTTGTTAATGACAAGTAAAAACATGTTTAGCAATGCTCATAAAAATTTCACAGCTCCTTGTGAAGAAAAGTATTTCAGCTGACGAGAGCAGCTTATATAAACAACAAAAGATTACAAGGGCCTACCAGAAAAGGGGACGAAAACGGCGGCTGATTATCAACGCCAAACCGGCACATGAACATTGACGTCAACTTCTGATATCTTTTCATTTAACAAAAGATCGTTAAGTGCACAATTTGGTCAGAAAGTTACACTTTCCTGGTGTTCGAAATAAGCGTGAAACGCAGCGTAGCAACTTAGAGCCGTCCTATTCTAAGCACCAAGTAGCGTGTACAGCTCTGCCTATACAGTATCGAGCACTGCAGAACAGATCGGTCAACAGTAATATTTTTATTAGTCAAAAAGAAGATAGCAATATAACAATGCTGAGAAATTACCTCAAGCCCTTTGACTACCTCTTCCATCTGAACTCTCGGCAAATCCAAGTAGCTTTCGATGATGTCACCGTCGATGTATCCTTCAGATGGTTCGGTTCGCCGCTCATTTGAAAATGACCGCCACGTGCAATTGAGTTAAGAAAAAAGAACTTTTAATCTTTGATAAACACTATTTGAAAGGTTGGAATCGAAAAAAATACAACGAAGTTGTAGATGGAAACGTGAAGACATGTAGAAAAGATCAGATTCAAGAACACGATAAAAAATAACGTAAAACAGCATGAGACAGTCTCGAACCAGAGAAAATTAAAAAACAGCAGCTTCTTCGAGTCGAAATGTTCGTAGCTTTTGCAACAAAAACATGACATTCAACCTATTTTCAGTCTACGACCTTTATCCTACGACCACTTAACATTTCGGATCTCAGATCAATCCAAGGGGGCAATAAGGCAGCCGTTTCTTTGGGGCAGAGGGGGGGGGGCTACTCCTTTCTAGAAACGTTTCAAATCCAAGCGTTGAAATATCCTATTGTAGCCTTGTCAAAATGGCATGTTGTTGTAGAGGGAGAATATAATCAGTAAATTCATTCGACTCTGCAGTTAAAGAGATTCGTGACGGATTCAAAGAGGCCTAGAGGTCAGGCTTTAATTAGGCAATCTATAACCAGCAGGGAGACAAGAGTAATTGGTTAATGAGCTTTAATCAAGTAACTGCCTCCAACAGGTGCCTATGCATACGTGAGTGTATTATGTGCAATGGATACCTGAAATATTTACAGAATAGCAAAATGCAGGCATCTTATGATAATAGCATGTGTGTTTAGGGCATTGCCAACAATGCGTCTTGCCAACTTTGAGTAAAGTGGACCCTATCCCATTAAGGCACAGATTTTGTGATCAATATATTCTACTGAACTGTGTCCTCTGTTTTACATTCATTCATTTTCATGACCTTCCGTTGCTGGCAAGTGTCCGTTAAAGGAAGTTTCCCTTTTATCGTAATTCCCAATGCAATGGCATTGCCAGCAAAATAATCGATTTAGTCTTCAGCAAAACAATCTGTCCCGGTAATCTGCTAATAGAACCTTAAGAACCCGAGAAAAATTTACATAGATCGTTGCCGTTGTACAAGTTTTGTATGTGAAATGCTAGAGATGCAGTGATGTTAACTATTACTTAGTAGAAGTGGTTCTTTTCTACTGACTAAACACTGTCCTGCCAAGATTTCAACAAAGCCGAAGGACTCGATCGTCAGAACAATGCTTTTACCCAGCTTCAAGATATCAGCTTTGCAAAACAATTTCTGTATATGGCTTATATTGGTTTTGAGTTTTTTGGCGATTTGGGGCGACGTGTCTTCTAAGAATTAGCCAGAATGAGGGTTCATGTCTGATCTTTGTCAATGCAAGATAGATCTCACTTTTTCAAAGCAAGGCTAAGAAACTTTTGGGAACCAAACATAATATCATGACAACTCATAGGGAGGAGGCGTTTATGAGGTCAAGATCTAATGTCCCACATAACCTGTAAGGGCTCTACTTTCAATTATAAAATGTGTCTGGTCGATCTTAAAACATGTTAGTTTCCGGGCTAGATACTGCAACCAGTCATAAATGCCCTAAGTGTTTGTAAAAACAAAACGAAAGTAGCTTTTTATCTTTCAGTTTCGACAAGGGCAGAGAAACAATTGGCCTTTTCGATTTCTATCTGATAAGCAAATGATTGACAAGAAGGCAACAAACTACCTGCACTTGAAACAAACTACCTGTACCTGCGTCCTACTTTTTTTCATCAATAAAAATGCAATGTCATTAGCTTTATGCGTAATTAGAATACAGCTTGAGTATTTACAGTTGCAAAAAGAGTAGGGCGCCAGTAACAGGTGGTATAGAGTATCCCGAGAAAACTGGATGATGGAAGGAGGCAGGCATGGCGAAGCTGATTCGCTGAGTTGAAGATACCGAAATAATTCAACGAAAAAGGTTTAGTGTGGTAAAAAGGCGAAAGAGTAGACAAAAAGTTAACCACTTTTTATCTAACTCTACTTCGAGATAATACGCGTTAAAAAATAGCAAATAGTGGGTTCTAACTGACATTTAGATCAAAACAATGCGATAGGAATAACGGCGCATTTGATTGGGTACTTCTTTTGACCAATAGGCGACTGCTAACTCTTAACAAACGATTACTTAAGAAAATGAAAACGGTGAAAGGATATGAAGAGTGTTCAATTCTTCCAACACTCTTAATGACGTTTGTGAGATTAGTTTGAACCTGCATCAGGAAATCGAACATCTCTTTTGAAATCGTCGTTACAAGGCCTAAGGACAAGAGAAATTATGAATCATCATTTCATGGCGTTAGCAGAAGTACAAATAAATCATCATCTTTTGCGAAACACCGTTTTGAAAGACAAAAAACTTGTTGATCAGTTAGCAACGAACGTCCATTTTCTACCCAAAAGCCCTTTCGCTCGGTAATATCCCACAATGCTGCATTGACAAATACTGGGCCAAAATGTCTATTTCAAATGTGACATGCATCAGCAGTAGGATCAGTCCAGTGAAAAGAATGTGTGAAAAACTTACTAAGGTATATAATTAGGTATGGAAAAAAGACATATCAAAGGTTTCTTAGAGGTGATTACCATGAAAAAATTAGAGAATAAGAGACAATTATCTTTTAATTTTCACTTTTAATTTAGCTCTAATTCTCAAAAACTCAAAAACTGCAGGACTCGAGCACAAAGGGCTGCACACTCTTTTCGTTTCTGTATTAGCCGGTTCTTTTACCGGGGGTTATCAAAAGGCCTTTGTACTGGAGGAGGTGGTGAATGTACGCGAGGTAAAGTTTGTTCTGACTTACCAATAGCTCCACTGACTGTTCCAAAGAGAATCGAAGATTGGATAGGTGTGACTTGTTCATTTGCATGCTGGATGATCAAAGAGCCTACGAAAATATTGTACAGCATCATAATAACAAATAAAGAAAACAATAATTACTTATTTAGGACCAACACCCATTTAGCAATGCTGATTAACATGAGGCCGTCCATTTACAAAAAACTAAAACTTACAAGTTAAAAGCTTTAACTACTCGTTTCATAAAATCTTCAAACTAAAGTAGGATGAACGCATAACCCATCAAGAAATTATCAAATTTAATGATTGTCAAATTTTGTGATTTGAACTTCCTTTTTTAAATAACTCATTAGTTTTCAATGCGATTTCAATTTATGGTTTAGGTAAAAATCCTTAAATAAACAGCAGATTTTTAAACGTTATGCATAAACGTTTCGCCTATATCGAAATATAAATGTCATCCTCAGAGCGAAAGCATTAAGCAGAACCAGTAATAAGAATATTGTTTTATTTGATTCTTTTAGCCTGGACACTTTCCAAAGAATGAAGGAATTTTCACTTAACAGAAGAAATCAACAAAACTTGACTTCAAAAGGTTGACGTGATATATTTCATTTCGTTACAGGTGAGTGTATATGGCTACCTGCTTTGAATCCCTTCAACACCAACTAAGCATTACCTTAAGAAAGTCTTCGAAGTTTTATTAAACTCAAGGTTGTCTAAAATAACACTTTTTTAAATCACTTGGATCCTATGGAGAACTCTTCTAGGAGATCTCGCTTTGAAGCAAAGACTCGAATCCACAAAATCTAACAATTTGAGCCTCCGCTTTAGTAAAAACTAGGCTACAGCAAAAAATATACATGGCACTAAAATCTCAAGCTTTACTGCTTGTTGCCCTGTAACCTTCAGTTTTGTTGTTTGCATCCCTGTAACTTTTAGCCTTGCAACTCATGTAGCCTTTTGCCTTTCAGCTTGTACCCAGTATTGCCTTGCAGCACTAGGCTTCGTAGCTTGTGCCACAGAGGCCACAAGCTTTGTAGCTCGTAGCCCTGTAGCTTAAAGCCCTGTCGCCCTTTATCTTTACAAAATAAGAATCTCAGTACATCTTACCATGTCTAAAGACGTTGACGAACTCTCCCAGGTGAAACCTTCCTGTTTCATTTAGAGTATTACGCTCATCATCTGAAGTTGCAGCACTGTCCTTTTGACATGTAAACAGATTATATGAGTTTTCTGCTCCTAGAAATGTGTCGTCGTCAATTATTTCAACCGCAGACATCCAATTTGGTGAGTAATCATGAGCGATCTAAAAAAACAAAAACATGCAAAGATGGTTCAATAATAGGAAAAGACGTTGATTTGACCATATTAAGGAAATGAAACTATTGTACATGGAATGAAACTATTGTACATGGATATCAAAAGTGATTTGACTTTAGTTTATAAATGAGGTTTCTGTCATTCCAGACGTGGGAATTACGATGTGTGGTCACATCGAGAAGAAGGCACCAGGACACTGCTCAGCTTATCAGTGTCCTGAAAATACCTTCGTTAGCCAGACAGAAACAGATACAGATTTTTAATAAAAATTATTTTGTGAAAGGCTCCATAAAAGGTTCCGTGGGACTCCTATTTACAATGTATTAAATATTTGTTCTTGATTCATATCGCCCTTCAGGTTGGGTTTATTGCCTCGTTTTGTTTTGAAACTCGTTTTGACATTGTAATGGCTCATAGATTAATGATCTACACAAATCAAAATTGGACTTTTTGACTGATATCTTTAGAAAGTGCCCTTTACGCTAGTATTTTCCGAACCCTTGCAATTTGATATAAATATTGCAATTTTTGCATAAAAACTCCCATCGCTTTTCTCTTCCATCAACTTTCCAAAATTCTTGCCATTACACATTTTAAGAACGTTATCTTTTAGATAAACCTTCTCACTGCTTTTGGACATTGGAAAAAAATCCAGAACTTCATAGCATACATATAACCTTTGCCAAAACACTTGAAAACCTTCCCTAAACTCTGCCAAAGAGTAGAGAAATGATAGCGTACTTCCTCTATTCTGCCTTCCATTGGTTTGTAAGCAAGAAACACCATCGACCTCATCACGTCACCAACCTAATAAGAGTAGATAGCATTTACAAAGTAAGGCAAAGTTGAGCGGCAAAATATTCCAAAATGACAGCAACTGGAATTCCCCCGCCTTTGGAAGGCAAACCCTTTCATCAAAGGGTGCGATGAGAGGTCAGAGGATAAGGTCACAGACTACATGTCCAAAGGATCTAGCCCTAACCCTTACTCTAAACTTAACCCTAACCCTAACCGTATTTTTAACGTTAACCCCAACCGTCTATTAAAACAAAAGGGCCACCAGCTCTCTAATTATAAGCATAGAAATGAAGAGACTTTGTAACATAAAGTGGAGGGCTCAGGGTACTTCTTGATAAGCACAGCTTCTCAGTGATCTGAAAATACAGAAACATACTTCTATCCTTAACGCAAAAGTAATTTATCTGTTTTTCGAAATAGCAAAAACTGCATCTTGAGAAAAACGGTACACACATTTACAAAATTTGAAAGATGCAAAAATACACCCCTATTTGCTCACCAGTATAAAATCACCTTTGGTCTTCAAATACAAGGCAAGGATGACATTACAGTACGAGCATTCTTGTTGAAGCTCCTTCTCAGCGGTCCACTCAAATATCACCACCTTGAATATAAAACGAAAGCACACATAACTTTATGATTAACTAGCTTATTTCTATTGTAAAAACAAAGAGGACGATTGGTATTCTTTCGAGTCGATCGTAAATAATAAAAGATTTCTCATCTACATTTTTATCATATCATTTCTGTTTTCATTTCTATTGAAGAGGCGATAAGAAAGCAATCTTTACAGAGCTGTTGATCCCCGCCAGAATTTTGCCATTGAACTCCTGCAGGCAGTACACAGCACCCTTCACTTCCTTTGACGCGACTTGGATCAACTTTCCTGAAATCAGAAATAAATAACAAATGTGTCAAATCTCACAGCCTTAAAATATATGTACAAGCTTCAACAATAACATAATACACGATGTTTTCAAACTAATAACTGGGGAGGGAGGACCAGTTTGCAGTGGTGTACATTTTTATATGTACCAGCAGTGGTAGCAGGGTAGCAATTTTTCCCAATGGCACAAGCCGCAAAAGGATACTTATGCCTGGTTGGAATCCGTGATGTTAAAATATTTCTACATGCAAGCCACTTTCAAGGGAAATATTTGAAATAGATGGGAAAGATAGTTGTTTCTAGAAAGTCCAGGAGAACCGCTTAAAAGAGACACTCGGCGAATAATCATCCAAAATGGGTTTTTTCTCAATGCAATCTAGGGCACTGAAAGAATCTTATAACCATGCTTAGAAAGAGCTTTTGAGAAAGAGCTTTTGAGAAAGAGCTTGTGAGACAGAACTCACCATCAACAAGTTGAAAGAGGATAATGGATCCGCTTTTTGGTTCTGTTTCCTCTGGTATAACGACCGATGTTCCAACGCAGTAGTATGTGTTTGGGTCATTGGCGAGGCGACAAGACATCAGGGCGGTGCAATGGTCCTTTTCACCGAAGTGATGCGCATGGGTCACTATGGGGAAGAAGCATAATCGTGATATTAGCATAAGTAGGGGATCCAATAAAATCGGTCTGTTGCTGAGACGCTCTTTCGAAAATGGTTGTGGGTATGTTTTATGACATTGAAATACAGTTGGTCTGTTATTATAGGCATATTACGAAGCAAATGGATATGCAATATGTTAATTTGCCACCCACGATAATTTGCTCTATTCACATGGCCATAAAACCATAAATACTAAAGTTTTGCTAAGCTGCAACGTATTCTCATTCCTGCTGATAGCTTCGCTGCTTTTTATCGACGCATTTTTTAAACAAACTCGATCGATTTGTAACAAATGCAGCACACTGAGAGGAATTTCGTAGTGTTCTTTCAGATTATACGCTCAAAATCCAAAAGAACAAGCTTTGATGACGTCATCATATGGTCTTTAAAGCGGCCTACCTTCAAACGTGTGCTGATCGACAATTAGAACTGAGAATAGCTCCACCTCTTCTAAGAGGATACCATCATTGATCTTACTGCTTGTAGCCATCACAGCATCAGGACCTTGCGCAGAACAGTATGTAATGTTGCTCGCGGTTAGACTTGCAGAAAGGTGGGTGGGGAAGCTTTTGCCTGTGGCAGAGTCCTGTAATTCTGTCCTCCGCGATATGACAGCAAAGCTCTGTGTAGATTCTTGATACGCTATTCGCCTGCATATGAAAAGAAATATATCAATCCTCTATTAGATTAAATACATCCAACCTCCGACCACGCCCACCTTCCGACCACACCCACCTTCCGGCCACACCCATCTTCCGGCCACACCCATCTTCCGGCCACACCCATCTTCCCATCACACCCATCTTCCCACCACACCCATCTTCCCACCACACCCATCTTCCCACCACACCCATCTTCCCATCACACCCATCTTCCCACCACACCCATCTTCCCACCACACCCATCTTTCCACCACACCCATCTTCCCATCACACCCATCTTCCCATCACACCCATCTTTCCATCACACCCATCTTCCCATCACACCCATCTTCCCACCACACCCATCTTCCAACCACACCCATCTTCCCACCACACCCATCTTCCCATCACACCCATCTTCCCACCACACCCATCTTCCCACCACACCCATCTTTCCACCACATCCATCTTCCCATCACACCCATCTTCCCACCACACCCATCTTCCTACCACACCCATCTTTCCACCACACCCATCTTCCCATCACACCCATCTTCCCATCACACCCATCTTTCCATCACACCCATCTTCCCATCACACCCATCTTCCCACGCCCACCTTCCTTGATGAATACCAACCACTTGTATATTGTGCATTCCGGTCTATATCTGCGAGCGGGATGTTTGGTTTATGCAAATCTTGCTTACCGCACAACAGAAGGAACATTAGGCAAATGTAACAAATGTTTCAAAGCTTATGAATTTCAAAATAAAAGTCGACCTCACTTCTGCTTAAAGAACAAGCCGATATTTTTTACATTTCTGTCAATAATATTACGGAGGACAGAGGGGGTGGGTTGAAGTTTTGGAGTAGACCATAGCAAGTGCTGACAAATAAGTTACCTTGGCAATTCTCCTAAAGGAACAGTTCGTATGTGAAGCTTCTGTATTTCATCGATTGTGCCAATTGTCAGGGTATTCTTGTCAGCAATTGCAAGACTGAAATGCAAGCCAATGTCATTCTGTGCGAAACAATCATATGCAAAAAACTGAGATTTTACATGAGAAATTGATTCCTCTTAAAGCACCCTCGAGTGACTGAGGCCTTCCTCTGTAAATATTTGTATTATTATTATTATTATTATTATTCACTGTTGTTTACTAAAGAAATCTCTGATATCATACAACTGGAGCACTTAAGAACAAAAACTTCTTCTGAATTAATTCAAAGTCTACTATGAAAAATAGATAACTAAATTTTGTATGGCCATCATTTTTAGGTTAAATCCTGGAATGGCAGATACATCTATAACAACACAACACTGTTTAACTACTTCGAGTGTCCATGCAGTGTTGGTACCGATACATGGAGAAGGTGACGTACCTGTCTTGGTAACCTTCAGAGTTCAATTGACAAACATAGCTTACATCCTATGAATCAAAAGGTGTCTGGATCAGTAGTTATCATTTATTAAAAGTATCATAAACAAAGAGCACTGATAAGAACGAATGTCAGGAACAAAACAACACGATGACGTTAAAGTTACTCAGATGAAACCATTTATGCCGGGGCGTAAGTATTTATCAAATTTACATTGGATTCTCGTCGTCGTATTGTTTTGGTCCTGACTATTTCTCGTATTATGACCGATTGCAAGATTCACAGAATCCCGCAGACAGCATATCCTGCATTTCTTCCTTCTCACACATACGAACGATTGTAAGGAATAGTTACACGCAGTAACTCAAAGGATTACTACTTGGAAAATCTATATATAAAGAAGATGACAAATAGTGTTTACTTTAGTCAGTGATTCACATTTTAGAGAATTTGTCTGTGGACGATTATAGATGGTATCTTTGAGCTCGATGGAAAAATGCTTTGGAAGATCTTAAAAAACAGTTTTCGATGTCGATGTGTGTGAAAATCTATAGAACTAAGAGATTAGAGATAAAATAAGTCCTTTTAACGATGATATATGTCGATGTGTGTGCAAATCTATCATCGTTGAAAGGACTTCTTTTGATCTCTTATCTCTTAGTTCTATCCGGCATGGAGCTGCTTCTAAAGGAAAGAGAAATAAAATCTTCCTTTAAGGTTTAAGCAATCAGTAGTTTTTGCATGGTTTTCGAATGTAGGTGGACATTTAATACAAAACAAACCTTCAGATTAACATTTGAGAAAACAAGTTTTCTATTGCTCGAGTAAATAACAGTTGGTCGATCTGAGCAGGCGAAAACATTTGTTGTTACAACCGATTTGAAAGTGCGAAGGACCACAGGCTGGGTGCCTAGGGTTACTTTCTTTCGTTCGCTCATTTGCCCTGAGAAAATAAAAAGCAACCCGGATCAAAATTTGCTACGATGATAAGCTAAAATTACAGCAGATGTTGAAAGAGAGTAATGATACATCATATTGCCTAAAGATCTATTCTTTGATATTTTTTTTCAGTAATTTATTTTAGGAAAATATGGGTACTTGGCAGTAACATTAGGGGTGGGTGACTGGCTAGATTCATTTTTTGGAAAATTTCATTATTTACTTCAACATAAACCACTATGACTGGGTAGGCAAGGCTTTACGTTAATTCAACTTGGTGCAGATCAGTCAGTTGTTTGTACTTTCTGATTATCTCACCCCTTTTTTTATGGCCCCTCTTTTTTACCTCTTTTTAGAGACAGCGCTTGCCCACGTCTAATTAGGCGTCAGATAGTAAATTTATTACTTTGGGAATTAGAAATAGTCTAAAATTTGAGCGATTCATCTTTGATTTGTATTTTTATGTTACACAATGAGTAGAAGAGAAGGCATGTTAAGTGTGGCAAAAATGCAAACGGTTAAGAGTGTTGATGCATTAATGAGTTTTGCTATACTTAAAACGAGCATAGTGGTCAAATCTCTGATGGGCTGAGAGCTCTGATCACTACTGTTTTCCCCCACAAGAATAAGCCAATGAGCACACAGTATTCTTACAACAAATCGCTTCGCAGCTAGAATTGGGCCCATTTTGACCGCTATGCTCTTAGGACTATGTTTTAGAAAAAGAATTATTTTGACTCAAATGAGCAACAAATGGCTAGATATAGGGGGATGAACTCGCATGGTAAACAAAACCAAAAAATTAGGTTCTTAGGGATTTGAAAAATCAAGACATCATTCGAGAATACTTGAGCATAATACAGAAACCACCATGGCTGCTTTGAATTCTGAAAACTGGAGGCTTCAAAAAGATAAGGAGTAGGGGTAGGAGATGTGTGATTGGAGGTAGCATGTTACCTGTAGATGAATCCAAGCAAAAATAAAACAGCGTTCCATCGCCAAGAGCACAGAGCACATAATCAATCTCTTCAAACGTAGTCATGAGAATTGATCGAGGGATTATTTCTGAAAGGCGAAAGAATGTCAATGTTTATATGTTTGCATGCTTTAATGAAGGACATGGCAAAAGATAATGGGCAACGCAGATAAAAGGGGCAATTGGTTTTTTGGGGGGGGGGGTTGGTTAATGACAATAGGCCATTTCGGGGCTCGCGACGCCATCATGGAATTCTATTGTTCTATAACAAGTTCCAGTCTCTCAGTTAGGGCAACCATAAAAAAATTCATGGATTAAGGCCACTCTTCTATTTTTCAAAAGGTGAAACTTCTTTAGAATAAAGGAAAAAACTTTTAGAATGATGCAGATCCAATTCAGATGCCACTAGCATTTTCCACAATCCAATCCCAATATAACCAAAAAAACGAAATTCCCTGGACTCCGCGTAAGCTGTAAAGGCCATCATGAGTCAGCCAAACAAAGAGAGGCAAATACATTTAAAACTAGGGTCACGAACCTCCTCCGAGCTTTTCAGCGTGAAGTTCTTTCAGATTTGGCAGCTTGAGAATTCTTGCAGAAATATCTGTCCATAAACCAGCAGAAACGAGGCTTGATTTTCCTGTGTTTCCACCTAAGGGCAATGGTAAAGGGTTAAAGGTCAATAAAAGTCGGTAAAGGGTTAAAGGTCTTAAACTAATTGAAAAAAAGAAAAAGGTCAAAAATGAGCGATAAAATATGAAAGTTTACTTCAAACAAGTTTATTTACAAAACACAAGCAGCATAATTTTCAAGTGATTAGCAAAATATCATTTATAAAAAGGCAAATATATCTAAAGGAAACACAATTATTATAACTGAAACACGAACCTGTTTGAGACATGTCCAAACATGCTATTTCATGTTCAAGAGTTACATTACTGAAATGGAGATTCAAGATAAATTCAGGATAATTGATAAACATGATAAAATACTAATTGTTTTGAGATATAACGTTTATCAGATATAATTCTTTGCTTGAAGAAACAAAGCCTACGCCGTAGCCCCCCCCCCTTCCAAATGAAAATAGGGGAGTCTATCTTCTTTTGGTATGGGGAGTGGGTCTACGGCGTAGGCTAGAAGATATAACGTTAAAAAACAAAAACCATCAACAGAAAAATCTTCTGAAAAATTGAAAATCATTTCCGGATTTCTATTTAGAATTCAAATGTATTTTCTTTCAAATGATTTGCAGAAAAATATACAAGACAATTCAAGCTTTGGTGTGTAGAACACGAGAAATCTAGATTGCAACTCTGAGTTTCGCATTTTTAAGAAACTTTATAACGCTAGTATTTTGAAGAAAACTAGACTTTGATTGGCTTGATAAAAACAAAGTTATATGAACAATTTTTTTGCGGTACAGAATTTGAAAATGGCTTTGAAAAAAGCAAACATTTTACAACATACTTAAAGCTTTTTCGTCTGACACTCCTCAGAGCATAAAACGTCAGAATAGGTTCCGAAAAAACACGTTTGAAAAATATATACCCAGTTGTGGATCGAAATAGGCCAATCAGAAAAACGTAAGCACAAGACCGGTATAGTTGACCAATCAGTGCCGCGAGCCTAAAGAAAAATTACCAATGGAGTCCAAGAGAGAAAACGAACTCCTTTTGTCTACACAATGGCGGCTTTTTCGTTTTTATGTAGATTGACTCCAAAACTGCTAGATGAAAGGACGACCGGGCTCTGCCAATTATCCGAAACATGTCGTCATTATAGAGTTTTGCACAATCTGGGTTGTCTAAAAGATGTTGACCAATGGCAGAATCACTTGTTTTAACAGTGTTTCTAGACCTACAAGATCGAGGAGGCTGTTCTCTTTGAAGGGCAGTTTTGTTTCGTGTTTTTTCGGAACCTTATTCTGACGTTTTATGCTCTGAGGAGTGTCAGACGAAAAAGCTTTAAGTATGTTGTAAAATGTTTGCTTTTTTCAAGCCATTTACAAAGTTATATCCATTATTTTTTGAACAAAGATGCTCTTTCATACATCGCTCTGAAAACCAACAACAAAATAATTCGGCATACCTTATTTCATTTAGAGACTCTCCGTCGATTTCCAGGTAAAACAACTGCTTACCAACAGCCAGTGCGATCTGAAGTCCGTTGCAAGTTGCCACGCTGATATTTTTAGAAGCTGGGTGTCTCCATTCACTGAAAAACAAATACATAACAATTGATATCATCATGGATTGTATGGACTATATTTTGAAAACAAATCAAAGATCAAGATTTCACAAAATAACTGATTATATTTACTTAACTATGATGAACCTCTTTATGTTGAGCAAAATACTAGATTATAACTCCTTCTTTGGTAAATATTTTCGTCGCACAATATCGTTCACGTTGAATTATCTTTTTTCAATTCTTTGCTTTCTTCCTGTCCACCGTTTTTATGTTTATCTTACACCGCAAGAAACTGAAAATCTGGTGTAATTTTGGCATGTTCGCCTTGACGGAAATTTACAATTTAAGAAGAGAAAAGCAGAGGGATAAAGAAAATAAATAAATAAACAAATACATACATAACAAAACGTTAAGGGTGTAAAGATCAGGGATGTTTGAAGTTAACTTTTAGCATGAAACTTGGGGTGGATGACATTTGATAAATCAATGCTTATTATTCTTAAGCTAGCGATTAAATTCTTATCAACATGAAGTTAAGCTAAGAACTTAATAAGAGCTAAGAGGCTCTGCTTAAACCGTTTGCTTATTTTGACTTCAAAAATTGTGATGAACTGGAACATGGTAATCAAATATGGCGGAAGCACAGCATTTGAAAGGCGTTGTTTATATTTGGTTGCGCACACCAAGCAAACTTTTCGTTTGTTTTGTAAATCAGACATTTAAATATATGGAGTTCAGCCTCCTTGCATTGTTTTTCAATTTTTCATTTTCAAATAACTTAAGGAGGGTAGCCCTTCAGCGAACTCTGCAAAATCCTATTCATACCTTACTAAAAGGGGGGCTTAATAGAGAGAGGCGAAAAAAGAAGAGGGCTTGATAGAGCTTTTGCAGTAATCCTAATCATATCTTACTAAAAGGGGGGCTTAATGGAGAGTTGGGCGAAAAAAGAAGGGGGCTTGATAGAGCTTTTGCAGTAATCCTAATCATATCTTACTAAAAGGGGGCTTAATGGAGAGAGGGCGAAAAAAAAGGGGGGTTTGATAGAGCTTTTGCAGTAATCCTAATCATATCTTACTAAAAGGGGGCTTAATAGAGAGAGGCGAAAAAAGAAGGGGGCTTGATAGAGCTTTTGCAGTAATCCTAATCATATCTTACTAAAAGGGGGGCTTAATGGAGAGTTGGGCGAAAAAAGAAGGGGGCTTGATAGAGCTTTTGCAGTAATCCTAATCATATCTTACTAAAAGGGGGCTTAATGGAGAGAGGGCGAAACAAGAGGGGGGTTTGATAGAGCTTTTGCAGTAATCCTAATCATATCTTACTAAAAGGGGGCTTAATGGAGAGAGGGCGAAAAAAGAAGGGGGCTTGATAGAGCTTTTGCAGTAATCCTAATCATATCTTACTAAAAGGGGGCTTAATAGAGAGAGGCGAAAAAAGAAGGGGGCTTGATAGAGCTTTTGCAGTAATCCTAATCATATCTTACTAAAAGGGGGGCTTAATGGAGAGTTGGGCGAAAAAAGAAGGGGGCTTGATAGAGCTTTTGCAGTAATCCTAATCATATCTTACTAAAAGGGGGCTTAATGGAGAGAGGGCGAAAAAAGAGGGGGGTTTGATAGAGCTTTTGCAGTAATCCTAATCATACCTTGCTAACTGCTTTGAGGCACAGCTAATGAGTCGAACGGATTCTTCAGTGATCTGAAAAATTGAAAATGTTCCTCTAAGTTACATTTTCGTTATTTAAGTTAAAAAATTGCAAATAGCATATTGTAAGAACCAAAACAAATAAAACAAAGACCTACTTGGACTAATTGGTTCCCAATTACATTTCCGCAAAAATAAGTCTGTTTTTCACCATTTAAACCTTGTATTTCTGTTTCCTCAACTTCTTCGCCGTTCAAGGTTAGAACTCTAAAAGTAACAAAGAAACATTTAAAAGTATGAGCTAATTACAAAATCTCTCAGGGTGGACACGCAAATCTATTTTTTCACGCTGAAGAGTTTGAGCAACAGTTATAACAAAAATAAAATGAAATAAAATAAAACAAGTCAACTGTGAAAAAAATTTAATAAAATTTCTTATTTAATTTTATCTAATATGGCTGACTGGTTGACAACAGTGTAAATGCTAGAATGCAACGCAATATATATGTTTGATATTTGGGCAGAAATAAACCTAGTCTTAATAATCAGCAGCAAAGAAGGACTGGTGAGTCAATGAATGAAGTAGATATGGAAACCAAAAAACTAGATACTCGTCATTTTTTTTATGTTTTATGCTTTGAATGCTATCATGAGCAATTTCCTTTAACAAGGCAGGTTTACATTGAATAAATCAATACTTACAAGATAACTGCTAGTTTACAACGGTAAAACATAGTAAATTACCTTACTTTGAATGCTATCATGAGCAATTTCCTTTAACTAGACAGGTTTACATTAAATAAATCAATACTTACAAGGCTAGTTTACAACGGTAAAACATAGTAAATTACCTTACTTTGAAGGCTATCATGAGCAATTTCCTTTAACTAGGCAGGTTTACATTAAATAAATCAATACTTACAAGGTAACTGCTAGTTTACAACGGTAAGACATAGTAAATTACCTCGTTTGACCCACAAATGAAAGAACTAGTGTGTCATCAAAAGCACCTCCAACGCTGGAGAGTTTGACGGCCCACAGACCTTCAAAGAAACGATTTGCTTTCATAAAAATCAAAGAAATAACTATTTCACTGGCCATCGCATGAACGATAAAATTTAACAGTGAAAATTAAGAAATACAGTAATGCTACTGCTGCTGGTTTGGTAAGTAAACTCACTTAAAAATCACAACCAGTAATTCATTAGGAGAATTCTTTATTACAGGTTGATGGCAACATTAGTCGAACAGAAAACTCTGCCTATGAATGTTCTGGCCATTTGATTTGCACAGAATTTTGACGCACAGATAAATGAAAACTAATAATAAATGGGTATGCCCCCTTTCCTCACTGGGGACTATCAAACAAAATGCCTCAGCCAGTAAACCATTTCCATGCGACAACGAAAATGTAAATAGGGGGGGGGGGGGTAGAAAACGGGTCATCGTTCATTAGAACGCTTCTCTAAGAAGACTGAAACGCCATCACTTGTTGTAGACATATTCCAACCGAAATAACCATGGCTATGTTTGTCCAGTTAATACAGATACTTACCCATAATCCCTTGCAGGTCGATTGATGCATGCTCTTGGATGCCGATGCCATTTCTGATGATGCGCAAAGATCCTTCTTTGTTTGCACCAGAGCACGTGACCAACTACGACAAAAAAAGCTAACTTTTCTATAGAAGTTCCCGTCTTTTTTAAAGCGGTCAAGGAATCGAAAAAAATTCTGTGACTTCTTCAATGTACGTTCAACTCCCAGTCAAGCAAAGACTCCTAAATCTCGTCAAAGTAGTTTCTATGAAACAATCTTCCTATAAATCTAGCTATTTGATAATAATAGAATAATAGAAACTTTTAATATCTTTAAAGGGTTAACGCTTCAATAAATGACAATAACCTGTGTCACTGTGTGACTTTTGCTTTGAGTGATCAGACCCAGTATTCCAATCTTTTGGTAATACAAACATTAAAAATTGCTTTGAAAAAAGCAAACATTTTCATGCGTACTTGAGCACTTCGTCTGACACTCATTTGAAAATGACACTCAAAGAAAATAATGGCAGAACATAGATCGAAAACTCTAAGCTCATTCAAAGTTCATTACGGCAATAACCACTGGCAAATATTCTAATATTAAATAAACAAGAGAATCGAAGAATCACCTGGCCTTGTCCTTGCCTTTCTAAATCAACGACACACATATCTACAATAGGGCCTAAATTTGTAAATGTCTCCATAACGTGGACAAAAGATCCGCTCTCGTTTTCTTCTGTATCCAGCTAGAAAAAGAGAGAAACGTCGTAATTTTAAATTTCACAGTCATAGCTTTGTATAAACTGGGGCGAAATAAGTTAGATAAGGGTTTTTTTCAGGCAGAGGATTTGAACAAACAAAGATAACAAAGTTATACATTGAGAATGTAAAGCCTCTATCTTTTTAGCACTTTCACCTTGAAATGAAATTATTCAAAATGTAAAACTAGGATTTGAAAGCAGAAAAGAAGCAGCTTTGACTATCAGGCTCATTTTAAAACTTATTGATTTAGACAGAGAAGATTGGCTTGGAAATCGAAGAAAAAAAATCAAAATATATATATTGCCTATTTCATAAGGTTATAATTGATTTCAATAACATATACATGTGTTAATTTTTAGAATATATGAAAAATGTGTTGCTTTGAATAACACAAAGACAAAGCATAATAAATTAGCATAGATTACCTTGACAAGCTGTGAGTCGCCAAGAGTAGATGCAACAAAGACGACGCCATTGTCAAGGTAAGTTAAGCAGTGGGCGATTGAAGTCTAGAAGACAATTTTTTATCAAATCATGGGAAAGGACCGTTAGAAATATGCAACAGGGATAGTGAGGTTTGTAGTTAATTTATAATAAATTAAGGACTAGAGTCATAATTATGCTCGTAATTAACAACATTAAAGCGTAATTTATGATTAAGGTGAAAGAGTAGTTCTGCATGAAATCAGCACACTTTGATGTCAACTTTGACTTCAAGTTAGCAGACACCAATAATATCAGGTAGACCAAAGAAGGCCAATGCCGTAGCAAATCTACAGGAATTTCATCAAAAGACCAATTCTCCATTATTCTGTTTGGGAGGGAATTATTTTAATAAACCTAAATATCAGCGAACAATAGAAAGTTTCTGTGCACGTGAACCCCTGAAACCGGTTTTGTGAAAAATGGGGAAAATCTTTAAATAGTTCTTATTAACAGCCTGAGAATTAACAAGATATATAACTGTAGGGTGAACAGGCCCGAGTGAAGGACTGTAAATCGGGCGAATTATCGGCCATGTTTTCTCTGCGGGCATTGCAGTATCTCTGGCCTACTGCCCGTTATCTACTTCATCACGAGAATTCTTGCTGAGTCCGTTGAGCAGCTTTGCAACCGTGGGCATGGACTTATATTGACTCTATCTTGTGAAATGTTCCTTAATAGCAACAAGGTGTAAAGGTTTTCAAGTGGGAGATTTTTAAAGTCACCAAACATATGATCAGCATGGATACAAAAATGTCAAGTACCTGCCCTAAAAGCTCTACTTTGAGGTCTGTTACTTCAACACTTCCATCCATCATTTCTTGTTTTTCAAGGAAGAGCATGAACAGATTTCCACTCATATCACCTAGGAGGAATCTTGACCCATTGGCATCGACTCGCCCATAGCAGTTCAGATAACTTTGCTGCAAAATTAGAAAATGATTAAGTTAGAATCCTTGTGTTATTTTTAAAAAAAATACGAAAAATAAGTTGAAAAGGAGAGTTGTGGAGAATTACTGCTGCATACGGTTATCTTAGATGATCTTCGAGCAAATGAAGACAGAGTTTACAAAGATGGAGATTGAGATCAAGGAGTAGATAAAACAGCCTGAAACACAAATGCTAATTTTAGATTGAATACAACCATAATAGCAGCTATCATATACCAAATGCCATAAATAAATTCTTTCCGAAGCCTCAATATTAATCTCTTTTCTCAGGATCCTCTAAGGAGAACGGAAGTAGAAATAACATGAAGATTTTTTAACCAAATGACTGCAGGGCCACTTTGGCTAAGGAGTCGATGTTTTTCGAAGCAGAGCCTCAGATTCGTGCTTTTTCGTAACAAGGCTCAGACACGAACTTGAAAGAGTGAAATTCAAAACAATATTTCAATTCGAAAGGGAGTTCATAATGAACAAGATAATTCTCTAGCAAACCTTTATGACTGGAGGTGCAACAGCTTTGTAATGGTCTCCCTTGTGGTATGTGATTGACTCCTGACCGACAATCAGTGCACCACCAACAGGCGACGGGACTAACAGAAAAAAGAACAGGTTTTTAGATGAGAAAACGTCATGTTTCAAACCTACTATCGTAATAAGTTATATTTGTAGTTACTTGAAACTTAAAGAAAGATAATGTCAAACAAAAAGACGTACATTAGAATTCCTGCCATAATTGCAATTGCGGGACATAAAAGCAATCTGTAAGGGGATAAAGGAGGGCAGCTTTGATTGGGGAAAAGGTATATAAAAGAGAGCAAAACGTTGCATGACACTGTTACTCGTCATTGACACAGCTTTTGTCATTCGCTTGTCATTCATTGTCATTCAAACACCTTATTTAAGTATAAACGTGAACATCAAATTTCATTTTTCATGAAGCACGTCTTGCACTCTCCCCTCAAAAAATGAATTTGCCTTCAGAAGCCTAGTGCTCAAATCACACTTAAGTATGTAGGACAGGGTGGTCCTATGTTCAAAACTCTGAGTTTCAGGCTTAATTTGCATTTGTATTTTATTCTACCTAGGTAGTCGTTAGAAGCTATGCTTATCAAATAGTGCCTTTGTTTCTTATTGTTCTTGTTCTTAATTTGTTTCTAGTCCTATCTTTCGATGTTTGCATACTTAATGATTTTTGCCTGAAGCTACAGAGAGCTGATTGTGATTCCTAACACTGTTTATGAAATTTTGTTATTTCAGGGATTTAAACTCCAAAAACATTCGAATTGTAGTCCAGAAACGTAACATTTGAATCCTTACACTAATCCATCTTCACACATATTTATCATTAGGCAGCTAAATTTAGGTGTAGATTGAGGTGCTATTAGTCAATTGAAGGAAATGTTCAATACCCACCAGATATTACCATACAAGCTTCAAACTCAACATTATCTTGCTTCCACGGTCCCTTTGAAAACTCTTTTTCCCTTACCGAAATTTCATAAGTTTTAACATGTCTTCCACTTGTATCCTAGAAGTTTTCAGAAAATCATGAAGATAAGAAAGAATAAAACAATGTTAAAATTCTAAAAGATATGCTACCTCCAATTAAAACTGCACCATATACCGTCTCTTGTAAAACAATTTTAAAATGAAAATAAAAATCCTAAATTTCATATTTGTTTTGTTAACATATTCGACATAACATATTCAACAGATCCTACTTGATTTAAAGCTACCAAGAGAACTCTTTTTATCTTTTCTAAAAGCTCATTCAAGTAAGCCAAAAATATCTTAATTTAATACTAACCTGGTAGATAAAAACAATGGTTGGGTTTTGGCATCCATGGAGGAAATCTATATCAATGACTTGCAGCTCTTCCAGTCTGAAAAACAAAACTTTGATTCAGTTTATATTTGTTGAGAGGGAAATATCACCCCTATTGGAGTGGTAAGAAAGCTCTAAACACATCATTGTGTTTTTTAACAATAAATTATTTGACAATAATCATGGCTCCAAGGGACCTTTGCCTATAAAATGAGAATGCCATACTTGCAAGGCTGGAAGCATCAAAGCTGGCCTGGCAACTTGAGGAGGGTCGTATCTCTTTCTACCCTCCAGGCTCCCCTCAAATGCTCAAGGGGAGCTGCAAATGGCTCTCCTAAACTGTTTAAAAAAGCAAACTGCTCTCTTTGAACAGAATTTTTGACCTATTTCTATTTTTACATATCTATGAATAGCTCACCTGGAAATTACTAGGAGAGCTGTCATTAACTACTCCTCTAGTGAAAGTCTTAAGGCTAGACCTGATAAATCATCCTAAATAAAAGACAACATTTCCAAATGTCTCCTATCTGTCTCCTAGATATCAGAAACTTACCTACTGATTCACATAAAAAGGTATGCACCTACTTATATCTTGTAGGCAATAGGCAGAAAAGGACTAACAACCTTCCTCAATCAATTGGCTACGTCCTTAAGAATTAAAAAAGAAAAACATTCTAGACTCACCTGATATTAAAAGCTTTTAATGCCACATTGTTACCAAGTTCTAAAGGAATAACTTTAAAGACGCCATCATACAACCGCAGGCCAATTATCTTACAGGTTGGATCAATTACACCGATGACACCAGTATCTGATGGACGACCAATACGATCCTATAATATACAACAGTTTTTAAATAATTAGTTGAAACACATGCTTAGGGAATGATGTGATACAAACCCATGTGCCCAACCATTTTTGCTTTGCTTATAAAAACAAAAGATGTAACTTCAAACAAAAAATATTCAATAACATAACAATGTAATGTTTAAAAAAACATGTTTTCTTCAAAAATTTTGGTCACCCCATGAATATTGTGATTGATTTATTAACAGTCTTTTAGGCTCAAAAATCTGTGACCTATACATGACAGCAACTTTGGACTTACATTCATTAACATCCTGCTACAAAATTCTCAATTTTTGGAATATAATCTAATTGGATATGACATGGTCGCAGAATTTGCTGTGTATGTTCAATTGGTATCCATTTAGATCAGCGGTGCAGTGCTAGGGGGCTCAGGGTGCTGAGGCCCATTGGTTAATATAAAAAATTAGTCAATTTCTACTTTTGCTATTGTTTTTAGTAGCATTTTGTGCAATAGCCCCCTCCCTCTATTATTTTGATAGCACTACACCTTTGATTTCTCTAGTCTTGATTCTCAAGCAATTTTGAAGCAAGGACAAATCACATTAAATCATTAAATGTGATTTGGCCTATAGGAGTTGTTTCTTAGAAACCGTTTTCCCTAATGCTTGTGTTAATACTTTATGAAGTTGCAAGTGCAGCAAAACATAATTATGAAATTGGAAGATTACCTGAACATCTCCATAAGCTTTAGTAATGATATCTCCTGTTTCTTGTTTGTACCCAAGAATCGCAACTCTGTATCTTTCAGTCAATATAAACAGTAAATCTTTTCTCTCAGTCTATAAAAAAGGTGTTATAATGCTATAGCCTGTATCTATATTCAAGACAGGAATTGATGGACATTATTCAAAATGATATCTTAAATTTCTAAAAATGAAACCATCAAATAAGGAGAGAGGAAATGTTTTCTGTCTAGACAAATCAAAACCCTTTGTTTTGATGTAGACACACCTTTTAAAAGAAATTTTTTCAAGCCAGTACTTAACTTACTTAACTAATTGAAAATTTTTTATCTTTCTGAGCATGCACAGTGAAGGAAATGTTACAGTTTTATAAGCAAACCATATTTCTCAAAAAACAATCATCACACAGTATTAATAACATTTAAAACATCAAACATGGTAATATACCTCCTAAAGTGAAACTTCCTAAGAGAGACAAATTCCATAAGAGACACATCTTCAAACCTTCTATTCTGCACAAGACACTAAAAATTTCATGCTTGAAGGACAGAAGGACAATTTCTCCTTGCAATTCTGAGTATCTAAATTGTCCAACTTTCTTAGGCTACAAAAATCCTGTACTGAATTTTCCAAAGTTTATAAAATAATTTTTTTAAATATGTGAGATTCCAAAACAACAAAATTAATAGACCACCATACTTGTTGAATGATATCTTAATTAGAACTTTCAGCTATGTGCGAGGTTAGCAGCCACTGGTTGGTAAAAGCAAGGAGCCAATAAATTCAAATCCTTATAAGGAGCCAGAAAGTGAGAATAGTATACAATTACACAATCTACTTTCACCTCCAATGATCATTTAGTGTACCTCAAACAAATTTTATAAGGCCATGCCATGCCATGCTACAATTAAGGATGTTAAATTGAATTAAAAAACATTGTTTTCATTATATAATTTTGAGTTTGCAAGTAAAATACTTTGCAATTAAAGGGTGGGCACAGGTGGCCTTGCGTTTAACATGATATGAAGGATAAGTTTGGAATTAAAACTTTCACTGGCCCATTGAAAGTGTACCCATTTTCAATAAGATCACAGAGGCCAGTCTGCAGAGGGTGATAGTTCTGGATACAGGGATGAAAGGGGGTTCTGCAGTGGTTTGAAGAGGGTAAAATTTATTTACTTTACTTTGAAGCAGGCATGGATATCAATTGTTTAGCTACTAAAATAGGCTCAAAAAGTAACAAAAATTTACCGGTGGTCTGAAAAGTTGCATTGTAGCTATTCTTCCGTACAAACCAACATCAAGAACTGGTTTTAGGCCTTCTGGAGTGACCAGGTGAATTTCCAATCTTGAATTCTTTGCGAGAATAAGATTCAAATCATTTGGCCCTGTGAAATTTCCAGTTACTGCTGCATTTACTGCAGTTGGTTTCTGAGCTGTTACAACGTAATTGTAAGCCATTTCAGCTGTTTTTTATTACAGGATTGAGCTGGTTACACCATTAGGAATTCGGCCTATGGTGTGTCGAGCCTCTTCTCGGATTTTGGCGCGGAAGGATTTATTCACAAAGAGGTTTTCGTTTCATAAAGCACCAGGGAATAAATTCAAAACACTCTCCATTTGAAGTATCTCATACTTAAACGAAACTTATTAACAATGGGATCCAATCAAAAGTAGAAATGGGAACTCTAATTTACGATAACTGCATTAAGAAAGCGTAGATAAATCCAATAATGTCAACTTCACAAAACATACAGGACTTTTTCTTTCGACATTTAGCTGAGATCACAGGGCCAAGAAAACTAAGCAGCTAAACAACTCCAGTAAGACCTTTTATAAAGAAAATTTGATTGCCTTACTTTTTCTTTAGGTTTATAGTTTCCAGCAATTACCTTTTTCTCTCATTCTCCGTGACTTTTTTCTTTAATAGCAAGGCGCCAGCTAGTAAAATGTATAAATTGTACCCACTGAGGCTGTTAAGATAAACCAAGGTATACCTGACAATCTTTCAGTGTTCAAAGAGATCACTTGCAAGTAACCCCGTGCAAGTACCTAGCTTTGGTACCCTTTTCCTTAAAAACTTGATATGATATTTGTCCTAAGTTAAATGTTAAAGATCAGGGTCAAGAGATCCGAAGGCTAATCAATTAATAACCAATGAGTGAAAAATGTCTAAGGTAAACACATAGACCTAAATCTAACGTAATTTGACTTTAATTAACACAGATAACAGCGCTAAAGCAAATATCACAATCAATATAGATCAACAAATATCACATATATTCAAAATCAGTTTAAACTGTTCAAGATTAACTGCAATATGGCCAGTATAAGTTTTAAAACCAGAGCCAATATACAGCGGTTTGGTAAGGCAACAGCCCATGCTTACGTGACAATATATCAGTCGGTTTGCAACAGATTCAACCGATTTTGCAAATCTAAAGGTATTTCTCAGTGTTCTTTCAGGAGATGTGGTCAGAAATTAAAAATTATAAAAATAGATTTTTGACGTCAATTTGCCACTCTTTAGCCATGGCGAACTAAACTCCAGGGTTGCCATTTGGCCGCTTTGGCGGCCAAATTCCTCCATTCTGGCCGTTTTTCAAAGCTGTTGGCCGTCGAAAATTGATTTGGCCGGAAAAGTAAAAGTTGGTCGAAAAAGTGAAAGTTGGCCGAATTTTGGCCGCATGTCGAAAGCCACAAAAATACAAAGAAAACGGCAACTTTAGTACAGACAATATTCAACTTTTTGTTAAATGCTCTCAAAATTGCAAATAATGAAGCAAGAAACAAAAGAAAAGATAGCAGAAAATTGAAATTGAAAGCAAGTGGGAGCTTTTGTAACAAAGAAAGCAAATTTTGATTACACTATTACTCCACAGGATTAGCAAAAATGTAGCTTTTTTGTATATTTTGTTTGGCTGGCCGAATTTGAGCCGTCAACCATTCCAATCATCGGGCAACCCTGCTAAACTCTATGACAATCAACAAGGCCAGCTAAGAATTGTATTTTGAACACAAATCGAGGCACATAAGCTTGTTTTCCTAATAAAAATTTTAGACAGGGGCGGGGGTAGATAATGATTAGGTTTTGATGCCACGCCCTTAAGATGACCCGATGGAAACGCCCTTTTAAAAATTAGGCTTTTAACTTCAAGAAACAGAAGATAAGAAATTAAATAAAGTAAATTTTCTGAAACTATTTCAAGCTTCAGAAAAGTAGCATCTGTAGACTATTTCTCGTAAAATAAATTGATAGCAAGGGGACATCCAAAAACTGCTTAAGATAAAAAATTGAGGGGGGAGGGGAATATGTGGGCTCAATGAAACAGCGTCATCGCATACAGGCAATAAGGAGGGTTTAAGGGGAAAACTTGCACGCGCTCTAACCTTCTATTGAACATTCCTCTTTAGATAAATAAGATATGTAAGAAAGTTTTGGACAAATTATCCTCGAACTGTCAGATAAAAGGTTACAGGTCACAGGGGTTATTCTAGTAGGGGAAGGGGTGGGCAGCAACAAAGTGCACGCGTCTTGATAGGGAAAGAAGAGGGATAAGAAAATAAGGACTTTTGGCACACGAACGTCTAGAGTTGGCCCCAGGGAAAAGACGTAACATTTAAATCAAGCCATGGACGTGTTTTTACCAACTAATACCACTTTCAATTGCGTAATTATGTTTATCCGAAAAATGTAAACCAAACGAGTAAACAAAGTTTTACAAACAGTTAAAAAATATTGATTTTAGAAAGCAAAATGCATGTCAGTGCTGAATCCATTTTTCTCAAGGTTCGGTATGCATGCAAATTGGACCATAGCTGGCGGTCCGCACATGAGAATCTGAGTGTCCGGTCCAGCGGGTGGCATGTGTTCTTTGATCATAGCTTGATTTATAAAACCGGAGCTGTACTTCCAACCTAAGGGATTTAAAAATAATTTCAACATCGGTTAATAAAAGAAAGGAAGCCACTAGTAAGCAAGTTCTTCGTTTTTTCATGAAATAAACGACTATAATAGGCAGACACTACTTGGATTAGAACCACACTATCGCAGACACTATATCCAATTAACCTGTGCTAGCACAGTGAGCCTCGATGCGAAGAGGAGACGAGAGAGAATTGTGTTTCTTTGATTAGTTTTGTCTTTATCGATCGTTATCCCGAGTATGTCAGCCTGAAAAGACTCAGATTTTTACTTTTCACGTTTGCAAATGAACCCTTTGGCTAAATCGAACATCTCTTCTTGTAACGGGCTTTAACGAAGTTGCCTTCAAGCATACATTTAAAGTTACCCCTTTTTTGTTTTACCCAAAAGTTATGCAGTACCTTGCTTTGCATAGTCGAGTAGTTTGGTAAATAAATTAATCGTTACCTTCATCCGGTCGATCCAATGTGAACCACAAATTGAACCTATCTCCATGTTCTGCTGCAATCTGCTCGAGCTCAGATCGCAAAAGAATATCCGCTTCAGTCTGAGACAGAAAGATTAAAACAAATTTCAAAAAATCAATGCGGATGAACGAGTGCGTTTAAAACACGCTCTCTGCATCTACTTTACTTTATTCCCTAAATCTTAGATTCTCAAAGCAGGTTTATTTATTTTGGATTGCCTCTCGATGTATTGCGTTGTTCCTGCCTATTGCTCAACCGTTAGGCCTTCACACAAATTCATTTATGATAGCCTTCTCGCCCCTTTCTGTTCTTCCTTTTTACTTTAGCCTCCTTTAGGCTAGATAGAAATAAAGAGCAGATGCAATAAAAATAATTACAAATAACACTGGTCATAATAGAAACGGAAAGAACTGCCTCTGGTCTTTGGACGTGTCTGGAAAACTTGCCACAAATGAAGATAAATCTCAATCGTGTTTGCAGTCCAACAGTCTTAAATAAAGGTTTATTGGGTTATCTTTATACTGTATCAGGTTGCTTTTGGATACTTTGGGTGATGGTTTAACGTAGATTTTATCTTATTTTATAATATTAATTTCAATTATTCATTTCGGTTAATGGGCAAGTCTCACATTGTCCTTCATTCTAGCAAATAAAACAAGCAGAAAAATGGTAACCTTAAGGCTGATTTCCACGAGAAGAATTTCGCATCGAATTCGCTACGAATTCGTTTCGAAATTGTCTTTTTATTTCCACTAGACTGCGAAATCGCTGCGAAATTATATATTGATTTTCACCAAAACTCAATTTTAAGGCAACCATTTTCAGAACTGCACGCATGGCGAATATTCCTAGACTGTTTTCTTACAAGTCAAGCAAATTTAGCATGCTTTGACTGGTTATTAGGTGCTGCGGAATATTTCGACACGAAAAAGTAGAACTCTTTTCTACTTTCTTGCGAATTCGCTGCGAAATCAAAAATCAAAACTGCGCAGGCCTTGATATTTATACCTTCATCAGCGATTTTGCTGTGAGTTCGCTGCGAAATTCGCTTCGTGGAAATCAGCCTCTACACATCATATAGGCCCTGTTCACACGATACCGGATTCATTTCATATCGGATTCACTGACCCAATCCGATACGAATATTAAGCTCTGTTCACACGATACCGGATTCATTTCGTATCGGATTCATGCGTTCACACGAGCTCAAAAGCGATCCGATATGATTCCATTCCACATTCCACATTCACAGCGGAATGGTTTGACTTCGCAAAAACAATACGGAGCGTATCGGATTCAAGGGTCATCGTGTGAACAGAAGGCCTATCCAATATGAGAAGCGATCCGATACGAAATGAATCCGGTATCGTGTGAACAGGGCCATAGATACATATAAATATAAATGCTTTTTTGGTGTATGGAACGGGACGGTTCTAAGTTGCTACTCCGTGTTTCACGCTTACTACGTGGGTTCTCTCGGTTGACCTGTCATAGCGTCTCAAATAGTCGTTGAAAAAAGGGTACCATGCTAAGGGAAAATAAACCAAAAATGAGAAAACAAACTCAAAGCCATGATGCTGTATATTTTGCACCGTGATATTAGTAAAGAAATGAAACATATTTTATTACCTGGTTGGCGAAGAGTAACCACATGCTTGTTTTGTCGTATGAGTTTTTCAGTATGGCCCTGATAACTTGCAGCATTGGTGTAATGCCTAAGGGAATAAGATACCATTTTATACCTGGCCAAAAAAACAGATATTGGTATATAAGCAGATTGTTTAAGAATATTCGGGAAATTTTTTTAGCTTTGGTGTATAGAACAGGAGGGTTCTACATTTCTACTCCGAGGGAATAAGAGATCATTTTATACCTGGCCAAAAAAGCAGATATTGATATATAAGCAGATTGTTTAGGAATATTTGGAAAAATTTATGAGCTTTGGTGTATAGAACAGGAGGGTTCTACATTTCTACTCCGAGGGAATAAGAGATCATTTTATACCTGGCCAAAAAAGCAGATATTGATATATAAGCAGATTGTTTAGGAATATTTGGAAAAATTTATGAGCTTTGGTGTATAGAACAGGAGGGTTCTACATTTCTACTCCGAGGGAATAAGAGATCATTTTATACCTGGCCAAAAAAGCAGATATTGATATATAAGCAGATTGTTTAGGAATATTTGGAAAAATTTATGAGCTTTGGTGTATAGAACAGGAGGGTTCTACATTTCTACTCCGAGGGAATAAGAGATCATTTTATACCTGGCCAAAAAAGCAGATATTGATATATAAGCAGATTGTTTAGGAATATTTGGAAAAATTTATGAGCTTTGGTGTATAGAACAGGAGGGTTCTACATTTCTACTCCGAGGGAATAAGAGATCATTTTATACCTGGCCAAAAAAGCAGATATTGATATATAAGCAGATTGTTTAGGAATATTTGGAAAAATTTATGAGCTTTGGTGTATAGAACAGGAGGGTTCTACATTTCTACTCCGAGGGAATAAGAGATCATTTTATACCTGGCCAAAAAAGCAGATATTGATATATAAGCAGATTGTTTAGGAATATTTGGAAAAATTTATGAGCTTTGGTGTATAGAACAGGAGGGTTCTACATTTCTACTCCGAGGGAATAAGAGATCATTTTATACCTGGCCAAAAAAGCAGATATTGATATATAAGCAGATTGTTTAGGAATATTTGGAAAAATTTATGAGCTTTGGTGTATAGAACAGGAGGGTTCTATATTCCTACTCTGAGTTTGACTTTAAATGCAATCATAGGGCAATTGCGAGGAATAATGTTGTGCTGCCTAACTAACAGCTTACATTGATGCTGTTAGTCAGATAAATTTGCATGGCATCTTTCAGTTTATTACCCTCTTCAGGTTCAGTATGGGACTCTTGTGACTGGTAACCTTAAATACGAACTAATTCTGCAAAAATCTTACTTTTAAACTTGCCAAAATGCCAAACAGGTCAATCTGGCTTAAGTTTTAGATCAATTCTTGATCTCTATATTTTGAACGTTTACAGAACCTAGTTGAAATATCGATTTTGTAACTGTTGGAGTGTTTATCATGCATAAATGTCTGGTTTACTTAGCATTTATATAAATTTTGTTATGACTGTTTGGGATAAGATTATGGTAAAGCTTGAGACTCTTTACCTGTTCCTCCTGCAATCATTCCAATCTTGCTACACTTTCGCACAACAAGGGGTTTTGTTCCATCCTTAATTTCAAGTCTCCCTGCAAAGCAATAGAAAACCCATAGCTTCTCGTGTCATGTTATGATTTGTAAATCATTATTGTGAATAGTCTTGTTCTCAGTTTGAAGCAGTTGCAGTAAACATGTTTGTCCTTAGATAAAGGAGGTACATGAAATTTTTGAAAAAAATAGCTGACTAATCCAACTGGCAGTAAGAGAGAATATCTTTATTTTTCCAGGCTTATCAAAATTAGTTTGATTTTCATCTTTCCTTAAGAAAATAATTTTTTTCTTCAAGCAAGTACTTTTTATGTAATGGATAATAAATGTGACTTGATGACCTTATTGTAAAAACCTCTTTGTCTTGGTCTAAGGGGTATTCATTTCTAAAAACATAAGTATTGAAATGGAAGAGAACAGAATTGGAAATTTACCTGGTCCTGTGTAAGTTATTTTACCAGAAGGTCCTCGGACATCAACTGTGTCTCCAATATTCAAACTATCCAGATGCTGTGACATTTTGCCACCATCAGGGTATCTGGGATGGACACCTTTGAAATAAACCTAAACACAAATCAGAGTGGCTCAGAGTTTATAAACACAATGTAAAAAAGTCTTTACAATGTAAAAAAGTCTTTACATAGTCTATCTACCAGACTGGGAATAATCTGCTAGTAACATATAAAATTAATATAAAACAACACAATTCAGCATTCCAAGAACAAGATAAACTTGCTGCTAAATTCAGACCAGAAAATGCAGCTCTGGAGTGGAGGAGCAAGTACTAAGAAATTCCAAGACATAAAATTTAGTAAAATCTGGAAATTTCCTCAAAGGCAACAACAAATTTTGCATCCAATCTGACTACAAAAAATTCTTATAAATTTCGTAAGTTTGACAATATTTGGGCAAATCTCAAATTCTTAATTTTTTTTAATTGGACTGAAAACACCATCCTGATCCTGAACTGTTGACTGTCAAAGTGCTCAATGATGCAATAAAATTTTAAATGCAACTAACCTTTATGACCAGATCAAAATAGCCAATATCATCATCAGAGGAGACAGGAGTATATGGCCGTACAACCAAGTTTCCATTGATAATAGCAGACAGATATATGTGCTTGCCTGCAGTGAAAATGTTCTGCTTAACAAAAATATTCTAATTTAGAAATATAGATAGCTAGGATATATATTGCTTTTCCTGATATTGAATCAAAACCAATGAAAATGATGAAACAAGTTTAAAGAGACATATCAATGATAAAAGGCTATTTTTAAAAAGGAGGATTACTATATAGGAAAGGAAAAGATCTACTGAGACTTTAGAATACAGGCAAAGATCCTCCCAGCCTTGTAAAACTTAAACTAAAACAATTATTACAGTGTTATGTTGCATTGACATCAAATTAAAGAGCAATGTACCCTGTAAAGTGTCTGAATAAAGCTTATTCTTGAACCACACACTACCAAGATAATTACAAATTAAATTAATTAAAGTGCTCCTTCAAACTAAACCCAAAATCCCAAATGATTTCATAATATCATAAACAATTACAAATTAAATTAATTAAAGTGCTCCTTCAAACTAAACCCAAAATCCCAATTGATTTCATTATATCATAAACAAATACTGTCAATCGGAACTTAGCTGGTGATATGAAAATTCACAATTTACTGTTTGTGACAAGACTGGCACTAATAAAAACTCACAATCAATTCCAGAAATTAAATCACATAATGATATCACAAACCTATTGGCAATCCAAGAATATGCTCTGGAGACTGAAGAGCAAAACGGAACTTTCTTGTGTCATGCGAAACAACCTTGGAAAGAGTTAAAGACAATAAAGCAACCAAAATAAGATGATTGAGAAAATGTTTTGTTACGTAAAACAGGATGGTTTAAAATTCCATCAAACAAAATGTTAGATTTAGTTTAATGTTGTTGCAAACAAATTTGAGCTTGTTCAACAAATAATAATATTATAGTCAAAGAGTCACTTTTTAACAGAAGGGTCAACATTTTATGATTGGATTCTAGTAAGAGGAAAAAAAACTTTTTAGGTACTAGATTGGAATCATAGGCTTGTCTGTCTTACCTCTTTACTAACCAACATGAATGGAATTTTCTCCTTTGGATTCAAAGCAACTGGTCTCTTTTTTTTCCGAAGAACAAATGCTAGTAAGGAAAGTCCAACCAATGAGAAGCCAATAATTATACCAAGGGTTTGCTGGAAAAAAGACCATCTATGATATATACTTGATAGAAAGGATAACCTTCATGCTGAGAATACTGCAATCTCAAATTAATAAAAAACCTTTAAATACTGTTTCAATTTGGTTAGAAAACTAGGTTTCTACAAAGAAAGTCACCCAAAAAAAGGCATACATACTACATCAGATGCAGTGGCATAACTAGACACCTTGAGCCCTTAGGAATAAAACTGAAACAGCAGAGGCGGATCTAGGGGGGTGCTATGGGTGCTTGAGCACCGGTCAGAATTTTCGGAGATATAACATTCAATGCATTTTCTCTAATCTCTGAAAAACGTCTTGAATCCTTTTAGATGATGTAAATGTATTTTCCAGTAAACTGATGACATACGGTCATGCGTTAGTTAGCATAACCTGTATCTGCTTTAAACTATAAATAGCTAGAAATTTCATGTTGAGCTGCCCTAGAACCAATTTTTTACTTGTCCATCAAACCACACTCTCGGCCAATGAGCTACTTCAATTCTACGGGTGCTTGAGCACCCCTATCAATCAACCTCTAAGGTCAAAGTTGCAACTGAGCCAATCACATCACGCTCTGATATGCTTTTCCGCAATGTCGAGCACCCCTATCAATCAAAACAAGGCTTCAACCAATCCGTTTGCCAAATTTCGGCTCATCTGAGCACCCCTATCAATCATTCAATATACACTGGTGCATACTGTCACTGAAACGACGAAACCTGTTCGTGTAGCAGCAATGGCGGACATAAAATCGTTGCTGTTGCAGGTGTTCTCGATTATTGGTTGCCAGTCGACTGAAGAAATTGAAACGGAAAACGAGCTTTTGAGTATTCAGTCAATCGTGAGAAACGTTTTTGATAAGAGCGTGGTGGATGGTGTCGTGACTTGTGGGAATACACAGATCGATGAGTTCGCTGAACTGCAAATGCCAAGGTTCAAGTACTGTCCCGTGGAAGTTCTGACCTTCGGCCTTTCCGGTTGGTAGTTTCTTTTACCAGACTTTAAATGCAAAACGTTTAAACAGAATATTTCTTGGATTAATTCGACAAAAATATCGAATTTTACAGAGAAAAATGCGCACCCCCAAAAAAATTGTGCCAAGGATTTTTGGTTGTTGGGGTGGTATGGTAATTACTACCAGAATGAATTCGATACCCATTTCTTGCCAAATGCAGATGACCCCAAAAACGTACTACTTCAACACAAGGTACTTAGTAAAACAATCAATTTTTATCAACAAATTCTTACAAGTATTGATTTGAAGGCATTGAGTCATGGTAAATAGGCCTTCTCTATAGGGGGTCATTTGGATTCGGCGTGATCGCTGCTGTTTCATGTGATACTTGCATCCGTTGTTGACAACTTGCTATTGATGGAAATTGTTTTGTCAATCAGTACGAGGTGAGTTCATGTGACCAGTTCAAGGTCAACCAATAGCATGGCATTCATGAAAATCATGACTCAGCGGATTCTGGCACTTAGGGTATACCCAATCCATTTTACCATGACTCAATGATATTTAACTCAATTTTCGTATAGTAATGGTCAGTTAATGTAGCAATGATTCTTTTTGCTTTTTTTGTTTGAAACATTTTAGCTGCCTTTTTACAAAAATGAACCAGCGTCTGAATATTGCAGAGCAATCAAATATTGACTAACGACCTAAAATGTCATTCATTGATTAATGTGATGTACAAACTGCGAAGGTAGCAGTGTTATTTTTAACTAGCATTGCTAGCATATAGGCTTCTAACAAAAGAGATAATTTTCTATATAGTTATGCTTTAATACCTAAATTTAAAAAAGATTAATTTATCAAGATGGGTGTTGCCTTCATTTAACCGTAAGTAAAAGTGGGGTGTGGCATTATTATGGCTATTATGGCAACGCCCTTAAGCACCCCTCAGATTTTCCGCTGGATCCGCCTCTGAACAGGACCCTTAACAAGGAACTACAAGAAGGTTCCATCTAGTGGTGTAAAGCAAGTCAAACAGAATGATCATTTTTCTCGTTACCTAGAGTTGCTAATTTATATGCCTCAGTTTTTAGAGTTTTTAAGGTTTAGAAAGAAGGTGAACTTGAGCAAAGACTTAAGAACATGGATATTCAAACACTCTGGGGGTCCCTTTTGATACTAAGGGGGTCATCGAACTAAGGTGTCCGAAACTGTGTTACACCACTGATTAGATGGCTTTTCTCCTTTTCTAAAGTGCTATTAAAGAAAACATCTAGGCTATATTTACTAGATGAATTCATTGCCTGGGTTGGAAGATCTAAATGAAGTATGATTTTGCCCATATACTCACTGCAAGCAACTGCCTAATCTCACCACTGAGCAAAGATATTTGCACAGCAAAATTGATGCTCATATATACAACTATAGGATAATTATAACATGAAATTTATGACACACTGGGTCAGGTGCAATGGCAAAAAATCAGGGCTAACAAATGGATGTCCATATATAAAGCGTAGCTGCCAGCATAAGCAACTCTTGGCCTTGTTTCATTTTTAAATGAAGACCTGTATACCCTGTATATTAACACAATTAATTAAGAAATTCTTGCCAAAATCATAACAAAAATAGAACAAAACAAACATGCTAACAGAAATGGGTGACTGTAACACATGCCATTTTGGAAAGCCTGCAAACACCTCTTGGGGCCCCTATGATAATATATTCAGTTGAATTGTTTGATGAAAGTTCAAAGACTCGAAATTCAAGGAGGCTAACAGCTTAAAGGCAAGATATTTTGGACAGCTTATATTTCTAGCAGCTTATTACGAAAATGCAAACAGTTCCCAGCTATGCTCCACTCGCCAAAATCCAACATGTTTTCCAACCTGGGTGCATTTTGACTCTCAGTAAGTCAGTTGGTGGTGTGAATCTAAAACGGTAATTCTGCTACCCCTTCATTCAACGAACAGGACTATCTATATTTTTACATCACATTAGAATATTGAGAATGATCCAGTTGACAAGATTTCTTAATTCTAATTAGTATACCTTCTGCATCTCCATGCTTTCGCTTGGAAGATTTGACTGGATACTGGATACCTTCTTTGTACAGCAACCACAGTGCATGCAGATCTTATATTGCTTTCGTTGAGTTGAATTATATTTCATGGGAGCGAGACACAATTTTCTTGGAATGTCAACTAGAAATTGTCACTAGCGTATAAAATTGTGTCTCAAATTGCGTATAAGCTTCCGGGAAATGAAAACGGTGATATATCTCTTTATAACATTAGATTGGTTTGATGAAGCATAGAAGATGCTTCTGCAAGTTTAATTTTTTTTTACAACCAATAGAATTATCAAACCACCTCTGATGATCAAATTATGTGCCAAATTCGTCTGGCAAAATTAAGTGCTTCAAAAGGCCCCTATGCCCAATGCACTGTGCCCCACTTGGGTTGTTGGCAAGGGGTGTATTTTGAAGGATTTTGAAAGTGTTTTCTCCAAAAAAAGGATTTTTGCCAAAGTTGTAGGAAATGTTTTCGAGATGATATGCCCTTTGGCAATGGGGTAATTTGGCTAGCAGAGCTGCTCCCAAATAGGCCATGCTCATTTGGTATGGTCTAGGTTAGGTCTACCCTTCAGCAGTAGCATAACGGAGACAGCCGGGGGCCCTAAGAATTTTTCTTTTCGCCCAGCCCCCCCCCTAATTCTTAGTAAAATCGTGTAGACAAAAAATCAAAAGTTTACCAAAAGACATTCAATTTATTTGGACTAATTTTTCATACAGGCTTGAGGCCCCTTTAACTCGTTAGCCATATCCAGAAAACCAACCTCAAAGTAAAATGACATTTTGTAAGAACAAAAGCCTTACCCCCTAGCTGAAGTCCGAGCGATGTTGGGCCGGAGCCGCTATGAATACATATTGACACAAGGGGTACCATTTGCATGACCACTCAGTGGCGTCGCCCCAGTTTTTCGGACATGTCCACCCCAGTTTTTCCAGAAGTCGATTTTCTAATTTCTGTAAATCCGTTGAAAACCTGTGGGAGGGGGCTGATCAAATCGATTTCGATTTTCCAATGGCAAAAAAGCCAACGAAAAATGCTGCTTGAGAAAGTTGCTTGTCCAAAAATTTCAAAATTGATAAAAAATACTAAATGAGGATTTTCCAAGAGTCTGAAGGGCGTGGCCGAGAAAGTTTGTTTTGTCCAGTGTCCACCCCAGTTTTTTCGAGCACTATAGTTGTCCCCTTTAGAAAAGACTTGTCCCTGTCGAACGGGGCTAAGATAAGACAACAACTCCACTTTAAGGGGGTCAAAAGCAAGCTACTACACTACACCCCTGGAGCTTGCAAGCCTCAACAATGTGTGGGATACAGCCGCCACCACCCTTATCGATCGCACCGCAAAATCATAATAGAACCAGCCCATCGTTTGAGCTTCTTTTGTTTTTCTTTGCTTTGCTTGCAGAGGGAGGCACCTAAACAACACATCAGCAGCGTGGATCGACATTAGCTCGGTAGGTCGCTCAAGTTTCTCTTTAATACAACTCTTGACGATGCACGTTTGACAAAACATTCAGATTTTTAGTTGCATCGCTCATTTTGTGTATGATCTATAGTTGATGACGGCGTAAATTTGCATGCTTGACAGCGTAAAGATTGATGTGTATGGTTTTTTATGGTCCAAGGAATACGCTGAAAAATTTTGAATTCTCAAGGATGCAAGTATAGCATATTCTATGCCCCTAGTAAATTTCAGTGCATACACGACATCATCTTTTCACTACATGTTTTTTCTCTGCGACTGAATTTTATATTAGGCCTGTTGTTGTCAGATAGGCTACGAAAGCAGAGTTGCTAAGCAAACAGGTGAAGCGTGGCAATAATTTGCGCGGCTTTAACCACCTTCTTTCGAAATACTTCCTAACTAAACTAACTTGACTTGACCGGGCTAGCCCAATTTCTACTGACAGTACAGGGCTATTTTCAGGAATTCTTCCGCATTAGGCTTGGCTGGTTCGTGTCGGCCTATAATAACTTTAGCCAAACATTTTCATAAACTGAATGCACAAGGGTACTTACAAGAATCGAATAGCAAAACAAAAAATTCCTCGTGGCAGCCATTGTTTTTGTGAAGGAGCTTTTGTCAATGACAACGGTGATGACAAAAGAATTAGGGACATTAGCCTATCGTGACTCCAAATCTTTGCCAGAATAGCGAAATTTTGGACGACTTTTCTATCGATGCTTCAGCTGGCTAAACTAAGACCCCCAGCCCCCCCCCACCCTAGACCGCTTTGTACGTAAAGGGTCAGAGGGAATGCATACACAATTAAGGAACTCAATTAAATTTTCGAATGCTGAAATGCATCAAAATTGCTAATTCTTGTTTTGCAGGATTCGGACGACTAACAGTAACAGGAAAATATGGGACAAACTTTGACGAATCTGATACCACCGCCTGATGGATTTGAATATTTCTCCATAACCTTTAGATATGGTGACCGTATACGACTGATTTATGGCACACACGTTGAAATAAATGCGTTGAGAAATATTATTCTACGTCATTGGAAAAAAGGTTAGTAAAATAAATTATTTTTTCATTATACTATATTGTATAAAATTGTAATATCGTCTTATATGATGCATAACATAACATAACATAACATAACATAACATAACATAACATAACATAACATAACATAACATAACATAACATAACATAACATAACATAACATAACACAACATAACATAACATAAATAACATAAATAACATAACATAACATAACATAACATAACATAACATAACATAACATAACATAACATAACATAACATAACATAACATAACATAACATAACATACATAACATGACATGACATACATAACATAACATAACATAACATAACATAACATAACATAACATAACATAATATAACCAGAACATAACATAACAAAACCAGAGCATAACATAACAAAACAAGAGCATAACATGACACAACATAACATAACATAACATAACATAACATAACATAACATAACATAACATAACATAACGTACATAACATAGCTTATCATAACAATATCACTAACAGTGTAATATAGTATATTGTTTATCATTTTATATCATATACAATACTATTTTTGCCCTGTTTTTATAGGAATAAAAAAGGAGTCCAATCTTCTTGGACCCGGATACGAATTTATCACCAACACCTCACCATTCAGTCCATGGGCATCTGGTAATGACGAAATCAACTGCAAACGGTTTGCCAGCCATCTACTTGCTGACATGCACAAGCTCGGATATAGGCTCATTGGCGCTGGGTGCCTTTCTCGAACCCAAGACCTGACTACCTGGGTTTTTCATCGAGAGCAGATTGCTCCGGCCGACTATCGTTTTGCGTGCATTGGTTTTTCGCAGAAAAATATTATTCAGCTCATAGATTTTCCTCCAGCTCTTCACGACTTCATAAAGGACGCCGTTGAAAAGCATGAAAACATCAAGGAATCGAAGAATATCGAAGGCTGTCTGCAAATCAAGTTAAAAGAAGATTTATGGCGTTCAAGCAACACTGAATTGAACGTAAAGGCGAAAACTATCATAAAGAGCATTATTCATGATTTGAATTCACGCCAGTGGGTTTTGTACTCAAGCAGCTATTTGGTGGGCCAAGGTGATACACTGTTTTTCATGTACAACCCACTGCTGGAAGCTCCATTCACAACGAAAGAAAGTTTGGCTATCAGTTTGTTGAAAACTGATCGCTTGCGATTGATTGATGCTTCTGATAGTGCAACCTGTCATGTTAAAGATGTCATAATAAACACTTGGAAACGAGGAATTCAGCAAGAGACGAAAAAATTCAATTCAACTGAGTTCAAGTTGGCTGGCAGGCCTTGGATGACACGTGGAAAGGAGTCTGCTGCATCACGCCAACTGCTCTGTAGACTTTTTGAAGGATTGATGACTATTGGTTGGAGAATACAAACAGCTGTGCATCTGACAGTGTGTAACCTAGATAAATGCATGCTGACATTCAATCAATGCAGCCCCGTTTCAGCGCAAGTCTTCTGCCTCTCGTTCAACTCGACGAGCAAAATACGCATAATTAATGCACCATCGGATCTAGAAATGCATTTGCTATCTGAGATCAGAAGGTTTTGGCTACTTGGCATTGCTAAAGAACATCGTTTTGAAGAGTGCTTCGAGGTTGCACTGAAAGGCTGTCCATGGGGGGATGAGCACGGCGGTGCGCATGCTCGTGTGCTGCTGTTGTATTTAATCAACTCCTGTCTTGTCAAAGGCTGGTACCTTATCTTCTCTGCTGATGTTTCGTCAATCATCATACAGGATGATGAATCACCCGATTGTCCATGGGATGTTTACAGTTGGTGGTTCATGCGTGCGAATACATCTCCTCCGCCAGCTCTTCCATCCGCACCGCTTTTGTTTTGAAACGACTCACTTAATCGCGCTATCATGATCGTGTACTTTAATCAAAGTTTCTTAAGAAACTTCAAGCTTTAATGTAAGGCATGTCAATTAGAATGTGATAGGATTGAGTTGGGAATCAGCCGTAGTGTCATGATGATGACACAGATAAAGAAGTGATAAATAAGTGTAAAAGAATGATGACAATCCTTCTCTATTTATAATATTACCCCCAAAATAACTTGATTAGGTTGGTCACTAAAAAAGACTGATCCAAGTGGAAAGTAGCGATCTCAAAACGAATCCTGCTGTGCTAAATGTAGATTTGATTTATCCTCTTACTACCTAGCTAAGGCCATTCCTCTCCATAATTAAAATTTCGGGATTTCGATGTTTTAGGAGGCTCAGCCCCCTCTTAACAAGCCAATTCATGTCGAACTCCTTAACTGACATTGTGAACAAACCTTTTTTATTGTGTTTCTAATTCTTCATAAAAGAACAATTTCTATAAGTCTTTAAGAATGAATGATCTCATATACATTTGCAGATAAACTTATGCACAAATGCAAGTATATTGGGTGTGGTCTTTGATGTGGCTTCTAGAGGTTTCCATCAGCACAGTCTCCCTCAGTTAAATTTTTAGGACGGCACCCCTGTCATTAACTGATATAATAGTGAAAGCATTTGAGAGACTATATGCTCTCCCTTACTTGGGTGCCACCTCATTTCTGCTTCAAAAAATAATGTAAACTGCTTTATCTGTTATTGTAAAACAAGTTTTTAGAGTTATCGTTTATGATATCTTTGTTAGAAATTGGCTGCATTATGGCCACATGTGCACAGGATCTTTACAACTTGGTCAGCAGACCTCAACAGTATCGCGAGCAGTAACCGTAACAGCAAACAATAACAGTAGCCCGTTAGAAAACCGCAAATCGCCTTTAACTATTAAGGACACTGTCTCGTCCAGTTCTCAACATGTTTGGCTGGTTTTGCACATTCAAAGGTGTTACACAATGCTCTTTCAGGTGACATGGTCAAAATTGAAACATTCTAAAAAAAGACGTTTGATGACGGCATGCGTTAAAGGCTGGTTTTCATATAACGTATTTCAACGTATTTCATCGCAATTCAGTTAAGATTTTTTCCGAGACTACGATCAATTAAGATTTTTTCCGTTATATGAAAACCGGCCAAATTTTATGAAAACCACCTATCGTAAATAATCCTAATAGAACGTTATTCAACGTAATTTAACGTAATTCTTCGGAAAAAATCAAACAATTTTGTTTCTCCCGGCAAAATACGTTGAATTACGATGAAATAAGATGAAATACGTTTTTCGGTTTTCATTTAACGTGAAGATCGTGGAACCTGAATTGCAATGAAATGCGTCGAAAAACGTTATATGAAAACCAGCCTTAATACTCTATTATGCACGTGAATATTGGTTTAGGTGATAAGTTCACCTAATTGTTGAACGAAATGAATAAGGACAGTCTGATATCAACAGACTTCCTAATTTATGACGTTAGAAGTTCTATCTTTAAATTTTTGAATTTTGATCTTATCATCTGAAAGAGCATTGTGGAATACTTTTAGATGTGCAAAATCAGTTATTGGTGTTACCAATATAAAATAAGATAAAAAAATTATTTTATCTTGGTGTTACGAATTATCTGAGCTATGGCCACAGGCCCTTGCCCCACCAATCCTGAACAGAACCAAAATAACAGTATTACGTTAGCAAACTTTGGATATTTCATTGGCCAAATCTCATCTGGTTTTGGACCATAGCTTATCTGATTTTGCATATTTAGAAATGTTCATGGTTATAATTTTTGCTGCGTGGTCAAAATTCAAAAATATTAAAAATAGTTTTTTGTCACGTTACATAAGAGTGTTCTTTAGCTAATTTTATATCGCTAACTTTTGAATTGCAGGAATCATGTTTGACGCACTCTTTGTGCACATCTACGTAATTTTGTTTGATAACTTATTTTATTCTTACATATTTTTACTTCTACATTAGTTGTTTGTTGTTTTCTAGTATACATAGTTAATTATAATTATGGGTTTTTTCACTTGTGGACCATTTGAGGCTACAACCTTTATAAAAAAGGAACAAGTTAGCTGACAAAGTTAAAATAATGGACGACATTCGGTATTTGGTTAAATGTAATTACGTAATGCAAGTATTAAAAAATGATTACGTTTGCTTGTAGCTGCGGTGTTTGTTGGAAATGCGCAGCATAAAGAATTACAAAAATGTGCAGAGCTTGCAATTTTGAGATGCCCCTTTTTGTTCCAACGAACCACATAAACAAAGCAATCTCATTCAAAGTTTGCGTAAAATGATCGCTTTCTGTTCTGAATGAGAGTGGAAGAAGGTAAGTGACACGATATTTGTCTAATGTGTAAAAATTTTGTTTAAGGGTATGTTTGTTTTACTTATCACTATCAGGGCCTCAGGTGTGATGTGTTTATGATGTGACTCTGATGTGCTTATGATTGGAGACGAATAGAAACGTTGAAAGCAGAGGCAAGGCTATTGTTGAAGGAGGGATTACCCAAACGGGTTTTCTCTGTATTTTTGATTTTGCAAAGTCGCATTTCCTCGTCCTGTTTTGGTGCCAGATCTTATTACGGAAGTCTTCAACTTGAAGAACGGCCTAAATTTAATCTAGTGCAGTATAAATTTAAAATTTGGTGTCTAAACCCTGCTTAGCGTCCCTACTGGCTGTGCAGGGCCTAAATCTGGTACCACGGTCGACGGCGCCCCGGCAAACAAGCCCTCTCCCACAACTAGAACACTTTGACTTAGCGCACTTGACACTTGACACCTGATATTATGCATAAAGCAAATTATAATTTTCTTGTATCTTAATGCAATCCTATACCAGTAATGTCCTGTTGTCATATTACAATGAGTTTGAATTAGATGGTTCAAGCACATAGTATGGGTATTACCCTATCAGTCAGCTCGGGATTAACGTACTCTATTTTAATTTCCTATTGGTTTCAGTAATCAACATGCTTTAAAGTGCTACTTTTCAGAAAAACAAACATGCAACATCCAGTCAGTCACGCACAAGAATCTCATCTTTCTAATGTAGTTGTCTGTAATCATTAAGAGAATCATTTTCAACCCATCTTTGAGAGATTAATCAGTTATAATCAACTCTACATCATTGAATTCACATTATATGGTTTTTTATTTTTGGGCATCTTAGCACTTGGTTTCTTATTGCCTTGGTATGTGGATTTTTATTTGTTGAACCCGAATGATGGATAGAAATCAAAGGGACATTATAGATATATCAGCAGTCTCTAAATTGTTTCCAAGTCTAACTCATTTTGTGTGAGTTTCGCGCATTTAGTAAGTAAGTAACGATAGAAGGTAAAAATAGAAAAATATTACTAACTAGGTAAAACAATAGATCTTACATATCTGGGAACATAAACTTGACAGCTATGAAGTGAACTCTGTATTTTATATGCAACTTCCTTTCTTGTTTATTGCCTTCCTGTTTTTGCTTTTTTCGGGCATGCATTTGTGTTACAGCCCTTTTCCTACTGCCATTTCTGTCAAGAAAATTTCAACTGGTTACATAGAGAAGAAATCATGTGACAGATCTGTGTAGAGACCGTTGCCGGGGCTGCCGAGAGGGGGGATTGTCGGAAAATTTGCAAGCTGTGCCCCCCTAAGAGTCACTACCCACCACAGCCTTGGCTCTGCACCTGTCAAACCAAACTGAAATCTCAATCACTTGCTAATGACAGCTACAGAAAACCTGGTGCAAATTATCAATTCAGTGGTCACACACTATGTGCAGTTAAAAGCAGTCTTGCCTTTTTTCTCTAGAATTTAACATGTCCTTTTTTATGATAAGTGTAAGTTTAAACATTGATTTTTCATTCTTTAAAGAAACATTCACATCAGAATGGGTGGAAACCAATCAAATCTCATTCCAATGCCTGCGGGCTTTGACTACATGTCAGTCACATTCAGGTATTCTGACAGAATCAGGGTAATTTATGCCACCGATCAAGAAATCAACATCATTCGGGATGTGATCTTGCAACATTGGAAGAAAGGTGATTATTTAATTGCTCAAATTTTTTAATAACTGTAGTAGAAATTGATTCGTAGATTTTTATGATAGAAGAATGCAAACATGTGTGCATGCCTAAGAGGATTCTGCATTCTTTAATGTTTAATTGTATATATTTTAATTATTTGTGTTTTTACTTTTATGAGATCCACTTTAAACTATATGTTTAAGGTGTATGACACAGGACACGCATTGAAACATCAATTTCTTAACTTGTTGAAGTTTAAATGCTGTAATTTTTTAAACTGATATTCAAGTTTTGTGGAGTATTATCTTCAGTTGCAAAATTTTTTTCCAATTGTTATTGAATATCCAAGGCAAAATAATAAGATTGTTTATGAAGTCTGAAGAAGCTGCAGAATTTTGCATTAGAGTGCAAGTCAAGGCAGCCCTTTATTACTTTCCAACAAATTCCTGTGGCATATACTTTTCTCATTTTATTTGATTAATCACTATTAAGAACACAGTCTCTTGGACAATGCCCCAAAAATAGGATGTATATTGTTTTCACATTATATCTTATATTTTTTTTACATTGATTATCCTTTTGGAAAATGTTTTAGAAACTGTAAGGCCTTCACACTTGCCTTGCAATCCTACTAAATCCAATTTTTCAACTATCATGCTTGTGCCCCCACCCCCAGCCCAATAAGTTTTGAGAGTTGTTTTGTAAGTTTGCCAACCTTTTAATGAATGTAATGTGATTTCTTGTAATTGTTTTGCAAAATTTCTCACCCTGATTGCCTCTCTCATTCGTGCATAGCTTTCATGAAAAATGCCAATGAAAAATAATAACCAGCAAGTTGGCAAAGATTGCCTTTAATTCGATAACATTTTGTGTACGTTGGACAGTGAGTGTATATCCTCAGGCCTTCATGGGAATAAATTAGCACAAGAATGGCATTTCACCCCCTAGACTGTTTTAGGTGTGTGATGGAGTGCTATTGGTGTTTTGTCTTATTTCTACAAAGGTTTAATTACATAGTATATGGAGCCTTAAAAACCCCCATTCTTAAGTCATTTCTTCAGTTTTCACACAACTTCAACAATAAATATCTCTGGTGGAATAACGATAAAGGAATTGCCAGAGATCTTTACTCAATTTGATGCCGAAAATATGTTAGGTGCAGTTTCCAGCAATCCCTCTTGCCTAAAGTCTTCATGAAACCCTTGAAAAATGTTAATATTTTGGCCCCAACTTTCAATTGTTTCTCATCAAAAGGGATATGAAAACAGTTTTGAAAACGGCGCGATTTGAAAATGGCATGATTTGAAAACGGCACCATTTGAAAACGGCACAAAAATACATCGTTGCCCGCTTGCCCCACTTCAAAAAATTGTGGATAGTCCAGTACGGCGGACAAGACCGGTGAAACACATCAATATACAAAACACACAAAAATTTCTTGTTTTTTGTCACCTTATTACAAAAATAGGGGTGCGATTAAACACACATCTCGGTGTGGGGAGGCGTGTACCAGCGCGTGCGAGTGCGATCCCACGCCTTTCACGGGAAGGCCTGTATCCTCATATTAAAACATCTGCAACCGACTAACAACTTTGCATTTTTCTTCGAAGGAATTCAAAGTGAAGAGGCAAAGCTCGGTTGTGGCTATGAATTCAAAGTTCATGGCAATCCGTTCTGCGAATTTTCTTCTGCGGAGCAAGCTATGGAATGCAGAAAGTTTACCAATCAACTCCTTTTTCGCCTTCATAACCAGGGCCTTAAACTGTTGGCCTCAAGCGATTTATCTCAAACAGTCGACCTCGCAAGTTGGCTTTTTCATCGAGAGCAGACTCAGATAGCACAGTTTCCATTTGCCTGTATTGGCGTAAGCGGTTGGGACAAGCTTCAATTTATTGATTTTCCTCCAGCTTTCAACGACTTTTTTAAGGATGTTGTTGCGAAAAATTGGCCCCAAACTATCCAAGATGTAAAACTCAAAGGCGATATTTTGGAAATTAAGCTCAAAGGTACCCCTTGGTGTTCTATGGGGGGTCCAGAAAACATACAGTCAAAGACCCTGGTGAAAGCCTTGATCAATGAGCTCGGGGTGCGCCAGTGGTTTTTATATGGAAGCAGCAACCTGAGAGGGAATGCAGACACTCTGTTCTTCATGTACGACCCTGCAGCGCCTAGTCTTAGCTTCAGTTTTGTTGGTTTTGTGATGAGTCTCAACAGAAATGACAGACTGAGGATGATCGATGCCCCTAAAGATGCAACCGATTCCGTCAGAGGCGCAATCGCACAGTTCTGGTCACGTGGTATACAGGAAGAAAAACAAAAATTCAATGCTTATGAATTCAAGTTGAAGGGTACACCATGGTGGGCTGATGGAGAACAAGCTGTCGATACACGATTTTTGATGTGCAAGGTATTTGAAGCATTGCTGCGCATTGGATGGAAAGTCAAGATTTCCATTGATTTAACAAGAAAACTGAATGACAAGAGTGTGCTTCCTTTTCAGAAATGCGAGCCAAGCTCTGCTCCTGTTTTTTGTATTTCTTTGAACTGGACAGATAAAATACGCTTTATCAATGCACCACCCGATTTACTTGCTGCTCTGGTAGCAGAGGTAAAGAGAGTTTGGCTGTTTGGTGTTTCGCGAGAAAGGCTTTACGGTGCCAGCACTGAATTGAAATTGAATGAAAACCCATGGAGTTATGGATTCAAAGGCCATGATGGAGCCCATGGGCGTGTCATGTTGTCCTACCTTTGCAAGTTATGTGCCAACATGGGCTGGTACCTTATTCTCTCTGCCGATGTTTCTGCAAAATGGGTACACCAAGACAAAGGTCCGGATTACCCAATAGACGTACACAGCTGGTGGTTCATGTACATGGGTCATCCCTCCATGGCCCCAATTGCACCTGCCTTTTTACCCCCTCCCCAATATGGTATGGAAGGTCAGCTGCCCACTGCATTTGGAGCTGGACTACCGCCACCTCCCTACAGTTGATTCTGATAAATCTAAAGAGCATTTTGTTTTGTATTATTTTATGCACTTCTGAACTATTATGAACACTTGAAACTTTTTAAGCGTAATCAACTTAAATAATTTAGAGTATTTGACTTATTTTCGAATATTGAATATAATATCTATTTTAGCTTAGCTATTTGTAGAAAAACTTACAATGAAATATTGTTATTATTAACATTACTTGAAAAAATAACATCCTTTACCAAGCTAGTACTAATCAGCTCTTCCTTTCTGTTCAGGGCCGTCGCGAGGCAAGCCTTGTTGGGGGGGGGGGGTGTGGACTACAAATTTACCTGATTAAAGAATAATTACCTGAAATTCTTAAGTTGCTGTCACGAACCTCTGCAATACATTTTGCCAATCTAACTGTGTGGCATGTAATTCACAACATTCATTTTACAATTATAATAACGGACTTTCCTAATGGTTTTGCCAAATCTGTATACCGGGACGGGCAACTACCCGAGGCGGCACCATGGTTGCCGCCGAAGGAGCATAAAATTTTCGAATTTTGATGCTTCCAGTTTCCTGGAAAATGCACTCTTTTAAGCAATTTTACTAAATCAATCCTTCTAATCCTACCAAAAATTATTTTATTTTTGCAAACAAACTGAACAGCAGATAAAAACAACTAGTACAATTTGGCCGTGGTCTTGAAAAATTCCATGTTGTCAGTTACTTCTAAAGCTAGGTAACAAGCAGCACTGGTTGCCAATTTAGATCCCTCTTTCCATCTTAGCATGCCTTTTTAGGGGAAATGACATAAGACACAATTTTACCTGAAGGGTGCCTGGATTTTTAGCTTTTATGCCAACAAGAAATCTTCAAATCTTCAAGTCATTAATTTTTTTAACTTCCTTCATATCAAGAAGTATCATATTTAGCCAAAAAAGTAACTATATTTTCTTGATCCTTCATTGATGTTAATACATAAAGGTCGTTGAAATACCTAAAGCGTTTCTTTCCCTGGGCGGATTTTACCTGAAATTTTCTATCGAGATACTATTGGGGGGGGTGTGACACCCCCACACCCCCCCGGTCGCGACGCCCCTGCTTCTGTCCATCTATTCCAAATTTCTAATGAGAAAAATATACACTTCTACTCCTGTTTTTCTCTGGTCAGTTTCCAATTTGTTAAATGGGTTAATTTCAGCATTTATCTTTCGCCTGTGTATGTGTTGCTTGAACAATAGGACGTTTCGTTTGCAACCCACGACATGCCATTCTTAAGCATTATGATACAAACATTCCCTATCGATGGTGATCTATAAAGTTTGTAGTGTTGGTCACCCTAAATCATCGAATGAGTCCCATTTCCTTTGAATTTGCCTCCTTAAACAGACAATAATTTAATGAGATCTTCTCGGATGAGCGGCCCTACCCTAAAACAGAAATCTCTGTCATTCATTCATAATTTGAATGGTGGTGCAGGGCCCGCACCACTGGGGGGGGGGCTGGGGTGGCCATGTAAAGGTCTTACGCTGTGTTGCGCAGACTTATGGGAGAGGATGAGTCAAAAGACACGAGATCTTGTTGTGTGCTTACATTTTTGTAATCGTGCAAATCCCAAAAGTCCCTATTTGCAAAATCTAGTGATGTATATACTAACAGCGTACAATGGTTTAATTACATGATTGACATAATACTAAACGAGGTACAAATGAATACGAGACAAAAGACGATTACTGAAGTGCAAAACCCTGTTCCAGAGCTGGTAATAACGATTTTTTTATAAAAAGCCTATGGGTTATATAATGAACAAAACAAGCAAATATTAATACTTATTTTTTGTTAAAGTCCATGTTATGTTATGTTAAAATTAAATTCGATAAACGACAATTCCAGAATACACGACAATTTCTTTGAAAAATATCTTGGTTCAAGGAAATGTTGTAACAGGGATTAGACTTCCTTGAAATCCCTTGTCACTTCGAGTAGTCAATAAATTGGTTCGAGAGTGAACACAGAAAGCGAGTTTAGCATAATTAATACGTATGATAATTAATGACATGTATTCCTACTACAGCCATGCCCCTCACTTTTTTGCGAAGCAAGTAGTTTTAAAGCTGCAATAAACGGGGTAAAAAGCCTAGGCCCCTACATTTTTAGCCTTGCCCCCCCCCCCACATTCAAATTCGTGGTGCGGGCCCTGAAGTATGGAGGTGATGACTACAAACCAAAGGACAAAGAGTAGACATCTAAAAAAGAGTAGATGTATTTTCTATTTGTTGTTGCAGTCTGGAGAATTGATTAAACTTATCAGCGTCCCATTCGATAAAACACCTTTTCCCCCAACGCAGGCAGACATTTATGTACTGCCCTGACCGCTTATAGGAGAATTTACAGTAATTAATTCTTTTGCAATTTGAATCGAATGCTTTGTGAAGACACGTGATGCAAACTTACATAATCTTGAGAAACATTACGTATGCGGTTGTTTTGTTTAAGACTTTCTTTGTTTATCCCACTGCTCTGTAATTAAAATTCATGGTATGATTAGTATGCGTAGAAATTTCTGGAACATTGATGGTAATCTCGCAAGTATGATGTAATCACGGTAGGTATTTTTGTAAAGTGACGTAATGATAAGTAGCAGTATAAATAGAGGCTTGTGCCCGTAAAGGGAAAATTCTTTTCTTAGTAGTGGTTAGAGAGTAGAGTTGTAATGATTTGAGTGATTATTTCGACGTGGTGAAATTAAAAAGCTCTATTTCTTGCTTCGTGGACTGTTCAAGTAGTTGTTGCGTTCGAAGCAATATTGAGTTCACGACATGATTCATAAAGTTTTTAGGGAGCAAATTGTGTTTCAAAAACGAAGAGTTATTACAGTATATTTTCAATAGCCCTTGCCCTTTGAGTATCTGGCCGCCATTTCCATATGTTGTGAAAATCAAAGCGAGTGTCCCTTGAAAAGTCATCGCTTTTGCCTACCCTACTGTTGCCCAATCGTTTTAAAGTGTAAATGTCGAAAGCACGTCGTCATAAGCTACAAACTCTAAAGCAAGCAAGCTAAAGGTCGTGAGTTTATCATTACACTCTTTATTTTATAAGAACAATTTTATAAGAACATGAGCCTCAAAACTGGTCAAAAGTTAAGAACAAATTAAGAACAAGCTGAGGCTGAGCTTCTGCAAAATGCAATTTTGAACAACGAGGATTTTATCGATGTGTGGGTGCTTTTTCGGTGAATATTCAATTTTGTCAGCAAATTAAGGCTGTCTCACAAACTTTGTTGGCAATGAGGCCTGAACACCTCCTTAGAGCGAAAAAGCTAGCAATCGCACTGCTTACATCCTCCTAATTTAAATTAAGAACAAATTAAGAACAATCCAGCCTCAGATCTTCGAAACAGCCCCATGCCTCCGAGGGGGGCGGAGTGGCCATGGTCCCCCACTTTTTGCGAAGCAAGTAGTTTTGAAATGTTAATATTTCAGTAAAATAAGATTAACTAGGACAGGCACGATGGAGCTAGGGGCTGTAGCCTCCCCACCCCCTCCCAAATTTTTGGTAGAAGTATGATATCGAAGTTTTAGCATCAAGATAACATAACAGTGGCAGACTACCATAAAAGTTTGCCAACTTCTCCCACCAAACCCCCCCCCCCCACCACGACGTAGAAACAAAGTCAAATGGAACATCTGCTCCGACGCATACAATTTCACGTGCTTTTCACGTTTGCTTGTATTAAAGCTTTTTCTTTCATTGCATGGTATCAGTTTACTAAGTCGATTGTTAAAATGGAAGCGTAGGGTTTCGAAGGGAAACTAGCTGCGGAGACAAGCCTTTATTAATATAAAGTGGAGGAAAATAGCCAAGTATTTAAAACAAAAGACATCTCTGCCCCCTAGTTAGTATGCTAAAAAACCCTGGGGAATGAGCCCTCAAAGGAAATAATTTTGTTTCTATTTTCATTTTTCTATCTTTGAGCATCTTCCGCATTTTCTGAAACAAATCCTTCGCTGTGCCGATTCTCATTCTGATTGCTGACTCACACTTTTCGTCATCGGTTATCGCGCAATAAAAACAGCAAAACCCTTCTGTGTTTTCCCCCCGAGTCTAAAATACCCTTACCCCGAAGGGCCTTCCCTAGCTAAGCAAGTTAAACATGTACTGTTACCAACAAAGATCAAACAAACAAAAGGCAGACCAACGCGAGGTTACACTCCGAGAAATCACGAGTTATTGTGGTTGACAGAGTTCAAATTTGCATTGCTTTGCAGGCGTTTTTGGTTGTTGTCTAATCGACCGATCAAATAAGCAATAAGAAGACAAAGGTAAGAGCATCTTTTAAATAAGTTGGCAAGTGCAATTTTTTACAGAGGATAGTTTTTTATATCGTTGCGGAAGTAAAGTTTACGTTTTGGTTAGGCCTGATGATTCTGACGATTCGCCCTGCCGATTCACACGCAAACTACCCTCCAGTTTTCCTTTAATATTTTCATAATTAGATAAAAATCCCGAAAGTCTCCGAAACTTAGATAAAAATTTCTTTTCGCAGAAAAAAAGTCAAAATACCATTTAAAGTTTAATCGATATAACACAGTTTGCTACACTGTTTTTTACAATTTACAAGAAGTTAAACTTGTTTCAAGAACACAATCCGGAGAGCTACCATTTTTTGCTTGATGTCATATTTCTAGGAGAGCGTTCCCTGACCCTAGGCGACCTGTGAGTCGTTGATGCAGTCTAAAAACCTGGATCCTTCACCTTCGCCAATCGCAATTTTCCCAAAACCGCTCTTCAGTTTTCCTTTAATAACTTTTTCAAATCTCGGGTTTTTTGCCCAAACAGACGTTTATTCGTTTTTTCGATACCTGCTATACTGTTTTTTTCCCAGTCTGCAGTTGGGTTTTGCACTTTGTTATGATTTTATTTTGCGTCCGAAGTAGGGGAATTTTTCGAAAGTGCAAAATCCGTCTCAAACCACGATGTAGACTTCAGTTTATAAGTCGTGCCAGGAGCTACCCCCTGAGACTGTTTTCATTTCCAGTTGTTCAGTATTCATCAAAATATTTGTTTAATTCTGTTTTTCAAAAAAATCATACGTTTTATTTGACTTGCGAGGTCTCAAAATTTTGAGCCTCAATATTTGGGGCTCTTCAAAACTGTAAGTCAATATTTGGGGGTGAACAAAAAATTGCTGACATGGAACCCCCATAAAGAAAAGTAGTGAGTACCCCCTGGGACTGAATTAGAGCAACCAATGGGCAGCCCCCCTATATGAATTTCGTTCCGACAGCATTGAAACGTTTTAGTCCCTTCAATCCGTAATATTATCCACGTTGTATGCACATAACAGTAATACTTAATCTCTTTTATCGGTGAAGGTCATTTAGAAAGATCGCGTTTGCTTTCATGCAAGGACAATGTTTCATGGAAATTTGCCTTTGGTTTTCATCTTTAGGAATTCGGAACTTTGAATTTTTATTTTAGGTTTACAAAACTTGTTCCAGAGGTGCAAGTATTAGGATGGGTGGAAGACAATCAAAGTATTTTCCAATGTCTATTGGTTTTGATTACATGTCAGTCACATTCAGAGGTCCGGACACGATAAGAATTATTTATGGCACAGAGAAAGAAATCAATGTTATAAGGAATGTCATCTTGGGTCATTGGAGATTAGGTAATTTTTATTTTCTATGAACATTTTCTTTGGAAATTTTAGAACATTAATACAGTTTGGTCATAATGAAGAAGGAAGATTTTCCAAGTTTGAAGATTTTCCTTTTTATTAGGACCGTCTCTTACTATTGTGGTCAAGAGAGGGGTTGGGTGCTCAGGTTCCATTTGCCGACAAACTTGATAAACCATCGTTTTTTTGCTACCAACGAAGCACCCCATACATAGCAAAAACTCATCGGTTAATATGTTACAATTCCGCTGAAAGAGGCCAACTGAATGTCTGCTTTTTCTTTATGAAATCGCCACGATTTCGTCTAAGTTCCAAAATCGATGAACGAGACCAAAATTACAAAGCTCAACTCTTTCATTTGCTATAAAACAATAAGTTTGCCAATGACTTGGCTGATTTTGAATGGCTAGATATATTCCATGGTATTCTTTAAGGTTATTTGGTTTAAAGAGGGAAAATTTTAAAAACAATTTTATGACATCACCCTTTTGAACGATAATAACAACTTTTCTGTCGAAAACAGCCTTTTTATAACGGGGCTCAGAGAACATGAATCAATGGAAATTAGTTTCCATTTCGAGTCTGCCCTTCAAGGGAGGCTCGAAGGACCTGGTTAACAGCACCAACTGGTTATGTATTGGTTAGTCTCCTCATTTTACAGTTTTCAAGCAAGAAAAAAATGCTTAAGCAATTCCGTGTTTCTTTATTTAAGCTATAATTTGATCATACTTCATATACCGCTGCAGTCATCAAATATTCTTTCTTTTATAACATTTTAGTAAATTCAGTAGCTTCCTCATTATGAATTATTTTAAGACGCGTGGATATAAAATCTAGCATCTATCTAATGCCACCATTGGTTTGATTTCTCAAAGGGCTGCAAAGTGGCGGAGAGTTTGTCGGCTGTGGCTATGACTTCAAACTGCGAGGTTCACCATTTGTAAAAGATTCCTCTGCAGGAGTAGCTTTCGATTGTAGGAAGTTTGCCAGTCGACTTCTTTCCCAACTTCATAACCAGGGCCTAAGACTGTTGGCTTCCAGTGATTTATCAAAAACAGCCAAGCTCACAACATGGCTATTTCACAGAGAGCAAACTCAAATATCACTCTTCCCTTTTGCATGTATTGGAATCAGCAATTGTGATAAAATACAATTCATCAACTTTCCTGTAGCTTTTTTTGAGCGCTTGAAATATGTAGTGGAACAAAATTGGCCTAAAACCATCAAAAGGTCTAAATTTATAGGAGATGATTTTGAAATCAAGCTAAGGGGTATGCCATGGCGTCCTCGCGGGGATTCGGAAAATATACAGGCAAAGACGTTGGTGAAAGCCTTGATCAATGAACTTGGAAAATGCCAGTGGTTTTTGTATGGAAGTAGCAACTTGAGAGGGAATGCAGACACTCTGTTCTTCATGCACGACCCTGCAGCACCCAGCCCATGTCTCAGCTGTGGTTTTGTGATGACTCTCAACAAAATTGACAGACTGAGGATAATTGATGCACCGCATGACGCTGCTGGTCCTGTAATAAATGCAATAACTGAATATTGGCCAGGTGGTATACAGAAAGAGAAAGGTAAGTTGAATGCATACGAGTTCAAGCTGAAGGGCCGTCCATGGTGGGCTAGTGGGGAAGATACTGTCAGTGTACGTTATTTCATGTGCAAGATGTTCGAGGCATTGCTGCGCAGTGGCTGGAGGGTGAAAATGTCCGTTGATTTGACAAGAAGCCTTAATGACAAGAGCGTGCTCCCTTTTCAGAAATGCGATCCAAGCAATGGCCCTGTATTTTGCATTTCACTTAACCGAACTGATAGAATACGGTTTATAAACGCACCACCCAATCTATTGTCCACATTGATAGCAACGGTAAGGCGTGTGTGGTTGTTTGGCGTCGCCCAAGAAAGACCTTATGGTGCCAGCATTGAATTAAAGTTGAATGGAAGACCTTGGAATTACGGTTTAAGTGGCCATGATGGAGCTCATGGGCGGGTCATGTTGGCCTACCTTATAAAGGTGTGTGCCAGTATGGGTTGGGTCCTTTATCTCTCTGCCGATGTCTCTGCAAAATGGCGTCATCAACGTAACGCACCTGACATTCCGCTTGATTTGCATAGCTTATGGTTCATGTTTATTGGACAGTCTCAGCCCTGTGATCAGGCATCTGGCCATTCACAAGTCGTACCCGCCGCTGATATTGCTCCACCGCAGTATGGCTTTGCTGGACAAATTACATCTGAATTTGGGACCAGCGATTTGCCCCCTGCGTATTCAGCGATGTCCATTTGAAATTTCAGAGGACTTTTAAAGGTATCTATGAGTATCATTATTTTTCAAACATTGATCATAGTGTCGCATGTACTACTCTTAGGTGCCTAATTGCCGCTCCCCTTCGCTAATTCATTTTTGAAAATTTTTCCAACTCCCTCCCCGCTCTTATTAGGACCCCCGCCAATTGATTTTGGCACTTTGTGTTAACTAATCTAGTGAAATAAGCGTAGCATAAGCTAAATATTGTCGATTATAAATAATAGCTATATAATAGTGAAATAAGCGTACTGATTTTAAGTGCATTATGAGTATTCAGTATATGTAGCTTCATAATTTAGACCCCCGGTAATTGGAACCCCCCCCCCAAATAATTTTGAACATAAAATCCGACCCCCCTTGTTTATTCTGACCCCCTCCCCGGCAATAAGGCACCTACGAGTAGATATTAAGGGGCCTCTGTCTTTTAGAATACACTCATCTTCCATATGAAACTTGTTTTAAGACACAACTGAGCTTTGATACAACTGGCACAACTGGGATAAAACTTCAGACCCACTGAATCAAAATATACTTACCTCATCCAAGTACAGCATCAAAACAGATGTAAATATCTTGACAGAAATGAAACAAATGTTAAAAAAACACAAACTTTGACGAGTCTTACTGTTTTGGATCTGCGAAAACCAAATCCAATAAAAAGTGCTGGAAAATTTCCTAGTATTGAAAAATGAATAAAGAGCCCAAATGCTAAAATTAATGACATCTTACATAAGAAACTCGATAGAAAAAGTAAATATTGAAATTTTCTAGAGTGTTAAGAGACTGGAGTACTCTACATCGATCTCTGTTGCTTATGAAAAATGAGTGTGCTTATCGCTTTGCTGTAAAAATGCTAACTTCAGGTACAACATTTTAGCTGTGTGATGTACCGAGTCAAGTTTCTGTTATGTGAAAAACTGGCGTTATCTTATGGCAGAAATGGATCAAATCCCTACAGACAAGAGAAATGGCTTTTGATTTCTCTCTAAAGAGCCTGCTTGCTTCTTATGTATATATGCACTTAAAATTTTTTAAAAGCGACTTTATTGCCTGTTTGGTTTAAAGTTGATTAAATACTAGTTCCCTTTGATGAGATAACGTTTTTCTTTTAATGTTAATAATTTTTGATCTCTTGATTTAACGAAGATAATCAAAACATATCTCTAAAAAGACACTTAAATCGACAAAGATTATTGTTTTAAATCGTATCCTAGAATATTGCATACTATTGTGATAATCTTAAAGAAATAAAATGATATTATCCGTAGAATCACAATTCTCAGAATATTTTTGTTTTCCAGAACAAATCAATCTTCTCTTACATCGAGAAATCATATACAGCATTGAATTCATGTATCCATTAAAAAGCAGGTTTTCTCGCTAAGCAGGATTTCTCATTAAAAAATCGTGCTGCTTTTTTGAATATCTATTCAAACAATTTCAAAGGGTCTCCTTTTCAACGTTTTCTCATGTGTAAGAATGAAGTCAAAAGCAGTGAGAAGATTGGACTTGCTCTCGCCCATGGGTTATCGAAAAATGTTATTTCTGAAATGGAGTGTTTCCTAGAGCTATAAATTTTTTGAAAATCCCCTATATCTGTGGCCATAAACCACCTTGACTGCAAATTTAGATCAATATATTTTATAAAAGTCGAGGAAAAAAAATAAAGGCGACATATTTCTCTGGGATATCATCTCTGCATTATCAATGCTTAACGAATCATTCAATCACTGATAAAAAGATAGAATACTGTTGTTTTAACTTAATTCAATATTTTGTATTTGAAGGCAGACATCTCTTTTGAGTTTTTTCACTACATACGAATTTTTCGATTTCCTTAACAGATAACACAGAATCGTTAAAGGATTTATGCCACCTATTTTACCCTATCTTTCTATTGACGAATTCGGTAGAAAATTGGTCAAAATTAAGCATTTCATTTTGAGGGGGCCGTAGATGCAAATTTACAAAAGTATCACGTGACCACGTGACGTAGAAGTTGACAAGAGGAGCCAGGCCTACACTCAAAAAGCATAGGCGTTTCGCTACTCGCACACAAAAAGGTAATTTATTTTGCGAATATGAGTAATTTCGAGACAGATTTTGTCACTGGATGTTGCTATGGGATGTCGTACATTATAGTTTTGAACCATGTTTTAAAAAACGGAAAACCCGGCAAATAAAATAACTTAAGAACGAATTCATCAGAGGAAGGAAATGGACGTAGCCGTTGGGAATCGTGGCAATATTTTGCAGGCATGTTCAGATAGCTTTTATTTACAATTCTCAAGAGGAAAAAATTTGGCGCCGAAATAGGTGGCATAAGACCTTTAAAGGCAAGGATGATATTGTGTCCAGTACAAAGTCCTTCAGGGGGTTCCCGAATCAAATTATTTACTCGTTCTGGAACTGGAAAACCTTCTTATACATGTAGGACTGTACATGTTTCTAAAACGCGTGGACATTTAAAATTACTGTTTCTTTGTTATATTTTTATATTTTGTCAACATTGCTGCAAGAGGCCTTCAGCTTTTCTCGTCATAAATAGACTTTTCATTTTATTTTTGCTTTTTCTATCTAGAATTTATCGCTTCTTCACGAAGCATTACAGAAAAGAAATCTTCTTCAGTTACGTATGAAAGAGTAAACGTCAAGGGTGAGGGGGGACAACATCAAAAAAGCAGGATTCTAAAATGTAGTCGTTATTGCAAGGTGTTCAAGACCGTTCTAAGAAACTCTTAATGTATCTATAAAACTTTCAGGATTGCCTTGAATAGTTGATCAAAAATATTTCACCTCGTGATTTATTTAAGTTCTTAAGCAAAGGTATTTCAAATTGATTTTTTAAAATTTAAGATTTTTTTTTATTTTAGGATTTTTTATGCTTTTATAACTGGCCTGAACATTCCTGTTTCAATGCAAGCCTTTTTCTTCTAGGACATTCTAGTTTCAGCTGTTTCGCACATGCTTTTTCGCTTACCCCCCCCCCCCTTTAACACCATCCATATTTGGTCACTGAAGAAAGGAAGTGGGTGTAATTAAGGAAAATACAGATCTTTTGCATTAACTAGGTTATTTGAAAGTGGAAAAAGAACGTGTTTTGCGTGGAAACTATAGCTACGTGTTCGATTCTTTGCTTGGCCTACCGACATCTCCTTGCTATCTTTATTTGTATTCAGGCTAATACGGACAAAGATTTCTACATGGCATGCTAATGCACATGTCATCATCCGCTTGGAAAACCTGATTGGATGGTGACATCTTGACATTATTACAAGACTGTGTAGATGTCCATTTTGCGAGTAACCATTTGTTTTCTGTTGTTGCTGTTGTTTGAGTGTTCACATAAAACCTACGACGTAAAAAAAACTCTTTAAGAAAAAGTTACTGCGTGGCCGATAGCTGTTTTCAGGGATTGATACGGACCTTGTTGAGAGGGCGTAGCCTCTCCAAGATAGTTCTCAAATTTTATTTATTTTAAAAATCAACTAGCTTTCTTTGAGCTTTAACATTTTGAGCCTCCCTCCCTCTCCCCCCCCCCCAATAGTTTTCAAAATGTACTTACCGTAAATCCTCGAATTAGCCACCTGGGGGCTTATTTATTTTGATATTTTTGGATGGGGGCTTATTCGAGGGGGGGGGGGCTTATAAAATTATTGTTGACATTAAGAAGACGTTATTAAATTTTAGTAGGAATTTCTTTATGAGCATTTAAATTAATTACTACCAAAAATATGAATTTGTTGTGGTAATTCAATAAAACGCCATAGACAACCTCAGATGGCGAAAATCATCAAATTGAGGGGTCCAATTTGAGAATTTACGGTAGCAGTGGGGTTTATTTGAAGGGGGGCTTATTGACAATTTGTTGTTCTAGGGTGGGGGCTTATTCGAGGGGGGGGCTTTTCGAGGGGGGGGGGCCAATTCGAGGATTTACGGTATAACAATAAAATCAATCCCGTGGTGACACCATTGATTCCAAATCATATTATGATTCAATCCCAGTCATATTAGCAGTCTTCCGATCATGTTGTGATTTGATTTGATCTGAAATGGGATTATGATTATTGATTACCTTGTGTTGGCTAGTCTATTTCTGGCAAGGCAGACATCCCTGGAAGCAAGGACCTTCGTTTCTGCAAGGCGTAATTTTGCACTGTACCATTTCCGATCGACAGCCTACCGGTATCGTGGCTACTGGGTGGGGAAGTACTCGATGATCCACCGAAAAGTTTGCTATCCCGCCTTCCAAATTTCTGCAGTCTGCGCTTTCTGCTGTCCAGCTCGTTCATGGGTATGTCTTCTTGATGTTCCTCATCGGTAATCATAACAGTGCATTGCTGAACGTTCTCTTTGCTCCCTTCGTTGTCACTGTTCTCCAAGTCGTCAGTGATCTGTGTCTGTTGTAGCTCAAGTTCAACTGAGTCTTTTAAAGCATTTGCAGCATTAACAAGAACTTTTCGCTTTTTCTTTGGTAATTTTAGCCTGGCTTGGGCGTGCGAGTAATACAGATTGAAGTTATTGACAATCACAGGTACAGGTAGAGCGATCATCAGCACCCCAGAAATTGCACATAAACTTCCGATCAACTAAAATAAAACCAGATAGGTATAATTGTGTACCTTTTGTGTGTTCGTTTCTAGCATCACATTTCCATCACCTAACTTTAACCATCTCTACACGAATACACTTGCTGAAAGATGCAAGCAAATCTCTTCTCTAATGACGATACAAGCAAATCTTTTCTTTAATCAAGGTGCTAGCAAATCTTTTGTTTAATAAAGATACTAGTCTATTCCCTAATGAAAATACTAGCAAATTTAATTTCTTATGAAAACGGAAGCGCATCTATGCCAATAAGAAAGCGCAGTGCAGATCAGTATAAACTGATCCCCATTGCAGGGACCGTTTGATTCTGGAACACATAATATAAAGAACAATGATGCATGCAGAAAACTTCGAACGGCACTGATATTTAGTTGTATTTTGAAATTTTTTTATGATATTTCCTGGAAACTAAATGACTTTATCCTTGCTTTTTGGCACGTTTTATGCATTTCATTGAAAAGCTTTATTTGTCAACGTTTGGACTCAATTATGTAGTTACATGCAAAACATTTTCGACAAACTTGCGGGGCCTTTTTAGAGCTAATGATTATCTCGATGGTTCTAGGATTCATAGCCAACCGCCTTTTTTACTTAAAAGTGTGGAAAGTCTTACCTTTCCGGCAACGGAAGTTGGTGCAAAATCTCCATACCCAACGGTTGTCATAGTGATAACTGCCCACCAAAATGACGTTGGAATGGATACAAACTTTGTTCCTGGCTCCTCCTTTTCACAATAGTAAACGAGGCTGGAGAATATTACTATTCCAATGCACAAGAAGAATATCAATAGGAAAAGCTCCCTGAACGAGGCTTTAAGAGTATGACCTAAAATTTGCAGGCCCACATTGTGTTTTGAAAGTTTTATAATTCGAAAGACTCTGATGACTCGTATTACTTGCAAGTATTTGTAAATTGGTTCATTTGCATTGTTGAAGACATACTTCAACACGAGTTCGATAAAGAAGGGGATAATCGCCAGAAAGTCAATCCAATTCATTACATCCTTTACGAATCTCACTCTGTTCGGGCACACGATGAATCGTGTCGTGAGTTCCACGGTAAACCACGCGACACAAACTCCTTCTAAAATAAACAAAACTTTCCCCCTATCCGTTTCCGGTTGGAATGAGTCCATAGTTTCGAGACAGAAGAGCAGGACAGACAGTAGAATGAGCACCATACTGACGTAGGCCAGTACCTAAGAATAGAAAAAATTTAAGATGAAGTCGTTTTGGAATGGTGAAAAATTTAAAAAGTCATTACTAATATGTATTATCAAATACACGATGTTTACTTTGAAAATCTACTCTGTGACCGCAGCACTTGTTTTGGCAGCATTTTCCACCGAAAAATCTTGATAATGGAAATTTTTCACCTCTCTTTTAACATTTGAGTATGATGCCTGACAAAAAGCAGGCCCGTCGGAACCGGAGGGCTGGGGGGCTGGAGCCCCCCAATAATTGTCAAACTGTAGTATGTTTCCTTTATAACAGTGTACTGAATGAGGAGGAAAACAATGGGCAGCCCCCCAATGCTCCGACGGCGGCACTGAACCGACGGAACCGACGGCATTGTTCCGACGGCACTGAAAAGGCACACGACTATACCACAAAGTCATATGTGCTTTACATCTTTTCTGTTAAGAGAATATTTTTGACTGGCAGACAATTTTGCCTTGCAATCTTGTCCAACTGCAGTGTCAGAATCTATGCTCTTAGCTAGAAATAATGAGCATTTTTCAAATGTGCGCAAATATATCCAACCATATTTTGTTGCCTTATTGATCACAAGATTGGTAATGTAAAATGTTTTATGATATTAAGCAAAATTTTGAAAGCAAATAATAAAGGAAATACTATAGTATTCAGTTATATTCAATGGGTGAACAAAGGAAAATTATTTGCTGAAATACTTAATAAATGGTTTCAAACACACCTTTGCTGGTTTAGAAGATGGATCATCAAAAAGACTCCAAATTTTCGGTCGAAGTTTGAGCCATTTTTGATATCGTGTAAGTTCTTGCTGATCGTTGAAGTCAACGTGAAATCCATACCGTGCCAAGTCCGGTTCGCTATCATCATCCGGGTTGTAATCGAATTCAATACCTGAAAAATACAGAAAGCTTAAATAGCATCTTTCGGAAATTAGTTCTCGCATTGATTGTCAATATGACATATTCAAATAGGCCGAAGGTTACCACAAAATTATAAAATGGCAGAAGGCAGCAGGAGCATAACAATGCGGGATGTTTTTGCTCTTCTCTGCTATTATGAAATGTTTGATGTTCCACAAAGTTAACGAGAATGCCGTTGCGACAAAGGCATGTCAACTCTCTTTACACCAATGTATTTATTTAAATAAAAAATAGTCTGAAATGCTTGCTTAATATGGGCATGAATCTATGTTTTGATCGACCGATCAGCCTAAAGTTTGACATTCCAACATTAGATAAAGTAAGGCCACTTAGACAAAAGACTTGAAAACTTCACTGCACTTCACTAGGCCCTTTACTTAAAAGCCATCTGCACCACTGTTGCAGGCTACGAAATTGTGAGTAGTAGATTCAGTCAAATCTTTACAAAGGTTAGCAGAGAAAATGAATTTTTCTGCACCCAAAAGGAAAAGCATCAAGAAACCATCTGATTCTCACTATGATCAACCCTTGTTTTGCAATCATCATGCATGACGGTCTACATGTGCTCATTTCATTCGTTTTTTATTTTACTATTGTTTCTTAGCATTCATAACGAATAACCAAATCATTAAATGTAGCACATGGCTTCTATTATGATTTATCAAACAACAGTTATTAAGATAATTTATTATAATTTATTTGGCTTGTAAAAACACATATAAATTATTAATGGCTTCCGAATGCAGCGTCTGGATCCTGTTATATATTCTTATTAAGTTTGTTAAGACAAGCCTTTCCTTTAAATACTCGCAGTTGATTTTTATTGTGGCTGAAACTCAAACCAGTCAACGTCTGTTAATTTAAACTTTCAAGGCAGAGGAGAATTTAACATAGTTTAGAAGTTGGTATATTTATCTATGATTACAAAGAATTGAATATTTTTAGTAAGATGATTTAATTATATTTATCAACGAGCAGTTTAATTAAAGTGGGCGAAAACTAAATTTGTATCTCAGTTGATGCAGTAGCGGCGCCACGTGGGGGACTAGGGGGACACGCCCCCCCCCAGTTCTCAGCAGAATCGATTTTGTATTTCGTCTTAATTCGATGAGAAAATGTCGGGGGAGGGGTAATAATTTGCACAGTACTTTTTGTGATGTAATCCATTGATTTTGAAATTGCCAATTTTCAAACAAAAGTTAGACATACGCGTTCCCTTCGGATAAAATTGGCGTTCCCTGTTGGTAAAAGGGTTTTTTCTGGTGGTTAAAAAAGCGTAGCTTAAATTTTTTTGGTTTGTCCCCCCCCCCAGAGCTTAGTGGCTGGCGCCGCCATTGAGTTGATATATACAAGCCAGTCAGCTGTATAATCTTTGACTGAGAAAATTTGATCAAAGTTTGATCATAGCATAAATTCATGATGAAATATGTCTACATAAAGACTCGATACTAGTGACACGTGTTTCTAAAAGAACCTTTAATGACATAAATCACGAGAAGCATTCTAAATTCAGAATTTTGTTTATCAAAAAGTTTTTTATAAGTTTGCTCCCATTACACTAAAATTGATTTACTTTCAACAGGACCCATTGTGTTAGCAGTGACAATTTTCATAGCAGTGCATGAATACAGTCTATCATTAAAATATTCGCCGTGTCATTACCAATAACACGACAGAGTACCATTTTACATCATCACAAATATATTTTAGAGTTTTTTAATTTCGAGCATATAATCTGAAAGAACAGTGCAAATTCGGCAAAAAATTTTACACTCGAGTGGTTATAGTGAAAATTTCTACAAGTCGATTTTTTGATGTTGTCTCTTTTGAACCCTCTATTCTTGAGATTCTGTTATCAATGTAGTGTATTTACCAATATGTTGTTTGTTTGCCTCTGATGTGATACAGATGATTGTTATACATACTTTGCATGTAAGCTCTCAACGTATGTAACAAACTATTAACAGAGAACTGTTTAATAAAATCAAATTTTCACCCACACTCAAACCATTATAACGGTGTAGCAAGAATATCACATTTAAGAATAAACTTGACTTTTCTATGCTGCACTGTTAAGTTTGACATTATCACAAAAAATAATTTAAGAAAACCATTGTGTAGACAGAAGGAGTTCGTTTTCTCTCTTGGACTCGAGTGGTAATTTTTCTTTCGGCACGCGGCAATTATAGGTCAACTATACCGGTCTTGTGCTCGCGTTTTTTTGATTGGCCTATTTCGATGCAAAACTATTAGCAGCAAGATGGTTTTAGAAAGTAAGGGAACAGAGTCTTCTGTTTGGAGAATTGTTGTTATTATCCTGTAGGTTCCATAGTTATTGAAATTCTTTATTAAAATCAACCATTTCAACCCAACACATGCTCTGGTCTCAATGCCTTCTTTTACCGTCAACCATGTTTACTGAGTTGGAGCCGAGAACTGCAGCGAAGCAGAAAATGCCCAAACACCAGCCTTTATAGCCACATGCAACAACTGAAACTTTATCTTAATATTCAAAGAGAACTGAATTCATTATCTCTATTAATCGATTCAAATCAAATCGGAAAATGAGGCAGCCCCCCTGAACAACTCTTTTCTTTTCTTTATCAACCTGTTGCCAAGTAACAAGATCTTTGATTACTGTTGGATAATTAGCCACCTGTCGCGAGTCATTACCTTGGGCTGGTGACCGTCAACTTTTTTCATTGAAAACTCTCAAAGATTTACAAGGAATGAAATTCTAACGTAAATAGTCATCTCCTTCACAGCTGCAAACTTAATATCAAAAATCCAACGCAATTACCACCCGCTGTGTTCCAGTTAAGCAAAACTAGTGTTTCGAATCACCAGTCAAGCTTCACTGTCCAGTGTGCCACTTGAATGAAATAACTTTCCGTGTTTCTTACTAGGAAACATTTGATGAAAAACCAGATAAATTTCGCGTGCATTTCTTGAATAACCAGAGGTTTTTTAATGAAACAAAGTTGAGTTTATGCAGTTTACGTAGTTTGCAGAGATTCCATAGCCATCAAAAGGCGAACTCGTATAAATTCATGCTCTTTGGCAGAAGGGTAAACCCCCAAGTTCTTTCTGAGTTTAAACAAGGGGACGGTTGCCCCCCCCCCCCCTGAGCTCTCAGCCCGTACCCTTGTTAATTATGTCACCGTCTGCGAGTAACTTACAACAACTGCCAGGACTTTGCTTAATTCTCTTCAATTCTCTATGATTATATTTTCAGCCTCTAAATTTACCCAGAACTTCCCCAGTTTTTTACTTTCCTTCCCCCTCTTAAAAGTCACCTTAACCTTATGTCTTGAGAGCACTTTTAAAAATGATGAGAGAAAAATGAAAAAGGAACTTGGATCGAGTAATGCATAGATGACCCGAGATTGAAAACCAAGCAACTTTTTTTGATGAAAGATAAAACGAGTGCCAAAATAAAGCTACAAAATTGGATGGGGAACCATCACATTCTTAAGGAAATTCGAAAGCTCTTGCTATGACCTGTCAACTAAAAATCAAGTGCTGTGGAAGAATCTAGAACGGATGGGCTTAGTTATTTCTTTCATTCGATGACTCTTTGTACATAAGTAAAATAGGTTACCTAAAAAAGTGGAATACACATCTTGAGGAAAACAATTTTTATGCAATGCATATTATGCAACGTTTGAAAGAGATTCACATGAAAGTTCCACGTCCTTGCTGTCAGCTGTACTTTTCTCGCGATTTTCTGGTTTTCTGGCAGCGATCACGTGCAATTTTAATTGTGACAAAAATACTGCACTGCTATTGAATAACTTGCTTGATATTCATTTAGATTTTTGGCTCGTTAGAATCAAACTTCTATCTTTGCACAAATGCTTTAAAGATATTTGAAAAGTTTTTATGTTTCTTATTAAAACGCGAAAGTATCATGGTACCAACTTTGATGCACATAGCCACATCAAAGCTTGTTTCACAAACATCAATCCATCGTTCTTTAACGCATTCGCCAGTTTCTCGGTCGCAATCAGCTGAATGAATTGCCGGACCATCAGGCAGCCAGGAACCCTTAGTAATCGGATTTTGTATAAGTACTCTGCTTGTATTTCGTCAATGTTGTCATGAAAAATTCCGTGCATTGGTGCCCACTGTGGGTCAAAAAAGACATCAAGGCTATCGTCACTAGCACATGACATCGCGTTATTGTGCGTGATATTTTGCATAAAATGAAATAATGAGTTTCATGCGTTACCATAATTATATGTGACAGTTCTCTGTTTGCTTCAGCATTTAATCGACCAAAGTTCATGTGAAGTCCCCCAACTTTACAGAAGCTAAAGGGGGGTTAGTTCTCAGCTTTAGAAAGACAATACCCAGGCTCTTGTTTATCATACAGCCTCATTTGCATGAAAAGGCTCAGAAAACATGCTAAAACCTTAAGTGTTTCAAGCGCTTATTATTAAGAGGCATTCCAGCTGCCCTTTTGTACTACGGAGATCAAATTGATAAATCACCTTACCTTCAAAGTCTTTAAGGGTGTCTTGGGCATCTCTGTGTTGCCTGTAGCTTATCCAACAACATGACTCTACTTGCGAATCATCAATACCCCAGTACTGTAACTCTTCTTCATAGAGAGGCCCACACACGTCGTAAGGCACATGAAGTTTCCCTGTCCGATAATAATTTAGAATGTGTGAAAAAACACTCGGGTGTCTATCAAAAAAGTATTCGCCAGTTTCTCGGTCGTAATCAGCTGAATGAATTGCCGGACCATCAGCCAGCCAGGAAAGTCTTGTGTCCGGAACATTCCGAAGTGTAGACCTGTACGTAACGTGTCTTTGGCCACCAACATTGATAATCACTTTGTCCTTTCTTTTTGTCGTCTGACCGGCCCTTGAGAATTTGATTTTCGATTCATTAGGGATCGTGTCTAACGAACCATTTACACCCGAATTTTTTGAGCCAATAGAATCCTGTCTGCCATTATCTTCGTTGTTTAGATTTTCGTTGGAGTCATCATCGATGACGGTTTTACCCTCATTATCTTCATCAGGAGATTTAGACCTTTTTTCCTCAGCAACTGCTTCTGGTAATGGCGTCCCTTGAAGAATACTGTTTTCAAAATCTAGCAGGTTCTTTTCACTGTATCCAACTTCCGTATTTTCAATGACAGGGTAATTATCCGATATCAATGGGTCACTGTATAGAACAGGAGGTGATCTTAGCGAGTTGCCGTTTACATTGAAGGAAGCCGTTTGCTGTTGCATTCTTTGCTCCCGTATTCTTATGTCAGCCACATTCCCGCTGTATGGCAACCAGTTAACATATCAGCTATACAGACTCTGACGTCATCAGCTATCATCTGCATAATGACAAAAAAATATCGTTAAAAGAATTCTTCAAAAAATTCTGAAACAGTGAAAATTAGTTCACTTCTTGCAATCACATCTCTGTTTACATCTATTATAATCGCGACTCTGGTACAGAAATGATAGCATAAAAATTGTGAATTTGAAAATTTTAAAGATCTCTCCGTCCAAACTCCGTTTAACACCATGGTATGGATGCAAAAAGTAATTTATTCTCAAAGTAGCAAAGTAACTGGAGTCTTAGGTTTCTGATTTGCAGAGCGCGTGCATATGTAATAGAAAAGGCAAGTGCGAACTCACAACTAAGGTGTTGAATTCAATTAATGTTAAATGCATTCTGCATTTGAAGAATGCTTTTTCAAAGAGTATCTTGTTAATATTTAAGTAGGGATAGATTTTCTTGTAGGAATCTTTTTCTTCCTAGAACCATCTGTCCGAATTTGATCATTCTTGCAACTCACTCGTGGCCAGATTTGATGTACACCCTCGCATTTGCTCTTCTTTTACCACATTTGCTTTTCGATCAATTACTTCAACCTATTTAACAAGTTTTACTGAAACAAAATGAACAGCTTTGCCAATTTTGTGAAAACATGAGTGCAGAGTTAAACAGACCAAGCATTTACTGATGTTTAGCACCCACAAACAATAAGGGTTGCTTTCTTTCCAATGACAACCCCAAAACGTAATCTAGTGCATCTCAAAAGTCTACTAACACTTGTTTGGACACCAAAAAATCGAAACATTGTAGCGAATCAGCCTCTTCTGCCGTTTCCTGGGAAATACTCTAGAATGATTCACATTGATATTTTCGAGGCTGTGCTTGCAAGAAAATTTTCTAGTTAACAGTTAAGTTGCTTTTGATAAGGAGACAACCCCAGTGTTGTAACTGGGCAAGAATTATGATTATCGTTTGAAACAGAGGTCTTGCCATAAGGAGGTTAGAGAGCACCTCGCCAATACCGAGGTTGTTTAAATCGTGAGTCAGTTAGTCGTGAGTCATGAGTCGTGAGTCGCGAGTTATGATCAGTAATACATTATACATATATTTACCTCTAGGTGAGGCTACATGAATAAACTGGATACACATGAACGCGGATATCGCATTCTTTTCTAAGCAACGCTACGATTCAATGATACACCTTTGCTGGCATCATACCTGCCCGCAGGGGTGGGGGAGGGAGGGGCACCCAGGTTTAAAGGAGCATACTGATCATAAGCCCCGAAATGCTTTACCTGGTAGATTGGCTGTTGAGCTAGGAAGGACTCAGAATTTAAAAGACAATATATATACATGTTTCTAAATATTTTATATAGCAGTATAGTATATCTATACGGACACACGCCCCTTTCTAGTTGGGAACACTAACAACAAACTGGATCCCAGCTCTCCTAACGACATAAGATGTGAGAGGGCCCAGTGTGATCTGGTTGAGGTTGGTATTACACTGTGTTTTCTTAGTTTTTGACAAGCTGTGCTTGTCCTTTTTCTATGGTTTCAAACAAACATTCAAATTTGAATGTCATATTGTTATTCAGCATATGAAATTGCCTTAGGAGTTAAATCGACTCATTACGACTCATTGCGACTCATTGCGACTCATTGCAACTCATTGCAACTCATTGCGACTCATTGCAACTCATTGCAACTCATTGCGACTCATTGACTCATTGACTCATGGGCTCATATGTTATCGGAGTATTAGCAATAAATCGAAGTTTAACCAAAAAACGGAATACAAAAAATGGATACACAAGAACATATTAATATTCAAGTCAAAAGTTTCCATATTCAGCATAGGAAATTGTCTTACGAGTTTAATTGACTCATTGCAACTCGTTGCGACTCGTGACTCCTGACTCATTGACTCATTGACTCATTGGCTCAAAAATCAGTAAATCTCGCCAATACCCTACTCTATCAGTAGGCAGCATGACAGCAGACTAAAGTCCCGTTAAAGTTTTTGCTGCTGCCAATTAGGAATTTCCCGTACAAGTGAATTTAACTTCATACCAAATTGAAATATACCCACTGACTTTGACCTAAACACTGCGATTCCCGAAAAATAGACTGTGGATAATAAGAAATTCTTTTGCAAGGAACTGTCTCTATTAAAAACACATAACTCTCCCTCAAAAGCAATTTTTTCTTACTTCCCTACTTCCTAACTTTCCTATATCCTGCCAATTTTGTCCCATGTTTAAACCATTTTGTAAAACTGGTTTTATAAGGTTAACCAAGTGATATGCAGCAAAGCCTATAGTTTTAGCAACACCATCCAAATTGAAGTTCTTTCAAAGAATGGAATTTTGGGTTGAAAATAACTGCATAGTTTTCGGTTTTTAATGTAGAACTTAAGTAACAGCGTTTTTGCTGTTTTAGCCCGCTGATGCTGCCAAATGTCCACTAGCTTTCATTAAATAGCATACTCTCTGTTTATTAAAGAAACCATCTGATTTCTTATTAAGAAACATACTTAATGACTCATTCTTTGTCATTGAATTGAAGCCAGCCCCTATATTTTGCAAATAAGGCACAATTAGAAGTAAATTTTCATTAGAAGTTTTATCATTAAATGATCAAAGAGGTTTATTTGATAATATCTTTCTCAGATCAGTTGTTTTACTGAATATTCCGAGGGAAAAATAATCTGTAATAATAGTTAAACCATCTGTTGCTTGGAAAATAACTTTTCAAAAAGAAATGCTGAATCGACAAGGGGCCTAGTACTGAAAATAAGGGTTTGTGAAACCTAGGGGGGCAAAAAGTTAAAGTGTACGAGCACTCTTTGATTCTTTATTTGAAATGTACCGGAACCAAAAGAGAAAATGAAGAGTTTTTATCTTGAATGACCATTTCAGGTGTTTTTGCTTCAATGTTGATGAGAAACACGTCTAGCCAATATATATTTTTTAAAATTTCAGATTTAGATCACCAAATATGTTTTCGAAACAGCGTCCTTACCGAATGAAGGCTAGGAAGATCATGGCTCCTGCAAATTCAACTAAGATGTTAATAATTCATAGCTAGAATGTTCAAGAAACGCGGCTCCCGATCCCCTCCGTATAGGTACTTTCAAATAGTGGGATAGACAGAGGTTTTGGTTCTTCAATGCCTTCAAGATACAAAGTCTTGCATAACTGGTTAGAAATTAAATAAACTTCAATAAGTTTTACGAACAGCTTATGTTTGTTTACAAGAACTGCATAATTTATACACACTGGTATTCAATTAAATGCCAATTTGCCCTTCCTTTACCTGCAAATCAAACAAATATTTCACAAGAATTGAAACACTGCTTACTCTTTCCAAACAAATACGCACTACTTTCTTTGTGCATTTTAAATTCAATTTGGTGCTTTTTTGTTGTGTGCACTTTATTGTATATAAGCAATGTTTCTGCTTGATGCAAACCAGCATAAAGTATTCGGTTTCCTAACAATCCGTCTACAAGTGGAAAAAACCTCTCAGAGCAGAAGAACCAAAGTCTTTCTCTTTTTCTTTTCTTTGTCCCTATTCTTTTTTCTTTGCAATCCTTTCTTTATGATTGCTTTTGCAACAGTACTCACTTAAACTCAGTTCGATTAGAGCATCTTTAGTTTGTCTAAAGGCACTAATTACTTGTAACGGAATATAATTAATAATTTTATCGCAGTTTTAACGCTCTTTGCTATATTCAAATGATTAAATGTATGTTTGTAACTTGTAATGTAGCTATGGACCTAGGAACCTTTGGTACAGGGGACACTCAGCTTAACCTCACTTTTCAAAACAGGGGTGAAATGCCAGTTCTGACGGTGCCCCTTTTTTTTCCTAGCTATGCGCCTACATTGTAATGTTTCCTACATCTATGAATGCAGCTTAACGATAAAGATAGAATTAAAATATTGGCTTTAAAGATGGAAGAATTTGGTTTTTTTCTAGAGCTAAAGCTTAAATTCTTTAATGAAATTTGTTTTATGACAATTTTCTGGCTTGATGACAGGGTAGTTAGTATGCAAGAATGCTAAAAAGACAGTCTGTTCCTTAAAATGAGTTCCAGGGTCAATTTTCATTTATTAGCATCTCTTATTGCCACATGATACCAAAGTGTAAAATTTAATGAATTGATGGACATGTCTCGAGCAGAATTAAGTCCCGACTAAATTATTGATGTTCTATGTCAATTTTTGGCCACGAGGCTATGCCTGGTGTTGCTGGTAGTCAATCTGAGCATCCAATCATTCTTCTGCCATTTGTGAAAACAATCTAAAAGGCTGACAGATATCTTTTAGACAGAATGAAATGAAATGAAAAGAACAACTAAAAATGATCAACATGCACAGTCTTTTTAGGCCAAATTCAGCAACAAATAGTTAGGAGCCGAAAGATATTGTTTTAACTTGTTTTCCCCTTTGATGTTGCTTGTCGAAGTGCCAGGCTTTTATTTTGATCCGCAAAACCAGGAAAAAAATGTGAAATGTAAAATAAGCTGTGGTATACCCAAGTGTGAAATAAGCTGTGATATACCCAATATGATAATTTTATTAAGTATGGGTTAATGACTAGGTTCGCAGACTACAGGTCCAAGGACCTTGGGTTCAGATCCCTGGTCACCTTAGCAAGTATCTAGCAGGAACTAATTTGAAAAAGCCAGCAATGTTAAAAATATTGCAAAAACATTGATTACAAAAAAGGACGCCATACACAATGGATAACACTTAGGAGAGAACAACTTTATTGCTACTTCACTGAAGAAATTTCAATGACAAAAATATCCATTTGAAAACAAGACATAAAACGTCATAGGGTCGTAGGGGCAGATGGATTCAACATAAAACCAGTTGTTCCTGACAAAATACAAAGCATTGAAAATCTGACGAGGGAAAGACGTTTATATCCAGAGGTAAGAGATTAAATGTAACTTCCAGGATATAGATTGCTGTAACCTGGCCCTTATTTGACTTTCATCCTCTGAGCAAAGTTTCCTCTTTTACGCGCTGTTATGAAATTTGAGGTACAAAAGTCCTTATTTGGTGAATTTTTTGTAGTGCTCGGAAAAAAAATTGTCGGGAGAATTCACTTTTTTCAAAATTGGAAAACTCACCATGAATAAAAAACAGACTCTACAACCAAATCCATTTTAATTTTTTTCAATTAAATTTTAGAAAATTGGAATTCAATGACGGATTGGTTTAATTTTTCAAAGCCCAGTCCGTTCTGCTATATAAATATGATTATAGCTCAAAACTTAGTCAAGAATGATATGCTTTGTTTTCAAAAGGTTACAAATTGAAACTAAAGTTTAGGCAAACTTTTGTTAAGTATTTCTTATTTTCATTTATCATCATGATAATTTGAAGAAGAAAGACATAAAGTCACATATCTTAGCATTTTTGAACCATCTCTTTAAATTTTAATAGAATCAAAACAAGAAAAAACCGTGAGGATCTTAGCTCTGGCTTATCGTTTTCACTGAAATATCTCCCATTGCAGCATTTGCTGTGTCCGGTCACCTTTGGTTTCACTTATTACCATAGCAATAACAATGATTCTACACTGGCCTGCAAGGAAACTGCAATAAACAAACGACCTGATGCTTTTGAAAGCTAGATCAATGTGTGTGGAAGGCGATTAAAAATAGGCCTTTAGTGCATGGATGTGCGTTATTAGCGTGATTTCTCAATCACTGACTTTTAAATACAGCACCACATTTAGCTGCTTCATGCATCAATATTTTATTATTACTTTTACGGTATTACATTAGAGTCGTGGATCACAAATGCCGTCTTGCATTGAAAGGTATTGTTTCCATGGTGATATAACCACAACCACGGTTTGAACTATCCAAGAAACAATGTGATAGTAAGGTTGTTTTTTTGTGATAATAACGAGCTAGAGTTTTTTCATGATGCTCTTTCAGGTTCTGTAATTGAAATTTTTAAATTTTAAAAGGAGTTTTGATGGCATCATCACACAAGGCCTCCACAGACTTCACAACTTGTTGGGAAAGAAAAATGGCAAATATATGTTTATGAATTTTTGAAACTGGCATCAACAATGTTATTTTTAAATGAAATAAAATCATAAGGAAAAGAAATCGAGAAGAACACAGGGAACACAGATTGGTCTATTAGTTGCAGAGAGGCAGCAAGCCTCTTTGTAATCTACATAGGAAGTGAGTTAGCTTGACTTTGTAACAGAAATCTCTAATCTTCCAAGATTTCTATGTTTTCAAGTGTGATATCAAAAGTTTTTTGTTATTTTACATAACAATGTTGTCTTTTGACCTCGTAGCCTGAAAGCATCATGAAATGTCTCCAAAGTGCAAATAAGTCAAATCTGTTGCGAAATTTCCAAAAAGACGCAAAAGAATCAACTCGGCTGTTGCTTTGTTCTGGCTCAAATTGATTTGACAAGGAAAGAGCCGGTGCTTCTGTGGTTATATTATAGCCAATTTTTAACACATTTACTTGATTTTGCACATATAAATTAATTGAAAATGGTATTTCAGTTTAAGTGGTTCAAATTAAAAAATCCTAAGAAATTATTTTATGACATCACTTCTCAAGAGCTTTTTATGATAATTTCAAAATGTTGCGAATAAAACATTTTGTACCCTGTGTACCCGGGGCTTGGAGAGTGAAAGTAGTTTCCCGTTCTCCTTCGCAATTCCTCTCCCCGTTTATCAATCATTGCCGCTGTTACTTCCTTTGACTCTCTGAGGCTCCTGTGCCCATTGTATATGTATGAGTTAAATTACAGTAGACAGGTAGAGATCAAGCAACCCCTCGAAAAATTACCCATGAATGTTCCAAAAGCGTAGTTTTACTTTTACACCGTTGCGTTTTATTTCATTAGATTAACAGTTAAATTGACTTACATCTATGTATATTATCACGGTGCATGAAAAGCTACCTAACGTCACAGCCCGTTACGGAGAGCAAGTCATGCTTTGTCAAGCAGTCTAATTTGAGTCAAGCTATGGGTGAAGGTTAGATGTCTATTCAGGAGTTGTGCAGTTACCAGAGGGGTCAAAGAAGTATTGAATATCACATTCTATTGGAGGTTTTATATACTACTTGTCCCTGAAGCTGGTCTAGAACGGATCAGTAACAGAAGAAACTGATCTTCTTTATATATTATAATATATAAGATGAAATCCACTACTTGCTTTCAACAAAAATTAAAATGTAAAAAGAAATTTGGAAGGTTTTGTAGCCAAAATGTACATCATATTTTGCTCAAACCAATATAAAATTGGATTGAAGTTTAAATTCAAATTTATGAGCTGATCTTCATAAATTTGGCGTATTTTTATATCCTCTAAAATACTTGTTATGGCGACCAGGTTTCGAACCCAAGGCCCTTAGACCTGTAGTCCGTGAACCTAGTCATTAACCCATCCTCGTACTTAATAAATTTATCATATTAGGCATATCACAGCTTATTTCACACTTGTGTATATCACAGCTTATTTTACATTTCATATCATTTTCCTGGCTTTGCGGATCAAACTAAAAGCCTGGCACTTCGACAAGCAACATCAAAGGGGAAAACAAGTTAAAAAATATCTTTGGGATCCTTACTATTTGTTGCTGAATCTGGCCTAAAATGTGTTAGAATTTTGATATGCGAGAGACTGGTCTGCTAAACAGAGATCGCTAGAGTGCGTTTCCTACTTTCTTGCACTGTAGAAGATAACGGTCGGTGAATTTGCATGTCAAAATGCTTCTTCGATTGTCAGTATTCACTGTTTTTGATAAGACTTTGCCTGTTTGCTCGAGAATAATAGGCTATGTTTCCATGACAACAGACATCTGAGATCATTCTGTTCACGTTGTCCAAGTGATATCTTGTACGATAAAGCAAATTTGACAAGCATGTTGTATGCTAGAAACTGAAGAAGCATTGAGATTAGAACCATAGGATCGACCGAATTGAGATGTTGTGTAACTTTTGGAGTACCGTTGACGTAAATATGCAAGCCATCAGGATAAAAATATCTTCCGACAAAAAGACATTGCACCGTCTTCTTCAATATTGATTTTTTTAATATCTTATCTACAGATTCTTTAGTTTCTTTATTTTTGAGAGAAAAAAGTTAATCGAATTTAAAGCCAAAAAGTTACTGAGCCCAAAATTATTTTTTGTTTAGTGGGAATTTTTAGGTTTCCTGGTATTATATACCTTGTCTATAGCTAAGCTATTTAAACCACTCAATGCTATTATCTTCGAACTTTTATTATTCTTATTTTTACAAGCAGGTAACCAACTTACATAAGAATCATGGTGAAATCACTTTTGAAAATATGCGAATTCCGATTATCGCCCTTTTCCAATAATATTTTGCTTAGTTATAAAACCATGGAATATTGTAAGCGCATTCTATCTAAGAATATATACAACAATCTTATTTGTTTTGCATTGATGTTATGTCTAAATCTTGCTATTTAAAGATGGTATCATTGCTTAGCTATCATTTTATTGCGAGATCTTTGCATCGAGATTTCATTGACTGTATATAAGGAACTAATTTGAAAAAGACAGACTTTTCTCGATGTAGCCTACAGATTTCAGATCAATTTGAACGCATCTTGTTTGCGACTGAATGGCTGACAAAATCAGCTGTATTATAACAAACTGCATCGCTTTCTATCAAAACCAACATTCTTGTTTATCAATTCTAAAATACCTTTTTCGAAGATACATGATATAATGTCTTTCCAATATGTTGACGTATATGATGCAATCAGTTTATAGAGTTAACTTTGTTTGAATCTAGTAATCTTGAACAGAAAATAAGATGCAATTATCTTTGAGTTAAACAAGACCTCAAAATTCTTCTTTTCAATTCGTAAACAACCCTGTCTAGAGAGGCATTCTCGCGCTTGCTCCTCTTGTTACCAACAACGAAGCACCAGCGTAACTTTTATGCGATGATTTGTGCAATCATCTAACAGCGAATGCATCTTTTGTAGAATGTTGATTTAAAAAAACAGTGATATTTATCGTGTTTATTATAGAGGCCAAGATACAACGAGGTCACAGCCTGATGTTCTTTTGAATGGTACAGACATCGCAATTGTCAGGCAATGTCAAAAACAGCGAGTCATATTTTAGTATACGAGGCCCTCAGGCTTCAATTCTTGCTCTTTGAATTCATCACATATTCTAAAGGTCAAAATAAAGCTATAATGTGGATAATAAAAATTATCTGCCCAAAAATCTGAAGGAAACATGATTTGTTCAAAGAAGTACTTACTGGCCAGCTTTTTCGGTATGATAAACCATCAACGTAGCAAGGCAATAGTGTCAGTGTTTTAGAGATGTGTTAGTGTTTCAAATTGGACGAATGTTCCTTCTGTTTTATGTGCTCATCTTTGGCATCAAGGTTTCCGAGATAAGAGAAGAAATCCCTAAAACTACTTCAAAGCAGTTAACTAGAGCACGAGCCGGGGGTTGAACTATCTGGTACCTGCTTTAGATTACATTGACAGGTGTTTTAGTAACTACAACTCGCATAGAAAACAACCTGTAAACACTTCTTCCTTGTTGAATATTAATGACTTTTGCAATATTTTAATGTATCTCTAAAGTGCATCGTGTTCCCTCTCAGTAAAATGCTTTGCGCAAAACGTGAACTTTTGTTTATTTTTATGATTGTTAGGAATGGGGGAAGAGAAACTCCGATCTAGAGTCTAACCAACGATAGTAGTTTCTTATTTATGCACTATGTTATGTGTAGAATCAGCTATAAACAAGAATCAGCTGAAGTAGTGCATCCAATTTCCATTAGTCTTAACAATAACAGGGTGTGGTATGGTGTGGTATGGGCATGGCCAATCAATTTCTTTAGTATTCAATGACCTTCCTTTCGTCGTTCACACTGTGACGAACGATTTTTCTGGACTCTAACTGAGCAATAGAATATTGTTTGACCTTAAGAATAATCGCAGCAATGTATGCGCCGTTTTTCTCGTTTTAGTTCTCGTTTCAATTGATGAAAATCGCTACGTGGACAGAAGCAAGCTCCGTCAAGTTACTGTAGAGTAAAAAAAATTGAGTTCGCTTGAAATTTTTGTAGGGAAATTGAATTCAGTTAAATGCAACATTTTCCGCATTTACCAGATTTTTTAGAGAGTTAGCTTGAAAGTTTTTACTCTTTGGTTAAAAACCCAATCTTTTTCTATGGTTTGTAAATCTTTTATCATCAAAAAAGGCTTTTCTACACCTTAACAAGTGATAAAAGGGAAAAGAATAAACTTTACTCGTCGTTAATTATTCCAAATTAAAAAAATCTCTAATAATCTAAAATTTTTATCTCTATAATATCTATTTATAAAGTTTTTTTAAGAATGACTAAAAAGTCTAATTAATTTTTTACGTAAAAGCCGTTTAAATGAAAACATTTTTACATGAAATTAAAATATATTGCAGTAGCGTTTTGGTTACTGCTTGCTTTTCAAATTGAATCCATTTTGTACCAGCTGCAATCATGCGCAGTGGCACTGTTAAGTTTCATGCGCTCAGTGTTTTCAAGAAATAAACTTACTTTCTCTTATCTTATCGGTTTGGATAAGATCTCATTCGCAAGGAAAATAAGAGCTTATCTTTCGAAGCCCTGTCGTTGCTTTCGAGAAAACGAGTTTTGTGGGCCTTCTTTCTAGTTTTCTTCGACGTGAGCAATCCATTCTCTCGAAACGATAACATTATCATCAATTTCTTTTATCTATGTGTCATCATCCAATTTGGTATGATCAGGGGATCTGACGCAAGTCGGAATATGAGGAGGCAAGGACAAATGAAAGACATATGACAAAAAACTTCTTCTTTGTTACTAAAATGGAAAAAGTTGGGGGGATAGCAGTCTTGCTAATTGTCAAAGATCCTGATAATGAGCACGAATCTGGTAGAATTTTCATGTTTGAAAAAAGCCCTTTGTCATCCAATTGCATATGCCCATCCAAGAATTCTTCCAGATATTTCTATTGCTGCTTAGCATATTTTGTACTCAATTTAGAAAACAGAATTTTTACCAGCGATAGATAAATTGGTATTGGTTACTGTTAACACGATAGGTAACTTTTAAAAGTCCACATGAAATGGAAAAGAGGTTGCCTCGTATTTCTTCTGGCGCGTAAATTGGAATGACGCGAGCAAGTATAAAGATGGCCACACTGTGATGAGGTTAGTATCTAATCATTTAACTTTTATTTCCAAAAAAGGAGTCGTGAAATAAGCTGTGATATACCCAATATGATAAAGTTAGTAAGTACGAGGATGGCTAAATCGTTTAGTAAATGACTAGGTTTGGGACTACAGGTCTCTTCAGATCCCTACGCACACGACATGACAAAATTTTCTTTTTGAGAGGAGTCTCCATAGCCCAGTCTGCAGAGTATGGCATGTGCACACCGGATATATTATTGTGCAAAACCTATTGCACACCCGTATTTTTGGGTGTGGCAACTAAGATGGGTGTGGCTTGGTGTGGTCCCATAGAAAATGTCAGCTGATAAAAACAAGCACAGTTGTGTATGAGCAATTTGAGATATCATGAATCTTACTTGACAAATATACAAATAAAAACTTGCGCTATCTTCAACAGTATACTTCACACGCATTTTTACGGTGCAATGCAAATTCACAAATTTTAACCACAACAGGGAAAAATAGTCGGTGCACACCAGCACACCAGACATTTTTGGTGGTGCACACCGTCACACCAGGCTTTTTGCTCGTGCACACCGGAGATTCTCGTCGAAAAGTGCCATACTCTGCAGACTGGTCCATAGCAAGTACTTTAGAGGACATAAAAAAATGCCAACAAACGTAACCATACTTGCCAGCTCCTGACATCTAAAACGCTTTCCAATGGCTCTTATCTGTTGTCCTATCTGACTGTTTTATTTTATTCATATTGTTTTAGCTATTTGTATTTCATCCCTTAATCTTCTTTAGCTCTATATGGCTTTCAAAACAATAATTACCATTCTATTCAGTTTGCAGAAGAGTTACACTCAGTTCTCAGTGGTTGCCTATTTAAAGATATGACAATCATCAAAGCACTTCAATTCCCATTGGTTCCCTTCAAATGTTTTAGTAATAATGGCTCAAAGAGCAGGCTACAGGAACTAGCTTGGTTGTTAGAGAAGTGAGCCCTGCAGATTTCTGACTGCAAAACATCCTTTTTTCCCTCAAGGTGTCATTAAGCTACAATTTGCTAGATAATGCTCCTGGACGCTCAGAAAAGATAGTGACAGCAAGTTATAGAATCCAGGTGAAAATGCTTTTAAATTCCTTGACTGCAGAGGAAAATAGGTTCATATGTTTTATTTTCATGACTGGAAGTTTTACTTCCTATGATCAGTACCATCGCGTGATAGTTCTTGCTGGGGGGGGAGGATGTGTAAGAGATGCAAAACCATATTTTACCGTCAGAATTTACCATATTTATCGTCATATTTTACCATATTCTTTTGTTGCATTAATATTTTGTTATAAATTTAATCCTACTGACAAGTTCTCTGAAAGTTGGGGGTGTAGCCCCCCACACCCCCCTCCCCCGCACGCTACACCCCTGCCTATGATACTAAGAACATTACCACAATTCTTGAATATTTTAGAATAAGTTTGTGTTGAAAAACAAAGTTAGTGTGTTGCAGTTTAGAAAATTAACTTTTCATATGAGTTTTTGCAACAAAACTGATTAAAGAGACTGTCTTTGAAAAAGCATGGCTTGTTAATGTTTCAAAATTTTATCTGATGGTCAAAGTGATTGAAGCATCATATTTTATTCTGAGGCTTAAAAGGCTTATTCTGTTGTTTAGTTTTCCTTCAGTAGATAGAGAAAGTTGAAAACCACTCAGCCCCTTATGGATAAAAATTCAATGTTTGAATTATTAAAAATGCTGGTTTTGTCTTTCTCCAGATTTTGCCAGATTGCTGTCTCTTAGATAATGGATTCAATTGAAGATGACATGAAACTCCTCTTAAGTGCTTTGAGGTTCAATAAAGATGATGTTGAGCAGCAAACACAGACTCTTAAAACCTTAGCAGCGTTGTGTTCAAATGGTAAGTTTCATCAAAGTAGTGCAAGATTCTATTTTTATGATAGCAATGAATTTAAACTTTTTATAAAACTATACATTTTTTAACAGAATACCAAGTGTCAGTAAGTCTTCTTTCCACCAAACTGTTAAAAACTGGACATTGCCTTCTATTTGCAGATTTTAATTATTTTGAATTGTTACTCCATGTAACTTCAACCCTTCTTTTTTCCAATTAAGCCCAATGCCTTTTAAGACCCGATAAATTGATGCATGTTGCTAAATTTAGCATTCGAAAGACTTGTTAGTCATCATGGCCAACTACAGAGAAAAGGTAGGGATACAGGAAGATATGATAATTAATGTTAAAAGTGTTTGCTCGTATGAGAAATAAAATAAAACTATAACAGAGAGTCCTTAGAAAGAAAATAAATGCGTGAAGCGTAAAGTGTGTGTGATAAGAGTTGTTTTACCTGTTATAAGCTTGCTGTACTCCTAATACCTAGAATTAATTTACTCTTTCCAATGTGACAATATCATACCCAATAAAGTAGGCCTTTGTAGATAAACTTTTAAACATATTCTAAGCTCTAAGTTAAAAACAAACTCTTAGTGTTCACTGATGGTGTGAGGGTGTAAGAGTGATTTCAATCTGAATCCTTGATAACATGCAAACTATATTACCAATCTTAATGGCATTGCACACTTTCTTGAAAATAGGGAGCACCTTATTAGACAATGCTTTCATTAGCGTTACTTAGGATTATCTATATATTTGTGGACCCACCATTGGCATTACCAAGATCCACAGTTTTCTCTAGCAGCTTTTTCTTGAAAATAAAAAAAATTGATATAAGTATGAGGGGTCAACTAAGGTTTTTCTTTTGAAAAAATGTTCCCTTTTGTGGTTAAATATTTTATGCGGCATGTAATTTTCAAATATTCATAAAAGATATCTCCAAAAACTATCTTTCTAAAGGGTCAGTTCAGTTCTAGAAACCTTTCTTATTAAGAAATACAGCTAAATGTTTCAAAGACAAGTATCATACAATATACTACCAATCTCACAGATATTCCCTTTCTTCTTCTTTATCTCATTCAGTTTGGAGTATTTAAAAACGGTCTTCCAAGTTTACAAACCCCTAAAACTATCGACTTTACTTCATAATGTACACACCCATGGTAAGTAGGCAACTGAAAGCTGACATCACATTTTTCCAGTCAGGTTGGCTTCTTCTTGTCAGAAGATTGCTTTAGTAGTAATCAACTCTTCAATCTAAAGCCATGCTAGACAATGATTTGTAACCAGTTTTTCTGTCGCAATCTGAATTTTTAATGTCCATTATCACCTGCGATGTTTCCTTCTGATTTCATCTTTTGTATTTTGTTTGGAGTATTTGAAATCGTCCCTGCAAGAGTTGTTTTGTGAGAATGACAGCCTAGAAAATAGTTGTAGTACAAACCTATCATTTTCAGTGTGGGTCGATGTTCCCTACTTTTAATTCAATCGCCAAGGCTAGTCTCCTTCTTAAATACTTTACATTTGTCATGGGTTTGTGGATAACATTGAAAATATAAATTGTATTCGTTCTAAGTTCTAAATTCATTCTAAATAAAAAGGGCTCGTGCATAGGGGATCCTTTTCTTCACTTTTTAGTAAATTATATCGTTACAAATCGATATTCACTCTTCTCATTCTATGGCCCCACAACTTTGAATTTGAAGCCTCTGCCCCTTTCTAGGGGAGCCCCTTTTACACTAATTGTGGTGTCAATATAGCCGACGTAGCAAAGGCAGAAGAGAGACTTTACTTTCTTTCATTGATTAACAAACGCTGCTAAAAACTCTCCTAATCAAATAATTACGCAAGAAATTGTCTTCGAGTGGTCACTGAAGCTTTTCTTAGAACGATCTCCCTCAAAATGGTCGTCTATTGAAAGTACTCGACATCTTTACTCCTTGTGGAACAATGAGGTAGCTGATATTAGAATGGTGGGAAAGGAGGGGTTTACTGTCTTTGATATTTCGAGCAATGAAAAGAGAGTTGAGGGTGATCGCTAAAAACCATTACGAATTTGAAAATCCGGCTCCTGTGCTGCTAGCTTCATTCATTTCAACTGTATATATACCGGCAAGAATAGTGTATATGATAACATCTAAACAGTGCATAAGTTATAAATGAGATTTGTTTATTATTTCAGACAGAGGCAGTGAATACCTGCATAAACTTGGAGGCCTTAAGATAATTACCGAATTATTCTGCAGCTCGTCGTCGCCTAAAGTTAAGCAGTGGTCGTTATTTGTGCTGTCCAATGCAGTTAAGGATCATGGTGGGTATTTATCCTATTAGCCTTCTCAGTGCATTTTTCGATTCTACTAGAAACACCAAATCTTTAGCACCGTTTTGGTTAGACGACAATGCGACCTTATTATTAGAACTCTTGCTTATGTTAAAGGTTATTTCAAATCCATGCTCAGACTGTGATTTGAACATTCATCAATCCATTAGGGGATTGGGACCTAGTGGCAATACCAGCGTCGTTAATTTCGAGATAGGAACACATGCTGGGTTGCATGCATGCCTATGCAACACACATCTACGCCATTTTCACCCCCCATCATATGTGGGCGCATTTGTACTTAAATGGCAAAATCTAAACACCGTCTAAACAAGATTCGAGATTTGTGAAAATGCTCAGGGGGTGGGCGGGGATAATTTGGGTCACTCAACTTAAAGTAATAATTTGTTTTCTTTTCCTTGGAATGAAACAGCACGAAAAACATGGATCAGCCAGATTCATATTGACAAGTCAGTCCAGCTTCTCGTTTCAATGTAGAGTTGACTCCCAATACATTCCATATGGCAACACTTAGCATTCAAAAGTCTTCTTTTTCAAGGTCTATGTTGCTGTACAGCTCTCCTTAGCACAGCTCTAACCGTATCACAGTTGAAGGACATTGGATTATATTACGATTTGAAGCGTTTAAAACTTTTTGGGATGCTTAACATGCTTAAAAAGAAAGAGATAGAAAGTTGTTTTTGTATAGTTTCAAGTACATTTTGAAAATTATCTCTTTGGGCTAAGCCCCCTCAGCCTTCCTTAGCCCCCCGCTTCCCGGTTCCCGCATAGTTTGCACTTTAATTGGTATTAGAATGACGCCATTTTCTCTTTCAGCTCCAAGCAAGAAGCTTCTTTGCATCCCAGAGATGTTGAAGAGGGTTGAGCTACTGCTGAGTTATAAGAAACCAAATGTTTTGACAGTTTCTGCTGCAAATTTCCTCTTGTCACTTTGTGCCAACCACGGTAATGACTTCCAGTTTTTTCAGTTACCACTTAAGGCCCATAGGATAAAATTCTTATTGAGGAAAATCAAAGCAGCATTAGAGCCACTATTGAGCCCGAATTGACACTTTGTCACTTGTCTGTTCTTCCTTTATGCAGTTCCGTTTTCCCTGTACCCCTATTAACCCTCGTTTTCCCTGTACACCTCCCCCTACTCTTTATAAAAATGTTCAAGCAATGGAAGCTAAATAAGGTGTGGAAAAGTTATGGATCAGCCCAAACTCCGGACGCGATGCACGGCCTTATGTCCACAGTGCCAATTGAAATGTTTATATGAACATATTAAAAGTACTCTTATCTTTTGAAGTAGTCTCAAAACGCAAGATGTAATAAATTGATGCACGTCTGCTTACTTTGGCCCTATTCCAGACGCTGCTCAAGACCAAGCACGAATTAGTGGATGCTTACAGAAGCTTCTATCTCTTTATCGGTATACTCCATATGTCTATGTATCTTTCTATGTCTCTTCTTTCATGCTTGTATCTATGATGTAACCCATACTCGTATTTAAGTCACACTGTCATCTTTTCTTGTCAAATCGTCAAGAAAAATATCATTTTGACAACCTTTTGCTTATATTTTTCCTAACTAGTGAGTGATTTTTTGTGTGAAATTTCATGTATGCCTTAATGCTATGTTTAAGCACCAGGAAACAAATAGTAGACAAATTCTAGCGACAATATAGCCGTTTTGACAAAACCAGAGAAGTAATGTTTTAAAATTTCTATTCTTATGTCTATATCTAAGATAGAATCTTTCCAGTTGTTACTTTCTTTGATCCCCCTCTCCCCGTTTTCCAGACTATCTTTGCCAAGACCCGATGTTTGGTTTGAAACGCCAGATGATTTCTCAAAGACTTTGTGGATTACCGTATCCACTGCGCTTGGGAGCACTATGAGCAATCCCCACAATGGTGAGATTTTTGTGAAGGGGAAATAAAGGCGGAGGGGAGACGTATGTAAAGGCCGATTTCCATTTGACATTTTTTGTGCGCGTGGGCGTAGCGCCAAAATCTGAGCATGCGTAGTTAAAATCAAATGGTCTCGATTTTGCATCCGCTGTGAGCGCCAGAAAGTTGACAGGGTCTCAACTTTCTTGTGCGCTCAGCCACTTGACAGCAGCACTTAGTTACGAATGCTCATATTTGGGCGCTACGCCCGCGCGCACAAAAGTCAAATGGAAATCGGCCTTAAAAGTTAGTGACACCAATAGACTTTCTATATTTAGAACATGAAATCCGGATTTTAAAGTTAATCGATTTATTGAATCTATTAGCGAATTACATAGATCTAGAACAAAACAGCAAGTTGCATTTTTGACTACGTATTCAAATCTCAGGTTCTTTTAATTTTTTTTCAGTCAACGTTATTCGTATCTAATCATAACATACTGTCTATTAATATAGTGCATGTTTAGGGTTGCATGTCTGTAGAAAGCGACAATTCTGTTGTTACTACTTTCGACCTTTGTTAACATACCCTATAATGCGTATTTTCCCCGCTCTGTATCTCTTAAAAGCTTGAATTATATTGCCTAAATTTGCAGACAAGAATCAGCTTCGTTGTGGTGATGTGCTACCCCAAGCAATAAGCATGCTGAAAAATGCCAATGAACAGGTGTTAACCACTGCACTTAATTTTATTGGACACGTTATCAGCGAAAATGGTAAGTTTCTTCTTTCTTCCCATCGTATGTTTGGTTTTAATAAGCCAAGTGAACTGTGCTTACTGACGGCTGTATGGAGGGCTCGTTTCTTGGAGCACGATAATCGTTAAAAAATTATGAGAAAATGCAAATCACCCGAGAACTAGGAACACAGCTTTTTCTTTCTCACAGCTTGCGTCATCAAGTCATATAAAAAAGGGGAACACGCCTTTTTTGAATAAGTAGACATATCAGCGTACATTTTCAGTGCTGTAGACCGATAGGTATGATATAATATGTATGATTTTATATATCGATTGTCTCAGTACACCTGTACCTTGGAATCTTAACAGCAACACATTGTAAGCCATTTGTCTCTCGTTTGCATAATTTGGCTGCTGTAGTGCCCTACCAAATCCGACCATCTTTCCAGTACTCTACTAGAAGTAGAGTGTATTGAAGACTATTTTTGCAATATACTTATTGTATGAAAGAAAATGCAATAGTTTGAAAATGCTGTCCTCAAAAGGTTTAATAAGGCAGGGTTGTAGAGCTTGAGGGCCAAGGGTGGCTGGACCCCTTTGTAAACACCATATGGTATCCCTTTTCAATTTTTGCGGCTTTTTTTAAGAACCTTTCGCCAGGGCCCCTTTGTTCTTTTTATAGCAACAATTTCCTGGGCTTAAGCCTCCAAGGATATCAGTTAGCTTTACGTTAGCAGCCAATCTGTCTCAAGTTTCTGCAATAAAATCAGCACTTTATTGACCTCAAGTAAACCTTATTGTAACCTTGCAAATAGACCTTTGGCATTTCATTGTAACATTATAAACTGCATCATATCCCAATAAACAAATGTTTAAGAGTCCCTCCCAAGAATACTGTTTTTACCTGATGTAAAAAGTGTTTTTCTTGCAGAGAACACCCAAAGAATGCTTGGCCTTGTCGGCGGTTTCAACGGACTCATTTCATTGCTCAAAAGAGCAATTGATGGCAACGAGCTTGACAAGCCAGATCTCCTTTCCCATGTACTAACAACAATCAGTTGGGGTTTGACTCATTTTGGTGAGATTTTCAAATGCTTGTTTCTTTTAATCCATATCATTTTCCTTCTATTTTTCTGTGATTTACCATCAAGGGTTTTCTACAAACGAGAACAGCTCAGATCCTTTCAAGCTCTTTTTCTTCCTTGTAACCGAGGATGGTAATGCAAAAGACGTGTTGATGAGTACGGGATTGATGATCCAGTGCTGGAGGTTATTGTTGTTCGCTGAAGTTCTAATGACATTTTTACACCTTAGAAGTTTTGTAGCAGTTTTTGTGCCCGTAATTCCAAGCCAAGCGTCTTTGCATGATGTTGTTGATGCGGCTTACAATGAAAGGCGGCTTACATGTTTTTATGAACACAATGTTCTGCGGCTCATTTACAAGGACGGCTTATACACTAGGGTGGCCTACAATCAAACTAATACGGTACTCAGTAATCCTATGGAATATTTGATTCTTGATTAAAAACTTCATCTGCCCCTTAATTTTAAAATTGTCAATTTTTTATTAGACGGTCTTCTTATAACTTCCCTAGAGCAGGGATTTGCTACACCGGAATTCTAGATTGACAGAAATAATAAGTTTTCATCAATAAATGTATTTGTGCGAGCAGCCATTTTTACCATACATAAACACTATCTATTTAACACAGTTTTTCCTGCTTTTTGGCGGTTCTTGGTATTGTTCTTTGCCCAATCATTGCAAATTCAGCTTTCTAAAGCCCAATCTCCAGTGAGAAAAAGTCTTGCGAAATTTCGCTGCGAAATACTTCACGCGACAAATTCCTTTGAATGCTTTTGTTGACCTCACGACATTGGAATGTAAAGTTTGGAAGCGTGACAAAAGAATACGGAATATGATTGGCTGTTGAAGGATTTCGCAAGCGATAAGCGAAAAAGTTAAACTCATTTTAACTTTTTTTCGCAGAGAAATTCTTCGCGAGAAATCCCAGCAAAAGATCACTGCGCATGCCTAAGACGTATTTCGCGCGAACTTTTTCGCATTTCGCAGTTTTTTTTCTCACTGGAGATTGGGCTTAAGCCCTGTAGAAAGCGGCTCACAGCTTTCTCAGATTTTCACACTTCCCGAAACGTCTCCGTTGAGACAACTTCAGACACTCTTTCGTACTTTTTTCTTCAGGCTTTGTCATAAAGTGAACCTTCATTATTATTATTATTATGAGTAATATGCTGAACCTTGCTTTGGTTGCCCTGTGCAACAATTGTTTTGTTATGCTTTGTTATATTAATAAGGGTGTTATGGAATTTTAGTTCAGTTGTGTTTTGGGATTCGAATATGAAAGTAAACGAAGTGTCTTCTATATGAATTGGCCTACGGAATCAAGAGAATATAACATTGGCGACGAGGATAAAACCATAATAACATAGCATATGTTATGAAGGATGGCTTTCAGTCTAAATTTACACCCACTTCCTGAATTTGATCCAGATATTGAAGTTGGTGCTAGTCTTTCTACGAGATGGCGACAATGGCTTCGTGATTTCGACACATATATTCTTGCCAGTGGTATAAGAGATCTTGGACGCAAACGAGCCATTTTACTTCATCAAGCAGGTTCCCGAGTTCGCGAAATTTTCAGCCAGATTCCTGATACAGGCGCTGCCGCTGATTATGAACTGGCTCGTGATAAACTCACTGCATATTTCGAGCCTCAAACAAACCGTCGGTATGAAGTGTACAAGTTTCGCCAAACTCGCCAGGAACAAGGGGAGACCTTAGATCATTTTCACACACGGCTCCGACATCTTTCTGTCAATTGTACCTTTACGGATACCGACTTCGAAATCGAGGAACAAATAATTGTTGGAGGCATTTCTAACAAAATTAGAAGAAAAGCGTTACGTGACCCAGACTATTCGCTAAAAGATATGTTACTTGATGGCAGAAGGGATGAAATGAGCGAATTCCAAGCGAAGGAAATTGAGTCAAAAGAAGACATGCAACAATACACTCATCGGTTTACGGCTTCAAACAAGGCAGGTAAACAAAAATTGACTGTACCCCCGAAATGTGGAAGCTGTGGTGGTGCACGACACCCAAAGGATCAATGCCCAGCGTATGGCAAAACATGCCATAAATGTGCAAAATCGAATCATTTTGCAGCTGTATGTCGGAGTGCAGCTCAGGACAAGAGACCGAAATCCGGTAGGCCAAACAAACCTCAACGTTTCTCAGTCAAGCCATTGAATTATTCGACACAGTCTAGCGACGATGAATACGTTTACACAATACAACAGAAATCCACAGGGTGTCCTACAACAACAATTTCTATTGCGGGAAAGCCAATATCAATAATGATTGATACCGGCGCCTCCATCAACGTGTTGGACAACACAGCCTTTCAACAATTAGAGGGAATTGAATTACGTCCAACCAAGGTCAAGGCATTTGCCTTCAGTTCAAAACAGCCCGTCTGTTTCAAAGGAAAATTTGAAGCTCTTGTCGAAACAAAGCAAAAATATTGTGTCTCAACATTCTACGTTGTGAGCAGCAAAGATTCAGGATGTCTGCTATCCATGGCTACCGCACAGGAGTTAGGACTTATCAGCTTGAATCTAAGTGCAATTAAGCCCGTTGATGTAACAGATGAGAAACTTTCAACTTTGCTGGATAAATATCGTGATGTATTCAAAGGTTTAGGAAAACTCAGAGACACTGAAGTGCAGCTCAACATTAATCAAGAGGTTATACCAAAGGCTCAACCCCCAAGGAGAATCCCATTTCACATTCGTCAGAAAGTACAGGACGCTGTGAAGGAGCTTCAAAGACAGGATATCATAGAGCCAGTACCTGAAAATCAGCCAACACCATGGGTCTCACCCATCGTTGCTGTTCCGAAGAAAGATGGTTCAGTGCGAATTTGTGTGGACATGAGGATGGCTAACCAAGCCATAGACAGGGTTAGATATCCTATACCCACAGTGAATGATATAAGCCTAGAGCTTAATGGTTCGAAGTACTTCACAAAGCTGGACCTTTCACAAGCGTATCACCAACTACCTCTTGCAGAGGAATCGAGGTATATCACAACATTTTCCACACATTGCGGTTTATATCGTTACAAAAGATTAGCATATGGAATTAATGCTAGCGCTGAAATCTTCCAACACTCGCTTCAGCAAAATCTTCAGGGCATCAAGGGGGTGCAGAACATAGCAGATGACATAATTATTTTCGGTGTCAACAAGGAAGAGCATGACATCGCCCTTGAGAAATGTTTGCGACGTCTACAAGAAAAGGGATTCACGTTAAATGCGAACAAATGCAAATTCTTGCAACCCACATTAGACTTCTTTGGACAGATATTCTCCGAAAAAGGGACTCGCCCAGATCCAAAAAGAATTCAGGATTTGCAAAACGCTTCAATTCCCAAAAATGCAAGTGAAGTGAGAAGTTTGTTGGGAATGGCTAATTATAGCTCCAAATACATCCCAAATTATTCAACAATTACAGCTCCATTGAGAGATCTTATCAAGAAGAACTCGATCTTTTCGTGGAAAAAGGAACATCACAATGCGTTTGAACAGGTAAAACGAGCGCTTACCTCTTCACCAGTTATGGGATACTTTGATATAAACAAATCTACTAGTCTGACAGTTGATGCCAGTCCTGTAGGCATTTCAGCCATCTTATCGCAAAGCTCAAAAGAAAAAAAGGACCATCAAGTAATTGCATATGCTAGTAGGTCCTTAACAGATGTGGAAAGTCGTTATTCCCAGACGGAAAAGGAAGCTTTGAGCATAGTATGGGGCATTGAACATTTCCATTTGTTTTTATATGGTCAACCTTTCACACTTGTCACAGACCATAAGCCTCTAGAGATCATATACGGATCGCCAAGCTCTAAGACATCAGCCAGGATAGAAAGATGGGTTTTACGCTTGCAGCCATATCAGTTTACAATTAAATATAAACCTGGCAAAGAGAACGCTGCGGACTACCTATCTCGCCATCCATCTGCTAAAACATCAAAAGAAACAGAGTTCACTGAGGAATACATAAAGTTCGTAACTTCTAATGCAGTTCCTAAGACAATGAGTCTGCATGAGATTGGTAAAGAAACCAATAGCGACAAAGAACTCCAGAAACTTCGCGCCGCTATTCGCTCAGGTGCGTGGGAATCGGTCGATTTGTCATATCGAGCAATCAAAGAAGAACTTTCGATCGGTGCTCAGAATATTATTCTTAGAGGCTCAAGAATAGTCATTCCTCTATCTTTACGCCAAAAGGCAATTGACATCGCGCATGAAAGTCATCAGGGACTGTCCAAAACAAAAGCTATGATCAGAGAGAAAGTGTGGTTCCCAAAAATAGATGACTTAGTTAAAGCAACGATTGATTCTTGCCTTGCTTGTCAAGCAACAGGTAAAGAAAACAGACCAGAGCCATTGCAATTGAGTGAATTACCAACAAAACCATGGGAGAAACTACACATAGACTATTATGGACCACTGCCAACAGGTGACTATCTGGTAGTCATTATTGATCGTTACTCGCGTTTCCCAGAAGTAGAAGTTGTTTCCTCTACAAAAGCTTCAACACTTATACCTAAACTAGATCGTATCTTTGCTGTGCATGGAATTCCCGACAAGATACAGACGGATAATGGCCCTCCTTTCAATGGAGATGAATTCAAGCGTTATTTACACATATTGGGAATAAAACATGACCGAAGTACTCCAAAATGGCCACAAGCAAACGGAGAGGTCGAACGTTTCAACCAGCCGCTAGGCAAAGTTATTCAAGCAGCGATCGTGGAAGGAAAACCGTGGAAGCAAGAATTACAAAGGTTTCTTCTACAATATCGCACAACACCGCACTCTACTACGAAAGTTCCACCGTGCGAACTTTTGTTCAACAGACAAATTCGTGGAAAGTTCCCAATACTGAAACGGAAAAGTATTATAAACAAGCACAAGATCGCTCGAGAAAATGAAGAGAAGTCACAGAAATATCAGAAGATGTATATTGACAAGAAGAGACACGCGAAAGAAAGTGATATAGCAATAGGAGATACGGTACTCGTGAAACAACAGTATAAGAACAAGTTCTCATCAAGATTTGATAAAGCCCCATACAAAGTTATCCAACGTAAAGGGACGATGATTACCGCAGAGAACAAAACAAGACGTATCACAAGAAATGTGTCACATTTCAAGAAATTCCCTGCTAGAGTAGATCAGCATGAAGAGTTCGACAGTGATATAGAACAAGAGTTGAACAAAGAAGGAAATCAAGCAGAACGCGAACACAGACTTGGAAATAACGCACGCCGTCAATCAACAAGAGTAAGGAGTCAACCGGTGAGATATGGTGATCCGATACCATCAAGATTTATTCGCTGATTTTTAAAAAGGGGAAGTGATGTCATAAAGTGAACCTTCATTATTATTATTATTATGAGTAATATGCTGAACCTTGCTTTGGTTGCCCTGTGCAACAATTGTTTTGTTATGCTTTGTTATATTAATAAGGGTGTTATGGAATTTTAGTGGAGTTGTGTTTTGGGATTCGAATATGAAAGTAAACGAAGTGTCTTCTATATGAATTGGCCTACGGAATTAAGAGAATATAACAGGCTTGAATAAAGTTCCTTTTGAATCTCTATCATAAGCTTTATCGAAGCTTTGGATTTGCCTCCAATTGCCATAGATGCTTCGAATTCTACTTAGGGAACCCACGGCTAATACCAATTTTTCCTGAATGAAATTTTTTGTTTTGAAACTGCATAATTACGAATACCTCGCAGGATTATTTTTGTATCACACGTTTTCTCCGCACATTATCTATTTTGTCCTTCCACGCACTGCGTGTGATTGCAAATTTAAGACCCGATTGATAGTTATTTTGAGATTCTACTACTGCTAAACATTGCCTTCTAAGTTATGCAACTTTATTCGTGTTGTGAGGCTGTATACCACACAATGCCTAATCATGGTTCGCTTTTAGGCAAATTGTTGATAAGTGACCAAGTCCTCTAAAGAGTGTGCTGACCCCCATCTTAGGACTCACTTAAAATGTACATTGAATGATGATAATTTTTAGATGAGAGATTAAAGATCTTAAGATTTCAAAATTTAGGATTTAAGTTGGCAACATATACTGGGGTCGCAACAGTATGGAAATGTTATGTTAAACCACGGCTCATAGTGGCGAAGGGCCTAAGTCGATCAATTTCAAAATTAAAATTATTAAATGAAAGGTCTTGGAAGAAATCGTTTATGGCGGGAAAATGCATTCGCCATTCACGTTTTGGTTATGAGAACAGGACGGTTCAATCCGAGCTTCAGGCAATTATCAGGCAACTATTTACAGCTATTGCTCGTCTTAAGCAACTGACATCGTATTGTACACCATGCTTTGCTTAGGAAATTTGTTTAAGTAGTAGATAAAATACAGCTAATATGAATAGTTTTTGTAGAAGGAAATACTTTTTTGAATCAGAGGTATCAATAAAATGTTAAGTTTGGACAGTAAATAATGATACTGTTATTTGTTTTGTTGTTTTCTCGTTTCAGAGGAAAATAAGAAAAGAGTTGGATCGCTTGACCTAATTTCACTTCTTGTTGGCGTCTTGAATGACAGTAGAATGTCTGATAATGTTGTTTATAGCTCACTACTTTGCCTGTCACGTTGCGTCGATAACTGCGGTGAGCTTTACGTTGTCATTTAATTTTATATGTCGTTTCTTCAGTTGGAAATTTTCAACTGGTCTTAAGGCTGCTGTTGCTGTTGTTGCCAAAACTCTAAAACACTGACGTGTTTGATAGTCCAAGAGTAGAAAGGAACTATTTCCTTCTACTCAAATCGGGAACTTTTGTTTTGATGCAAACAGATTCTAAAACCTCTAAGTGAAAAGGCGACCTGGCCTGCCGAACCAAATCATGCTCGCCTGTCATCTTCTCATGATAATTTGTGTTACAAAGTTGCTGTTCATAACCATTGAAAACACTTTTGGTATTTCGTAATGCGGGCCAAACTCTAAGATGTAAGAGTCATGTTACAATAAGCTCTGCTGTTTCGCATATGGAATGACGAATTATAAATCTAGTTTGATCAATCCTTCAAGATCGTAAATGGTATGAACGACGAACGCTGCTTAGAGCTAACATTTATTATATGCAGATACTAAGTCCTAATTGCACATGCCTAACCTCAGTGACGTCAGTTGCTGCAATTCTTTAAATAATTTACTTTCAACCACAGTATCCATTCTGGCTTTTTATCAGATTTCAATCAAAAGCTGCTGCAGGATTGTAATGGGCCTGAGACCATTATATCAATACTGATTCGAACGGAGGTACCTCATTGTTTCTTCTCATTTCCAACTGAAAATGTGCCAGAATCTGTCCGCTAAATCTGGTTGGCAAATTGAAAATGCATTATGTATAAACTTTAATAAGCCTGGAATAAATCTTTAGATTAGTCATCCAGTCATACATATGTTGTTCTTTAATTATTCGGCTTATTTATAAGAAGAAAAAAACTTAATTATTCGGCTTATTTATAAGAGAAACAAAGGTTGCTTAAATACTTCATAGGGCGCTTATTCGGTCTCTTTTATCTTTTTCTTTATCTTTTAGAGGGCAATTTTATCTTTTTTAATTTGATTTGAATGGATCATAGTTAAGAAGACGAAACGCTACAGACTTTTCTTAAAGAAAGATATATATAAATAAGAAAGCAGAACATATTTTGACCAACACAAAAGTTTGGCGTGATACATGGGCATATCTATAAGCAATTAATATAGTCATTTGCAATCCATCACTTTCCTTTTCTTTTCCATCCTCGCTTGCCCGTCTATAACTACTTTTCACCTTTTGAACATGTTCGTCTCTTTTTCTTTTTGTTTCAATAAGACAATATTTTGTGAAAGTTTGCAGACCAAATTTTTTGAATTGATAATTCGCAATAAGACTTTTTCTTGTAAATAAAAATTAATTTGTTATTAACAAGCATTTACTTATAAGAAATTATTTTGCCAACCTTCAAAAATGGATGATTGATCAACTTTTTTCATCTTTTTTCATCTTTTTCTAGAACGAGAAAGTGAGAAAAGTTACCCTAGGGATCCTTCAAGACTGTTTGCCAATTGAAAACTGTATGCTCTTTTACTAGTTATTCAGCCTTCAATTTTATATTTTAATTTTATAAGACATATTTTATCTCATATTGGTAATAACTGTTCGATTTTTGCTATATGAAAAAAAAAATCATGTTTCAAAGAAGGGTTTTTTCAAGGATATTGAAGTTATTGTTAATTCAAATATTTTCAAAGTTATTACACACAATATTTTGATTGTTTCCTTTAGGTAAAAACTTCCTGAAACTAGAAAGATCCTTAGATGTTTTTCCAAGGAAAGAAGACAAAAACCCAGTTCTTAGCCCGAAACCTTTTTTTGTTGGGAATAGTCTCAAAATGGAGAAGAATTCGTCAGAGTCTCTTAGGAAGCTAAATAAAGTGACAGATGAAGAAAACACAACGAGAAAAAACTTACGTCTTGAAAAGGATAGCTTTAAGAAATTAAGCCAATTGCGATTAACGAACGAGATATCTAGAGAATCTGACCAGGTCTCTGTAGCAACTGAAAAGACTTCAAAAGAGCAGGACATTGATACTGGGAGCATTTTAGACATTCTTGAATGCCAGAACGAAATGATCAAGTCTGTAAAACAGCAACTAGATGACATAAAGGAAAATAGGATGGCTAGTATGTGCGGTAGCTGCTCAAGCTCTGTTGTGATCTCAGCACCCGTGAAAATGAGAAGGGCTTCCGATATGTTGTCAGTTAGAACTGACGTACTGCGTGGCAAAAGGGCTGGTAGCAGAGTATACCCAGAGGCATCTCGGTTGAAAGGCACTCCTGCCAAGGTAGCAGATAGATCTTCGGCGATGCTGACTGCAAATGATGACTCTGCTTCCTGTGCATGGTACCATTCGAGAGAAATGTCCTTAAGTGGGTTGTCCCAGAAAAGATGCGAGTCCGGCCGCCTCAGCAGTCGAAACAGAGCAGCTGGTACCAATGGGATATTCAAAATTCCAAATACAAATACCCTATCTCTTTCGTCAAGGTTTTCATCTTTGGGAAATGGTAAACAAAACCTGACGAGAAAGGCCCAAGACACATCCAAAGAGGCAGTACTGAGTTCATCGCAAAGGCGTAAGCTGCGCGCTCAGCCATACCCGATGCTTGCAAAATGCCGCAATAATAATGATGCTGATGGTGAAGAGAGTATTAAGGACCATGTCTCACAGATCGAATCTGTAGGCGGTGAATCTTTAAAAGTAACCATAACTAGAAAGAATGTACGACATGTTGACCAACTGCCACAAATGATCAAGCCATCTAACGCTGAAGGGAATCACAATGGGTTTTTAATCGTAAGCAGGGATGTACAGCAGCCATCAGAGACACAAAAGTCTGAGTGCAGTAACAATACTTTGTGCACAAGGAATAAGAAGAAGGTCTTGATGAAGCGGAGCTACGGCGAAATGTTGCTCAGGAGCAAACCGCGAGCACTCCGCGGGATTCCCACTGAACAGCAGTCATGCCACGAGAAAGTTGAGGGATGGATTGAGAAGAATCTATTATCTAAAGAAAAATATAAAAAAGGCTCTCTTTCTGTCTCTAAAAGTTCTTCAGCTGAAGGGAAAGATGACTTTTTATCGGCCAAAGGTGGAGAAACCGCGTGGTCAGCGAAAACGAAAGAAGATGTGACAAAAACAAGAGAAACGAAAAGAGATTCTGAGGTGAGCAGTAAACTTTGGCTTGCTTTTTGTGTTTCAGTGTAATCAGCTAATTCTGAAAGATTTTTGAATGTCTTTAGATAGATAAGGAAAGGCACTTTTTGCCCATAATAGATAAAGAACTATACTACTCAAAGCTCTATGTATATGTAATTTACCTTTCTTTTCTCACCTACAAGGCAAATGTGGAATCTTTGGCAAAGGATGATCAAATAGACAATACAATCGATGAGGCATCAACCCCCTGCAATACTTTGCTATCAAGGTCAATTAATACAGGCTACAAAGTAAGACGGGTGCTTACTTTCAAGAAGGATAATGCTCGTGGTCATGGCAAAAGTTCCAGTGCTATTGAAGGCCTTTTGGACTGTGATGGTATGGTAGTAGTCTGAATTTTACTAGAACATAGTGAATGTTTTTAGTTGTGTACAAATTGTTTAGCTTTTATGCTGTCAGGAAAGAAAAAGGGAGATTGGCTAGCAGTGCTGTAGGAAGGACCATTAGACTTATTAAGGGACCCATTTAGAAAAATCAGAGCAGGAGGAATTGTTTTTAAGAGCCAAATGATTTTTATATTTTTTTGGAGGGAGGGGCTCGATCCTCTCCTCCCTAAGACCAGTAGTGGCTCTTTTGGCTAGTAGTGGTTTGTTTGTATGCCCCGATTTGCTTTTATGGTAGAGAGAAACGAAAAGAAGTATAATGGGAAGGGGTTCAGAAGAAAGCTGTTGGGGTCGTGAATGCAAAATCTTTAAATTCTATTGAGAAAATATTAACCCTTCTTCAGTTATCGATATCTATATTTAGAGTTGTAGCGAGTTATTTTGGTGGAATTGAATTTTTGTATTCAGTGACGGTGAGGGAAAAGAATTAAAGTAGACAGATATAGAAACGATTAATTTGAAATAGCCAGATGTGGAAACAATGATGAAAGTGTCCCAAAATCTAAACGTTTGTTGGTAACAGTATCTGATTGTAGATGGAATAGGACAAAAATTATCTTGATCTTTGTCTTCGTTGGTAAATTTTAGCTACTTCTCATGACCCACTGCTCCTCTACTTTGTATAGCCAAGGTACTCAATTGATTGAATGGTTGATGTTTTTACAGAACCAGTAGAAAAGTCAACCGCATTTGCATCAGATGATGAATTAATATCTGAAATATCGAGTCACTGCCAGCAGCTCGAAGTTGGAAATAAACCGGAGACAGCATCAGACAGCAACACAATCTTATCCAGCCACGAAAAGTCAAAAGAAAAGTGTCTCGGCTGTTATCCGTTTGACCGATTTCCATTTTTTGTCTTGAATAGCAGAAACTGCAGTGCTGCCTTGCGAAAAGATAACCATACTTGTGCGTTTCACAGAAGCATGATTAATAACGAGGCGAAACTTGAATCTCGTATTTTCGACAGCAGCATTTCAAAAAGTTCTGCTATTCACTTATCTCAAGAGACTAGCGAGTTAAAACATTTCGAGACTGAGTCGTTCAAACAACGTGGCTCGTTCTCTGAACATTCTTCTAGCAAGTCAAGAAACGCTTCAAGACAGAATTTCATACATCCCCGCCAGGTACGCTGTTGCGCCAAAGCTTTAGTTATTTATTGTTACGCCGTTGGGTGATCTTTCTGTTTTTAACTCCTTAAGTTTGCCTTTGAATGCTTGCATCATTACTCCATCTCCTTCCTTGCCTCTCTTCGTGTTATCACATTTCATTCTATATATTTATCATCTAATCATGCCGTTACATCGTACCTTTTCTCCTTTTCACTGCATTTTGCAAGATTGCGATCAATAGTTTTGTAACTCTTCAAAATCATCGATTTTTCCCAAGTAATTTGACGTTTATAGTGCATAAATAGATTTTCAGCCTACTCTTAATTAGAGCTGCATTTGCTAATGAGAAGCATCCTGAAACTTTCAACCCCCATTATTACCCCCCCACCTCCCTACTTCATTTTGATAAAACCCCACTTCCTTTCATCACTTATCCGCCTTATTACTACAACTGTTTATTAGAACGTCCAGATAACTGCCTAATAATTTAGCTTTTTTCTCACCCCCGGTTTTTCCAAATCAGTACTCAGCGATTTATCACCCCAAAATCATTTTGACCTGATAACAAAACTGAAAGACAATTTGATTCATTTGTTATCTTTGAAAGAATATTTTTGTTTGCAGGCGCATGGAAAAGAACCAAATGTTTACACCACGAAATACGGGAAAAGACGCAGAATTAGGAAAAATTATGAAGATTATGAGGTGGAAAATCTTCATAAAGGCGAGGAACTTATGAATATTTCATTTTAAGTTTGTTTTTCTGTAAACTAGTAAATTTAACACAGAATTAACGATTAATGGGATGTTTTGTTTATAAGTTCGTCTTGGCCGCAAGATTATTAAAAAAGTACCCATCTTTCCTTACAGAAGCGGTTTAGTGTCAAATTGAGGGTCGTTGTGGGTGGGAGTGTTCTCTTAGTTTCAAGCTAGGCAGCTTTTAGGCTCCTTTCTTGTAATTTTTTTTCTCAACCTTAATATCGATGATTCATGACGTTAATATAATGTATCTTTTCAATAGTCCATTCCCCTAATTACGTCATGGCGCAATGCATTCTGGTACTTGTAGTTAAACCTGCGAACATTTGTTTATGTTTTGTACGGCGTTCGGGCGAAGTTCAAATATTGTTCAACGCTCTTTGCTCGAAAAATCAAACAACCATTGAACAAATGTTCGCGGGTTAACTGCAGGTACCAGAATGCATTGCGCTATGACGCAATTAGGGGAAAGGTCTGTTGATGAAGTCACGTTGTTTTTACATGAACTGAGATAAATCGATTTGAGAAGATATACCTGAACATTTCATGCAAAAATCATCTTTTAATCCTTTCAAAGAAACCGAACTCGAATGCCTTTGTAATCCGAACATCTCTCTCACGATTCGTTTCTCAAACCTTATAGCACGGCTGCTGTCGGTTTATCAATCGACCACGCCAAAAGAAGTAACGACGTGAAAAAAGAAGTATCGACACAGAGTTTCGTGATAGTGTAATAACGCTTTTGATAATTTAATTGATGCAGCTACGAACTTGCCTCTACACTTGTGTCTTGGGATGAAAAATTAAAGGAGTAGACCAACTCTTTGTATTACATATTATTATATCATTTTAGAGAAAGTTTTGGGTGAAACTTATCTGTAAAGATTTACTGTTAACGAAGAAGCTGCCAATAACATATTTTAACAACGAGAGAGAGCTGGCTTACAAAATAATTTGTTTTTGTTAGATCTTTGGCTTTAAGTAAATGCTGCATCATCTAAATCCCTCTCTATAATTTCAACTTGGAGTAGGTCACCACACTCCCATTTTCCCCAATTTTCTCAAAAACTGCTTGGGCTATTGACTTGGTAATTCTACGATTTCATGAATAATAAATAAATATGAAGAGTAAAGTTTTCCTTCCTTGCCTTCTTCGATTTTATCTGTCTATCATCTTGTATTCACAGGATCTCTTTTGATTTTATGAATTCTCAGATGGTAGCGCAAAAAGAAAGCATTTAAAAAGTGTTGCAATGATTACATCCGGAAAATCACTTAGAATCATGGGTTGATGTACGTCTCTTTAAAAAATGCATCATTGGCTTTTGAATGGGTTAGTTCTGTAAAAACATTCTTTACATTTATGCTTTGCTTTTAGGTGTGAAAAGGTTTGGAAAAAGATGGAACGCGATTCTGAATGCTTATAAGTTTCAACCTGGCAGATCTGCAAGTGATCTCAAAGACAAGTACAGAAAACTAAATGTACGTTTCTCAGTATTTGTCACTTCTCTGTTTTGGCTGTCAAAATATTCCATGTAATAAATGTCTTGCGTCGACTGTCGAAACATTTCATGCTCACATGAAATATTTATAGGCCTTAGACAGTCAGAAAGCTTGTCATTCTAGATTGAAATGGTCTGGTTTTTAAAGAAAGCTCTGTAATTAATACGAATTCCAAAGAAATGAAACTTTGATGCTGCCGTTAATTTTATGTTCTTCGTCGCATACTACTATTTTTAAAGAGATTCATCTCTTACCGGCAGAAGTCTGCGAATTCAAGTATAGAAACGCAAGAATCGACTCATGCGAAGATGAACTCTATCTTACCGTTCACTGCTCAAGAGATCGTCAACCTCAAAATTGGTTTTGGAAGATACGGTGCCAGATGGAAGACAATTCTTAACAATTTCAAGTTTCAAGAAGGAAGAACTGCCAAAGATCTCGAAATGAAGTCCACAAGTGTTCACAAAAAGTTGTAAATATGTAGATAGAGTCATCTTGGTAAATGATATTGACAGCAAGGAAGGCTATGCAATGGGGGTGAACCTACTACCCCTTCTCTCTCTATTCTTCTATTTGGCAGTAAATCCAAATATATTTATCTTTTATAAAAGACAAATTTATCGAGCCCTTTTATCAGAATCGAAGGATTTACGGTGGTATAAAGTAGTCCATTTTTTTGGAGCTTTTGGAGTCTGCGTACTTGATTAATTCATATATGATATAAGGCTGCATCTCATTAAAAGTTGTGAGCGGGAAATCTGTGAATTTTTACAATGCTCTTAAAGCATGTCAAGCAACAACCATTGTACTTATGCCACACAATGGAGATGATAGAGAGTGTTGATAAGCTTACCCTTCTATGTTTCTAAGTTTCTTTTGCAGCAGATACCCTAGAGTCTCTCCAGCCTGTTACTTAAAGATACTCTTTTTGTCATCTCGCCTCTTCTTTCTTCATCAAGAATCAAATACACAGATAATCATCAAGAACCAACCATTTCTATTATGCAAACAGTTCACATTTTATGAAGTTCTGATTAAATGTTTCTAAATATGTTGCTAAGCATGTTTCTATGAATTGATTAGCTGGACCATAATTTTTTTAAATATGTTGATGAATGTTTCATCCATTATTTAATGTATCATTCTCGAACTTTAATTAATTAATTAATTAATTTATTTATTTATTTATTTATTTATTTTCCAGAGCATATGTTACAGACTTGAGTTAAAGCTGAAATAATGTTGAAATAATGTTTGCATTTGTGTTGAAATTTGATTTCCATGAAATACAATTATTATGAATTCTCATGAAACGTTTTCCCTTTTTGTGACATTTCTGCTAACTAAAAAAGGAGGTTTGTAAACTGCATCTCTGATCTACTTCTGAATAATGCTGATTTACCCCCCAAATGTTCCTTAACATTTAATTACCTTGTATTTCATCTTGCCTAGAACATATTCACACCAACTTAAAGGTCTTCTGCAAAGGCTGCTATTTCTTCTTCAAAGAGTGCTTTATGTAAAAATTCTTGAGCCTTGATATCCTAAGATTGAGGTATATTTTAAAATTTTACAATGCTCTTTAATAGCTCTGGTTTTTTTTCTTAAAGTCCTGGCGGCTGCCTCTTCCCCGACAGGTCCTCGCATCAGTTAATATGATATCAAAAACCGGTGTAAGTATCAGTTAATTTCTCCCTGTACTCATTCTCTTGGTATCCCTGTTATTTGACGCTTTGCTTGTAACCTCTATCACCATAAACACTTAATCGTCCCTTCTTGCACTGGAAATATTATCATTTCTCTTTTAAAAATCTTTTTTTCTCATCAATGATTCAACATTTGGCGCTGTTTATAAACCGAGAAGCCGCCGGTTCACACATGTTTAGAACAAAACTTGAAAAACTTGAATTTTATTTATTTTTTCCAACAATTTTAACTAATCAATCCGGGATACTGTTTCTACAATTTCTATGTTGGCTGTGTCCACTTCAATTTTATTTCGCCTATATCTCTTTAAAAATTGTTTTTGCGATCTTTTGATTCTTAAAGTTTGTTGCTTTGAAAGCCTAACGACGATATCAACTGCTGAAGGCTGTATCACAGCAGAAATTGGTGCCCTCCTACCAAATTTTTAGACAGGTATGGATGCACAATTCAGAATTTTTAATAAATAGCTACTCATTTATTATTTTCTACAATACATTCTATTGGCTACAATTGTTACACTATTTAGCAGTAAGTTATAAAGAAGTTTAATAAGAATTTGATATTTAACAAAATTACATTCAGACTGTACATATTAGTTATTCTAGTGAATACTTATCAATTTGCATAAATATTATTGACTAGTTAAGAATCGGATATAAATAGTCAATGACCGTGAAAACTGTACCCCCTTTTAAAGTTGAAAAATGTTGGCAAGCAAAGAAGCATATTGATATCGAGTAAAAACGTGATTTTTTTCCTCTCCCTGTTCGAATAATGCCTGTTTTTCTTATCTATCAGAGTGGTTGCTGGTGATACGTCGAATGGACAGAGGCAAATCAGGAAGAGCACGTTAGTGAGTTCTTTTTCTCGCAGTAATTTCAGTTTAATTTGTTGGTCTTTTTTCAGAAAACATCCCTTCGTAATCAACCTCGGTAATAGCTTTATCTCGACCTTTTGCGTCAGCAAATGCATGGTCTGCTTTTAAAGGATTCAAAGCTGGATACAACTTTTTTGATAAGTCAACTTTTTACGAGCGACGTCTAACGTAACTGTTCTTAAAAACAGTTTTAATCGTCTGGTTTTTATATTGAAATAAGGCCATATCCAAGGCTGTACTTCAATTTATAAAGAACATTGTCTTATCTCTTTGTTTTACCCTCTGGAAAATGTAAAACTATTTTTAACTAATACCAATTTGAAAACGGAGGTTTCTGAATCATCTCCTTCGTTTGCATAACGACCTGCTCAATGTGTTTTTATTTTATCTTTTTTACTGACCACATCAATATCAAAGTCCTTTCCTTGCACGGACGCAATCTCAGCTTTCTCTGTCGCCGTTTCATCCAAATCTTTCTCTTCTTTTTCTTCCTTAGGCTTATTTGCTGACTTTTCCTTCTTCTTCCCTCTAGTATGACTGCTCCTCCGGTGTGGTGACTCTTCTGACACCGTGGTCGGACCTTCACTGCCAATCGTACTATAGACACTGTCTGTGCTTGTGCTTTCCTTGTTCTCCTTCACATTATTCCTGCTCATATGCCGCAGCTTGTTTTTCATAGTTTTCATCAGTGATTCACTGAGAAGATTGCTAAGCATTGGCTTGATGTTAGATGCCCGCAATGCTGTTTGTGGTTTCTTCTTATGCACCAAGCTCAAACTGTGTACCAAACCGCCTAGAATGGACAGAAACATAGTTCAAATCAATTGCAAGTCGCTTAAAAGCGAACTTCACTCCAGCTTAAGAGAGAAAAGCACAGTGTGGTTATGTTTCAACTTAGCCTGATTGTTATGCTCTGAGAATAAAAAGTGCAAAGAGGGCAAGGAAAACGATCATTTTTACGCCACATTTAATATCAGCTCTGTTGCTCCTGTTGACTATTTGAGATCATTAAAGTTTTGAGAATATTTTGATATTAACAATTGGACTCTGCAGAAAAGCAAGCGCAACATATCAACAGTTATTCATTGGTCGAAAAAGTCTGGACTGGACTAGTTAAAAGTCTTCACAATGCTTACACACCGCTTCGAAATAGGCGCCAAAAGATTTCAACATAGAGATATCTGTATTTTTATGTATATGAACATTGTAAACTCACCAATATTGTTTTCATCGACAGCATTGCCGACTCCTATGCCTTGGTGACTCCTGCCTGTTATTTTCTCGCTTCCGACATTACCAAGATCACTGCCCATGAAATTGATGGGAATTTTACCAAAAAACTTCTGAATTTCTGACGCCTGACTACCTTTCTCTTCTTGCTTGTCCAAAACACCGTTTTCTAATAACTCTGAATGTGTCTTTATCTTACTAAGGATGTTTTCCTGGGCAGATTTCAAAGACTGAAGCAGCGAATTCTGTCTTACTGCATTTGCTAATACGTTGGCTTTGATTCCAGCTCCAAGCTGTTGTAAACTTTGAAGCTCTATCAATTGCTTTAGATCACTAACTCCGTTTGCATCAGAGTCATGTTGACTGTTTTGTTTGATCTTCTTTGCACCTTGCTTTACCAATGACGACAGAAGTGCTTCTTGCATTGAGCCAAGCTGCTTTAATTTTGCCAGCTGCAATGCTGTGACACTTTTTGGATTCATGGCTTCCTCTCCAAGTGCTTTTTTCAAATTGTTCAGCAACTCACTTTGTTTGCCTGTGCTGCTCATCATTTTCTCGATAAGCTTCTTAAAACCCTCATCCCCCTTGTCATGATCCCCCTTGTCACGACCCCCCTTCTCTTTCTCTGTTTTTTCTTTGACCTTTTCTTCCTTCGACTCAGCTTCGTTGCCATCCTCTTTTGGTTTTTCATTCGCTTGGGCTTCTACTTGCTCGTCGTCGTTTCCTTTATTCTTGTCATCTGCTTTATTATCAGTCAAAGAACTGCTTTCCTTGACCTCTTCTTTTGAACTGTTTTCCTTCAAGAACAAAAACAATGGTTTTCAAACAACTGCGAGATCTGAGCCTCTTTCAAGGGCTGCGACGGACTAGGGAATGAGTAGAAGGAGGATTCGGGAGGCCTGCTCCAAATTATCGATTTTTTTTGGAAGATAGCTATACATTTGTTTGTAATATTAAAAGTAAGTTATCGTGCAATGTGCATATCGAAATTTCAGCTATATACAGAGTTGAATTATCGAGTGTTATGATGTCATAATTTTTATCAATGCAATGACCAAAACACGATCATTAGCTTTTGAAGTTCATTCCTTCAAAGGGGAACGGACAGACCATTTAAATATTGGTAATTATTTGCCTGCAACATCTTGCTTTGAAAAGTGTACCGAACAAAATTTAGCATAATAAGATCTATGCAGACTAATTAAAAACCGATCTCACGACTTTGCTAGCACACTTTGTGAGCGTACTCTTTCCTAAATCTTTGTTTCAAAATCTAGAACTTCTACTTTCACCAAATTGTGAGCAGATCGACAAAAATGGAAACCTGAATTACGATAAGACGTTTTTTCAGCTTGAAAATCCTGATCTAATTTAGTAATTCCCATCCTATATAAGTAATGTAATTAAATATAAAAATCTTTATTAATAATTCGAAAGTTTATTATTAATATTTAATTATTTCTTTGATATCTTAAGCACTAAAGCTTTGGCTGAAAAATCCTGTAAAAGTTATTTCATCCCATTTTTATCGTATTTTTTTCATTACTTTCATCTCCTTGGTTAATTCTTTTCGAATTGGTCTCGCTAAATGACGTCACGTTTGTAGCATAATCTCAATTCACTTTTAAACAAATGCTGTTATCAGAAATTGCTTTCCTTAACTTTATCTAAGAATATAATGGTATTAGCTAAGAAATATAAATATAATACTATAAAATATAATATTCATTGATTGTAGAATGTGTGCTTCAAAACTTGGTCTTTACTTTTAACGAACTCTCTTTATATATAACAAGCTAAATCTAGTGTTTAAGAAGATTTAAAAAGTCAAGCTGCGTATTTGCTCTGTGGATAGTAATGCTTAGAGAACCATGTTAATTGATGGTGGCTGACATTTGTAGATGGATTTTAAACTGTTTGTGGATTTTCAAAATCCTTAATTTGCAGCGAATTCTTATCAATTGCGCAAGAATGGGTGATAAACTTTAAACAGATTATTTTTAATCATGAAATATTGGACATGCTCTTAACTTCAATACTCTCTTAATGATCAAATTACTTCAATTATTGCTGGTATAATTGAACCGTTCAAAAGACCTAATTTTAATTACAGCTTTACTCGTATAGACGGGCTGTAAAATCTTGATTTGTCCTTTTTGGCTACTGTTAATATCTTCAAAGACAAGATGGTTTTATATCATATTCCAATGGTCTGTTAGACCAAGTGGTACTCGAATATTTTAATGTAAACAAAATGATTCCTCACACATCTGGCAAAATGGTTTTTTACCTAAAACTAAGGTCTTTGTATAAAAGCGAACCAAATCATCGAATGTATGAACAGGACAGGACATAATCATATTTTGTAACAATGTATTGCTCAATGACGTGTTGTTGCATTGAAGTGTCAAAATATAGTTTGTTTATTTTTTTTACTAATATCATAATTTTGAAGACATTTTAGAATTATCGAATAGATCTGTCTAAGTACCCATGGTGCTATTGAATGAGATTGACGTTTCAAATGCATTCGCTCATCTTAACATTCGTTTACTTAGGTATCTGATTCTATTGCTATTTAACTAGGATATGCAGCGTTTCATAAGGAACATCAGGTACCGAAGTGCTTCGCTTACCTCTTTCAGATTCTCATCCACCTTGCTTCCTTCCTCTGTATTTTTTGCCTCTTTTTCTTTATCAGATGTTGAGGTCTCATTTTTTCCCGTGCTAACATCTGGACCTCCCCTTTGCTTTGGTATAACTGGTGCGGGAGCTTTTTTCCCTGAGCTCTTTGCCCCCTTTGGCGACTCTTTCTCGGTGTTTTTTTCTGGAACGGCCTTGGACCCCTCAACCAAGGGACCACCTTTGCCACCCTCCTCTTTGCCACCCTCAATCATCGGGGCGCCTTTCTCGTCAGTTTTTCCTTCAAACGTCAGTGGTGACGGAGGAGGATCTTCTGATTCCATTACTGGGTGATTGACCACTAGAATTTAAGTATTTTGATTTTAGTTAGGGAGCTCGATCTATTCCAAGAGATATAAGAGCGGCCTAAGCTTCCCTTTTAATTGACATATTAACAAACAATTTTTTCCCGGCATTATTTCTCTGCAGCCAGCGCTCTGAACTAGAAAAGTGTCTTTACAACTGAAAATATGGACGTTTATATTTTTACAATAGTTTAGTTTATGGATGTTTCGCTGTACCTGCCAGTATTTTACGTCTATATCTATAAATATTCTATCATATCGTATCTTATCTTATCGTATCGTATTAACGTGTATCGAATTGTTTCGTGTCGTTTCGTATTGTTTTATACTTAATCGCATCTTATCTTGTTGTATCAAATCATTTTGTTTTACACTGTTTCGTATCGTCTCATATTGTATCATACTGTAACGTATTATATTATACCGAAAGTACTATACTGTATCAGGTCGTATTTTATTGTATTATACTGGGTCGTATCGTATTCTATTGTATCGTATCGTATCGTATTCTATTGTATCGTATCGTATCGTACCGTATCGTATCGTATCGTATCGTATCGTACCGTATCGTATCGTATCGTATTGTATCGTATCGTATCGTATCGTATCGTATCGTATCGTATCGTATCGTATCGTATCGTATCGTATCGTATCGTATCGTATTGTGTCATACCGCATCTTAGCTATCGTACAACCTAATATTTTATTTCATTGAATTGTATTTTGTTGTATTCATTACCTGGCACATGATACGGGATCTTCATATTCTCCCATGGATTCTTGTATGCGTATACTGCATGAAAAGAAATACGATCGATTATAAGTACCAGGAAACCAAATTAAATAATTAAGATGGCAAATAGCCTTTGTTGCTTTAAAGACAAAATACAGAAAATGCATCTAGCGGGACGTAATGTATTTGTATCGATGGCCTTGCCAAACCCTTCTTTTCAAAAATTTCCTCATTGCTGATTACTTTTTGAATAAAGTCATATGCTTGATAAAAAGGCAAATAAATATATTTTTAATTTTACTCACAGTCGTATCCAGTATGAAGATGGTGGCTTCCGTGATGAGCGAATGCGCTTGGGTCCATATGTCCGGCTAGTGTCCCGCCTGTCCCTCTAAGGCGCTCCTCCAAGCCATGGTATTGTGACAGCAGATTGTCAATGTGTTGCTTGTACTCCTCCTCGTGCGAGTCTTCTACGTGCACTGGGTCACCAACAACAGGAGCCAAGTTCATTCCTTGGTAAGCAAATAGAAGATCCTGTAATTGACTTAGGTGCAGTTTGTTTATTGTTATAAATTGTAGTATGTTGGGTAGGGGTAAGCTTACGTAAGGCCCCAATGCTAATCGTATTCTTCGCTAATTGCTAATCGCTAATCGCTAATCGGTTATCGTAATCAGTCTTTAATTTGGGGCGTGTTATAGACAATGTTAGTATGTAAATAAGATATAATTGCTCGTTTTCAGTTCAATTTGAGCCCATGGGTTGAAAAACCCCATTTCTTACTAATCCAAAAACCACTTCTTCGGTGACTCCCCTACCCGCCCTAAAGTTGCCTCAGCAAACAAACTCTTCATTTTATTTGTCTTATATTGTTAATTTTTGAAGTACCGAAGAGCTGCAGCAGAACAGGATTAATAATAGGAAAATAAGACCCCCTGAAAATCTGCCCCGACTCACTAAAATACACCCCCTTTTGACTCATATAGATATGAGCATAGCTACCTCCAAATGCGTGCCCCTCTTCGTGGTGGTATCCATGCGAAGCATGATGACCATGCCCCATCACTATTCCAATCCCGTCATGAGGATTCAATTCAGCATCTATGGCAGGATCATCTTGGATTGCTTGGATCGCCTTAATCCGTGTTGGCGAGAAATCTATCGGATGGCCGTCGTTATGTGCTGCAAACATATTACAGATTATTATTATCTGGTATCTCATATATCTTTTGTCACTCGGGATTGAAATAGTTTATCATAAATTGTAAAATTCTTTTACTCAGATCTGAATGATGTTTTATGATTTGAATGACAAATTGGTTCTCAACCTTTTTATATCGTATCCTATTCCTTATCTTTACAAAACAACACACCTTTCTGATTTGCAAAATTGTTTGCTGTGGCATGAAACACAACCCGTGATTCGTGTAGGCACGGCAACTCAAAACTTTCAAAAAAATGCAGGCATGATTCACATATTTATTGCTTAGATTGCCACAGTTCTTTAAAAATTTTGAATTCAGCAAGAAAGTTCGTTATTGCTCTGATCCTGTTCCTTCCATGCAAAGCAAACTTTTTCTCTAGATGTTTACTCTAGATAAAGGATCATGATACCTGGCTGCAGAAACTCTCAATGACAGTTGCTACTTTTCTAAAAAAATTGACAATTTATGCTAGCAAATAACAGGAAAGAAAATGCTAGAAATTGTTTTTAAGAACCGCTGATTTCTAATATGTTTAACTAAATGATTTAGCAAAGTTTTGCCAATTCATTACTCCAAGTATTGTTTGGAATGCCACTATTGTGCTTTGAGTATGTATGAATAAATCTCTATTATGCCCTGGCTTTTACAGTGACACCAGTTCTGAGGGCTAAACAAAGTATTAGTACTTGCGCACTTTAGCCTGCTTCTAAATTGTTCTAGATCCTTACAATATTCAGATGAGTGGACATGCGGTAGATGCCCCGTCCAATGTGTATCGATGCCATCTAATGTCTCAGTTGGTAACATTATTCCGGGTGAGCGGTGGCCTCCGAAATATGACTTAATCTTGAGACCATGGTGTCTCTCGACATGATGTCCACCTAAATGATCCTCACCAAGATCATGCTCCCAGATCGAGTCTATCAAATTCGCAGTGTGGTGATCTTCAGGCGAGGCAGACTCCTCCAGTGACTTGATCCCGTCGTCGTGGAGCATTTCATCAGGACCATGACCGAAGTAATCGCCAAGGTAAGCATGGTTGGGGCCTTCTCCGTGACCTGCAAAAAATTTGTTTGTTTGTTCTCAATTCTTCTTTTCTCGAAATGCTTTCTCAATGGCTAAGTACTGATTAACTTTTATATAACTGCGCAGTAATGCATAAAGATTTGTCTACTGTAAAAATGTTAACATAGAGGGGAATGAAGATAAGCGTAATAAAACCTTTAGGCCTAGTTAGAGCTGGATAGTCTCAATTGAAATGAGGTCATTAAAAAAGGGGCCACATCTTACCGGATTGCAAAAGAAAAGCACGCCCGGATATTTTCCTGACAAAAAGTAGGTCTAGGTGTTTTTCTTGCCGGAATGTGATCCAGATATTTTCCATTTCGGAATGTAGAACAAGGTATTTTTTTGCTGGAATCTAGTCCCGGATCTTTTTCTACCTGACTGTAGGATATTTTTTGTACCGGAATGTAAAACAAGATACTTTTTTGCTGGAATCTATTCCCGGATCTTTTTCTACCTGAATGTAGGATATTTTTTGTACCGGAATGTAGAACAGGGTATTTTTGCTGGAATCTAGTCCCGGATCTTTTCCTACCTGAATGTAGGATATTTTTGTACCGGAATGTAGATCCAAACATTTTTCCCAAAGAACTTCAGTGTTTTTCTACCGGGTTGTAGGTTTAAATCTATTTTCTACTAGAATGGAGGGTGCGTTTTTGTGCATAAATTCGACTGATGGGACATCAACGTCAAATATCAAAAACCAAATATCAGCTAAGTCGAAAAAATATTGTCTGCAAATTTAAGGTTCTACAAAGTGATAATAATAATCTAAAAGACATCTCATGAGACATTACCGGTGTAAAATCCATTCCCTGGTGAATGTTTGTTGCTCCAGAACTTATTCGCATCTTCTCTGTCATGCTGTGCGATTTTCATTAGCAATGGTGTCGAATCATGCGAAAGCTTATCGTCCAAGTTGTCATGTTCACTATCCTCAAGAATACCATCATCTTCTTCTGTCCCTCGTGAGGTAGATGAACCTCCTGCATAATGGCCAGTTAACGATCTCCCTGCAGCTGTGCTTGCAATTTTCCTTGCGTGTAGAGTTGATTTTTCTACAACGAACCAAACAACTCTTTCTAGCAAGGTCTATTCCTAGATTTTCGTCAGAACCACGATTACTCAATGATTTTAATCTTAGTTTGTTGGCATATGATTGCGAAGGTTCATTATTTCATCAAATTGTAGCCCTTCTCCCTATTTTCACGCTAAAGTGATAAAGACACGGGAACTATATGCACACCCCTTGGACTGACTGACCCTGTTTCTCTTCCTGCATAAAGCTTGGGAATTTCGTTATTGGTAAAGAAAGGTCTCGGAAGATTATCACTTGAAAATATTCTTTTTCCCTTTCTAGAAGAGACACTTACACACGATTATATGGAGATTTCATGTTTCTGTGTCGATATTGCAAATGAACTTTGACAACGGAACATTTAGGAGAGGTTGCAAAGGTTTCATAAAAAAAATGGAAAACTTTCAGGAACCTATGGATTATTACCCCGAAGAGACGGACCGGAAAAATAGCTTTTATGAAAGTTTTATTTATTGTGATAGGGTATTTCACTATGAACAGCAATTGTCAAATTAACATTCCTTGTTGATAGTAGTCAGCGAATGTTTCAAGGTAAGCAACACACCTTTAACTTTCTTTGCTATCGCATCTGCTAGACTTCGCTTCTGCAACATCAACAACGACCGCCTATGCCTCATTAGGCGATGCGCGAGAGTCTCGGGTGACCTGTGAATCGCATCCCTCACGTGGGCACCGTCCGGTGATATCTGTATTATACCGCTGTCAGTTTGCTTTGGATCTTCTTGCTGTATCCCAGCATTATCAAGGAACAACGATGGTGTTGAACCGTGGTTAGGAGCTGCTACGGGCGGCATAGTTAGATCTGGTGTTTGCCCACAACCTGATGCTCTCTCCCCGTTTAATCTTAGCAATGATTGATCCACATTCTGGCCTATTTCTCCGTAGGCATCAAACATATGCCCTGTTTCTCCCAAGGAACCTCCAAGTGATCTACCAACTCCCATTACATTTCGCTCGTCCTCTACTGGCAACCGCAACTTGTTAACCTTGCTCCTTCGCCATCGCTTCTGTATGTTACCCCATAAGTGATTTTTCTGCAATTTAAACTCGGCTGGCACGTCTCGTGTTTCGTATTCATCAATCAAATTATAAGGCAATTTCCGATAGAATTTCCTGTCATTCTCTTGTGAACCGAGGAACTCTGATACAGGCAAAGCTAATGTATCATATGGGTCTGTTATCAGCTCCTTTTTATCCCCAATTTGCTGGATCAGGTTATTGATTTCTTGATGATCATCATTATCTACAGGTATCTCGTTACGCAGATTTCGTATGCTTTGAATCAAGCTATTTCTATAAGGTATATCGTATCTTTTATGCCCATTATCTTCAATCTCAGGCTCCTCAGTATCCACATATAGACCATCCCTTTTTGTTCCAGGCACGTGCACAAAGCTCCTTCTGCCATTCAGGTTTGCTTGCCAATCATCACTCGGAAGGCCAACGTTGTTTTCGTTCGTATCTCCATTTTGCCCAAACATAAACTGCTTTATCTCATCTTCGGCATTCGGCCGACTCCCCCCTGGCAGTGAATGATATATTGGCTTGGATATAAGTGAAGCTAGCTTCAATTCTGGGCTTCTGTCGTCTTCGTCTACTTCATCTTTGCCAAAAAATGTCTCTGCTTCATAGTTTGATTGCTTGATGTGAGGTTTCCTGACAGGCTTAGGGTTTAAGGCATTTCGAAGCGCAAATAGTGCCGGCCCGTCAAGCTCACTTTTTCGATGTCCCAAAAAGTCTAATTTACCCAATTGGAAGTTCTCGTTTCCACTGAATTTTTGTGGATCGTTTTGCGACTTTTCATCTCTACCGTACTCTGGAATTATTTTCGATGTTTTCCACGCATTCAAGAAGGAACTTATCACATCCCTCGCCTTTTTATTTTGAATATTGTCCTTCTTAAATTTTAGTACGCTTTTATCTACAGCTGTCATACCATCCATGAGAATGCCTGCAAAAGCCAAGAAAATGCATTTTATCAGCACAAAAAATCAAATTTTTATAAAATCCCAAACAAAAAATCAAGTCAATACCTTTACCATTATTGCTTGGAAACATATCCAGCAGTTTTTAGTAGTAAACAGGGATGGACATTTGGTCAAGTATTGGGGGATATATACCTTTTGTTTAAATAAGATGTCACATTACCCAACTGTTTCAGAACAAAAGACCATCAATTAGTTTTATGAACATTATGTAATGCGCCTTTGAGCCGCATAGACAAATGGCGCAATATAAATGCCTTTATTATTATTATTATTATTATTATTATTGTTATTATTATTATCATCCTCAAAAATATTGGGGGTGACCGACCCCCCTCGCCCACTAGATGTCCGCCACTTGTTATAAATATCAGCTCCATCAATGTAAAGCAGGAAAGGTATTCTGTGGACCTTTGGTTGATATGTATTTGTGTCAAGTATTTGTTACTACCTAGCATTCGAAGGTAGTTTTAGACACCGAGAAGCTATGTTTTTCGAACAGAATAACCTGGTTCTTTCTTTCGATATAACTACACCTTGTGATTCCTACGCCAGGAATTGTAGAGAGCTGGTGACTCCCCTCACTCTGGGTGAAAGTTCCGTCATGTATATTGCTCGTGTAGAGGAACAGTAGTACGGATAATTATTCTCTTGGACTCCAGCGGTAAACGTTCTTTAGGCACGCGGCACTGTTGGTCAACTATACTGGTCTTTTTCTGATTGGCCTATTTCGATCCACAACTGGGTAAATATTTTTCATCGTGTTCTATCGGACCCTTATTCTGATGTTTTATTCTCCGAGGAGTGTCAGACGAAAAAGCTTTTAGCTAATATGTTGTAAAATGTTTGCTTTTTTCAAAGCCTTTGTCAAGTTCACTACCGCCAAAAAACTGTTCAGATAATTATTCTGTAACAAATGAATCGTTACTTACCAAAGACTAAAACCGATAGGACTGTTGTGGCCTTCACCATTGTGTAATACATATTTTATCATCTACAGTAATACCTGGAATAGATTTGTATCCATTATTTGTACAATACTGTAAAATTACACATGAAATAAGCTTTCATACTGCAAATTTCAAAATGGCTCCAAAAGTATAAACGCAAGTTATGGTTCCGGATTTTATCTTGTTTGACGTGACGTCACTATTTCCTTGGAACTTGTGAAGTTGAAGTTGACTTATTTAATAGGTGAATATTTTTGTGTACCATGTTTTGTATCAGTAACTGGAATCATTTAGGATCTTGTTGTGCCTAAACCTGTTTGGGTTCTCTTGATTATATGCTTCAATACTCTTTGGTATTGGGTATAATGTTGTGGTCAATATCCTGCCAGTCATACGAATGGTATCAATCATATTGCCTTATATGCCATGTAATATCATTCCTGGTCACGTTACGTGATATTACCACATGACATATCAGGTAATATTACTAGCGCCAAGTACTAGTAATATTGTATCGATAACACTAGATAGGCGGTGTCAAATCAATCCTTTATCAACCATTTCTTTCAAGCCGTATAGTATCAATAATATCTTATCAATCATTTCATATTAACCATTTAATATCAATCATTTTTTATCTGTATTATATTTATCATTCTACGCAGTTCGTTTGTAATATAATATTAAATGATACATATAATATCTATCATTTCATAGCATCAGCTTCGTATTAACTACTTGATACCAATCATAACTTATTAATAACCTCATACCAACAGTTTAGCATCAATCAGATCTTTCCCTTTCTTTTGTATTAGCCATGCAATATCAAACATATCGATATTTTTATTTCAGCGATATCATTTTAATCGCAGTGTGTAAAAAATTGGAAATTAAGAGATATTACAATGTAATACCAGTCATTTTCCCGGTTCACTTCTCATATCAAGCAGATTCTTGCAGCCTTTGATAATATAATTTAATTTTTCCTTTTCTTGGACCATTATATTTTTCAGTCCAAGTGATATTTTCCAGTCGGCGAAAGTTTTGTCTAGTTATCCTGTAAAAAGATCTCAGCTCCCAACAGTTAATCGACATAGCTCCATAATGTTTGTGCAAATAATTTATAGAATATATTTCTAGCTTAAAAGAAATTGCTTTTTTTAGCATCTAAGTGCGACGACAATTTTCATAAACTAATCGTTAACTATTTTTAGGCCTTTGCTATTTTATGCTTTTAACGTTATAGAAATTCAAATACATAACCCAAACCTGGGCTTTTTGCTTCCCTATCACCGCTTAACCATTCTCAGCCTTGTCTTTGTTTTCATGCAGTATGATAAAGTTAATCCTTCTGAGTAAATCTTTTTGGTATTTCCAGTAGTTTGATCCTGCTTCCGTAATTGCTCTTATCAACTAGATTGCATTTGGCATGGTAGCTAATACGATTATCTCATTTGTTTGCCAAAACTGTATCCGAAGACCAGCCGGAGAATAAAGCCGTAATTCATTCACTGGGTTTTCCAATAAACAAATCTTGGTTTATACCATGGCTAGCCACTCACCCTGACTTCTGTTCACCAGCCTTGAGACTCTGTTTATAGCTACGATTACCCGAGTTAAATCTAAGATAATTTTTTGAATGTAATTAACTATAATTACCACAGAGGTCATTGAAAGTTGGCAATTGTCTTTGGGTGGGTGGGGGGGGGGCAGGTTGATGGATAGGTGAGTGGAGGGAAAACTTCTTGCTTAGCAGCAGAAGAAATATCATAGAACAGTGCTAGGCCTAATGATACTCAAATTATCACCATCCTTTTTTGTCCCTTTTGATAATTTTTGTTTAACACGCAAGTTGACTTTTACACTTCCAATAATTTTGTAATGATTAAATTAACCTTAGCTATTAAAAAATGAAATTAGATTAAGAGATCGAATATTTGTTCACGTTTTAACATTATATTTTTCCAGCTGTAACAATAATCGATAAAATTTCATTACAATGTTTTCAGTAACGTATGATTGTTGAGTTTTCTATAACTACTAAGCAGCTGGCGAATTTCAAAATCTTTTATTAGCTTCCAAACAGCTGGGTTAGTGAATGAGCTTTCTGAAGCTACCAAAATCGCTCTTCGTTAAGGGGAGCACCTCATTTAAGGAGGGTATGAATCATCGTAGGAGAAGCTTGCAGATGATTGGAAGCACCCCTAAAGGATATGGTATCTTTTATCTAACATGACACCCATTACATTGCGGCTACGCTAAATTGTTCTACAATGACGTATGTTCTACAGTGACGTCAGTTTGAGTGACTGATAAAAGAATACGATGTAAATGTTTTTGGTTCAAGAACTTCAAAACACTCAAGTTTTCTATATCCTCTTGAATTTATATTTTACAATTTGACAAATTTTGCAGATTATTCCATCTTTGCACTAACTTGTTTTACATTTGTAAATTTTATACAGTTTTTGATTATTTTCTCTAAATGATATAATGTAAAAAATAATTTTGATGAACATAGAATCTCTTGCGGTTGTCTTGAAGTCGCATGCAACGGATTTTACAAATTGTCTGATATTTTTTAATACATTGCTGATAGTTTTTATAAACATTTCCAACTACGTTCTAAATTTCTCATCATTTTATGCAGAAATTTGATATCCTTAATCGCTTGATTTGCGATACCTTTAAACATGTTCTATTATTTAAGGTTTGATACTTGAACATTTGCTTCATAAAGCCACTTTTTGGCAGATAAATTTTAGTGAATAATTTTACCATTACAATTTCCCTCTATGATGATTAGCAGCTCTGTGCACACAACACCTAGAAACATTTAAGCACTTATTTTATACTCGCTAAGGTCTGATGGCTAGCTAGCAAAATCAAGTTAACCGAATCTTCTTCTCAAACTTTCCTTTTACTTCACAAATTTTGCAAGCAAGAAGTTTAGAATAGCTTAAAGATTTATAAAGTTGTTTATAATGAGGTAACATGTTAAGATTGAAAACTATAATTTTATTTGTTTTAATGCACTCTATCTAGCCTGCGTTCTCTATTTCAAAATATTTTTAATCTGCTTATTTGATTCAATCTGAGTAAATGTAAACAATGAGTAAGTAGCCTAGTTTTTTCATCTGCTCTCTATCTTGAACATTGTTACTCAAATCATTGGTTTGTTATTTTTGATCGTTTAAAAGCATTTACCGATATTTAGTTTATTAGTATCCATGGCTAGGGATGTATTTGCAATCCAACTGTGAGTAAGTGATATTAACGATCAACTTACTCATGAATACTTAATCGTTTTTCTGACATTGTTTGTGTAGTTTGTTCAGTTGTATGATGACCACTCATTCATTTAAAATGCCTTCGTCTCAACTTCGTCCCAACTTCGTCAAATGCCACCCTATTCTCGACCTATAAACCTTTCAACTTTATAAATTTATTTTGAAAAAACATTCACCAATTTGAAATACCAATTGCACTTTCTCATCCCCTTCAATTATGCCAATGGATTGATTCTCCTTATCTTTCTTGTTTTCTGTCAGCTCGATTTTCCCATTCATCCACTTCCATCTGTACAATGTACTGCATTCAACTGATTTTATTTAGTCCCAGGAGAAAGAAAGAAAATAGAGTCTTTAAGAAGGTTACAATTGTGTTGTGCTGCAAGCGTGATCGTGATTTCAAGTTGTTTTACACGTGGAGTTGTGTCAGTATAAATGGTCTGTACTGAAATTTTAAGTTCACACGTCGGTATCTATTTTGCGGATAAGTATTCCCTCCCACCCCATCCCTAAGGATATCAGAGCATCTGTACTGTAGTGGATATCAGAGCATCTTTTACTTGATGCCAAACTTATGTCTAGGTTTTCATTTTCTAGCTAGAGTTATTAGCTTTAGCAATCTTGTGTCAAGCTGATGATATATTTTCTTTTCGTACTCTTTGTAAATTGATTTATGTTTGACATGCCGATGTTTATTCGCAAAATGCTAAACTGACTAATACTACTGTTCGAATGACTCTAATAAGTATATTTAATTAGCTACTAAATAAATGTTATTATTTTCGGTTGAATGAAATGAATTAGAAAATAATTACTTTTCCTTTCTTATGTTTGACATTTTGTTGCATGTTCCTTCATTCCTACATTCACGCGTTGTTGCAAGTATCATCATGATTGCTTATTTGCTTCATTTTGCAACTACAGAATCAACTTATCCATTAAAATTTACGATCAACAGTTAATTTATCATATCAATTTATTCGATTCAGAGTGATATCTTATAGCAATAAAGTACACTATTTTCTACTTCGTATTTCATTCAGTACACAACAGTGGCATGATCGAACATAATCATCATCGGTTAACTTCTTCCGGCAAGTGCCTTAGTTGCTGATGAAACTCTTCTTGAAAAGGCTGAAAAAATTATTTCAAGTTTTAAATATTAGGCCTACTGTGTAGTTGCTGCGTCTTACCTACAAACAGCAGACAAATTTTATTTTTTGCTTGCAAATCCTTTCAAATTTTGTCCCAAAGTTAAAGACATTTCTCCACAAATGTCATATGGAGGTTTTAGTTTCAGTTCAGTTCAGTTTTTTATTTCAAATTCCAGTGTATACATACATTTGCTGCAAGTTGGCATCAATCCAATTTTAAAAATTATAAACAATGTAAAAGGAAGTTTAGTAATATAAACATTATAGAACAAATGCAGAGTAGATAAACAAGCTAGTATTGCACACAAGGAATTATTTTAATCGTGATCTTCCCTGTACATATCGTTTTCACACGGCAAATTTTCGCCTGTTTTTTCAAACAGTACTCAATATATAGTGGGCATTTGTAGTCAAAATGTTGTTCAAAGTACACCTTTTACAAAGATTATGCTATTTCAATTATAGGATGCCTGGATAAAAAATTTATAAAATGGGAAGCGAAAATATAGTTAATCTCGATGCATGCTTCTTCTTTTTCAGGTGCAATGCCGAATGGCTTGGGCGATCATGGACCTCCATTGTTCTCTAGCTCGGCAACTGTGAATCACTTCGCAGCTCCTGTCTAATTGTAACCAACCTCTGATGTTGTCAGGCTGTTTTGTTCTTTATCTCCCTCTGTCCCTAGTGCCTCCAATTCTACCTGTTGTTATCAGTTCTCTATGTTTCCTTCTCGATGCATTAACATGGGAATACAATTACAATATTGCTATTACAATATTTGAAAATAGAAATATTCGAGTATTTCAAATTTTGATAACGATATATCAAAAAATGCAAACATGAGGGAGGGGGCATACCCTCCCCTCAACACAATATTGCGGCATTAAGGGCGATGAAAATACTGTATACATATACTTTTATAATCGTATATTTATCGCTCAATTCATTGTGTAAAGGGGGAAATGGGGTCGGTGGCGGGTTAAACAATTCCTTAACTTAAGAGGGGGTAGAGCTTGGAAAAAACCCTTTTGTAATGAAACCAGTGAGAGTTGCATTTGTTTTGCTGTCAATGATCTGTCAGTGCTTTTTCTCACAATCCTTGCTATCATGTTCATTGTTTGGAGAAGGCCCAAGCTCACACGGCGTATAATTTGCATGTGGGCCTGAATTACTGTTTGTAAGTACGATAACCACATACCAGTCACCTACCTGTGAATCGAATCTCCCGTTGGTTTTTATCGTTATCACAGATATATCGAATAGAAAAACCAATTTAATACAGTGTTTTGATATAAATCTAACTTCCATGAGAAAAATTTATGTGTTTTTACAAAGTATTCAATCGTTTAGATAATATTTCAAGACAAAATGGAGGATGTTAGAGCTATGGCACACTGAGAATCTTTTGTTCAATCAAAGGTGATGTCAACGATGACTGTAAACAGGCAAGATATGATAATTTCTTTATGATAAAGCATTGAATAGTTACTATAAATTTTGTTTGAAGGTGTGAATAATAACCTGATAATGCTGAAGATATTATTTTGAACAAAAAGAGAACAATAATTTTAAACATGGTTTTCGTATTTTTGAAATGCGCAGCTCAGGCGGCCATTGAAATTTTAGTCCTGCATTGATGAACTATCCTTACTAGTACTGTGCTTGAAGTAAATCTTATTAATTAGAAATTTTTTAAGATCTGGCCGCCATTATCAAGACGTTTATGATACCATTCAATGCCACAATTTGATTGTCGCAAATCATAAAAAAATATTGCACCTGAGTATTTGGAAAAATAATGCTATTAAACACATCCCATATGTGATGCAGTAAAAAATATGCGCCAAAGTTGATGCAATGGAAGATCTTTACTGCAATCTCTGATTTCGTTGTATACTTTACCTTTTTAGACTGAAAAATGGCCTCTTTGGCTTAACGTTGGTATTTGCACTCTTCCAAGGCAACGTCTCTGGTAAGTTCGTGTTCAAATTATATGAGATACAGTAATCTTTAAGCGACGCAAAAGCAACGCTTCACACTGCATCTTCCTTGTATCTTCCTAGTGAATATCTATATGTTTATATGTATAAAAATACAAGTTTTTAACCGAAATGATAATAAATCTGGTTTTGCAAAGTGTGATCACAACCTCTATTTGACTGTGCTATGCCTTGCCGCTGCTTCTTTTGTATCAAATTACGACATGGTTTAGCGTCACAGTCTTATTGCAAAGCTTGAGTTTATCTCTAACACCAGACTGTCAAAAGCTAAAAATAGTTTAGGAAGTCTGTAAGGGTATTGTGGGTAGTTGGGGGCTTAGGATTCCACCCCTTCTTCAAAATGGGTATTTCCATTGAGTCGAGAAGAGGGTTATCCTTGCCCCCATACCCTCTTTTCTACGGGCACGAGATGAATGCTCTTTTTCCTCTCAAGATTTTGCTTGATCTTTTCGCCTGCTGTATTTTTCCCTATATTTGAATTTTCTGAACAGTGAAAGCTATTTTGAAAAAAAATTGTTGATCCTAGGAAAATCAACAGGCATCCAAAAGAAAGGACAACAACGAAGCTACATCGATATCGATGTTACAGATCCTTTCAAAGTTCCGAAAGCCTCAGAATATATTGACCAACCGATTCCTACATATGACAGTTATGGGAATAAAAAATCTGAAGAGAATGATCATACTATCAATTATAAGATTGGAAACGTGAAAATCCAGTCAGAAAACAAAGCTGAGGTTGAAGAAGGACAGAATCATGGGTATGAAGAGCAGGCCAGGCCTGAAGAAGAAGGCAAAGAACAATATGGGCATGGGTTTCATAATTATATGCCTGAGGATGGCCCAGAAGTTCCAGCTGATCAAGAAGAAAGTCCTCATGATGTCGAACCAGAGCCTTTTCATTCAAATTATGACGATGACGAACATATGCATGGTGACAGTAGGCATAATGTCCCAAAAGGGGAGTGGGGACACGAGGATAATGGACCACGAAATGATGAGAGACCTCGCGAAGAATCTGGTGGACATTTAAGAGGAGATTATGGCCCAGGAAATGGGGATTTTAGAAGACACGAAGGTGATGAACAAAGATTTGATCACGGCGACGAAGAAAGGGAGAATGGCGACCATGTAAGAGAGCACGAAGAGGATCATGAAGACAACTGGGAACGTAGAGGCGATGGTGAAGATCATGAACGGGAATTTGGACCACGCGAAGAAGAACCTAGAATGGATAGTGATAGGGAAAATACTAGAGACAGAGAATATTACGAAAAAGATGATGCTAAAAATTGACTGCAATATAATGGTAATACAACTAGAAAATTCGATGATTGTCCCAAGTGTTAAACACTTAATTTTAGTGCAGGGTAGAACAGGGTTTGCTTACATGCCTTGAATTTATAAGAGTTCTAAAATGCAAGACCTGTGTATGTAAGGCACAATAATATCCTCACATTCAAGCTAATATGAATAAAAGAGTGCGTCAAAATGATATGTAGAATATTAAAAAGATATGACCAAGGGGTTATGGTATATTTTGGAGCGCAGTATTTGGAATAAGAAAAGTGTCTGATTGTACTTCGAAAGCTCATTTGGTAAAACGAGGCTGGAAAATTGCGTTCCTACTGAAATGGAAATTTCTTAGCAGATTGCTCTTTTTTGAGAAGATTGCTGCAAAAAATCCCCAGTTTCAATAAAATGTATAATTTCCAATCTTATTTCATGAAGTCTATTTTATAATCAACACCTTTAGGTTAAAACAGACAAGCAGATCTATTCAGAATTTGATTTGAAAAGGGATTAGTTCTATTTGAATAAGGACTAGTGATCCAGATCTCTGTTTAAAATCTAGAGGCAATCTTGATCTCAGCTGGCAATTTAGAGGCAACCCTCATGTTTAGATTTCTTGCAATAGCTTTTCATAGCACAATAAATTGTCTTTTTGCTGCACAAGTGATGTGGTACTACAAGTTCAAAAAATATTCTTTGTCTCATGGTATGGCAATAAACTATGTCAGCCTGAGATGGGTCCTCGATTTATCATCACCAAATTGTGTATTGCCATAAAGGGGGATATGCTGTTTTCGATAAATGCTCAAACGTGTCAGTACTGTTGTATTTAATACAAGGAAAATTTTGATTCAATAAATAAAATCCGGAAAGATTGAAAGTATCCATTTATCGATTGTTGGAGTAAGACGTTTTTAAATTTAAGTCATACTTAATGTTGAAATAATCCAAGATTTAATAAATGTTGTTATAGATCTATTCACGCCCAATTTATCTCGTCACTGCCCAAGCTGATAACTTTATTTCCCAGAAGAAACAATTGATTTGAAAAAGTTTCAGCTTTTTTTAAAATTGTTCGCAGAAATCTATCGCTATTTGCAAGCTTGAGGCTGCGGAGCACAAAACTGTTGCTATTATCAACTGTTTTGATTGACTTTGCTAAAAATAATTTGTTATATAATCTTTGTGCTGGTCAAACAAGTAATAGTGTTTACTTTCAAAAAGCGTTTATTTGAATCATGTTTTTCGCAAATATTTTACTTAGAAGCATTTCTTCGAATTAAGTTAACATACAATTATTAACATCAGGGTAGGGAGATTCCCGCAGGAGCTCTACATTTAACTTAGTCACTGCAATCTATTAAATACCTCTCCGTCTGTGAAATTTTTTGCAAGGATGCAGTCTCTCTTTCAAGATAGCCTCGTCAACCTGCTTATAACGAAGAGTAGGTTATTGTGATGCTTTGTTTTTGTCTGCCAAAAAGAAACCGCTGAACTGATTGCAGAAAACAATTTTGAGCATGCTAAAAGCACTTGATTTAAGGAGTTGTCATTTATTTAGGAAAATTAGTTGCATTTGATGTATTCTTCCAGCATCAAGATGCCTGCCAAATCTTGTACATCATAACTCTGCTTAGTTTCCTTCTTGTACGATCGATTCCAAGCAACACTACTTAAGGAGAAAGGAGATGGGGTATCAGGAACTGTTATCAGAATACGTTACTTCTAAAAGCCATTGCTTAAAAACAGGTTTTTTCAAGGACTTATCGTAGGGAATGTAATTTGGTATAGTGTTTTGTTTGTTTGTCTGATTACGGAATACACGAATGTTTAGCTACACTCTTTAGTGATAAAGCTACTCAATTCTCTTTTAATACAGAAATCCCCTTGTTCCATATGTATTTTATAACAGTAGGTTGTTTTCTTCTGATTCGCATTGGATCAGAATTCGACGATCCTAACTGGTTATCTCCGAGCCTCCCCCGTTTCTCTGCTATGCCTTGAAGATCTTTCATCAACTGGCCTTCAGATGCAAGTTCTGCTGATTTTCTTCCATTACTTTTCTTGCTTTCTTCTACGTCTTTTACTAGCTGCTCCGCAATGGATAGTTTGTCTACGTTCAAGTGCTGTGCAACATCGCTCAGGAAATTCACAAATTTATGTGTTATGTATTTGCCGGAGTTGACGTTGACTTGTTTGGAATCTTTAAACTGCTGCTGATGAGCGCCAGGCTCCATATGCCATTGTTGTCCTTTGCGCATTTGAGGCTTGCCTCCGAGTTTTGAATATTGGCTGTTGCTCTCTTGTTTACTGAATTTTGGTCCTGGAAAAAAGTATTTATATGAAACACCTCAGCTTGAATGATTTCATTTCTAATATTTAATGCCATTTTTACGATCATGATATTCGAAGGATACTTCGTTCGGATAAGGATGCTCATTTTGGATAAAGATGATTGGGTAAAATAAAGAACAACTTTATCTGTAAAAAAATCTACTTTATTACACATGTTCGATTCCGAGACAAAAGATGCTGCTCAGAATTCCTATTCTGACTAAGAGTTGCTAACATTAAGAGCCTTGCAGGATATGGTGCTATGTTTGGAAGCTGGGGAGGTCTGGGTTCTAATGACGATGCAGCTGGTTTCATACCAAGAGAATCTGTCTATTGTAAAAGTTGCATGTCATGTAGGATGGATACGCAATGTAATGTTGAAGATTAAAATCGTCAAGCTCTTTCTTTCATCACGTCTTGTAGAAAAAGCATTTATATTTATCGCTTACAGTAAGTGGGTTCTAGTGCATTTTGAAAGGCTCATTCTCATTAATAGGCGCGAACCCCCCTCCGTTTTTTCCAGTTAAAGAGCATGCGCGATAGCCGTTGATTTCCGTTTGGGTATAGTATAATCCGGTTATAACGTACTTTAAGGGACCAGTGTATTAAGTACGTAATAATCGAGTACGTTATAACGGGATTCTACTGTAGCACTAAAACTTATAAAAAACATACCTTGGTCCTCATCGTCTGTATCTGTTTGGACACGTGATTGTTGAATCTTCTTACTTTTCAATTTAAGCATTTCACCAGCATTTTCATCGTCATCTTCTTCGGAATTTTGCTCTTTTTGTTTCAAGCTCGGTCGAAACTAGTAGGAAATGGGAAAATTTATGTCGACAATTCCCCTTTTCTATATAGAATAGCTAACTTTCTGATCACCCGCAAATGCTAAAACCTACCTCCAATCCTACGCCAACAACATCACTCTATATATCTGCTCTTTGAAGAGCAATTTCCATTGACCACTACATAAGCTTCAATACTTTTGGTTTTCAATACAAATATATAGATTTTCCTCTCTTCCCGTTTTACTTTTGCTACATCGAAATATACCATTTTGCTATTATTAAATCGGGGCTACTTGTTGTAGCAAACATGATAATGTGCGCTAAAAAGCACAAAAATATCTGATCACCTTTCTTTGCTTGTAATTTTTAATCTTCCTATCAATCTCCTTTTCTTCCTTTTCATCGTCCTCCTGATTTTGATTTCTGCCGAACTTTTTTCCTTTCACGAAAACAAGACCTGGCTTCTTTCTTGCGTTCACCCTGAAACTTTGCTTTCCACCCTTGACGTCTTCATCATCTTTTTTGTCATCCTTTGATTCCACTGCTTTGCTGACCTCCTTTGCTTTGAATTTCTTCCCCTTTACCTTTGTTAATGGTTTTCCAACTGATTCAGTTTCTTCTTCCGCCATTTTCTCACCTTCAACTGCCGCTGACCCTTCGCTGACTGATGATGGGGTGCTCGTCTGTTCGTTCATACTTGCGAGTGGAAAATTGTCGTCTGGAAAACGAATGCTAACAAAGTCAATCACATACAAGGATGTTTCTGGGCACTTGGATAATAAAGTATCTTTAGTATATACTCTCTATAGCCATAGTTTCTTATTTCTATCTAGCTATTCAATGATGCAAACTTAATCTATACATCTTTCAACAAAAGTCGATGTTTGAGTGGCAAAGAAATATAGCTTCATAACATTTTCCCTTTCCCTAAGCCTAAAGCCGAAAACCCACTCTGGAAAACGATCCGCGGATCGGATCAGATCGTGTTGTTCTGATCAGTTCCGTTCGATTCACGGATCGTTTCAGATTGGAATTCATGACACAAGTGCTCTATTGTTTAAAAAGTTCTAATTCAATTTTGATCCAAAGAAAACTACTGTATCGGAACGGTACAAAAAAAGTTAAAATGATTTCAACTTTTTTATCGATCCGTTTCCATCCGTCGCGGATCAGTCATGTGATCATTTTTGCATCCATAGCGAGTGCGCAACACAAAATCTGATTCGATCCGCGGATTATTTTCCGCAGTGGGTTTTCGGCTAAGGAGTTTATAATATGACCCAGTGGAACCTCTAAATGACTACATTTTCACTCAAGTGGATAAAAGATACTATGCTTATAGAAAACGAGAAATGAGATATTTGGCCCAAACGATATCAGTCGTTTATGCTTTTATCTAAAAATTCTTTGAAAAAATCTTGCTAAATTTGCATGTATACAGAACATCCTAATCATGAAAATTTTGATTATATCATATTTTAGATACAATTAGTATAAGATTGCCTTATGAAGTTGGCAGAAAAGCTAAAAAACAATCCAGTAAACTTATTTGGTTTCTTGTAGCGTGTAAAGGTTGCAATCTTTCTGAAACAATAAATCTTGTTTATTGACGCTGGTGGCCTGGGGAGAGATATTTCGGCGGGAAAATTACGGCTTTCTTCTTCTGCTGACGTGATTGAAGTATTCTAATGGCAGATGGCAAAAATATTTTTCACGTGGAACATGGAACGAGTTTTCACATGTCTGTTCACATTTATGATGTTTCTTTCCCGGTAAGTCTAAGACGATACTCATGGTAAATTTATACCTTGTTTTTTTCAATTTTTGTTAGGACCTTTTACTTAAATCACGTAAATATTCAGTCGAAATATGAAATAAAAAATTAATATTGAATTATGATAACATGCTGCAGGAATTTCTATGTAGGTTCGGTGGAAGGTCAAATTACCGATTAATTACAAAAAATTGTGCAAGAAGCATCTTTTTGTTTTCCAATGAGTGGGTGGCATGTCTCCTGAAATTTTGTTGTTTACGACCCAAGCTACTCTACGACAAGCAAACCCTAAGGGCATTTCACTCCACGAAATCCAGTGGGCTTTTGACAAAACCCTTTAGTTTTTGAGAAAAGTCCCATTAATTTCCAGAAAAAATCTAAATTCTTCTAAAAAATTTGGTAGGCTGTTTGGAAAGAGCTATACACCCTTTGACCAAACCATTGTTTCGAAATAAGTTTTTTCGTCTTGAGTCTCTCTTTTGAAATTTTCTGCATTGTGGAATTTTTTTGTTAAGCTCTGGTGTTTTAAGGTCTCTCAGGAATATCTACACGAAAATTGAACGGAATTTGGGAAGCAAAATGTTTTGCAAATTCAAGCGGCCATTCAAGCATTGAAATTGGAATGAGAATCTCCCTGCATCATTTTCGTCCTGTAACCAATTTGGTCAATACCTATAGACTTACTTCGAAAGAACATGGAACCATATGTATATATATGTTGCTTGTTCAAACAGGGTGTCACAACTGATATAAAGGAACAATATTGAGTACTGAGATGGCTGCGAAGCTGATTTACCGAACCTGCAAAGCTGAGGTACTATCTCACAAGCTATGTTCCGTGAGTAAATTTCAGTATTTTATTCACCACTATGATACCAAATTGGAACAAGACACGCAAAGTTCACGATAAACTGGCTTTTCGGCTGAGAATTCATTTTCACATAAATTTCCGTTCAATTATAGGACCCACGAGGTGTGGTCACAATGAGAGGAATGGCCAGGATATCGCTCGATAAGCACAGCTTCTCAGTGTCCTAAAAACTTTGCTAAATAGCAAATATAATGCAAATAGAAACAAAAATACAATTGATATGTTTTAAATAGTTTTTAAGTGATATGTTAACAAGTAGTTTTTAAATAGAGCAGTGTCGTGGCAACCAGCGAGGCAATGGCCTCTTGCCAATCTCCGCATCACTCTGTAATATTGATAGCAACAATATTTGATTTAATCTCTAACCTCGGAATACCCAGACTTCACTTAAAAGCCTACCTTTCCTGGCTGTATGTTGCTTATAACCCATTTATCAGAATTACTGCATAATAATTTTTTGAAGGTATTCAGAATGACTTTACCAACCTGCATGATCATATGTGGTTTGTTTCAGATTTTTCCATGGATTTCCAACAGTTTGCACTGGAAGAAAAGAAAAAGAATGAATTGAGGTAAATAAAGATGGTAAAATTGATTATCAAATAATGCCAAGTCTTAAACATGATGCTATCCAGTAACAGTCTTTTTATTTTGGGGTGGGGTGTATATAGTAAACAATGCCAAAATTAGGAAATTCCTTTCCATATTGCTAGATTCTGCTTAAAGAAACACCTTTGATCTCAATTTCACAAAACATTTCCTCGTTTATGATGACTTTAGTCGGCCATTATTCACTTGAGTAAGATAAATATCCAAGCTAGATGAGTATTTGGGGTTACTTGGGGGTACTATATGAAAATGTCAAATGGGATTGCAATATACTGTTTGGTATTTTGTTCGGGAGAGGAATCATGCCCGTCTTCCAGACATGCACTAGCCCCTGTTCCAGGGTCATTGCACATGCGCATTATCACTCGAATCCTTGGCGGGAAGTTCAAAAGTTGTGAGGTCCCAGACAGAACAGCTGTGCAAATACTGTTATCAATGCACATGTGCTATGACCCTGCAACACTGATTGGTTTAAGATGGTATTGTGTCGAAACAAAGAACTGAAGTTTCGTGTCCCAAACAAATTACCGTTCCGTAGAACATTTTTCAGGTTGCTTTCAGTTTGTTAGTAAAGCTAATAAAAGGCATTTTGAATTGTTTCTTGCATATGCACTCCCTACCAAACCTTTTTATATAGCCATTCATGATAAAATATCTTAAGGGTACATATTGCTCACCAATAGCTCCACCCACATTTAGCGCATGGCCATCAGCGCTCCCTTGGGCCATTGCCTGACCTGCGTCACTTTGGAGATTTTCCAGCATACTTGAATGCATATGATGGTTGGCTGGAAGATATGCCTGACCTACCGGGATGCCATCTGGTGGCATCATTTCTTTCTCTATTTTGGTCATTGGCATCTGCATTGGTATCACTCTTTGGCCATGCTGAGCAAGTATCTTAACCTCCATTGCGTCCCATGCCGGATCAAGCTGAAGCTTGTTTATCATATCATGAGTCAGAGGCTGATCGTGCATGGCACTACCAAAAAGACTGTGTCCGGGTAACACTTCATTACTTAGGCCATGGTTGCCATCGAGAACTCCAAACTGGTTCGGCATAAATCCTACAAACCGTTTCTTGTCCTTGTTTTCAAGAGCTTTGTATATTTCTGGCTTATCTTGTGATGGTTCTGGCTGATTCTTTGCCACATTTGTCTCTGTAGTCAACGAATCTGCATTGGGATTCAGTTCATTTAGAATTCGCTCAACATTTTCTGACCTGTGGACTTCATTTTTCATGTGACCTCCTTCTACACGATACGAGTTGGCACCTTGCCTAATGCTAACAGATACGGCATCAGGGTTTCGCTGCGTCGATACACGTTTCGACGCTGTACTATCCCCTCCTTTGATGAAAGTTGATGGAAAATGTCTAGTATCCATTGAGCCTCCTTGTTTCTCCCAATCCATAAACTTTCGTCTTTGCTCATTTGATTCTGCTGTTGACGTAATTAGCGCAGCCTGTTGAGGTGAAACATCTAAGGGTAATGTTCCTTTCATAGCAGATAACTCACTGCTACCCATTTCTGGGTGAGTCACAATTTTTTCCAGGCTAGAACTCTCATCATTTCTTTGTTCGTTTCTATTTTCTTCTTCATCCGCCAACCATCTTTGCCTCGACTGGCTTGGAATAAATGATCCTTTTAGGCCCAACAGCTCTGAAAGGTGTCCGAATGGATTTGACTGCATTCCGCTTTCAATCAAATTTTTTGGTGAGTTTTTTCTAAAATTAATATGATATTTTTTGTCCTTGAAACCACTTTCTATTTCGTGCTTTTTAATTGTCGATACATGATCTGTTTTCTGCGAATCTCTACCTCTTTTTGCAATGGCATGCTTTTCTTCACTCACTGTATGTTGAAATTTTGTTGATCGAGTCTCAAAATTATGGACCAGATGTGATCCTTTTTTAGCTACGGAATAACGACATAAATAAATCCGGGAAGCTAAATATTAAGCTATTCACGATGAAGTATCAAGAAAACGAGAATCACTGTCACAAACAAACGGCACAGAATTGGAACAATAGAATATCTAGGAACTTTTTGGGGTGTTTTCTAGAGAGTCAAATAATTTTTCCCACATGCGTACGGAATTTGCCGCTGCTCAACTTCCTATGCTCAAGTTTACAGTAGTAAATTTGTATTATTAATACCGTCATTTCAGTACTCCACGTCTAGAACTATCTTTCTGACAAAGCTTGTTTAAAACAGAAGGATTGCCAATGTTTAATGACACTGCATGCCAAACCATAGTTTTATAAATCAATTATTATTTTATGATGAAAAAACCCTTCACTTTTGTGCAAGATCCTTTTTTTCAATTTTGCTTTCTTCCTGGCAACCGAAACTGCAAAAAATCAACCTTGTTATTTTTGGTGTACTACATAGCGTTTCTTTGACGTGCATTCCGTCCAGTTTATTGCAAATTTAAAGCATTCGAATCAAAGAATTAAAGATTTAATTCAATGATATTTACTGTGTTGGTGCTCTGAATTTCCAATTAAGGCTCTGTCGAACTCCTTTCATGCCTTTTCTTTTATTGAATGTCTAAAATTGCTGTTTCCTTGTCTTTTTTAACAAGTTATCGTTGTTACCTTCTCTCAAACTGGTAATTTGGCTCATAGTCTCTATTTTTATTTTATTACTAATAAGAACTACAAGAGAAACATACTAGCGAGTATTTCCTCTACACATGAAGATATTATATGAAATTCACAGCTACACAATAAGCAACGCTCCTGTATGTAGCATTGTTTGTCAGTAGTTTTATGCTTTTGTCTACAGTCATACCTTTTCTACAAAAATGCACTTTGAAGCTCTTGACCAATATCAAAAGAAAAAGAGCTGTCTGCAACTTCATCTTTAGTTCTAATGTGTGCTTGCTTGTCCTGCAAACAAATCGAATAATCTTAAAGTTAATAATGATGAGGAGTTGATATAGGGCCTGTTGGTCCGGACCCCCCACTTTTCTAAAATATGATCCTCGAGATTTGTCCAAAAATGATGTAAAACTCCTTAGGGGGAGGGGGGGGGTTGGTGTAGTATACTGTATGCTTATGTCAATAACAATTGTAAAATACTTTGCTATTTACCGCAGCTAACATGAATCAAATAATGGGGGGAAATTTTGCAAAAGGGACGTTTCCCCGCATTTGCGCGTGTTTGAAGGGCGTGGCCCAGACCCCCACTGCTACAGCCCTGGGTGCGCCACTTTTGCCTAGAAGATACGGGGCAGCTGTGTTAAGCATATTTCATGAAGTGCATTTTTTGCTAGTATAAAAAGCAGAAATCTAAGAACTTGAAGTGCCTTAGATTCAACCTGGAAACTTCTCAACTAAACGAAAGCCTCAGCGTTTTAAGTACTATTGTAAATCTTTGAGATACCTCATCCACAGCTGTGATCTTTCTGAAGACCGTTATGTAATATGCCTTAATCTAATTTGCCTTAATTCAATTTTTTCAGGCTTAACCGTATATCTAGAAAGCGGAAGTATCCTAACTCCAATGACATGCTTTGTTTTATAAAAGTTCCTTCGTTTGTTTCTTCCTTTGAATCTTTTTTGTACTGTTGATTGGTAACGTGATTGGTAACTCTTTTCGAGCTGATAGGAATATATTTATTTTTTCTAATATACTTTTTGAATATGTTTTTAAAGATTATTTATCAGGAATGTTAATCGCCTTATCTCTTCGTGCAAACTTGGCAGGTTAATTCATACGCCAAGTTTCATTCGCTTGGCCTGCTATTCTTCCACTGTTTCATTCTAAATACAAACTTTTTGCTGTAAAATGCCACCTTTCTATAACAAAACTTTTTATATGTATCTGTAAATCAGAAGCCTACTTAAATACTAAACCAAATAAACTTCTAGCTCTGAAATGGAAAATAAGATTGTTGATAGTTCATTAAGCCACTTATCTTGTGTGCATTTAAATACGCTAAATGCAAGAGAACTCCTTTGTCAGTACTCCTATATGAAGTTTGTCTTACCTTCAGGCAGTTATTGCAGTGTCTCAGTGTGTCAGCATATTATCGTTTTCACAATTTTTTATCGTCATGGATGGGATCTCTCTTTGACAAATGTTTCCTCTTTCTTCAAAAATTTGCGATTTTATATAATAAGCATTTATTGTATTTCAGAGCAATATTTTCCTTCGCTATCGCTACCGATCCAGGCCCAGAATCTAGATGTTCAGCGACCTTGTCGTAAACAAAATTGTTTTAGCGCAAGCAAAGTCATAAATAAATTTCTTCTGCAATCGTCATGCTTGTCCTTGTAATCTATTATTTATGTTCTTTCCTGGGTGGATCACAAATGATATCCACACATTTCTGAAGGGTTAAAATGAAATCAGCGTTATCTACTGTAGCTTCAGCTCACTGCCATTTCAGCTTACCGCCATTTCAGCTTACCACCATTACAGTATACCGCCATTTCAGCTTACCACCAGTACAGCACACCGCCAGTTCAGCTTACTGCCATTTCAGCTTACCACCATTTCAGCTTACCATCAGTACAGCACACCGCCAGTTCAGCTTACCGCCATTTCAGCTTACCACCATCTCAGCTAACCGTAATTTTAGCTTACCACCATTAAAGTTTCCTGCCATTTCAGCTCACCGCTATTACAGTATACTGCCATTTCAGCTTTCGCCATTAAAGCTTATCGCCATTTCAGCTTAACGCCATTTCAGCTTACCGCCATTTCAGCTCACCGCCATTACAGCACACCGCCATTTCAGCTCACCGCCATCACAGCGTACCGGATTTGAGCTCACCGCTATTTTAGTAATGTCCGGCTGGCATGGGACTGTCAAATCATGAATCATTTGTTTGATTATCGAAGATGATGTGGATTGAAAGTTGTCAATAAACCCTTAGTTATATCAAAGCCATTGCCAATCTCAAAATCCAATAACACAACCAAAAGATCCTCTGTAACATTCTGCGAAAACCCTAATCAATACCTATTCTATTCCTCCATTGCGATCATAACCCCTTGATTTTCTCTAATATATATTTGAGTATAATCTTGGACCCAGGAGCCATGGCCAAAGCGTCGAATCTCTTTTATTTCTTTTGCAAAATCAATATTATCAAACATTCCTTATTTGTATCAAAATACGAACTCTCTACGCTTATATATTCTAACAGACTGTGCTTAATAAGCTGGCAAGGAAAGGAATTAAAAAGAGGTACTAATCAACTTACTTTCAAGCATTGTATCTCACATTCTAATACCACTGAAGAGAAGTTTTTCAAGGCTTATAGATTAGCCAACCAATGACATCAACCAGCAGGGTTTCAGGGACTGTGAGGCCCCTGTTTTTTCTTAGGTACAGGGCCCCTTCAGGCTATTATATGCACAGGGAACTGACACCATGCCCCCCTGGACCCCTATATGCCGCCACTGATATCAACGCTAAACTATATTTTGTAACTTCTGACTTCTAACTAAATAATCTGAAAGAGTACTAAAAAGTCAGTTTATTCTGTTGCGAACTGGCTAAGTATGAATAATGAAGGACTTGAAAAGATTATCTTATTTTTGACTTGGTTCCTTTCTGGAAATTTATGTGCTAAACAAAAATTGTAGTGACTATCTAGAAAGGAGCACGTATTTTTGTGGTGTTTCTGATTTTGCATATTTTGAGGCACTCCGTAAAAGATCTCCTAGACCATGCTATTCAAATTGAAAAATTCTAGAAAGAAACTTTTGTAAAGCTGCCATGCAATTCTAGCACGCTTTAGGAACTTTTTTGGTAAGCTTTAAATTCAGCAAGTGGAGCCCAGCAGCTTCTTCTAGTCTAGAAAAAGAACGCTGTCTCGTTATACAGAAGACTGTCCTTCTTTGTCATTGCTAAAAAGCTCAAAAAGGTCAAGGTATATAGGTTTCCACTTTGACTATCTTTATGTCTGGTTATCAATCAACTTTTCAAAGCATGGTGCTATATGATGAACACAATAGTTGAAAGCACAAATACCAGTCTGTAAAGATACGGTATATCAGGGGTCACGAATAGCTTCAAGTAAAGATACGGTATATCAGGGGTCACGAATAGTTTCACGTAGAAGAGGTGTGCTGGGAGACCAATGAACAAATTGTAAACAGAAAGGAAGTGCGTTTCAAACACCAGCATGCTTTGTGATGCTTTTTAATCAAGTCTCAAAACACAGACAAGCTGATAATGGCTTTTACATGAACATGCTTTTTGTGATGATATTAAATGTGAGTATTCATATTACCAATAATTTAATATTATGCATTTATATGTATTGCTTTCTTGATATTCAGTATTTTTAATTACTTTCATATCATAAGTGAAAAATTGTACAATATTACTTCGATTACACATTCTACAAGAGACACCTCAGAGACACACCAACAAAGATCTCATCGTAGCATTCTATGCTTTCATGACCATACTTTTTAGAATACAGCATTCAGAATTCGGAGAACAAAAGTTTCAATTTTGTCTTATGAACAGAAACGTTAATGCAAATATTATCATAATATTCACTAGAAAATTATCAGAAAGGTATATTTATGGATTTGACAGCAGCAAAATAAATGACATATAAGTATCCTACAACTCAGTCTTTGTCTGTGCTTCTTTTCCTTAATCAGTTTTATAACTTCTAAGTTTCAGTTCTCGTAAATAATAAAGATGTCATTTTATCCCGTAACATTTTGACTACTAACTAAGAATTACATTTAAAGAACGCAAATAGTTTTTTCTACATCTTATTCCTTTTTGCTAGAAAAAAAGTTAATTATAATTTCAATCATTCATTTATTTCTTTATATATTATCGATAACATCAGCATCAATTCTTTGTTTTAAGACACGAGAAGAATGACATCCTTCCCGATCTTTCTTTGCTTCTTGGGTAAGGTTGAGACACATTCAATCTTTATTGCTTAGTTGTTTGACGCCTACATTTTAGGATTATATTTCGTCCGAGTTGAAACCTTCTCAATGAAAAATATTGAGTACAACATGTTTAGGATTTATTTTTCATTTACATGAATAATGGTGCTTGTATCTAAGTTTGGCAGTCATAACTGTCTACATTGAATATCTACAATTCTAACTCATAAGAAAAACATATGTCGACAAAAGGGCATAATTTTATCGGCAAAAGGGCTTCATTAGAGCAAAAGTGATGAAGCCCCGTATGCCGGGGCGAAATATTAGCCATCACTGATTTTTGTGTTTGTTGTTGTTTATTCTCGTCGCGTTGCAGTGCTCCTTATATACTACTATTTTATCGATTTTTCGCCGCAAGATTTCCTCCGGAATCCGTCGAGCAGCCTGCTATCGTGGCCTCTCTTTTATTCGCACACATCATTTTATCATTGCAACATGCAAGAGGGGCATTTTTCATTAAAAAAGGGACACTTTTCACATAAGGAGAAGCCTAGAATTAGCATTCCCCCGGTTCCTAAGCCACGGCTCGCTAGAAGAAAACATGGCGCTATGTAAATGTGCACGTGACAAATCGTAAAATTCATTCGACCGATACTACAATAGCTATATCCTAACATCATCTTCTTGCAACTTTCAGAGTTCTTCGCTTATTCTGGATCAGTGAGAGTTATTTATGAATCTGGAGTTCCCAAGATTTTCCACCCAAGAAAAGAGTTCCAGACAGAATATGACACAAATTCAAACCCAAACCTGGATGGCAAAGGAAATCAAGCCTCAAGCCAAACGAAGAAAGTAAAGAAGATAGTAACAAAAGATTTTCTTGTAAACATTAAAAAGAGTGGTAACAGCAAAGCAAGTGCAACAGTGAAACAATTAGATGCTGATGCCAAGATCGATTTAGGGTTGCCATTGGTGAGAGAAATTAGTTTAGAGGACAAAAGCATAGTTGGAGAACATGTGCCAGACAACTTAAAGGAAACATTGAAGAATGTTCTAACTAGAGAAATTGTTAGACGATTGTCGGGAGGGAATGTGGGAATTTTTGAAGGTGATGCACAAAAGGAAGAGACTAATAACGTAATTGAGAGTCCATTGAAGAAAAGAAAACTCACAGAAATGTTTGTGCGTTATATGGAACACCTAGCTAACAAACTAAAGGTGGACGTCGTTACTGTGGCAGAACAGCTGATATCGAGGTCTGGTGAAACAGAGGCAGAAAGCACAATGGGGTTCACTCGAAATATCATTCCTGCTGTGCCGTCGAAGTTCAGGTCGATTTTGAAGACGATGTCTAGGATCATCAACACTGAACTAGCCTCTGCGGTTGTTTTGAAGAACAATTAAGAATTTTTGATGTTAATAGACTTTTTGTAGGTTTAAACTCTTTAGATTTTAGTTTTGTTATTAAGTCTTTGTGTTGTTACTAACATGTGCTCTACCAATGCAGGGAAAAATTTGCCTGCAACTTCCTTACAGTTATCTCCTCTAAAGTTTCCTACGACAAATTGACAGTCACGATACACGTCATGCATATGGATATACAGAGGAATAACAACGCTATGTGAACAAAACGGGTTTTCGCCTCATATGATTTTTATTTTCTTATATGAAAGGCTTTCTTACCATTGTTTTCTTTTTTTATATTTAATACCAAGGATATCCCGTTTCTGACAGTAAGTGAAAAACTGTTGGGTTGAAATTTTCCAAAAAATGCGTTGCTCTCTTCTTGATATTTTGTCATCGAGATGAGGAAAGTTCTCAACTCAGCGTTTAGTCAACACACGTTTGCTTGGCCAAAAGTAAGAATCTTTGACCTGCAGAAGCACAATTTTTCCCTATTTTTTCTTTATTTGTATTAACAAAGGCGGCCTCTAATATACTGCTGTCACTGAATCCAAAAATGTATCTGATTTCAAATCCTAGGTACATCCACTCCTTCTTTCGCGTGCTTGAATAGTTGCAATACAAAGTATAGATATATACTCTCAAAATGTTTTAGGCCTGGTTCAAACGTCGCACTTCTCATGTGCCGAACCTAACTCTGTGTTGGAGCGACACTTGAGCATGTTTAGCGCGACTCCCGTTTCAAACGTCGATCTTAATTATGTCGCGCCAAATGGGTTTTAGGATTGTTACATGAAGTATCTTGGTTAAGGCTTGCAATCTCAAATATTTGTTTGAACGCATGCGCCCTTCAAGAAAGAATTGAATTTTGGGAAGGAAAATAAATTAAATATAATTATGCATTGAGTTCGGTACATGACAAGTTCGACGCTTGAAACCGTGCCGTGCTGGAGCCGTGTAGCTCGGCAAGCTCTGCCGATCCAAACTAGTCTGCCGCTCCTAACTAAATCTGCCGTACCAAATTGATTCAAACGTCGCGCCCCTCATGTACTTAATTCTCGAGTTAGGTTCGGCATATAAGAAGCACGATGTTTGAACCAGGCCTTAGATGGCTCATAATATGAATGCAGCCAGTAAATATTTCTTTCTGGAATAATAACAAGACTTCATCAGATATTGGGATGTGTTATAGATTAAAATTTGCATCTTTTTGAGTCTCAACTCAAAACAAAGCTTTAATTAAGATTATTATTTGCTAATCCAAGGTATTCAATTTCATGATTGTTCTTCTAAAGACAGCATAGTTTTGTTAGTTCTCTCATCTATACGTTCAAATACTACAAACTTTGTGAACCGCGTTTCCTGTTTCGGTCTTTATACACGGTAACGCCAACCTAAAAGCTACCAGTCATGTTCAACATTCAGAGAATATGACAAATCCAGTTTTAATGATTTAATGTTTAGTCAATAATCGGATTTACTCAATACTAACTAGGTGACATTGTTTGCATGGAAACCAGGTATCAGGGTGTTTAATGAATTGTACCATGTGCACAAAAGGTTCTATTTTTTCTTTTTAATTTCTATTTTATTTCACTGACAGAATCAATCCCTTAAAACAATCTCTTAAAAACTATGCTTACAGCGGAGTAAAACTAAAATATTGCAGAAATTTGATGTCAGTCTTTCAGCATTCTCTCACGCATGTATTTCACTTCTGATGACGTTGTTGTCTGTACAGACTGTCTGATGACGTCTTGTTGTCTGTACAGATAAGAAGCTACGAATTTGATTTATCTGTTTTGTTAAAACATCTATTTGACTCATTTTGGTTCATTCTCACTCACTGCCTTTACCTTCATCTACTTTTTTGCCAATTCTAGGATGGCGAGTATTTCAATACCACTATGCTGAAAGGAGCCATGAACAGCAATGGATAAGGTAAAAGACATGCAATAAATGGTATTTATTATATATGAAATGTAACATTGGCTGCCTGTATTGCAAAATAAAAACCATATTATTATTATTGATAAAAATATTAAAATACAGAGTAAATCGATATTTTTAATGGCGACACTATTTGATCATATCCTGCTCCAGCCTCCAACCCCAGCCTTCCAGCTTCTATTTGCTAAGTTAGGCAATATGCAATTTTTACATTGTGTTTATTATTCTGTTACTCATTATTCTCTTACAATTTTGCAACGCTTAAAAATGACTACAGTGGCCATCTAACAGGACTACTGGGAAAACAGTGTAAATATGTATATATGCATATCACTACCGAAGTATTATCCTGTATAAATATTCGATAATAATAATAATAACAATAATAATAATAATAATTATAATAATAATAATAATGGAAAAATTTCATTTTCAATTCAACTTAAACTACAACTACAAATCTCACTATTACAAGGTAATTTGCAATTGGCTAGCCTGGTTTTACAAGAAAATACTATAACAATCGTAAGGTAAAAGGAAAAACTGAGAAAAAAATAAAATAATAATAATAATAGTAATAATAATAATAGTAATAATAATAATAATCTCAAAAAACTCTTAATTTTTTGTTCAAACGAGTAAATATAAACATGACTATGACCAAAGGGATTTCTCCATCAAATGTAGTTTCAAACAAGGTGCCAATAATTTTTCTAGAATTTTCAAACTGTGCGTTTCTTCGCTTGAAGGCGATGCCCTGGAATAAGTTATAACTGAGCAGTTTTATTGAATTGACATCCCTAGAATAATAATCCTTTTATGAAAGAGAAAAATATCTAAATGTTCAATTATTGGTTGTTAATGTTTGCCTTCGAATTTGCAGAAAGAATTATTGCTCAACCCAAATTAGGTCTTTTACAGCAAGACTCACTGCTACCGTTTAATTAAATATTTCTTATTAAGGATAATTTGACAGCTTTTCGAGATTTACTCGTTCTTGTTGTTAGTCACCATTTCCAAATAAAAACATTGGCGGTTTGCCGAATAATCCTCTTGAATATGCGTTGTCATCTTCTTCATCATTATCATCATCATCATAATCATCTTGTCTCTCTCCTTCCATCTCATAGACGACAGGCGGAGCAAACGCAGCCCCCCTATTATCCATTGCCTCGTCTTCAAGCGTTCTAACGTTATCCCTTGGCCCCAGCCTCTCTTCCTCCATGGGCATCCTTTTCAATCCTAAGAAGTTATTAATCACATTACGGCCGATTAAACTTTGTTTTCCTCCTGGTCTAAAATTATAATCTTCTTCTTCGTCTTCGGAATTATCCTCATCATCATCATAGTTAGTTTCATCATCATTAAAAAGAGGATTCCGGTATCGCATTCTTGACAGGAATGGAGAGAAGAATCTTTTGTTAGCATTAGAGTAATCTAGGACAGCCATCTTGCCCTGTGTTCTTTTTGCGAGCTTTTTCAGCATCATAAAGACTGGGTCGTAATGTTGCTCCATCGGAGCGTCGTCTTCAATCGCAACTATATAATCCTTTCTCGATCGGTTATTTCCTTGGTAGTTTTCATGGTAAGTTAGGTTTCCAGTATTAAAACCGCTCCCTTCTGTTATGGTGTCGTTGGTTTTAGTGTGTGTACCATTAGTCACAGCCACTAAAAAAGAATTTCATTTTACAATATCATGTTGACAAAAAGTCGGATCAGTGGAAACATATCTTTTTTCTTTGACTTGGGCACGCTTCAACTTACTTCTCCTACAAGCATAGAAAATCAAGCATATCCAATGCGTACATTTTCCTTCAGATTTGCTATTTCCTAACCCATTTATTCAATACTAGCCTGTCAAAGGGTATACTAGTCTATCAAAGCAAAGGTTAAGAAACTTAGGGGTTTTGATAAATCAAGGATTTGTGTTATTCCCTTTCGTTTTGCCATAACTTGCTGAAAATTATTATCCTAACACAACACAAAATCTAAAGCTAACAAGCTTCTTCCAAATGTGCGAAGCTTGCATTTTTCTAAGGGCTATTCAAGTTTGTAATCAGCCTATTTTAAGAAAAGATTAATTTATTTACATCTAGCTGAGCTTGTTGCACCCTTGTGCAAATTTTCCTAGTGATAAATCTGAGGTTCGCATGCAATGAGTATAAAATTGATTACCTTTTACTGGTGACATCAGTGAAAGCAAAGCCAGAAATGAAATACCAGCTTTGATGCAGATCATTTTCAGCTAAGGGACGACTCGCATTACATACGAAACTAGGCATTTTCAGTCATTTCGAAGACATCTCCTAAATGCAATGAAACAATGTACATAAAAAAGAAGTGCAAATTAAACAACATAATTAAGTATCAACGTAAAAAATGTTTCATTCCTATATTTACAGGCATCTGCAGAAATGTAGGCAAAGGGAGGGGATATAAAACTTCTAAAAAAGGGGGAAAGGGCGAATGAAGTGAATTGTAATATGGAATGATACTACATCAGTATAAGAGAGAAAACTGAAGGGAGAGGACTGAAGAAAGAGAATCTGAAAATCACGCTGATCCAAATTCAAATGTCCCCATCTTCGAAATCGGATATAGTCATAATTAGATTGTTAGCCGTTAGATAGAAAATAAGCTTTACATCTTACAGTAATCTAGTGAACTGGACACGGATGTACTTAAGATCTACTCGAAGACAGTCTATTCTTTAAAACTATTCTACGCCAAATGTGTACATTTAAGCTTTTTACTTGAAAATACGATTCTCACTTGCAGATCTCTCCTGTTTCTAGGTTTCAGAGCTAGCAGGCGATTTGATGAACTGTAGGTAAGTAATTATCAAATGATGTGTATTTTTGTTTGAGTTTTCTTTAAGGTTTTCCTTAACAATCTCCTAATTCGTGCTTTTCGCATTTGGTCTGGGGATACAATGACTACACATTATGCCTTTTTAAGAACTTCATTATATTACACGTAGTTGTATCGCACGAGAACTTACTACTCTATTTTGTTTATCCATTGCCCGATATAACAAGAACACAAAATTGATACATTTGGATTTTAATACACGCAAACGAATACCGAAGGAGCTGAGTTGGAAGTGAAAGGGTGCTTAATAGTCAACTCTCTTTTCTGCCGGTCAATTCCCTTCGTTATCCGGGAAGCCTGCAAACCCAACAAGGTTTCTCAATTGATTTATAAAGGAGCAAAGAAAGGGTTTGTGAAAATGTTTCTAAACTAGAAAGTTCTAGTGTTGAGGTTCTGCAACTGTTACGAGCGAGATCCTTGAAAACAAAACAAGATCTACTTAAAAGAAGAAGTTTTATACATTTCTAAAGCAAAATAGATAGCCTGGAATAACTTTTATTGGCTGGACAGAAGAGAGATAATTCTATGTGCCTGGTCACACAAGCTATGAAGGAAAACAAAATCATATTATTTCAAAGAAAAGCAGAGGAATAGGAGAGGGAGACTGCTGCAAGTACATGCGAGTAGCCCCTTTCATATTTAGGATGTTTCTAAATATATTGACAAAACGAAAATATGTTTCTTGCTTGTTCTAAACCAATAAAAGCGGTTATGGAAGTCGTAAATTTTAGTTAAAGGCTTTTCTACGTTAGAAACTATATTTCTTGGCTACTAATTTGAGCACACTTCCCCCACTTTTTTTCAACTGTATCTATTTTATGGTTGCTGTCATAAACAGAATTCTTGAAACTTCTTCATTCTAGACTTCTGTTTACTTTTATGCATGAATTCACTCAAATATTTGCTAAAACTGTATTGGACTGTTTTCTAGTGTTTGGGTGTAAGCTACCTTGCGGTAACGTGAATTTGAGACAGAAAAGGTAGTCTGTGGCAAACAATTTAATTGGGTTTTATCATGTTTTCTTGATAAAACCCAAATTTATAAATTTATAAATTTATTTTATATTATATAAATTTATAAATCCTACGATGAATTCAACTTGCATTTCTAAGATAACTTTTCAAGCCTTTAACTAAAACATTTTTTTGAAAGTTCACTTCTTGTTGCGTTTCAAAGAGAGCAAGAGAATTCAAAATTGTGCATATGGTATGATTGTAGCCTTTTTGACGCCTGCTTGAAGGGATCTAGAAAAATTCAAATTTGGTATACATGTAACACTGTATCAATGTCACACTAACTATTTGCTAATGCTTGCTGAAAAATATTTTATTAAGCATACCTTTTACACCAAAAGATACCATTGTCTGACCCATACTTAAAAACGTCTGTGCATCTGATTTGTCCACTGTTAAAAACTCGCAATTCTTGACAGTTAAATTGATTGCGACATAGAAGTTACTGTAAAATCGCGAGAAAGACAAAGTTTAGCGAATTATAGCCGCTAGTAAGCTTCCACAATGTACGATGCGTCGTGTAGTTGGAAATCATAAGTATTCCATGAACATTCACTGTTAAACTACACACTTTGAGAAAGTGCAGTGGAGCCTTTACGTGTTGACACCAGTTTTGTTCTGAACCATCAGGCACCAATGACTCCGCGTTAACATGCATTCATCCCGCCAATTATGTAACAGGCCAATGACCCAATTACATTGCAGCCTAAACGATGATTTGGCTCTTTTGAAAGTTACACGGGTCGGGTAATTGGTTTAACAAAAAGTGCATTAGAACCTGGGAATATTGTAAAGCAACGTCTAAGTTCACAGAAGCTGGAATTTCCAATTCAGTTCAATTCAGTTAAAAACATTGAATTGGATTGCTCATGAAGCATGCGTTAGCTTCACAAGCTTTATATTACAAGCTTCCATATGATGCTTTATACTTCTAGAGACCTAGAAATTAAATGACAAACATAAAAAGTATAGCGAGCGGATTTTAAGGTTAAAAATATTGATTAGATTTAGAAAATATCGCAACACAACAACGATGGTAGCAACGATGCACAAAGTTTGTGTTTAGTTTCACCCTTTTTTGAAACCTTCATCATATTGTAGGGTTCAAAAGAGTTTTCATCCATCCTCAGGACATTAGGCGTAAACGCTCGGAACGTGCCACCACACTTTGACAACAGAATTGGTTTTCGCCTTGGTGCTACATGGTCCTATTTTTAACGCGCCTTCCCCGAAATTCTGTTATGTTAGGGTGTGGCAGTCGGTTGAAGTACAAAAGACGATCCAAAAGGACGATCCTTTAATCTCTAGGAGATTCATAGTAGCATCCTGTCTTTTGAAACGTATGCACTGAATAGCCTTGAAAATTCGCTGGAGATTGGGCTTTAGAGACACTGTACCCCTCGACGACGAATTAATGTCATTGGAAGGGCTTACTATCATCTCTCCCTTAAAAGCTGGATACCATTGCTAAGATGAATGCAGACTTATGAGCGAGTAGAGCGTCATAGTGTAACTGCTACCCTAAATATCACTCCGGAGTAAAAGTTACTCAGCTCTGCTCCGCTACGATAGCAATCCGGTAAAGTGTACTCTAGCCTAAAGTATATAAATATGCACACAAATTTTAAACACCATATAGATAACATTATTAACCGAAAGAGAGGACGGTTGCATTCAAATCTTATAGCGTAGTCAATCAAGAGAATCGACAGGTATTGCAGAAGTCAACTATAGAAGGCCTGGAATCAACTCCTCTCTCATTGGTTCACGCTAAGCTAGTAAAGGCTGTTACATTGTACTCCTCCGTACAGTAACTCTTGCATTATTTTAAGCTACGCATTAATTGCGTTTATCGACCCATGGAGTCCTTGATTGCCAAAGCAGTGGGTAGTGACCAAGCGGGTATGGAAACAGGTGAGCTGCAGTGATGCCTTCAAGGCATCTGCTTTCCACTGAAGCTCACTCATGCATTGTAGCTACCTGATTCTGAATGCAGGCATTTTATGCTATTGTTGCCTGCTGGCGCGTTCAAGCAACTTTTTATTGCCACTGTTGGCACAACCACACAATAAATTCTCCGTTATCCACTGTGAACATTCAAATAAAATCGAACGATGATTACATGTAAATTCAGTCCCTTTTCTTGACGTACAATCCCCACGTCTTTTCTTCTACTTCACTCTCTTCGATCCGCCTCCTTTTTCTGCTATTCAACTAAAATCGCATTTTTGGTCTCGTTTCCGTACGGTTACTACTGTTTATGTGGAGCCTACACTGTGCGCGAGCAATACGTCACTTTTATCTTGCTTTTATCCATCATTACTGCATTAGAATACTTGGCTATTATAATCAGATTACTGAATGAAATATTGAACTACAAATCCTGATATGTGAAACCCCATCTGTAAAGTAACCAAACGTAAAATACAAATATTAAACATTTTATTGGGCGATAAACAGCAATTTTATGTTGCTCTTTCATCTAATGCAAATTTTAGAATGCAAATCTGCCTCGCATTCAAACTGTAATTCTTTGACAAGTGAGAGGCCATGTGAGAGTGCGGGTGACATTGATTTTCCCCGTATCATTTTAAGAATATCCAGCTGTAGTTTTGCGCAACATACTAAGACGCAGTAATAAGAGCAGCATTCTGGCTTATTGCTAATGCTGTGTTTCTGATCTTACTTTGGACTTTAAAAGTTTACTTTGAGTCTACAGTTTCTGACTATGAGAAGAATATCCAGCTGTAGTTTTTGCATTCTGTAACGTCCTGCTTTAGGCTAGAACAGCTTTTCGATCCTACAAAAAAAAACTAAAAGAGGGAACAATGAATGAATTATTCTATCGCTGTAAAATTTCCACAGCTCCTCGATACGTCAGAAGTTACAGCCAGATTTGCGGGCTTTCAGTGCATAGGAATATGACACAGCAGATAACATGTCTTTGCAAACTGTTCCAAGTCTCTGACAAACATCTTTAATACCTGAGAACAAAAATAGGTTATGTCAAAATGATTTGATGTGAATTGGTCGACTGTAAGTGAGACTAAAACATTGAGCATGTTTGATTTGATAATTATAATGACGTTCGAAAGAGACCTCTTGCTTATAATTTTGGATTTATATTTTTGAACTTGTATCTTCAATTCACCTGTCAATGGAATTAAAAACATTGTACATATTTAAGCTGCTAATCTTAGTTTCAATCATCGTATTTGCAGTGCTGTTTTTGGCTTTTCAAATATCCAATTGGCTCGTTACAATTTGCTTTTCCAATTATGCAGTAATGTGATTTATATTTCCTTATCAAAGCTGGATACCATTGCTGATTGTTTTGATTATTCTTTAAGCCTCGGCACAATCATTTGCTCACAGTTGAGTTTGCTATCTCTATACAATTGTGAAAAACGGGAAAAAAGCTCTCGCGGTAGGTTGCTCCAAGAAAACGCCAAGAGAATTCCAATCCTGGCCACCATCTATGAAGCTACACAAACAAAAGAAATCAATGTTACAAAGGTTTAGCAAGCATGACGTTGAATGCATTCTATTCTGAGTAATCGAATAATTATTCAAGGTATTTCCAAAGATTGCTCCTTTAACGTCGTGAACTGGGTAGGAAAACTGATTCAACATTTTTGATTTAATAGCAAAAACGTCTTTCACAGTTTCAAACGAGCGCAAATAGAGCTTGCCTGTGGCTTTACCGATATGGGCCTAAATAATAATCATTTTGGTTGACGATAAGCTGTTTCGTGAGAATGCTTGAATTGAAGCTCTCCAGCTCTTCGCTTAAAAAAATACCTTTTGATGTTTTGTAATTTCATATCGTCTAAGAATCAAAGTAACAGAACAGATACACTCTTTTTTGATTACAAGAACGCACTCTTTAAAAACACAAAGGATCAGTTTGGATGTAAACTAATGTTCTGGTCCACAATCTAAACATGAAGTTAAATATTAGATACAAAAAAGTTTTAAAGTATTTTCAAAACGAAAGGGCCATAATTAACGAATAGAAATTTTGATCTAACACGGATCTGTACATCCAGTGGTGTCATACAACATTGGCAAAGCTGATTAAAATTTTATCGTCTGATTTATCTTCTGGACATTTTGCCACCAACAATCAATCAAGCCCTGATGTAAAGTATGTTTTGGTGCTAAAATGCAGCACGTGTGCGTGATTATCACAGATAAATCAATTCAAAGCTCATGTGCACTGTGAAAGACAATACAAATGGTAGTAATACAACAAACCAACGGCCGTATATTTGGTGGAAAAACAAGGGGTTATTGGACAACCGCAGTTGTTTACTGTTGTCGTCAGCTCCGTCTTGATAAAAGTGTTGATATTCCCAAATTCGCATATCAGCAAGAATCTTGATTCAAGATATGTCAGAATAATGATAAACTATTTTTTTTTAAAATTCCAAAGTTTTTAATTTTATGTTATTGCTTGTTATATCTATTGACACTCGTAAGCCAGATTTAAATGTAAATCAAAGAAAAGTTTAATAATAATTGTCCTTAGTTTAAGAAATATTGTCCTGAAAAGATGTTAAAAAAGTGTCTATTAAATACGTTAAAATAAATGGAAAAAGCAATTTCCTAAACTAACTTGCAGTAAGTACAATTAAATTATTACAAATACATTGTACAATTAAAAATGGTTTATTTAAATTTATTAAAAACGTTGCGATTCTATTCTTTAAAAAGTCTTTCGACGATGATACAAATTTACTATATACACTACAGCTCCTTATTTTTCTGGCAAAGAATTGAAGAGTCTTGCTGCATTATCCTGGAAGGTTCTGGTTTCTTTTCGTATAATTATGTTATAATACTGGTAACAAAAGAAATTTACCAACCAAACCTAATTTACAATATTTAATAATACTAAGGCTATAAAAAGTGAACGTAAAGATGAAATAAAAGTTGTCCCCGACTATAGTTGTTTTTTGAAGGTTTTCAGGGAGGGGGCCAATTTGGTAGCCCTTTCTAGATTATTCCACAGTTTTGGACCGCGATAAGAAAAAGCCTTTTGGCCATTTATCGTTTTTAGCAGCGGTATCTTAAGATCAGTTTCTGATGAACGCAGAAACCGTTCTCTATCATCCGAACATTTTTCGAATAATTTTCTCAAGTAGTCTGGTGCAAGCAGATTTCTGCTGATGATGTACAGGTTTCTGATTGTACCGGTGATGTACAGATTTCTGCGGTGAATTCAGCTGAAAAACGATTGCCCAGGGATGTCCGCAACCGCATTGGAGGCTGCAGAGCGAAGGTCATATTACAAGGCCCCAGGTAGCAAATCAAGCAGAACAGACAAACACAAGGCTTCTTTCACCACGCGATATCTCTTTATGCAGCAGTGTTCTCAAAGTTGCACAGTTGACAAAAGGTAAGAAGATATTTTATGATTTTGCTTATACATCGCCTTTTATGAAAAAGTAATGTTTCTTGAGCCTTGTGTATGCTAAAGTTTAGCGAAAGGTCAAAGGTCGGAAAATAATTTAACAGTTCATAGTGCACAGTTCAATTTGGTTTATGCTTATGATAGAAGAGTCCTTACCATGTGTCTCTTCACAACTTTGTAATGCCCTCATTGTTTATCAATAATTTACTTATAAACTTTTCAGTATAAAATAATAAATCCGTCTACCTCAATCAAATGCCAACTTTGCTTGATTTGCCGATAATAAGATTTCGAGTAAACGAAGCATGTCGCTCAGTATGCAGATGCGGACATTCAATTTGATGTGACGTCTGCGCTGAAGATTTGCTTCTCGAAATGCGTCGTGCGCTCATAGCGAAATTTTACTTGCGCAAAATATAGACCACCAATTATAGCAAGATAAAAATGTCCGCCAAAAATTGTTTTACATTTATGACAATGTTCTTTGCCAGCTTTCTTCCAAAATTTACCCTTTGAAAAAGGGAGCACATTCTGGTGATTTTAGAACACATAATGACAAAGGGGGTGAAAAGCCAGTGACGTGGTCACAAGGGATATGATGGGCCAGTTAACCCGTATTCAAATTTTTTCTTTATCTCTTTGCCTAAAAAAGCGTCACTAGAAACTTTTTCCAAGGGGATTTCACGTCCTACTGCCCTCTATAGTGACGGCCGTGATTCTCATTTCACTTTTATGCATGTGCCTGATGATATTCTCATTATATTCTCATTCAATCTTAATCACACAATATCGTAGAGCCCTATGTAATATCTCTACATTCTTAAAATCCTTTAATTGCCTTTTTAAAAAGGAGTGTGGTGAGTATAGCGCATGTGTGGCCTTGAAAGTTGCATTTTACCAAATTTTGCAATCTGTTTACCAGCAAGGTAAAATTGAGAGGTGTCTGCATCACACCCCTCAAACTCACCGGTAGCCACATTCATGTATATTCCAAATATCTAGCTTATTAGTGTTTATCACTAATTAGTCTTTGGGAACCCGCTCTAACATTCATCGACCAACTGACCATAGATAACAACATGACCGAGGAGCAACTACCAGGAGATATGGACGACCGTAACTTACGGAGAAACTACGTCATGCATGTTCTACTGCGACCGTAACTTATGGAGAAACTACGTCATGAATGTTCGACTGCAGTCGCCATGATTATGAGTGTTTATCAGTATATGATAAAGCTGAATATAGAAGATACTATAAAAATATAATAGCAACTCTCTAAATTGACTTAAAAGTAACTTACCCCTTTCGAATAAAGAGTTCAATTCTAATACATACTCTTGACCAAAAGCATAGCAATATCTGCCTGTGTTTTTCCCAGCGTTCTGTTTCCTTTTGCAGCGTCCTTTAGAGGGATTTAGGCCAATCAATGTGTCTCATTTGAAATGCAGAGGATTCAAGTGTCCATCATTTATTCCGCGTTTTACTATTGTGTTTGGTTACGAGTTGTAGTCAAAACAAGCAGAAAACATAAGTCAAGTCATCAGCAAGGAAATAAAAATTCCTTATCCCGAACTAAATTTAAAGTTCAAAGACTGTATACCAGAGGTACATGGTCTTTAAAATCTAAACGGAAATGATAATGCAGCTAAATCTACAAGCATGATTAAAAAAAACTTTTAAAAATGAACGCTAACAGTGTGGTCGAACGATCGAACATTTAAAGTGGGATCAACCTCTGTTAGGCTAGCTAATATCTATTCTGCTTTTAAATTTTTCTTTTAAAAATTATTTGCAATAGATAAAATGTTGAAACCAAAGTCATGCTTTTGTGCAGACCTACATTTATCATCAAACTGTGATAACTGCAATTAAATTGACCAAGTATTTAGCTACTTCGAGGTAGTAGCGTACCCAAGGGGGGGGGGGGGGGAATGGGAGGGATCCGGACCCCCCACTTTTCTAAAACATGGTCCTCGAGATTTGTCCAAAAACGATGTAAAACTCATTGGGAGGGGGGGGGGTAGTATACTGTATACTTGTGTCAATAACAATTGTAAAATGCTTTGCTATCTACCGTAGCTAACATGAATCAAATAATGGGGGGAAATTTTTCCAAAAAGGGCGTTTCCCCACATTTGCGAGTGTTTGAAGGGCGTGGTCAAAAAAAATCTGGGGGCTGCGCCCCAGACCCCCCCTACTGCGCCACTGCTTCAAGGTTATTTTTAAAAAATTTAGAGGAACTAAGTTCTCTTTGCTTAATGCTTGTTACCGTTGCTTTGGGTATACACCATATGCAAAAAGTGCTTGTAATGTTGATTTCATTTGTCTTTTTTACCTGGGATGGCCTTACTTAGTTCGTTTCGAAGGATCATTACATAGGAATCCCAAACCAAAGGTTTTCAGAATGAATCATATTTTCGTTTTTCAATCCGATTTTTCAACTAGCAGTGAGAGTATATCCACTTCAAAATAAAATTCCAAACTTTGACAGAGTAATACCAGTGGGGTACATTTGTCAAAAAATAAATGAGTTCAGGCTTTTCAACTTTCTGACATTCAACGAAAATTGATCGTAGCGGCAGCTGGCCCTGAGCCGTCGAAGATAAAGGCAATATTTGAACTGACCGGCATTCTTCGGGCTTTTTCAACATGAGTTTTTCTTTTCAATATTGTGCTGGAAGATGCATTGTTTGTGCTGAAAGTACGCTAATCCACAACAATAGCTAATAGAAAAGCATCCTGAATGGAAAATTGAAAAGCAGTAATACCCTTACTGTGTATTCTTGTGGTATATTGATATCGCAGAACGGGAATACGCGGACTCAAGGGTGGAAACACTGTGGTTGTTGGAGTCATAGATGTTGGAGTGGAGTCCAATGTCGATCACGAAATTCTAAAGTCGTGAATAAAGGGCCATTAAAGACAATTCGAGACAATGAGACAATTCGTCACGCATGGTTGCAAATGCGCTATGCGGAATTTTCCAGCACCGATATTCTAAAAAATATTCGCTTTGAGCCTGATTACATTCTTAAAACATTCTTCTTGTCTCAAATTTGATATAATTCTAGGGGAACATCGCCTGCTCTTGAATAAAAACCATGCTTTTTGAATAACGAGATGTGTCTGTTGTGCGATTCCCTTTTATGAACATCACATAGCCGCAACTGCTGAGGCTGAGCAATATTTTTATAACATTCTTGATAATTGGGCGATTTTGCGCCTGAAAATTCTTATAAACAATATTCTTATAAACAAAATACTTATAATTTTAAAGACCAAAGTAGAATATTTCCTGAGAGCAGTTTTCCTTGTAGTAGTTTTATGCAATTTATGCATTTACAATTTTGCAAACGATGTACTGAATACTTCTAGAAAGACCTTTTCTTAACTACCATGTTTCATGTCTTATAATCTTTGTCCTTGGTTTTTACCTGGTTTGAAGAACCTTAAAGGGAAGGTGAATTAGTAAGCTGACATAATGTATGTAAATGAATAAATGGCTTTGAAATAACAATCATTTTATGACATATTGGCTAAAAAGCTTTTCCGTCTGAAACTCCTCAGAACATAGAACATCAGAATAAGGGTCCGAAGAGAGTCCAAGAGAGAAAACGAACTCCTTCTGTCTCCACAATGGCGGCTTTTTCTTTTTTTATGTAGATCGACTAATTGGACAGCTATACCGGTCTTGTGCTTGCGTTTTTCTGATTTCTCATTTTTCGATCCACAACCGAGTATTCTGACGTTTTTTTGGACTGAGGAGTGTCAGACGAAAAAGTTTTTTGCCAATTTGCTATAAACTTTTTGCTCGTTTCAAAGCCATTATTAAGTTCTGTAACGCCAAAAAACTGTTCACAAATGAATAAATCTTGAAAATATGTTGAAGCAAATGGTAGATAGAATAATGTAGATGGAGGGAGGTACTTGATTGGTCACGTTATGGAATAAGAGGAAAGGGGGTCTTTTTACAGATCTCGAAAAATTGAGCGGATGGGGGATGGGTCCTCAAGCACGCCCTGGCATGGCTGGCAGAGTGATTGTTGCACTCGTATGCTAAATGGATTCCTTATCTCAATTGGGTATTCTGCCTATTTAGTTCAACTCATTGTATTAAGGCGATTCCATAATTGGTTGTGCTAATTTTGTCTGGCACATCTGCACTTTCCCTCTATTTGTTAACCATTCTACAATATAATGCCAGTCCAAATTATGATGCTGGACATTGGGGATCTTGTCGTTATTTAACTGCTTCAAACAGCAAACAAATAGCAAAATCTCAGTGCGAATAGAAACTCTGTTGACAAAATTGACAAGTGTTAGAGGCGGAGCAAATTCCCGTGCTCCTTGTCAGAACGACTTTACATTTGTCGATAATAAAGTTATTGGGTAATGCCTATAAGATATCAAATTTCAATTTTTTTCTTATTTAGAGCAGCGCGAAAAGAAATAGATGTTTCTGTAAATTTGATGCCAAAATGACCCGCAACTGGTACATATGGTTTGTCTTCTTCATTGGCCTGGTCTTGTTCGTCCAAGATGGTGAAGCCTTTTTCCTCAATTCAGCTGACATTACAAGATTGGAAGGTAAGAGAATTTCAGCTACTTCTAGTGTCAAAACATCATTGAAAATTTCTTTGAAACCTTAGTAAACCAAAAGGTTCCAGGAAAGTTGCAGCCAATTTGCGATAAATATTCTGATATTCAAGTCTTGAGAGTGTGAATAAACTGTTACATTTCTACATATCCAACCAATAGAAATGAAATTTGACGTCATTTACAGTTCTAATGTTTCACTAACTCTTTCTTGCAGCAAAAACGAAACTGCTGATAAAAGATTTGCCTCATCCTGCAAGAAACGTAACCATGTATGGTTTGCTTGGCATTAACCCTACTTTTCTACGTCCAGATGATCATAAAGCGATTCAGCGCTTGTTTAACGCGACAGCCGCTGAAAAATCATTATTCAACGTTTTTACGATTGGAGATATGATTACTGCTCTGAATATATCCTGGGCAGATGCTCTCAACAAATCCACGCTGCAATTATTCTCACAATTTTGGAGTCAGATTGAACCTGGAACTACTAAAGGAAAATACCCGATCATATATGCAGCTCATCTTAAGGGAATCACCGTAGCGCAGTTAGCTGGTTTTCCAATAGTGAACCTGGCAGTGGCCATTACCGGACTTTCGGAACAAATGATACAAAAGATTTACCAAATACCGCTCATGGATTTCTACAGGGCAAAGAATATGTCCTTTGGTCAATTACCAGCTTATATGAATCACTTCTTCTACAACGGAACAAGTAATAAAACAGAGCTCAAAATGTATTATACGATGTCTTTTCACTCGATAGCAAAGGCCATTCTGATACATAAGAATGCAACTGAAGCCACAGAGGACTTTCTCAATGATTTCAAGTATATAGTGAACAACATCAAGATATCCGACTTGTTAAATATCTTTTCCTTTGTTTTCCCATCCGGTTACATGACGCTTGATACGTTTAGCATAGAAACGCTAGCTGGCAATTTGTCTGGCCTTGATCGCCAGCAGACGAGGATCGTGTTTAACACGACTTCAGATTACTACCTCAAACAACTGACAATTGATTATTTACGATTAATGAATGTATGGGGTAGTTGGTCTGGCCGTGGTGACATAACACTTGGTCGTTTTTTTAATGGCTCGGTGGTTTTAATTGAGCAGTTTTTTATAAATTTTGATATGCCAGTCCTGTATCTTGAGCACATGAAAGGGGTTTTGATAACCAGACGTGACTGGTATAGACTTTATCAGCTTGTTTCCAATCTGTGTCGCTGTTTTGGGTACTACTGTCGAGGAGTTCTCCAATTGAATGTGGATACAAACCATAGGAATTTCACTGATGTTGTGGAAACTGACGTATGGAAAATACCAGCACTTTTCACTAAATTATTTGGAATGAACTACACTTTGAGACATTACGTAACCATGACAACCAGGTCACTATATTACTCGGCGATATTTAAGAACAGATCTGTTGCAGAAGATGGTATCGTTAAAGGGTTTGGCTACCTTGCAAGGCATGCAAATTTATCGCTGATTATGACAATGTATGGCGTGACCAATGAAACAATCATTTCAGGGACATTGGCTGCCATTGGTAGAAACATATCTGAAATCACACTTGCACAATTGAAACAGGCACTGGGTGTGACGTCAGATGCCTATGTAAATGAAACTACGGTTGGCTCGATGCTTGCTGCTATTGGAAGGGATTTCTCAAATGCAACGCATCTCACACTGCATGGAATCTTACAGCTGTTCTTACGAAAGCTTGCTCCTGACATTGCAAGATTCAAACAACCTGTCATTTATGTCTCATTCATAAAAGGCATTTCAATGCATCAGATCTCGAGCTACAGCATCTATGACCTAGCCCTGGCAACGACTGGTTTGTCCGAAGTTATGATGAGGAGAATATATGGCATATCGTCTTCAGAAATGCAAAGTGCAAAGGCATTGAACTTCTCTCATTTACCAACGTACATAAAACAACATTTTGGCGTTGATTACAGTCAAAAGCAGGTTCATATCATGTCGTTTCAATTTTGTCTAGTGGATGTGCTTCTTAATGGAAATATTACAGTAGGAGCAAATTACCTGACAGAGGGAGTCAAGTTCGTCATAGGAGAAGTTACCTTCAAGGAAATTAAAGGAATGTACAATCGTACCCAGATGTCAGTTTCTTCGATGTCTGTTTGGAGCTTAGTGTATGACATTTCAAATTTGGACTACGCATCGTTCAGAAACATAACGAGTTTTGCACCTGAGTCTTATGTGAACCAAACCACTATTGGAGAGATGTTTTCACTCATGAGTTTGAATCAATCTCAATCAGATCTGCTTACTATGAAAAGTCTCTTGATGGGATTTTCGAGACACGTGACCTTTGGGAGACACGGATTGACACTTCCAGTTGCTTACAACGCATTTAGAAAAGGCATCTCGATTACCAATTTGTTGAATTTCACTATGCTTGAAACAACGTTGAAGATGTCTGCATTGTCTGAAAAATATATTCCAAAGCTTCAAAATATCTCAAATGCGGACCTAAAGCTGCCTTTTGGTCATCTTCGAGCTTACGTCAATCAAACATTGGGTGTCAACATTAATTCAAAGCATTTCCGCATTATGTCACTCAACTCGATTTTTGACGCAGTTTTTATTAACAAGAATGCCTCAGAAGTAACACAGAAGAGGTTTTTGAACGACTTCAGGGTAATTCTACGAAACGTGACCTTCGGAGATCTCAAGAAGATCTTTGGACTAACAAACTCGTCTCTCTTTCCGATGACCGTTGCTGAACTTGGATTTTTCATTTCTGGAATTGATTTGCTGTCATTGAAAAAATTGATGGGACAGAGTTTGCTGCTAAACGAAACAAAAATTGGTGCAATAGCAAATACCATAAGGTCCCATGAAAAGCGTTTTGATCATTCAACAATACACGAACTGCTTGCTATTTCCGCAAGAGTAAAAGGTCTTCGAGTGTTAAAAATGCCAGTTGTCTATGCATCACATCTAAAAAATATAAGTATCAATCAGATTGCTGGATATAATATAATGAGCCTTGCAATCTTAACTTCTGGTTTGCCAGAAATGGAAATAATGGAACATAATCGCATGCCATCCACACCTTTTCAAATTGCAAAAACATTGTCATATGGACAACTACCAGCTTATGTCAAGTTTAAAATGGGAATTGGCTTGGACATAAAACACTTCTACACATTGTCATACAATTCAATTGCTGAGACAATCATTATGGATAGTAAGTCGACAGAAGATCAATTTTCGGAAGACCTTGGCTTCATTGCGACAAATGTGACATTTGGAGAAATCAAACAGATCTTTGGCATGACCAATTCTTCTCTTCTTCCAATGTCTTTTGCCAATCTGGCATTTTTCATTTCTGGTGTTGATGCAAAGTCATTGCAAAATATAATGGGACCAAGGCCATGGATAAATCAAACAAAAATAGGCGAAGCTGCAAAGTTTGTGCTGCCTAAAGATTTTGACAAGCTGACAATTGATAGCCTAATTGGTAAATACGAACAAAGTTTGAAAGGCTTTGAATTGTCAAAACTGCCAGTTATGCACACTTCTAGTCTGAAAAACATTACAATGGCTCAGATTTCTGGTTACCAATTTCTTCACCTTGCTGGACAAGCAACAGGATTGTCAGAGATCGCGATCAAAGAGCTCTATCACATGTCAGCTGCGGACTTTCAAAATGCAAAAACATTGTATTTTGGACAATTTCCATCTTTTGTCAAACAAAACATTGGTGCAAATTTAAGCATTAAACACTTCACTACAATGTCGTTTAACACTATCCTTGAAACGATTCTGATCCGTAAAAATGTGACAGAGGCAAATGAAAGGTTTATGAAAGACTTTGGGTTCATTATAAAGAGCGTTAAACTGGGACAAATCCAAAAGTTCTTTGGTTTGAATACCTCTGCGTTATTCTCAATGACAATTCCTGAACTTGCGTTTTTTATTTCCAACATTGACCCGATGGCGCTCGGGAAGATGATGGCACCAAGCCTGTCGCTCAATGCAACCAAAATTGGTGAAATTGCAAAACTGTTTGACCCCACAACGTTACCCAGCTTATCAATATTCGATTTATTAAGTTTGTATCCGAAGCAATTAAAGGGGTTGGCATTAGCAAAACTGCCTGTTATATATGCTGCCCATCTGAAAGGTATCACCATTTCTCAGGTTTCTGGATGCAGCATCATGGGCCTATCTGTAAAAATAACAGGACTGTCTGAGATCGTAATCAAGGAGCTACACCGCATGTCGAATGCAGATTTCCAAGCCTCGAAGATATTGCTGTTTGGACAACTTCCAGCGTACGTCAAGCTGCATATGGGAACACTTTTCAGCATAAACCATTTCTACACAATGTCTCTTAACTCTATTGCTGACGCGTTGCTTATTCATAAGAATTTGACGGAAGGAACGAAACAGTTTTTGACAGACTTTAGATTTGTAGCGCAACATGTGAGATTTGCAGAAATCAAACGGATATATGCAATAAATGAAAGTCTGTTGATGAGCAAATCTCTTTGGGGTCTCGGCTACACAATTTCAGCCATAGATTTTATGCAATTTAAAACGGTATTGAATGTTAAAAACAATGCTTTCATTAATCAAACAACGATTAAAGAAATCATTGATGAATATGGCTTGCCTCCGGCTGCTCTGAACTCGCTCACGATTGTAAACCTTCTAGGGATGTTTGCAGCTAAAGTTACACCAGGCATTGAGAGATCGAAACTTCCGATCATATATGCCGCATTCCTCAAAGGCATCTCGATACACCAGCTCTCAGGCTACAATATCATTCGCCTTGCTGTTGATACTTCTGGACTGTCAGAAACTATGATTAAAAGGCTCCACTCTATACCACCTAACGATTTTATAGCTGCCAAAAATCTTGCTTTTGGCCAGTTGCCCTTATATGTAAAGCAACGCATTGGAGCTGACTCAATTTTGAAGCACTACTACACAATGTCGTTTCACTCAATCGCAGAAGCCTTTCTGGTTCATATCAACGTTATTGAGGCGGCAAAAGATTTTGTGCAGGACTTCCATATCATAGCATCTAATTTGAGTTTTCCTATCATTTTCAAAATGTACAACCTGAGAGAAGATTACGCTGTGCATATGCGTTTCCCAGAGCTTTTGAAATATATTGCCGATGCCAACGTGACTCACGTTTTTAGATTTGGACCGCCCGATTATCGAGTCCTTGGTGGCTTAACAATTCGAGATTGTCTCGTCTTTTTAAAATCTCGCAACAATTCCATCGATCTCAAAAGAGGCACTATTACCCAGCTTGCAATGGGTATCGTTGCCAATTGGAGACATGTCCCTGGATTATTTGATACTCTTGGGAATTTAAGTAAATCAAGCATGATGGATATGTCGATGAATGATTTTATAAGACTAGCTCATGTGACTCCTCAAACAGTACAACATCTTTTAAAAGCTGGTTTCATATCTTCAAGACATTTCCAGAGTATCAACAATCTGCCTTTGAAGACGTTAGCTGAGAGGAGAATCGTGCCTTTGCCTGTAAGAGGTGCATCTTCGATCATGTTAATCAAGCTGCTATTGTCAGCAAGAGATATAAGAGGTATGCTGTGAGGTTTATTTCTAATCACATATCATTGATTCATGATTAGGCTTACTCAAGCATCATAATAGAAACTAAGCTGCAAGGTTTATTTCTAATCACATATCATTGATTCATGATTAGGCCTAATCGCACATCATAATAGAAACAAAGCTGTGAGGTCTATTTCTAATCACATATCATTGATTCATGATTAGGCTTAATCACGCATCATAATAGAAACTAAGCTGCGAGGTTTATTTCGAAAAGCTTCTAGGTTTATTTCTAATCACATATCATTGATTCATGATTAGGCCTAATCACGCATCATAAAAGAAACTAAATGCACATGAACATCAATATTATCATTCAATATTTAAATATTCTTCGCAACCTTTATGATAATTATCAACTGCATTGATGTTAGTGTCTATCATTATCACAAAATATAACTATTTCATTTTTAGGTTGGTCAACAATACCCTTCATTGCTGCTGGCTTCTACAACGGCTTTACTGTATCACAAATTGCCTCTTCAAATGTGCTACAGATAGCCGAAAGAGTTTTCGGATTCGATGCGCGCTCGATAATCTCTGCGGTTAGGTTGAACTCGTCTGCAGTTATGATGATAGCAAATATAACATATCGTGGCCTAAGCCATATGGTTCAACGCCACATTGGGAAGATGGTGGATTACCGGCAATTATACCACATGTCCTTTTACGACCTACTCGATGCTGTTCTTTTAAGAAAGGATGCATCTGCCACAACAAAGGCTATCGATTCTGCAATACGCTTTATTGCCTTACGAATGTCGCTACACGAAACCAGAGTAATGTATGAGATGAGCCATGGGGAATTGATGAACACGACACTGATTGATTTGTCACGTAAGCACGTCAATGTCAGCAGAAAAGAAATCTCTACTGCCTTGAACTTAACGTTACAACAAGAGCTTCTCTTGGAGAGAGTGAGAGTCATTGATGCTCATATTCTGCTTGGTGCTGGTCGCAGTGTTATGTCTTTGTCCATGGAGCGAGTTGGGCATCAGATAATCACTCTTGGTCCCGAAGCCGTACTCTTTTTCACTCCTATTGATGCACTCCTGAGAATGAAAAGTCTACAACTCTCCGTCCTTAGCAACACAAAACTCCCGCAACTTGCGCGTCTGTTCTCAGTGCCCGTTCTTAAAATAGAAGATACTTTGCGTTCAATGAACATCACAAAAGATACAATAAATTTCATCTTTGCCCACCCATTGGCTGATTTTGCTTCAGTGTGGTCGCTTTCTTTGTCAGATTTTGCAAAATGGGACATTTTCAGACTGTTTTGGCATCTAAAGACACTGGTCACAAGAGGTACGAATAACTTACTTAGTATTTTTCTCACCTTTTATGAAATCAAAACATTTTGAGCAGTTACGCTTATAGTCCTCACTATCGAGTTTTAGCCTTATATCTAAAGCATGTTGAATTTAGCCTTGGCCAAGTGAATTCAACTTTTAATTGAGCAGCACCTGGCACAATTCGTTTAGTGACATAATTTTGTCAATAGCACCTTGAACTTTTAGGGATGTTTCACTCAAGTGCCTGCGGCTATAATCCGATCATTGTAACGAAAATACCTCAATTTTTGCTATGTTTAAGGAATAAAAATGGCATTAGTGACGCTTTAAAATCAAGCTCCTTCCTGTCCCATATGGTGTTTGATGTTTTCATAAAGTAATCTGGTAACAAATGCTTCATCCCTACCTCAAGGCCGTTGCTACTATTACCCCCTTCCCAAAAAAGTTATAAAAATCCTTTGTTTTCAAGAACAATTCCATTTGCCATATCCTACAGCCTAGTAAATATTAGTTTATGCCAAGTATCATTGTTTCTGGTCATTATAATCGCTTTTCATTATTTTGCAGTGCCAGAACCTTGCGCCAAGTTCACGCAGCCATGTACATCTAATGCGAATTGTTTGAATCCAAAAGGCAGGATTTTCTGTAGATGCAATGAAGGATATTCTGGCAATGGAACTTACTGCTACGGTACGCATTTTGAATAACTTTCTGATGCCTGTTTAACCCATAATAGCAAAATCTCCTTACAATGTCAATGGTTTATCTTCCATTCATGTTACTTTCGTTCCTCATCTAGACCTAAACTTCTACTTACCATTCGACGATTATACGCGGTATTGGGTTGTACACGAGCCCTTAACTACTCCTTGAAGATGCGTCCTTCTCTCTCTCCAATCAGACAAAATTGATTACACAAATTTATGATGATTAGAAACAAGCAGTAATGGTACAAGTATTTGGAAAACTGTATAAATACCATTTTTATGTATAATCATTGCTGAGGGGGATTAAAAATAAATCTTGAACCACTTTTTGCAAAGATACCAGAAAAAGACACGTATTTTGCTATTTCAAATGCTAGTAACTTATATTTAGCGACAGCTTGTCTTTGCTTTTCTTAATACATTATTTCTTTATTAGTCAAACCAGTTTGGTAATTGTCTCATTCTTCTGTTGTCTACAGATGGATGCACCAGTGTTCGTTGTGGCACAGGGGCAGCTTGTGTAAATGTACCTGGAAGTGGAGCTACTTGTAGCTGCATCAAACCAGGTCATGTTATTAGAAACGGCAAATGCATTAAGCAGGATGGTAGAATAATCAAAGTATCAGGGTTGAAATTCAAGCAGGTATTCAAAGATGCCTATAAAAACTCTGACAGCAAGGAGTTTAAAAACAAGGCTGCAGAGATCGAAAATATCCTAAAGGTAGTTGTTTGTCAGAAAATATTTGGATGTATTGGCATTGAAGTATTATTGATAAGAAAAGGTAGCATTGTGATGGACTTCAGTGTCACTATCGATAGTTCATTCAATAATGTGACAAAGGAACATGTGCTGAATATCTCGAGAGAAGCTCTCAAGGACGAGAAAATGATTGATCTTGGAGCAGACCTTGGAAGCAATTTGGGCGCAAGCAGTAAGTTATTGATTGTGGTATTGTTTAATCTATGCACTGCTTACTTCCTCCATAAAGATATTTTTAAACAATAATCAGGACACTGGCAACAAAGGCAACGAAAGCGGAGGTGATTTCAAAGGTGACGATCCATCGACTGCGTTCCAAATACGACGTTTTTGAAGGCTAGAGGCATTATGTAGAGTGTTTTTAGGTTATGGGGTCAGAATTCTTAAGTTCTAAAAATTGGCGCCATACTCAGCCCCTCATTTGACTGTGACATTGACTATGAGCACCAAGGAATACTTTTAAGGGCCTGTTTATATGGAAGAGGGCTAGCCCTCCTAGAGGCCGAGATCTCACCTCCTGGCATGTTGACCAGTCTGCAGAGTGTGGCTGACGCACGGGCGAGGTCAGGATAGTGCTGCACGCCAAAATTTTCTGATTGAACACCAAATTTTCTATAGTGCTATTAAAAAAACTTTGATTTGCACGCAAAATGATTAATAAAGAAAGGTTTGCACGCAGAAAACATGGCGTGAATGAGTACTGCACGCGCGAGATCTCGTCCAGAACTGCCATACTCTGCAGACATGCATGTTGATGAAAGACCAACAAAAAGGCGCGAAATTGCAACTCTTTGACAAACGCTACGCAGGAGCTTAATTTCAGCCTTTCTTGGAGGGCCAGAAAATCTCGTGTAAACGCATGGTGAAATTCAGCCCTAAGATGGCTAGCCCTCTTCATATAAACAGGCCCTAAGGTGACAAAAACGAAGGTAGTGGCTGATAAAAAGAGTATCATTCTTACGATTAATTTTCATCTGGATATATTTCTTCAAAATCTAGCACGCATCAAGAAGACCGTGTCATATCACCAGCCAAGAATATGGATTAGATAAATCTATTTTCAACGATTCAGAGCAATAAAATGTTAATTTTTTCATCCTTTTTATCATTTTATAGAAGGCGATGTTTGCCAAATGGGTTGGCACGACTGTGGCGCAAATTCTAAATGCGTTTCAGGAAGTGATGGCTCATCTTACGTTTGTGAATGCTCAAATGGATACGATAAAGACGGTAATGACTGCAAGAAGAAATCAAAAAGTACGTTTTTTGTCTATTCTGATGCCTTGTTTCTATTTCTTGGAGCCGCCATATTGATTACATTTAGAATTAAATTTGTGACTAATATGAGCCACTGTAAGAAATTGTATGGTATGACGTACTCCTCAATAGTTGTTGCTGTAGTCAATTAAAGGCAATCTGTCACGACGTTGATTGATTATAAGGACAAAGGGATCATTTATCGTTTCCAGTCCCTCTTTAGTTTATCGCATTTTTAAAAAATATGGCGGAGCGCTGGAATTGTGTTTAGGCTATTGTTCCAGCTATTGTTCTCGTTAACCAATCCACAACGAGACAGATTGCCTTTAATCTACACGTTTAAGTATGCGTTATAAATTAGATTTGAATGAGATTAGAGAAGACATAGAATTAGAACGGATCGAACTTGGAACCTTATTAGAATTTATAATATGATTTATCGAAGTTATACGGTCCTCTATTGGAATTAGAATTTGAGCCAAAACAATAAATCGTTTTTTTTCTTATCCTGGATCTATAGTACTGAACTTGAGCCACCAGCATATAGCAATTTCGCACAGCTACCTTGGTGTGATGATTCATTTACCCTTTTACAGCTAAATGAGAAGACAAAGCAATTTTGAGAAAAACCTGTATTTTCAGCTTACTTTCGGTTATTATCCGCCGTTTTTACTCGAACGGACGTGTGTCGGACGAAAAGTACTTAAGTATGCTTGTTTCCGCTATTTCATGCCATCTAGAAAACCTTTTACTTGCACCATTTTTGTTTGGGCAGCTAAAGATCATTGCAGTGTTTCCAAGATCTACTGCAATTCACTGTAAAGTTTTCAGATGAAAAAGTCTTTCTTTCTTTAGCAAACCAACTCTTGTACAATGAAATGTAATCCAGTGAAGTTTGACAAAACTAGACAATCTGAATAAAAACTGACTCCTTGCAGCTATAATTCCTCAATACCTATGAATTTAAAAACCTCCTCTTGAAAGTTTCTTTTGTTTTATTTCTAGCCGGGCTCATTGTTGGAGTGACTGTCGGTGTTGTGTTGTTTCTATTCCTTCTTGTTGTCCTTCTTCTTGTCAAAAAGAAACACAAGAAGGCTCGGATCATTTCAAACGACATACCATTCTCGTTATTCAAAGGCTCAAGGTCAGGTTCTGTTATCACAAATGAAAATGCAGAGGAAAGGAAAGATCAGTACATGACAGAAAAAGCGTAGAGATGGACATTAAGCGAATTTGTTTTAACAGTGTACATTTTACATAATTTTTTATCTTTGATATGATGTTTTTATAGATAAAGTTCGTTACTTAGCTTTATCTATATTCCACAAACTACACCGCTTAACTGTTAGTAAAGATCGTTAACAACAGAATTACACGTAGAGCTTAAAGCAAAGGGAGTACATCACGCTGCTGTTGGTTGCCGACATGTAACGGCCTTTTTAAAACCTCTATGAATTAACAAATAAGTTGTATTTCACGATATGCATTCAATTTACTCTCGTTATTATGCATCTATTTATACAGTTATGTTTATAATTCATTGTACTAATTCACAATTCTACTTATTTCCTATAACATTTAGTTCATCACACGTCATTGCTAAACATAATTCACAAACGCTGGCGGATATGGTCATTATTCATGAAAATCCTGCGGTTCATCGTTGTCAATTACTGCCTTTAATTCTGTGCAGGGCAATCGTTAGCTTTTGTGCTCAAGGGGGTGTTCAAGTCCCATTTGCCAACAAAGTAGGCGAGCAACTCTTAATTTAGCACTCTTACAAGGCTTTCGAAATCTTTTTACTCTTAAGCAAGCTCAATCATGTGTTACATTTGCCAGCGAGAGCATCCGAAAACATTTTCAATTTGTTCGGAGACAGAATTTTTTTAGGGAGTATCGACAAGATCAGTCCCGATCACCTTAAATAACTTAGGATGACGTAGTTATGACGTTTCAACAACCTAATGTTGGAATTCATCAATATGAATCATAAATTCCAAAGAACACAACAGCAACTTCTAAATATGCCAAATGAGTTGAATATGTTAAAAATTGGCTGGGATATGGCCAGTAAAAGATCCGAAGTTTGCTAAGGGAGAATGCTTGTATATCCTACAACAATTTCCTTGGAAAATTAATCTATCTTATGGAAATATACTCTTACGAAGTATTGAACATCAAGAAAAGAAAGTTGTGCATCAAAATTGTCAGAATACGTTGAAAACCGCTAAGGCATAATGCTTATAAATTTTGTTTCCATGACTTGTGTGAATAGTTTGTGATTCTTCGACAAAAAATAAAGTAAATATACTGGAGAAGTCGAATTTATCTGCAACTTTTAAGTCTCATGCGCGGCGATAAGCTTTGTGCCAGGATTACAAGGCACCAATCAAGCAGCTGGCTCTGTGCATAGACAGTACTTTGGCATTAATTTTGCCCCAGTTGAATTCTGCTTTTACTCGGATATCATGCTGAATTTTACTCTTCAAGACGGTTCTTTGAACTTCGAGTAAATCCTTACTCAGAATTTTTAACAATTTTCAGGCATAATGTAGCTCATTGCATCTTCATTCATGCGTTACATTCTAAAACTGATTTTTCATCCCGTAATTATCATTATCATTAAATTTCTCAATCTTGCCAGGAGATCTTTGGATGTTTGCAGGCATTAGACGATGAGTTCAAGAAAGATTACAAAGAAGGTATGATTTTCATAATCATCAGATTTCAATTTGCAATCAAAATAAATAATTTTGCAACTCAAAGTTACACCGAACCTAATATTTCCTACAAATATATCGAACAATACGATGACAGAATAACCCACGATCTTGCTCTAATATAAGACTGAAAATTCAACTATATGCAGTTTTTGAATTTTATAACAATTCCATAAACTGACAGGCTGCTATCTTAAAATAGGGATATCAGATATTATATTTGCAATGGTTTACATTTACGGGTGGTTGCGTTATTTAACTCCGGAAGCCACGCCACGAGTCTAAACTTCTTTGATATACCTTGCGTTTTCGAATTTACTCTCATGGAGCACTGTAAACATTAATAAACCTTCTTGCCTTCGACTCTTGCATGTTGTCGAAGGGGACTTTAGATCCATTTTTTCAGTAAAACAACCAGATTCACAGAATCACAAAGAACTGACAAAAGTCCATTCAACTTTGGTCATGCGTAGTTTAATAATGAAGTAAAGCATCATTATCCATAAGCCAGAATCATTGAATAAGAGTCCATTAAACTTGGCTCTTTCGTAGCCATTGACCAGCCCCTCCCCCACTTCATCACATCCCTACCCCATCCAAAAATACATTACTTTCCACATATATTTGGTAGTATTTCATCTCTAGAGAAAATATTAACCTAAAATTCTTTAAACTACACCAAAAATTACTAGAAGGGCAATTAAAAGATTCAAATTAACAAATCTTGGAATTCGCTGTTGCTCCCTAATAGACTAGTTTGCTGGCTGTTCCGTTTATCTTTATTGTCCATTTTCTGAGGGAGAAGCATCCCTGACGAATTCTGACTTGAAGCTGTGTGGAAAGACTGTCCATGCATCGAATACGTCATTCCATTATGCGGTTGACTCGATAAAGGTGTATTGTTATACATCCCTCCCAGCAAACCCTGTGTTTGATGCATACTGCTTGGCATGTTTTGACTTTGGCCTTGTATTTTGTGGCCGTCAAAATTCATCATTGAGCCGGGAAAATCTACAGTATCATAATAAATTCAATATTAATTATTCAGTTTTATCAATGTATCAAATTTACACTACCTGAAAGGGCTTGAATATTTCCATAAAAAATACAAATTCAAAATAATCAAATTTGTTTCGATTTTCATGCTGTCAGGCATTGTTGCTTTTGGAATGAACCCAGATGCTTTGAATAGGTAGCTCTTTAGGCAAAATCTAAAGTAGAACAATAACTGTTCAATGTAAAAATGTAGTCTTTAAACAATATTCTTGTTCACCTTCAAGAAAGCACTAATCAAGAGGCAAGAATGAATATAACTTTTTTAGAAAATTTTTTTATCAATGTAAGACAAATATTTGACATTTTAATTTTCATTTTTTCGTCAAAATCATAAGAGGTTAAGGGATCCTTTGTTATAGAGATAAAATTATAAATCACACAACATGCACCTTGTTGGCTACTTGACGCAGTTGAAATTTGACTAAAAGGATCCAGATTCGAATTTGAAGATGACATTTGTGTTGGAATCGGCTGTTGACTCATCGTGTTCTGGCCCATTGTGTTTAGACCTGTTCCAGCAAAAGACATGCTACTCATCCCAATTCCAGAGTTAAACTGGCTGTTGCCATATCCTCCTTGGTAATTAGTGGTTGTTTTACTGGTTGCTGAAACAACAGATAGAAATAAAACATTCAAATGTTTATTGTAGGTTTGTGCAAAACAAGTACGGATATTTCGGTACCAAGACCATCAAAAAATCTGAGCCATTTTAGAAGCCTCAAAATCTACTTCAACCATAATCTAACAAATTTCACTAATGAGTGTAAGCATGGCAGGGAAACAAACAGTTGGGTCGAAATAAAATGAAACCTTCATTAACAGACAACTCCCGATAAGAGACTCTTCCAAACAACGGACACTTGCCAACAACGGACACTTGCCAACAACGGACACTTGCCAACAACGGACACTTGCCAACAATACTTGCCCCTGTAAACACATTGTGGTGGTAGGAAACATTTGACTTTCTGATACTTATCAGACCTTTCAACACCGCTTTTGGGGGGAGCGGTGGAATGAGAAAATGGAAGAAAAATAAAGAAACAAGGCACAATCGCTGGATACTCTATAAGAAAATTAGTTAGGCATATAGCTTGCCAAAGGGTCGAGATACTAGTGGATTCATTTTCAAAGGGTCCCATCCACGGCCAATAGCGATTTATTAGATACTCTATCGGTACGCTGGGGAGCAAATCATAATCAGTGTAATTTTATTGAGCTGGTTTCCGGTAATTTGGGTATCTTCTATCGGATTTTTTAAAGGATTTCTCAGCCTTGGTTACATGGTAAGCACACCTACCCGATGTTGAGTGAATCCCCACATTTTTCATCATTAAAGAATCTAATGAGGCTGCATTCGACCAGCTTGTTGCAGGAAATGACGATTTCTGTGGCTGTAGCACTGAGCTGCTGCTGGAAGGAACCGTAGTCCGCTTCGGCAATAGACTGTCTGACTCTGGTCTGCTTGATGTATACGACTGCGTGTTCGGTGCAGTCCGGGTTTTCGAGCCACCGGCTATGTTTGTTTTATTGGACGATTCTACGGGCATTGAGGTGAATGGAAGTGGTTGAAATTGTTCTACGCCACTCGGCGTCGGCCTGTTCGAGATCATCGAAGTTATGGCCGTTTGGTTGGTCGATGGTTTTTTCTTGTCCTCTTTGACATCCATTAGCAACTCAGATGATTGCTTTTTTCCACGTGGAGAATCTTCAGTCATAATTCCAAAGACTTTAGAAAACTGGAGAAAAGAAAACAGATTACCAAAGTCGGAGCTAACATAATTTGTCAACTGTTCAAGCGTAATTTTACAAGTCCTTAATGCATCTAAACATATGAAAAATTGCCTTCAAATTTGTTCATTTTGTTGGAAGAAATTGATTTTCTATCTAGCTTTCGTAGATTTTGACAGTTTTTGGCAAAATTTTTACCGTACCAAGCTAGACGGGACTTTTGCAACAGAAAGAAGAAGTTTTCAATTTAGCTTTTCTTTCTATGGTTGCAATTTTCTCCAAAAATGTAGAGGAACATTTTTTTTACTAGTTCTCTCAAGTATAGCGTGAAAGAAGATGCTTTTTCAAGAATCGTATTTTCTTGAGCTTCGTTCTAGAAGTGCTTAGAGGAGTTGCGGGGGCCAAATTTCAGGGAAAAATGTAAGGCGAAAAAGTCTCTAAAAAAAGGTTTAATCAAAGAAAGATAGCCTGTAGGTTCTTGAGTTCTCAGATTCTGTTTTGTAGGGATTTACTGTAAGAGGAATACTTTTCAAGAACCTTTTATGAATAGGAGTCTAATGTAGAGTCTTAGATCCAGCAACTCCTATAGGCAACTTCAAAAAAGACCCAAGGACCCAGTAGATTCTTGAAAAACAGCTTCTCCTTTGCATGGATTTATCATAAAGTGAAGTTTATACATTAAAAATCAGGGGCATGAATTGTGCATCTGGTCGCAATGCTAGTTAGTTGTTACTACACTGGAAGGACAGTTTTAATTACCACACATTCGAAGCATTTAAAAGAGCATCATAACATTGAAGAAATTACGAAGCATAAGAGCTTACCTCTGAGGCATTTGATGTGCTTGAAGCTAGGAATAAATAGCAACAGAGCAAAATTAATGCCTTTGACCTGTTAGAGGCAAAACTATAATTCCGTGTTTACTGGATGTTGCTCAAAATTAAATTGATTTCATTTATTCAGGGATTCCATTAGAAGCCGGCAACCGACGAAAGTCCGCCGCTTACTCACTAAGCCTACGCCGCCTACTTTTACCCTCACTTTAGTAAGACTGCACAAACTTTAATTAACTTACAGACATCTACTTTTAAGTGTGAGCGTTCAATTTCAAAATCAATGAAAACCCTAATTTATTACTAGCCAAAACAAGATTTTAGAATTACGGAGTAATATCTGACTTATTGGACTTGGAATTCAAATTGAGATTCACCTTTATCAGGACTGCCGAGGACAAGTTTATCCACTTTATCAAGCATTTCTTGCATATCACGTGATTCCTCTACAGCCTTTGAAAATTCGAGTGCCGATCTAGGAAAAAAGTTGAATAGGAAGATCTGCTCAGAGAAACTTGAAGTGTGAAAAAAGTGCAATAAGGATATCATGTAATTAAGCAAAAGGCAAAAGAGACTTTGAATGCGTTTGATGCAGCTCAATGTGGCTGTGTTAAATGCTTGTGGGCATCACCCAGGGTTTTGTTATGGTTTTGTTGAGTTGGGTCTCAAAAAGAAGAAAAAGGTGTTCAGAAACCCTCGTTTTGCCAGTGTCAAAGTTCTTCACTTTAATTTCACAATTCCTGTGGTTTTGCTCCTCGCATCTAAATTGTTGTCTATGTATTTTATCAGCAGAAGAAAAATTAAAAAGAAATACCTTCGTAAACTAGAACCTTATGCACGTATGGAAGCACCGTTAAATACTCCATTGATATTGCGCCCATTGCCAACTATTGATATTGCGCCCATGTACCCTTTATTTAGTTTTTGTTCGCTTCTTCTATACAAAATTTGTAAGAAATTGAGACTCTATTAGTGCAAATGGAGAGGCAAGAAAAATAAGGAATGGTTTGTATCTGCACAAACTCACTTTTGCTGCTCTTGCATTTTGCTAAGTTGTTCCAACTTCGTTCTGTGCTCTTGGTCAATCCGATCTAGCATCTCCCGGATTACTGACATGAAGTTGTTGAACTGTGAAATTTAAGAAAAAAGACGTCATTACAGTGGGACAAAACACAGAAAGAATTGTACAGAAGATGACAGAAATAAAGTGAGAGCCTTATGTATGTCTTGTCAAACTTTTGATTGAATTTCCAGGGATGGACTGAATAGCAACCTTATTGAATCAAACGTTCTCAATCGCCTTATTCATACACACGTAGCCGAAAAACGGTGACATTCAATGTTTTCCCAGCTTCATCCGCCTTTCTACGACTCTCTCATATTTCCTATTTTTTTCAACATTGCGTTTTATTCACATTCCATATGATTTTCATTATGCTTTATCTCTAAAGTGCTTTAAACCTTTTCACAAAGTTTCCTCGGCCAAGTTTACAGGTGCAGCTTCAGAATACTTTCATGTGGACTTGAAAATGCGATTAGGCAAAATGATAATTAACTTCAAAGTTCATATTTGAATGCTTTTGTTTAAAAGTAATGAAAATGGAGGTTGTATTTGATTTGAGCGTAGAAACGAGGAAGGTACCTGGGTGACATTTAGGCCTGCATCAACTGCCAATGGAAGCAGAAACGGAATGACTTTTGTCGCAAGGTAATCTGTCTCGATGTTCATCTTCTTGTGCCCCAACGTCTTCTTGTATATGCCTATAAAAATTTTACTTTATTAATATATACAACCTGAATATTACAGATAAAAAAATGACCTTGGAGAATTAGATTTACATTAATGCCACGCCAATAAAAGAGAAAACACAAAAATGCACAATAGGTAGCAAAATAGGATGTAGTAAATGCGTAAGAGCCTTTGTATATTCTTCAAGGAACAAACAATGTACATGGTTAACATATATTATGTCCAATTTTAAAATGTCATAAAGCTCAAGTACCTAATATGGCCATGAGAACTGCAGGTTCTTTTGATGGTATTTGAGGTAGAACTGGAAATATGTCATCGATCATGAGAAACTTGTCGAGGTATTCGATGATCTTGCCGATGCATACCAGGGCATTCACTCGCACCTGCGGCGATACAACATTATGCACTGATAGCTTGGGATACTGACTATGGGAAGTCACCATTCTTTGGCCATTCAAAGCCTTGGGTTTTGGCACGTGACTGCAGTTGAATCTTATTGGTTAGAATAAACCTATCATTTCAACAAAACACACAAAAATAGACGACATATGATGTCCACAAACAGTGATCCTCACGTCCGAACATTTTATGCAACATACAGTCGCTTTCAAGACAATTAAAGATCCAATTATTAAAATATTGTTAGGAAAAGATAGTTGCTTAAGATACAATTGGTACAAGTGCGTCACTTAGAGGTTGCAGAGATGGTGTATGACAGAAAAGATGCAGAGAACAAAAAATAGGGCGAGGGGGGGGGGGTGGGCGGGAGGACACGCATTCTGGTCTGATACAAACTGAGGAAAATGATTATAAACATGAGAATACTTCTCGTGAAATTCAATACGAAAAATTTCTCCATTAAAAAGAAAATAAATCTAAAGATTGGAGATGATTTGACGCTCACCGACAGCACTGATGTCTTCAGAACGAGGTTTTTCACTCTTGGAATAATGGAATGCTTCAGAGACGCGTAGTCAATCATATGAGCGAAATTCGGGATTATACTTAAAACCAATTCCTACAAATAAATTAGGAAATAAAATATTAGATTCAGCATTGAATGAAAAGGCCTAAATTACGTGGTGGGTTATAAATTATAGTTACTTCCTCTTGTTATTTTTGCGATCTATGGTCGAATTTTTAAGAACCCTAAAAGGGGGAGAACCTGAACCTTTGGCACTAAAAAGAAAACCAAATTGGTTATGGTCAGAACCGGAACCGAAAATGATGGATGCAGCCATAAACGATAACAATCAAGTATTCGTTGGTCAAAATAGAATAGTGAGCTAATGTCTTGCCACCCTTAAAAAGTGTCATCTTTTAAGGATATTAGAGAATAAGGTGCAAGGAGTCGCTTGTATAGCCTAAAAAGAAAAGCTCAATTTCTTTGCTGCAATTTAATCATTTTTTGCTACCTTGGTTCCTTTGGCTATCATTTTCGGCTAAATTGCCTATTTCTAAAACTTGTGGAAAATTATCTAGCTGCAGGAGAAATGTGGCTCCGGTAAGAGGCGCAAATGGCTTCAGAGGATTCGATCTCGTTTTTACCCTAATACGATCTTGCTATGATGGCACTGTTAGATTCATCATCGACAATTCAATACTACGACACTCAAGTTACAGTATTTAGAGACAGTAATAAAAATTTAAGACGATAATTCCGATTTATTCATAGCATCAGCAAGCTGTTTATAAGTGTGACATCTGAAGAGGGTGGTCGAAAATGGCGTCATTTTGAGCCAGCCTCAAACCACGGGAATCCTTCTGTAGCTTTCTTGGTGGCATAATTCTCTTCACTCACCAAGCTAAGGCAAATCGTATATACGATCTGTAGGTATTAGATGTAGCTGGAATAGAAAACACTTTATATGGGCAAACGGTTGAGAAAGGGGGGGATACCAGTTGCTCCCTCGTTGCATTTGGCCTCCCTTGACCTGCCATTGTATACGCATTAAATACACGATAGACAGTTGAAAAACATCCCAGTCATGGGCTTCTACGTAATTTCATCTTACCTGAATCTGCGACGACGAAGATTCAAGAGCCCTAAAGACCATGGGAAGGACAGAGTTCTTGACTTCATCTTGAGGTGTCTTTTTAAGCAGCAGCTCCATCTTTTGCATAAATATAAGTAAGACCTGAAATAATGAAAATAAAGAAACTAGAGGCAAGCTTCTTTCCTTGCTTGCACGTTAAGAAGACGTAGGACTAGTAAACGCTAAAAGTGTGCTTAAAGTAAAGTCTCGCTGTCATATTGTTTACGCAAGTTGAAGAAAAGTGTTTTGAGAATTCTGTTACAAGTTCTGACAAAATGAGGGCTATTGAGTACTGTAGTTGATGATGAACGAAGTAAATTTATTCGAGCACGCGTACATAAAATGTGGGGTTCCCTTTTTTTATAATACGTAAAATCTTGTTCTTGTACCTATATTGATTATTCTATTATGGGTCGTTTTATCAAATAGTTGGTGATATCGATAAAAAAATGATATTCAATAGAACATGGCAAAAGGCTACACAGGCGAGAGAGTGTCTTTCTCGCTATAAATTTATACAGTTGGAAATTCACCTAAGTCTTTTGCCTATGGCCTCCAAACTTCACTATTATATAAAGTGACAATTTTGCTTTATTTGCTAAAGACAACATTTAACTTGTAAAAGGGAGAACAACAGCAATAAGTTACACAGAAACCTCAAATTGCGGACACGAAATAGCTTATGTCTGTTAAATGGGTGTTCTCATTTGAAGAGAGATGTTCGTTTCGAGGGGCAAATCACTCCAAAAAAATCTCGTACACCTTCGTGAAAATCCTTTTATTTAATCTGGAAATCCCCGGAAATCCTTTTTCTAGGCAAAATCTCGTACGCTATTTTCAAGAGTGAATCGCCCCTCGGTTCGTTTAAGGTAGATGTGAGTTTTAGGGAGATGTCGATTGAAGGGAGGGGCCCGCAAGGGGGAGGGGTTTGTTGAAGGAGGGGCCCGTTGAATTGGGGCGTCCGTTAAAGGGTGTTGAAGAGAGGTATTCATAGTGATGATCATGTTGTAACGTGTGTTCACAAACCTGAACTGGCTCTTGAACCGGAAATATTTTCTTCAGCTCTGGTAGTATCAGATCGACATACTCTTTGTCCGTACAGTTTTCAGCAATAAGCAACACATTTGGTAGCACGAATGGAATCATGGGGTGGTTTGGAAATTCCAAGAATAGATGAGGAAGAACTCTTTGATGAAGTACCCTCTGAAAATAAAAACTTGGCGTTTACAAAAGTACAAAATGAGGCAAATATGATTAATTCAAACAATATCAGAGACAAGTTTACCCCGACAAAATGCTTATAATATTAAAAATGTTTTTTGAAGTCCATTTTAAGTTAAATTCTGCCGTTGCATAACTTTTAACCCGATTGAGCAAGATTCGAGGGACTTCCATAGGGTAATTTACTTTCACTATTTCGCTTTTATGCTGCCTTTATAGAGTACTTCTCACAATGTATGCTTTTCAGAAACTTTTCAAGAAAATCTCAAGAAAACAAGGACGAACTTAAAGATTATGCTGAGAAATCATTTGAAATCAAAATAGCAAACAGCAAATATTAGCAGACATTAGTAAGCGGCTTGATCTGTCAACGCTACACACAATTTAGCACCACTGGGTTTTGTATCCTTGGCTTATACAAGGAATTAGACGAGTAACATAAGAAGGGCCTTGATTAGGAAACGACTAAAAAGCTTCTTTCACTACGAAATTAAGGTTTTAACTTCAATAAAGGAGACCAACGTATGTAAATGCTCAATGCAAGCTTACAGATTAAAATTAAGCCTAGGATATGAACTGTGTGGTCTGTAATATTACATTTACGAGAGATGGAACAAGGGGAGAAATCCAGATTTTGGTTGCAAATCGAAATGAAAGGGTTTAAATACAGAAATATTGATATAAGATGGTTATTTCGAAGTCAAAGAGAGTTATCTGGAGTGTCATTGCCCCTATGGTTATGGTATAGTCAATGCATAAGATTTCCTAGAGGTGTAATTATCTGGAGAATTTCTGAACGGAAAAGCTTCCAATGCATTGGAATATTGCAAGGTTTTTCAAAGGGCAATATAAAAGAAACGAAGAAAAAATTCAAGGAAAATCACTGGGGGAATTGTCTTAATTATTACTTTCTGAAATAGAGACGACCCTAAGCATTCAAAAACATACGTCTCTAATCATAGGCTCTTTTCTGTTCGCGGTAACAAAATAGATGCAAGTTAAGTTGTTCACATGGAAACATTATGATAAGCAAGAGGCAGCATACAGAAACGAAGTCACCCAGTGAAAATTCTAAACCCTTACGTAAAGGCAAGTTACTGATCTTCTAGTGATAAAACTTTGATTTTAACTTGACATCCCAAAGCTTTTCACCCATTCTGCTTTAAGAATTAGTACCTCAGGTTTCTCACGTTAGTGCTTGCATCAAAATAGTTAAAGGCTTAGCAACATATTCAACTGTATTTGAAGTGCAAGTGTCCAAGATCTACTGTCATTTCGCCTCCCCTTTGATGTTACAACTGGGTCAACCTCAAAATATTCACCTCAGCAACTTATCAATACTTAAAAAGCAACTTCTAAAAACAATGCTAGACGTTCGGAGAATCAAATGATTTTGCATATTGTAACCTTAGAACTGTTTTTGAACAAGTTCCTAGACAGAATTTGAGCTTTGACGTCGCACAGATTCGCAACGTGACTTGAAACAATCCAATTCTTGTTGACAGTACTGAAATAGATTTCATGGACTACTTTGAGCCTGCAAGCAACGTAAAAATGAATTTAATAGTTCAACAGCATCCTACGTACAATATTTTAAAAATAGTTTAGGCATTGGTATACAAGCCTTGCCACTAACTCATATTTATTACAAGTCACCACCAAAAACATGTCTTCGAGTAGATGACAAAAAAATTACCTTCGGGAGCTTTGAAAGAACTCGATGCAAACTTTTGAAAAATTGTGACTTGGTCATATCATCACGCTGCACAAGTGTATGCAAATACTTCAGGGTCATTGCAGCAACATCATCAAAAAATACATGCTAAAATAAATAAGGAAACAGCATTAAATGCATCTAAGACGAGATATCGATACCATCTTAAATTGCCGCATACCACACACAGCCCAACCCCCCCCCAACCCCCCCAACCCCATACCAATTCGGATAACCTTCGCCTAAGTATATTCTGATGCACCCAGTGATCAATAAATGACTTAAAAACACGTTTTCGAGTTTGATAACAGTGAAAATCGGAAGAAAGGAAATGCTAGGTCGTTCCATGTTATTTTCGGCAGGCATTTCTTCTAGAAGATCTCAAGTCCTTAACACCAAAACCTCTGCAGCATGGGCTGAAAATCGCAACCTTTTAACGAAATATTTTATCTGTCTGGGGCTCTCAGGAACAAACAACGATCATTTGTCTTCAGGCCATACCTTGTATAGTTTACATGCCTAGATGATTGTACGAAACGTATATACAAAATTTCCACAAAGAGTGTCCTATCCAAAAGAGAAGAGAAACTTTGAGAAAACCTGAATTCTACAGAAGGTTGGATCATACCTAATACAAAATATATGATTCGGTATTGTTTTCTGAGGCAGCCTTTCCACTAACCCGGCTGAAAACAAAAACGGATGGAAAAACTAAACCCAGATAACTTTTAATCCACTTACAACAACAAAAATTATAAAAAAATTAAGGACTATTGTTGTGAATACTGACTTTCTCACAGCTTTGCGTCCTCTGGTTTCTGTTTATAATTATTCAAATCTGATTTACCTAAAGTGTAGAGGGCTAAAGATAAATTTTAAGCCTGGGTACATTTTAACCAAGCTTAATGGAAGCGATCAAAACGGATCAGAACGAGTTTGAAGGTGATCTGTCTCGTTGTGGATTGGTTAAAGAGAACAATAGCTGGAACAATAGCCTAAACACGATTCCAGCGCTCCGCCATACTTTTTACAATGCGATAAATTAAAGGGGGACTGGAAACAATAAAAAATTCCTTTGTTCTTATAACCAATCAACGTCGTGACAGATTGCCTTTAAAGCAGACTGGCGTTTCCATTGTCTCACTTTAAAAACGAATACATTTTAACTCGCTTTTGTTTGAACTCGGGCTCGTGAAAAGGCGGCGTGAAACGAAGAACTCTTTTGATGGATGGCAATTCGAGAGCAGCTGGCGGTTTTCTGTACACTCGGCTAGATGAGCAATATCCGAAAGCTTTGTTCAAACATGCATTAACAAAACCTGAAATAAACTGAATCAAAACAACCTGAGTAAACATGTTTAAAAAAGTATCTACAGAACAACTGAGCTAGTCGTTTTGTATTTAACAACCTCAATTCGGCTCTTTCAGGTCCTCGGTTTCAAATGATGAGGACTATGTTTACTTTCAGCAGTCATATTCTACCCGCTTTGACAAAGAATTCAACCAAAGTCTAATATTTACAAACTTAAGCCGCAAGACTGAGTAAATGTTGAAAAGGGTGAGGGTCAAAAATTTGTTGGCCATACTAAGTCAGCATTGGCTAAATTGTTTAAATATTTCCATGTTTTTACCGAGTCACATTTCCTAATAGGGTGTTTTATATGGCTGTTCAGGTGAGTAGTGCCTTCCAAGTAATATTTCAGTAAATCAACTTGTCAACAGCTTTTTAAGACCATATGAGAGTCTTAATCTGTGACGAATGCAAAATGTAACCCAAATCGCGTAACTTACAACCACAGAATCCGCAAAAAATGTTGCACAAGCTTAGATTTGGTGCAGTTTGGCCTTGGGTCTGCAAAGAGGCACGCAACTCGCAACATTTGACAAAGTCAGAGAGGAGAAAGAAGAAAATCGAAAACGACGTCATTGCTAATTAGTATAGGGCTGGTAAAGGAAAATTCAATTCACACGCTTTGGTGCATTCTAAACATTCTTCTAAAGAAAAATAAAATGAAATGTGAAGATGTAAAGGTAGTCCTTCAAACTCGCTCCCCAGCAGTTGAACTAACTCAAACTCGCTCCCCAGCAATTTTTCTGCTATTCGCACAAGTGACACTGTTTATAGTCACTCCACTTACACTACCGTTTACTGGGACATGCAATTTAGACCTGAATACGCAAATTTATTCAATTTAGCTCCGTTTAAAGTCACAATCCGCTTACTGTCACAGCCTTTCAAGGAACATAGGGTCACTATAACCAGGGTCTACTACTGTGAGTCAGTCTTGAAAAGGAGGCAATCGTCCGGCGAAAAACCGTTAAAAAGTCTATGAAAGAAGATTTCAGCTACCAAAACATGCCACACGTAGGTTACTTCGTTCTCCTTTAGTGCTGGCGTTACTGGCCGGAGGCAAGATGGAAACTAGCTGTCAAAAAGCTTGGGGCAATCTGCTAATTTTGAAAATGTTTAATCAAAATCAAAAGTTTTAATTCAAGTTATTTGTTCTCCAAGGAAAGTGGAACGATAAGCCTGAACGCATGCTTAAATGGCCGATGACTAACGTTCAAATTTTTACATTTTATAGACTTCTGGAGACCATGCTTCTACAGAATGTTTCAAAACAACGCAATAAGCACCAAAGTGTGGTCACTTTCATAAGATGTAGCCAGCTAAACTGCATTCTCTTTCTACTGATCAAAACAATGCATCTGGGAAAACTTAATCTAAAGATTATTCATTCATGGGAAAGAACGGTTAGGAATTATTTTTCAAGTGCCGAAAGTAAAGGGCGCATCTGCTTTATGGATACATGACTATTTGCCTAAGAGCGAACAAAACCTTTAATAGTTTTACAACACTGGCAACTTCCTACAGCATATAATTGCTCACAATGTCATTTTTTGTAGGTAGCTGCCTTTGAATTGGGTACTGTTAATAAAAATATTGTTCGCTGACCTTTACAGGTACCAGTGATGTAACGCAGTTCAGGGCATCTTAGCTCGATAATTGACTGCCCCAAAGATCAGAAAGGGTGCCAAGAGACCCATGTCTTTATAGCTCGTTCAGATTCCCCTTGTTTTAAGAAGCTCTAAAAGTTCTTCACATCTTGCTATGTTGTTTGGCATGCCTTTACTCTTGAATGGGGTTTTCTTGCAGTCCGTAGGTACCTCTGTTACACCAAACAGTAGTCAAGAAAAGAGATTCTTCGTCGCCTCTTCTCTGCATCGAGGCAGTCTGTGCATAACACAACTTATTACGGACGGACTCGAGATACTGTTATATAGGGTATTCCAACTCGCTATATAACATCAAAAAAGGAGTATATCAACCCGTACACATGACCAACCAATCAGAATATCCGCCCTCTCGCTGATGAGCTGAATCATAAAAAATTTTCCTTATCAAAACACGGCATAGCATAGAACACCCCAACACGACGAGAGTGAACAACAACAAACACATATAAATCATTTATGGCTTATATTTCGCCCCGGCATACGGGACTTCATCAGAGCAAAAAAAAAGAGTGTTGTATATCGGATTATTTCGTTTTCATTGGCCTTGGTCAAGGTGGTCGGCCGAGTGACGTCAAGTTTCTTGTCTCTAACAGATCATATAGTTGATATAGAAGCGATTCTGAGTAAGAGAACAAAGCCGAATATTCTTTTGATTATAAACAACCAGTTCTCCCTTCAAAAGCACAACGACTACTTTGGGTCTCATCCATCCTACGAGGCGAACAGCAATGGGTTGATTTATAAACAAAGATCTTAATGAGAGTCTGGAGAACATACCTTGATAGTTTGGTTAGCATCTGGTCTAACGCCAGGTGCAATATTTAACAGTGACTTCACGTGGTCTCGTACGACAACTGGAATTTCCTTCATATAATCACTCCCAAGTCTACAAAACTGCAAGAAAATAGAATAAGAACAGACACATTGGAGGGGATGGCCTGAAGCTGGTCATATATTTACAGATCAATAGCACCTGTGCCTAATTCAATGCAGTCCAAAACTAGCAATCCAACGATACAGTTGTGTCTGTATATTTTTTATAAAACTCGTCCCACTTATATAATCTTTTACAACTGAGTACAACAAAGCATGACAAGATTAAACGTTATAACTGCATACTGAAAAGGCCTGTTTCTCAGATTGTAAGAGCCACCGAGGAATGACAAAATTATGAAAGAGAATTTATATCCAGATGCAAACTAGAGTAACTTGGGAGGAAGAAAGGTGTGGTTGATTATTACCACACTTGTCTCCGCTTACTAAATGTCACTACTCTAGCTTTACTCGAGCTTTTCTTGCACTCAAATGTAACACATACCTGTTCAATGCACTTTTTATATGCTTCCACGCTGTTACAAGCATCGAAAGGTGTCTTTAGTCGGTTGTAAACTGCATTGATTAAGCAACCAAAGGAGAACATATCGCTAGCACGCTCGCAAGACTGGCTAAGCAGGTATTCAGGAGCTAAGTAGTTCAATTCTGGTTTGGCAATTACTGGCAAACGACATTCCCAGTTGAAGGCTTGACTGGCACCTTGCTGGAATCGAAAAAACACAGTTATCAGTGACAATGTCACAAAATCAATGGGTGTAAACACAAGGCAAATCGACTGAGGGTGGGTTTAGAGGAAGGCATCGCTCGATATCAAGGGTTTATAGCTTCCTTTATACCACGCCTGGTAATCAAGGGTCTGCGATTTCTAGTTTGCAAACAAGCACCCATGTTTCTTTGTGGAGAAATTACAAGGGTTTGGTCAAGTTTGAAAACCCCATAGAATATCCTTTGCAGATGATAAATGCTGGAAAAAGCCTTTATCTACTGTACGTTCAGATTGATATCTGTCACTGTGCCATTGATTGGTTAAACCAATTTTGAATAGGCCATTGTTTCAAAAGCACGTTATCCACTTGGATTTACATTCAAACGTGAGCCGTGCCACATTTTGGCAGTTAACAGTCTTCAAAACATGATTTATAAAACTAATAAGTTACCACAACCCTTAATGTAAAATGAATCCGAGAATACAAGGACCATTTCACCGCCAAGTAATGTCTTTTTGCCTTACTGGCAATTTAAAGAATTGGTTCACTATGAAGTGAGAATATGCTGTTGAAAACGGACAGCGACGTAGAAATAAATTTGGCTAACAGAACTTAGTGTTTAAAGGAAGTAAAAAACCACAGTCGCCATCGAGAAAAAAATTAATGCAAACAAGTACAAATGTACTTGTGATTCATTTAAGCTACGAGAATAAAAATTAGCTGATCGTTTTGAAGTCATATCGGATCCTTATCTGTTAACTTATGTAGATGTCTCAACCAAGAAGAGAAACAGAACGACAATGGAATTACAAGGAATGCTAAAAACCCTGGTCAAAGGAACATTTTATCTTATCAAGAAGGCCTAAAAATCTATTTCGTTTAACTTCACTTAGAATTTTGCACACAGTTGACCATCCAGTTATGCTGATGATGCACGCCTTGAAATACATGTTGATATTGGCTAAACTTTACATTGGACGAAAGTTAGGAACAAATTGTACAATTTGCAAAATGGCTCTGTCAGCTGTTGAGCCTCTTCAGCATTGGCATTTAAAAAACAACTGTATGTCAATGAAGAGGAAAAATATTCCCCCTTTTAATCTTCCTAACATTTTCATATTGCTTTCATAATCTAAATTTGTAAGCAAATCTACATCGATCTAGCTGAACGGTCTAGAAATGATAGTAGCTATTAGATAGTCAGTCGATTTGTGGTGACCATTTGCTTCTAGCTTACCTCTGAAGGCAATGAAAAACTGAACCCAGCCAACTTCCATTGCCCATCCTTTGTTATGACAATATTGCTTGGTGTGAGGTCGCCCTCTAGCAGCTTGACATCATTGTGCAAGAAAGCAAGCCCTTCTGCGACCTGAATAAGTAGATCAAATGATACTGAGAAATATCTTCACTATCACAATTCTCTTTTGATCAACAGTGTACAGAATTTTACAGAAAAAGAGAATCAAAGCACAATTGTGTGTATATATTAGCAACTTAAATTCAGAGAAAGTTTCCAAGCTATTTGGGCATAGATAGAAAAACAAGAGAGATTTGAGTGTAAATTCATACAGAACTTATGCCAGTGCTTTTCTTAGCTTGATAAGGAGTTTAGAAATAGTGATAACATATGTTACATATATACATCACATTACCAAAATTAATCATCACAAAATTTAGTAGAAACTAAAATATTTCAAATGCTTTGTTTGAAAACATCCAACATAGTGACTCAGTTATATTCCTAGAAGTAGACTGCATGACAAAATCAAAACTGGCAGTTCAAAACATGTTATCTTACCTGTAGCAGACCATAAACCTTCTCAACATCAAACAGTTCATAAGTCTGAAAAGACAAATCAGATACCACAAAATTACAAACTATTACTAAAATATCTTTTCAGTGGAAATTATAGCCTTAATTACTGAGACCAAATATATCAAAATGGTCTAACTAATGTGTATCTCTATATAGATCACAATTTAAAAAACCAATATTAGTAGCACAATTTTTACTGACCTATCTGGTCATCAGAAAAAACTTTTGGGAGCAGATAGGGAGTACACTTGAGCTTGAGTAGTCTTAAGACAAACTGTAGCATTCATTTTTGTATCATAGGTTGACTTTACGCTAAAAATTAACTTAACAGAAAAAGCAACTGCTCCAATGGGAAGTAAAAAATAAAAGCTTACACGCAGCTCTTCGATGGCCTGTTGTGGAAGCATCTCATGTTTGCCAAGAGCATTTGCTAAGCTTGCAAAAACTGGCTCAGTTGCAAATGCAAGCGAATCTCTGAAAAATGAAAACATTCCATAGCCCTATATTTACCTTCCAAAACAAAATTGTATAGAATAAGAGCACAGTTCATCACAGGTTATTTTTAATTGCTAATTAAATCTATATTTACTTGACAGATTGACATATTACTTGGTGCATCTGAGGTAGCAAACAGGTAAATGGCATCATTAAACCACCATGTAGCCACTCTAGCATGAACAGCAAAACTGACAACTGAATTGTAGCCTTACAAGTGAGAAACAAGATAGTACTTCCCTAATAGTGACAGGTAAGAAAACATACTCAAATCTGTAAAAATCTATTATTTTAACTCTTTTGTCATTCCAATTAAATCCTGCAACATATGATTTACTTGCCTCGACTCCTCTATTGTGTGCTGAATGGTCAAAAGTCTTGGATGCCTCAGTTTTGCAAGTTGCTGAGGACCTTTTCTGAACATCTCAGTAATTGGGTCCCGTTCTCTTTTGTCATAGCTATCAATCAACTTCTTTTCCAAAACAAAAACTGAGACTTCCTAAAGAGTAAATTACATGTTAAGTCAAATAAAAACAATTCAAATAAACAGATAACAAGAAACTTTTGCTCAGATGAAGCCCCCCTGCATACGGGTCTTCATCTGAGCAAAAATTTCTTGTTACCTGTTTATTTGCATTGTTTTATGTGTATGAATGTGTATGAAACAGATGAAGACCCTTATGCAGGGGGGCTTCATCTTAGCCATAACTGATTTATTTATGTTTGTTGTTGTTCATGCTCGTCAAGTTGCGGCACTACTTATTTACTACTATTTTATTGATTTTTCGCCACAATAATTCAATTGGAGTCTGTCAAGCAGCCTGATATTGTGGCCTTTCCTTTATCCACACAAAAAACTATAGGCACTTATTGATTAGAAATTAGCTGATCACTGATAAGAAATAGATTGTCTAATTTTAAATTATAAATTTATAAAACCACTGTGAAAAATAGGCTTTCCTAAGCATACTAGAGATTTCATGTGTCTACCACAAGAAGAGGTTACTTACTTAATAAAATATCGAATATATTGTTTAATATCCTTGTATAATATATTTTCATTCATTTCAAAATAACTAGGCAAAAAGTCTGACAAAGGCCCCGATGCATGCCATTTACATCATCAGCTAGCCGCCATGCCTCAGTAGTCTTTGTGTAAACTCTTCCACACAGTTTGAAGATTATGTGCACATTCTTCCACATAATGGTTAGTTTTCAGTTAAACAGTTGCCTGATAAACGCATTAAGTGTGAAACACAGAGTATCAACTTAGACAGCGTTTACATGAGACTGATTCCAATTCAAATCAATTCAATTTCATTGACAAATATATCTAAATACATTACAATACAGAATAAAATTTATTAACATAACATTACAACATAGAACTTAAACATAGAACAGTACAAGACATTATGTATTAAAATATATTTGTCTAAGGAGGAGCTCTCTAATAGATGAACTAATCGAAAGGGCCCCCCTCTCATCTAAAACTAAAAAAGTGAAATTTTGTCTTTAAATCAAAAGAGAAACCAGAAAGCCTTCCATTTGGAATGATACTAAAATGAGCACGGTTAGGCCTTCCGTTTACACAGGACCCATCAGAATTGCTCCAAATGGAACTGCTAGCCGTACCAAAACGGGATCCCTTAGAAAAAAGTTCAATTTGGAACCATTCTAAAACTTCTCATGTAAACACAGCCTTAGAACCATCCTATTCTTTACAACAAACAATGTGTACAGCTTTGCGTTTATGGCATCAAGAACTTTATGACAAGCCTGTAAACAGTAATTTTTAATAGATGTAAAATTTTAATAATGGGTATATTACCTGCCCAGTTGTCTTTTTCTTCCCTTCAAATACTTTCCAGCACAAGCCTGGACCAAAGCTTGCAACTTGCTTGCCAATTTGATACTCTCTTGTAACTGGATTTCCAAGAACGGCATTTTTAAAGCTGCCAAAAATTGAAGATGCTGTCTGCTGATACTTCTCCATCTTCTCTTAAATTGCCAGACTTCTTACATGATTCATTTGATTTTAACCTTTAGAAAAAATTATTCAAAAGCAATCCTGCTTTTTGACAACTGAAGGTTACTTCAATTTAAATCATAAAATCGTAGAAAATCATAAAATTGAGAGGTTGCTTTTCTATAGACACGAGATAACAAATAATTTCGAATCTTTATTTGCAAAATTTTCAAAACTGGGGTTGAATAGCTTGAAAAAAGAAGACGGACCTTAACAAAATGAATAACTGTAAAAGTTATTTCCTTCCATTGTTTTTATTTATGTGTTGTTATTTACTGTCATTCGTGTTTATTCACCTTAAAAATTAATGAACCTAAATGATCGAGCGATATAAGAAAAATATTCACCTTTGCTATTGTTGCAAAACTATTTGTTGCAGTTATTCACATCAATGTGGGCACAATTATGGTAAGAAATAAATCGAAACTTCCAAAACACCGGACCCTTCCACTTCACTCATGCCAACCATTGTTTTTCTGCCTCGGGAGAGAAAATAACTCACCTGATAGTGAGGCGATGTTCTACGTCACCACCACATGTTACCAAAAAGCACGTTTCATGAAAACTCCAGTCACTCCAAACTCAAGCGTCGAAGGAACCTAATATAATCGAGCTTGCTTCTTTTGCAGGGGAAATTTGATTAAAGCTTTCCAGTTTTGAATACTTTTGAGCTCAAAAAATAATTAAAAATCCCTATTCTCAAGATATTGTAAAAAGCGGTTATCTCTTGTAAATAGTTAGTGACAAAACAATTTCTACCGACTTAAGAAACCAGCATGTTACTGTGTTTGTTATACAACTTTTTGTAAATCCTGTACTTGCTATGTGTTAACAGTTTTTCCAGGTTTTCGATTTTGCAATGCATGATAGAAAATAACCAGCTACTCCTCTATTTAAGTCACATTCAAATTCGTGTAATTCAACAGCATATTTACAATTTATCGAATACAAGTTAACCAAAGAGATATTAATAAATGATACAAAGTTGAACCCGAATGGTGCTCCCCTCCCTGGTCCCTCAAGAATGATGCCCCGTCCCGGTTTGCAGCTATACACTATACAACTCCACTCCAACACAGTAATAAACACCCATTTGTATTTTTACTGAAAAGTTTCCATCGTGCCAAGGGGCCTAAGCCAAGTAGATTCCCGTAGATTCAGGGCACGGTTTTGAATATATTTTGGAAAAGCTGCGGAATCGGGGACTCACGTCCCCTCAGATCTCTGCCTCTGCGTTCCCTAACAGAAATAACATAAGATGTTATGCATTGTTTCTTTGTTGTCTAACTAAAATTAACCCATCACGAATAGGGGAAACGTTGAAATATCGCCAACGCTTTGTGTGAAAACACCATTCGCAGTTGTTTTGTTTGATGTGAATCGCATGACAAAATTCCCACTCGCAATCTCAGACTTCAGTTATCCTGGTCCTAAAATATCACAACATGAAGGTTTCATGCAGGGATATCCACTGCAAAACTATCAATTTTCAGGAAGCTATAGGGCTACAACTGACAGCTGTGATGTAAACCTATTGGTCATAATTTATCCAGATGTCAATCAAACTTTTGTATCAACCAATCAAAAATTTCCTCTCAAGCAGCGGGATCTGACACTTTACCATGGCTCAACGAAACCTATGTGAACTCAAAGCTACAACTGCGTGAGGAAAATTTTGAAATGCTTGGACTTCAAATAAAGGCTTGTTTTTCATAATGGCCTGGTTAAAACTCTGCCTATTTGTGTTGTTATTCGTAGAAGTGCAAAGTAGAGGAAACAGAAAGTTTTGTCCATCTGAGTGTCATTGTAAAGAGAACAAGATTGATTGCAGCCGGCTCAATTTCACCGAAATCGCTCGAGAGGTATTACGATACAATGGAACAATACGTTGTAACAAGTTGTAAGTATGGCATTGCTAATTCTAATTTCCACTCTCTTGTTATAACCTGTAATTTTAATAGATCTTTACCGCAATAAGTGAGCACTTTTTTTCAAAATGTTTCTACTCTTTGGAAAGCGCGACGAAATATTTTTGCGATTGTGGTTACACAGGTCACTCGATATTGCTGCAAAGGTTTCTGATTTCCCGTTCAATTTTGGATCGCCAGTTTGTATTTGCCTATTTTTAGTCGAAATTACTTCGCCTTGGATCGGTTATAGCCCAAACTGTTGTGCCAATGCCTTTTTTGGAACAAAAGGTTTTCGATTCAATTGCCCTTTGAAATTGAAACCGTTGTCTGTGTTTGTCAAGGAAAACTCGATGAAAACGGTCCAGTTTGCGTAAAGTTGACGAAGATTTGAACAAATATACAAATACTTGATTCATGAAAGATAAACCGCGGATGATTTCTGGTGTTTTGTGCAAAATTCCATAACATATTTCACGTGGACTTTCCATCAGTTGATTTAGCACCAAATTGTCATTGATAATGCGCTATGATTCATAAAGTGTCCGGACAAAACAGGAGACTTTATAAATGCATTTCGACGCCTTTCTTTGACAATAACGCTTACGATATCCACAAACTGTTTGGATGTCTAACGAAAGGCATTCTCATTTATGGAGAATTATGTAAACCTGAGGCTGTATCTTTGAAACCCTTCCACCATTATCCATCGGAATGCGTCCGGTGCTATAATTTCCGGACACCAAGTTAAGGGGTTCATGTAGATACATGGCAGACAAGTGACATATTTTAGGAGCAATCAGAGCAGAGTTTGTTGAAATTCTTTTTTCAGGACTATTTCATGTTCGGCTACTGGCTGCATGGAACAACCACAAAATTTCTTTAATGATCTACGTAGCTAAATTTTCGTTATTTCGTTGGGTGAATTTCACAAGCGTATTTTCAAACGGTTTAGTGTAAACACAGTGAAAGTCTTTTAAAAGGTTTGGACCATCCTGTTTCTATATATAAAATACATATGACAGATCCTTTTGTGTTATGAAATGTAGCTTAGGAGGAACCGTCAGTCAATTAGAACATATTTAATCGTCACAGCGAAGGCACCAATTTAATCCATCGCGGTACACAGATACGGTATACCAGATGCCACAAAATTACCTTTAAAGAAGCGGTTGTTTTCGCGTCTGCATCTTTCTCACAAAATTTCAGAACTAGCGAAGGATTTTCTCAATTTCAATTGTTATTATCTTATGTTTGATATGGAAATCTAGAAACATGTGGACGTGGTATGGCCTAATTTAGACACACCCAAACTACATACATATCTTCTCAACTGGGAAAGTTACTTGCATGGAAAGCGAAATACTGTAAAGAAATAGAAATATTGATTCAGGAGAAGAAAGCATTCGAAATAGTCACTTAAGGAATTCCCTTTATAAAACATCACTTGCCTTAACAAATCTTAATGTTGCAGGCTAAGATCTGTGACCAGGGAAATGATACTTATAGTTTATACAGGGAAATGATAAAAAAGATTGGCCCACATACAAGTTTGCCTGGCATAAGAGGGGAATAAGATTTAGATGTTGCTGTATGTTGTTGATTTTCACCATGTTTGAAAGCATGTTTCTACCAGACATTAATTTATTAGGTACCCCACAAAATCTTTACCCCATATGGTGTTGCAAAACTTGTATAACCCACCATTATTATCTGTGTCTTTATAATTATAACTATCATTTCTTTTGCCCTGAAGATTGGATCCTTTTCCTCATAAAACTCCACCAAAAAACTCTGCAAGATTTTTCAAAATAGAAAAATAAAACATTGTAAGAAATCTCTCCTTAACTGCCTAAAAGAAATACCTTAAGTCTTATTGTCTCAATTTGCGATACAAAAATTGGATGGCTGTAGTTTCCGATAAACATTGGTTCTGCAGTTCACATATTTCCAGCCACACGGTGCTAACACCTCCGCTGCGAAGGCGTTGAATAATGAAATGTCTTTATTGGCAAAATAAGGCTTTGTGCTCTTACCTAAAAGGGAAATTTTGTCACCAGCAACCAAGCTGCGATTTTTTAAACAATAAAGTTATAGTCATTAATCAATATTTGCCAAGTTCTGTTTTGGAGCGGTGAACAGAAGAAAGGACCGTTTTCTTCTGGCATAGTGCCAAGCTATGGCGAAGACGGTTGGAGTCAACAACGCTTCACAAAGAATTCTGCGTGTGTCAAAATAAATTGGCGACGACATTTGGTATATTTACGTTGGCTTTTGCAAAGGAAATGGCGATGAAATTTGTTTGCGATTCACCAGATCACAAGTTTTGTTGTTTGTCACAAAGAGTTTCGCCATCGCACGATTTTTGGCCTTTGATTTCCCTTTTCAGAATCTAGACGCGACTTGTTTGTAAAGCGCCCAATTTGAAAAGTATTTTCTGAAGCGCCTGATTTGAGGAAGTATTTTATTCAAACTTACAAGCTTAGAAATTCTCTTGTGGAGTTTAGAACCTACAAGAAAACAAAGTAAACAAAAGCTCTTCAGCATCCTTTAATATAAAAACGAATGCGTCACTAGTCAATGCCGCGTTGTGTTTAAAATTTGTCTTTTTTCGATTTGTCATCATGATCACGTTATTCATGATCATGATCAACATAATCATAATGATTATTGCCCGCAACTCGCGCGCGATAGCGCGCGAGTGAAGGGCTTATAGTCTGCCCCGCGTATAAGTAGCATATGGAAGCTTCAGTTCATGTTGTCAGCACTTTTTCAGCAGATTTTGTCACTTTTCTGCTGCCATGACAACTGTCAATCAATTTCATTGTCAATCAATCGGCTTTGTCGAGGAGGTCGTTAACCGCCACCTCTTTGTGCTGAAGGGAATTATCTTCGGAGCGTTGCTCTGCCAAGACTCTGTTAAAGGCCTTCGGTTTTTTTGGCACGAAAACGGTGCTGCATCACAGCTCTGTTCTCCGCAATGGATGGAAGTTTTGATTCGAAGTTTTGGGAATCAAAACCAGTCGAATGCCACACTTTTCTCCCAAAAACTCGGGACCGTACGAGCAAAAGTTATGATTATCGTGATTATCGAAAAATAAATGTCAAACCCTCGAAAAACTTCATGATTTTCAAAAGGGCGTTGGACTTAAATCAAAGGCAAACTGAACACCAAAAATTCTTGATAAAAAGAATAGTTTAGCATCAACTAGAGCAGCTGTTTTTATAGAATTGTGAAAACCCAAGATGGTGTCTTCTTCGAATATCCTCACCTACATTTTCAAAACAATCATTATCAAGGAACTAATTGTTTGCGGGCAGTACTAGCAAGAGCTATTTCTAGTTTTTAGTCACAACAGGTAAGATTAACAAGTTTTAGAAGGTCTGAATATATGAATTTACTGTGGGGAGCTGTGCCTTGTAAAGTTATGAGTGTATTCATCTATCATCAACAATCACAATCAATCATATAAGGTTGTCAACATGATCATGATGTATTATAAATTTTATATCTGCACTGTGGCCCTCAATCATTCTTTTGAGCTGATTCATCATCATCAGCATCATCGTCATCATCGTCACCATCATCATAATAATAATCATCATCATCATCATAAATAATTTAGTTCAAAACAAATTTTATTCGCAGTGTAAATAACGCAATACATCCAAGAACATGATAGTTGTTAAAGGGGCCTGTGCAACCAGCATGCTTTTCGCGCTCGCATTTGTTTTGTTTTTCTAACTGTGTTCTTCTATGCAAGACAAAAATGGCGAGGAGAATTCGATGGGAAATTTCTCGAATCAATTTAGCGCTTCAGATTGCTTTTGACGGCTTCTATTTGATTTCATTTTGCGCGCAGCTTGTGCTAAAACCTTTTCACCATTTTCATGGACCACGAAAATGGCCGCCTTCCCAGCTTACGCCCGCAAAGGCTACTGGTTGTCCACGCCACTTTAAGTAGCTGTAGGGCATTGGTAAAATTTGTGGTAGCTTTTGAGCTGCATACCCCTGTTTCAGGTGATAGGGCGATTATTTGTACCATTCTTGAAAGGACTAGATGCTTTTTTGAGAAACCCTTCCCCTAAAGAAACAACTTAATTTGTTTCCAAATTTTATTTTGGGATTAAGCAACACAGGGGTGTTTTTGTCTACCAAAAATTTAATTGTCAAGATTAACATCCAACATTCTTAGCCACTTGCTAGGCCTGCTACAATGATCAAAAGTCATCATTGAATTACCAAGCTTCTATTGGTTTTTTATGTTAGATCATGGTTTTGCTAATTTTGCAATGCAGGCCCTTAGGCAGCTAAACTGGATTGGGGGTATGAATAGAAATATAGCTTTTCTATACCTGCCTTACGAGAGACTGTCAGATCAAGCTGCGCTTATAAGAACTTCAAACACAATTTTTGCAAATTATTCTCTGTCCCCTATCCCCAGTGTCTTCGGGCCTTTGCAATGTCGGAACACATGAGGGACATCATACATGCTTGGTACTAGAACCCAATACCCCTTTCAAAGTTGGCAACATTAAACTTTTGCGAGGATTTGCTAAACCTCCGAATACTCTGTCCTTTAGAATATACCTATTATAAGTAAGATCAATTTTCCATAATATCTAAAAAGATAAATAAGTAAAATTTTACATTTTCCATTAATTAAAATCAATTGTAAAATCGCCGTATGCCTGTGACGTCCGAAAGGCAACTCGAGGCGAATAAGCATTGTTTTCAAAGATCTTTTTCTTGAGAGAGCAGTTATTGTCTTGAATGCAAAATGTTGTTTGGCCACGGATCGCGTTATTCTCAAAATAGGATCATTCTATGTTTAGCAGTTCGATATTTCTGACCTCGCCAGACATCTTTTGACATCAAAGAATGCATAGCTAAAAATAAGTGACAATTGTCGTCATGTAATGGAGGAAGACGGAAGGTTAAAATTTCTCCCGGAAGTAAGTCATGTCAGCAAGCATTCAGTTAACTCGTCGCATGCAACTTTGCTTTCCGTGTTCTCAACTTTAGGAAAATATTTTTAGCATTGGCAAGCCTTATTTGATTTTTAAGGATTTGGATCGGGGCCTTTGGAAATCTACTTCCAACGCAATACGGGATCTCCTCTTTCAAGACATTCCACATCGCTTTTCCTCAAAGTGTTTTCCTCGAATTTTAAAACAAACAACGCTACAGATTTCCATTTAAATAATCACATTTCTCAGTAAGAAAATTTAGGCCGTAGGCAATGTGGTATTGTATTATGCTTCATATTTTTTCCCATTAGAATTGAAATAATTCTTTTCAACTCTTACGCCCCTAGTTCTTGTTCGATTGACACTGCTATTAAAGAGAAGATTTCTATGTTAATAATTTATATCCTATTTCATGTTATGTTGCTTTTTCGTGTTTCTTAAAAGCAGCTCTTGTTAAGTCTTAAGGACTTAGTTTAAGAAACCATCAAGAAACGCCAATCAAAGAATCCAGAAAAAAAAATTAAGAAACTGAGTACTATTGCTGACACAAGTCTCTTTAAAAAAATTGGCGTAGTTTGATTATATTGGGTTATTCTCAAGAAAATGAGAATCTGGAGAGACGAAATTTTTAACTTGAAATGCATCAGAAGAATAAATGAAGTTCCTTCACTCATTGAAGTTCCTTATAACTATAACATTAGACTTATTACATTGTTTTTCAATCGACTTTTGTTTTGAGGTATGATATGCCATCCATAGACCTGGACCTTAATTTTGAGCTTTTTGTAAACTTTCTACAGCTTTACGGCTGGAAAACACGGTCACATCCCCCCTCCACACATATAGGCGTTGGGTGCTGTCAGGGGCGTAGCTAGCGGGGGAGGTGTAGGGGGTGCGACACCCTCTCCTCCCAATTCTTCATGGATTGGTAGGATTTTAGGTGGTGCAAAAGTTCCCTGGTTTGTTGGTAAAATCGTCTACCGGGTTAGTGAAAAAGCACCTAAATTTCCCTTTATCTATGTCTTCATCGGTAAATTTTCGAAAGCTTATTTGTAGGGTTTGTGTTTGTTGAAGGAGCTCCCAAAGCTCCCAAAGGATAAGTTTCCAAGAGACTTTCATGTCATCCCAAGCAATTGCTAACCTATTACATCATTAAGCTAGAAGGATTAGGAATGAAAATTGAAGCTGCTCCTTATTAGAATAGTTTTAAGCTAGAATAATTTTAATGTGTTTGTGATTGGCCATCCTTGCAAATATTGATCACATGAAAGCAATACGATGCTCCCCATTAGAACAGGTTTGCACAGATTGATACATTCATGTCAAAGGGTCAAAAATGTTGATGAAAAGTGCGCCAAGATATAGGATACCAGTTCTATTTCAGCCATCTTTTTGCGTTCATTTCTCTTACCAGTGAGCGTCAGGTTTTGTGGCAAAATATATTTCTTTACCAAGTTCTCGAATTTAAATCCGGTGGTTAAAATGTGTAATCCTTTCCATATTTTTGGCTTAATCTCGGTTCCTGGACCCCATTCTTGTCTTCTAACTGCAAACAAAATGCCATATGGAAAGCCATTAAAGTGTTGATTTACATCCTCTAGATTTTCTGTTTGATTTTGCTTTAAATTCTCATGACTATCAGTCCAAGTTGTACATCTGCCTCACAACCTTTGAACTAAAAGTCAAAACTAATTAAACTCTGCTTCAAACCAAATCTTTCCTGGATCTTTCAAAGGTTCTTTCTCTGTATATGAGGCTCACCGTGAATTATCTTTCGAATTGTCAGACTAGAACATTGTTTCTCATTTCTCTTCATTAGTCTTTAAACTGAGGCACGACGTGAGGCCAAGGGCTCTTTTGTGTTGGCTTAGGCTAGTCGAGAAAATATTATGGGTTAGGCCACTTCTTCACTGGTAGCAGACTTGTGTCCTAATTGCTAAACATTGTTATGTTTGTCCCTTTCAAAAAAGGCTTAATTGGAAAGTAAAAGACCGTTGCTTTCCCCAGAGCCTCTTCCCCCCCCCTCTCGGAACCATAAGTGCAAATTTGGACCTTCTAACAGTGACCCTAGCTTAGCATAAGGCTTTAAATGTATAGCAGTAACATACTGCAATAGGCAAAGAAAACGAACGTTTTTTCCATTAAAGCCCAGCATTATAGGAAATTTCGTTACCTTTTGAGTCGGGTTGAAACTCTGCAAAAGTGCCTGGTGGTGATGTCATTTCCCCAAACCCAAGGATTATAACTAGAATCGATCAATTAACAGGTTAGCTACACTCTATAATTGGACAAAACCTTTCTGATCGCCAGCAAAAAGGGATGCTTTCTAGCACTTTGAAGGCCTTAGAGCAAAAGTAACATACAGGGTATCTATCACGACCCCTGAGGCCGAGGGGTAAACCACTCTACAAAATCTCGTACACCTTTGGTGGAGATCCTATTGTTTTGTCTTAAAATCCCTAGAAATCTTCACGCTATTTGCAATAGTGAATTGCTCCTCGCCCTAGGCAGTCGTTGGATTTCTTCTTATCCAAACACAAACCATCTTCGAAACGTTGGACAAGGGGAAAGATAATAAAGAAGATATCACCCAGGATCATTTTGATCCCTGACTATGACGCTGGGTAGCAACACAAGTGGGTAACAGCACCCTGAACTCCCAGAATCATTTATCTTCCCTTGTTATTCTTACTAAAACTGAATTGAAGAAACAATAGGCTTTTCGGCAACGTCTGTTCCTTTATCCCAGGCTGGTTTGGCTACCGGACCGATATCCTTTTGACTCGCGCGGAATCTTTTAGGAATCCTACTTTGGTCCAAAGTAATCCGTAGTCAAACTTAACAATCAGTCAATACCAAACCAATGACTCTGCATGCACGTCACCATTGCTGTTTTTCTTCTATTTCCGTCCTAGATTGTATTCAAGGATTGACCCATGCAATCCAAAGCATAGTTTGGTCAAATAGGAATTGCAAAACATACTCATGACTGGGCCTATCTGAATGCAAGGCTGTGAATCACATGACATTGAAAATACCCAACTTTCTTTCAAATGCGCTCCGAGATGCATCGTTGTTTGACAGTTTTGTACTATGGTTACAGAGATTTCGAGTCATTTGGGCCCTGAGCATCGATAAAGCAAGCTATTCAGTGAATAGTTACATAAAATGTTTAGTTAATTTCTTTTGGGTCGTGATGATAGCGTTCCAACATCACAATTATCTTTAGAACATCTCAACATCAGAACTCTACCTGCTAGATTTTATTAAGACAAGACATTTGTGGCTATTTGCCATTTGCTCCATGAGTGAGGGTAACTTTCTCCAATCAAAATAGGCTCAAATGATTCCAACCCCAAGTCGTAACTTAGGAAGCAAATAACAAGACGTAGAAATATTCAATTATTTCTAAATATTTTGAATGCAAAACCAAGGCCCCGTTTGTTTAAATCTTTGCAAGGTTGGCCGCTGGCTGGTTCCCAAATTTCTTTATTCTAAGAGCTCAGTAGGGTCTTCATCTTAATCGTTGCCCCGGCGCCATAGAAGCTTCTCGATTGCTCTGTCGATGGCCTAATTGCTTGACATCATTTTTTTATCATTCGAAAAACCCGGCAAAGCCTTGTTAGTTACTAAATCCGTGTGTGGTTTTAAGGAGGTGAAAATCATGTGTGGTTTAAAGGAGGATTGGAAATTTGTTTTTCTTGTATTATGAGAGTTTCTCGTTTTATGAAAGAAGCCCCTCCGCGTCCCCTTATGTTTTTTTTGAAAACTTACCCAGAATTCCATTCATAATTTGGAATTTGTCTCCATGTTTCACGTCTCGCAGAGCACTTAATATTAAAACAACGATTTACGTAGATGAAGTGAGCAAAATTCTGGAATTTGACACATTAACCTAATTTATGTTCTTATGACAGAAAGTTTAGCCGGTTCGCATCTGTTCTCCGATTTCTTTGATTTAATTCTCCACACATGGACTAACCAGTCGAATCAAAACCCTGAAGTGTGGCAGAGCTTCTCTATGAACAGAACAGAAAACTGCCTTGATATCTCATTACGCCAAACTGGCAATCTGATAAAAGGCTCGATATCTAGTGTTTAAATAAGTGGATAAAATCATTTTCTCATTTTTAACAGAGTGGAAATTTTGTTATCATCCTAAGTTGTTATTTAATTCCATTTCCAAAGACAAGTTGAATTGAAAATGTTTCTCATTTATTAATCGCGATATGGAAAATGCATATGCGCAACTTTTTAAATTGTTTTAATAATATACAGTTAAATACCCGATTAAGGCAGATGTCTTTGTTGTTTAAAAATAGCTGCAAGATTATATCTGTTGGATACTTGGCAGGATTATCGCCTTCACTGAAGATTTTCTCAAGTTACAAAAGCCAACGCGCCCTTAAGCTTTTCCGCCAAAATGTTTTCATATCCTCACGCGAGAAGCTATTTTAAGTCCATGTTGTTTTTGTTTTCTTTCCTGTGGGTGACGACAATCGCGTGAGCGTTGTGATTTCGCGAACTTGAGCTCAAATGTTGATTTTATCTATTTTTGTAATCATGACAATCGTAATTACCCGGTATCGCAATTATATCTTAATCAAAAATCAACATACTAATCAACATAAGGGGATTAATCATTATTTTCAAAACACTTTTAAAAGCCATTCAGAGGTCGCATCACGTGGTCTGTTCTCGTATTAGCCTCGATCTGGATAAAGCCTTTGGCGCAATTTCTAACTCAGTTTATGGAAAATCAAGATGATGAATATTATTTTTCAGAAATCTGGAAGGATGTGGTATCAACGGAGAAATTCCAAAAGGCTTCTTGAAAAAGTTTCCAAATCTTAAGTTATTGTAAGTATATAGATTACGAGTTATGAACTTCTAGCCTGCTTGGCCTAGCATAAGCTCTAGTAACTTTTTTGTCTGCTTATGAGAAACATGCTGATTAAAGGTTGCTACATGAAAAACTCATCTGGGATTTTAATTTTAATTTGACTTAGTGATGCAGCAAAGTTACAAATACCATGAGCTCAAATTGAGAAATAAACAATACACACCATATTTAGATAAATCGCTAAAACTTTGATTATAACCCCCATTATTTTGGAAGCAAATATCTCAATTTTTGAAGTTATTTATCACTGTTTGAGATTCATTTTCTTGTTTTTATAGACGACTGTCCAACAATCATCTAAGAAAGGTTCCAGATCTGACAAATTTGCCAAACTTGGACACATTGTTAGTATTGCTAGATTTGTTGGTAAAAATTTTGAACAGAAAAGCTAGCTGATAGATAATTGACTATTTATCTATGAAAATACTTTCGTTTTCTGGTATATGCTTACTTTTTTTAACAAATAATTTGAAAATATACAAAGTCTCACTTGGGAAAAAAGATGGAGAGTGGTTCCAGCAATTAGCAAACCAATTAATGATAAAAGTTTGTTGTCTCATCTGTATTATTGAATTATTTAATTTGATTTTAAGAATGTGGCAAATTACTACAGCAGAATAATCGAAATCACAATTGCATGACAACCTATTGCTAGGTTTGCTATTCATAATATCACAGCAATACAACATTATAGATAAGACTTAGATAGAAAGTTATATGCCATTAATTATGTATTTTGTGTATATATACTGCTTATTTGTCCTTACAGATTCTTGTCCTCAAACGATATAACAAAATTTGATTCAGATGCATTTCAAGGACCAAGAAAGCTCAAATACTTGTATGTGTTCAGCCATTTTTCAAAATATTATTTATTTCCTTATCTGTAGCCCAATTTTGCTAAACCTGTAATTTTTCCTTTCTGAGAACTTTATTTAAGAAATGTTTGACCTGAGACTCTTTGGATTACAGCATGTTTCCCTGGAAGCCATGGCTCTGAATTTCCACAGGACATTGCCTCTTTTACGATTTTGAACAAATAATGTACTGAGGGCTGAAGAGGCAATAGGTTCCCCTAGGCAATTGGTCTAATATCCAATATCAAAGGCTAAAGAAAGGACTGCTTTGTGGGAACTTAATTTAAATCATCTTAATTCAAAACTCTGGTGCCTTTTTCTCATCAAACTGCTCTGAAGAAGTCAGAAAATGTGTCTCTTGGGTGCAGCCACACATCAATGACATTTGATATGAATGTAACTGTAAACATGCAAAAAAGTAGCAACCTTACTGAACATTTGACTCAGCATAAAATGTTTATAGGTAAACACAAATCTTTACACTAGTTTGTTTGTTAAGGAAGGTTTTTTGTGTTGGAGATTTGCATTGAACAATTCTTTATTGTTTGTACCTAGAATTTTTCACCAAAGAATCAGCAACATGATTATGTAATCTCACTATACCTGATGGTTTTGTAATGTTCTTCCTTTGCAGATATTTAGATAGAAATGGAATTGTGGCTGTACCATCTGCTGCCCTGTATCCTCTGAAAAGACTCCAAACATTGTAAGTTTATTTGTACTTAGATCACCAGAAACCAATGAATGAAAGTACTGCACTTCCTTTTCAGGAAACCAAATCCAGCAGTTATCTGTCTTGAAGCTCAATTAATGCTTTAAATCACATGCATATGAGTAAATTGCTGAAAATCTTGTATTTTGGCCACCTTCCATTTCAAAAAGACACAAGTGGAGAAATGCAAACAATAATTTTGATAGTACCTACATTTTACAGGCGTCTTCTATTTTAGGAAAGGGATTATTGTTTTTGAGAGGGAGTGAGACATTCATTTTAAAGTTCTTGCACATTTATGTATCACAAAATTAGCCCATATCTGTGATATATAATGTAAAATTTTAACAAAATGCATCAAAGTTGCTTGATGACCACGTTGAATTTAAAAGCAGCAACACAGAGAAATCCTTTTATACCCATCATAGCATGTGAAGCCTTTTAAAAATAATTTCCATATGTGAAATAGGATATCACATTTATATACTGGTAAATTATCTTTATGAATTAAGATAAACTCTAGGTAGCTTTTTCTCTGCATTCCTCCAGGTCATTGAAGGGAAACAGAATTAAGAAAGTGAAAAGCAGATCATTTTATGGACTTAAAAAGCTTTATCGATTGTAAGTTGATATTTGTCCACATACACATTCTGGACTTAACTGTAAGTGATTTATTTATCTTCTTTTCTGATGTTTTGCCTTTTCAATGTCTGTTTAGGAATTTGGACTCCAATCACATTAAGAAAGTTGCAATAAGAGCTTTTCACGGCCTACTGTCTCTACGAGCATTGTAAGTTTTAATTAAATTGACTTTGTTTTGGTTTTGGACAATTTCACATGTCTAATAGATAGTCACACACTCACACACTCTTTGTATGTGAAATCAAATAGATAGTCCTGATTTATCTGTTATCTATCCCATGAGTTAATTAAGAGAATATCATAAATAAAATTAGTTCACTAATATCTCTAATTGAAATATAGATACCTTCATCAGTTATCAGAAATGGGTTGTAATGGCCATAGTTAAAGATACTTTTATTTTCAAACTTGCCTGAGGAATTTGTATATACAAGTGTTGATTTTATTCTTACTTTAACCAGGGCAAGAGGGATGATAAATTGTGTCTTTATTAACTAAACAGTTGTTGTTCTCATTCTCCCCAACAGTAGCTAGGTCTTGAGTTTGAATTGAGTTTCAATGTTCTTGGCATAAACTCACAACAGAGTTTCAATGCTGTTATATTTATATGTTTTCTTCGACCTAAAATAGTACATATATACTGACATCTATCAAATATATATATTTAGAAAATTGAATGGAAATGCAATCAAAGTTTTAAAGGATGGTTGTTTTGCTGGACTGTCTTCATTAACAACATTGTGAGTGGCATCAACATTTACAGTTTCAGAATTCATCTTTTCAAGGTCTTTGCTTTATTTAAAGGTAATGTGTCCCGCTAAAGCAAGCGATTCTGCGGGGGTTTTTAGAAACATGTGATTTTTCATGTCATCTCCCCAGTCATTACGGTCGTTCTGTTTATCTATCCTGCTGCGAGGTCAGCTTCTCATGTGAGCAGTTTTGCATCGCAAGAATACTAACCAATCACAAACCGTTATTTTGATTGGTGGCTTGACAAGTTGGGTATGCGCAGTCCTTTTATATGGACACATTACCTTTAAATTTTTAGCAAAGAATCTCCTTTATGCCCAGTTTACTAAAATATGTCTTTATTTCAAAAGATTACCTTTTGAATATTTCTTTACTTTTGTAGTAGTTATAGAAACTGTAAATTTCTTCCAATCCTCAACATTCTTTCACCTGCTTTACTTTTTTAGAAATCTCAAAGATAACAACCTTTCTCAGTTTCCCAAAAAAGTACTCCAAGATGTGAAGCAAGTATCAACACTGTAAGTCAGTCATATAGCATAAAAATTTTTCATTGCAGATTTTTCCAATTTTGCAAATTTCTTATATTTTTACTTTGTTTGGAAACATTGATAAATCAAACTTGAGGCATAAATTTATTTCATCATCTTGTAAATTCAATTTCTTTCTAGGGTCCTTGGCAGAAACAAGATCTCATCAATACCTCCTTTTGCATTTGATGGATTTTCCTCTCTCAAAGCTTTGTGAGTATTTTTGTATGTGTAGTGACAGTTGAATCAATGTTGAGCCTTCCTATAAACAACAGCAATCAAAGCTTTTATGAACAAGTAGAACCAGCATCCACCTGCATCAAAATTTAGACCCTTTCATTATGGCCAACACTCAAGAGCCCCATGCTTGCAGTTATTAACCCTGTTTCATACCATCTATTGCTTATAATTTTAATGTGCTAAATTATTTGTTTCAAGTATATGATCATTAATGATTTGTTGCGTTTTTTAACTCAGTGGGCATTTTTTATCGTTAAAAGGGATATTTGGAATCAAGTTCATCTGAAGACTGTGTCACACACAGCTTTCAGAAACATGGCCTCATTGTCAAAGCTGTAAGTTGAGTTTCATTCCAAGTACTCATTCTTAGCACTGGTGTCTGTCTGTAATAATTGGTCCAAATCATTCCTGTGTGTGCCATGATCATGTGAAATAGATCTCCATATTGTTCTGTACATATTTTATTTAAGGCTATTGTATGAAAAACGTTTCTTCTAAATTCAAAGCATGACACATGCAATTGGCTCTCAATGTAGATAAAAATGCATCCCTTTGTTGATTGTTTGAAAAATGATGACTTTATTTCATTAAGAGTGGTACTTAGGAATCATGATTTATTTAATTCAACCTATGGAGTGATGCACTATTTTTCAAATTAGAAAAGTTCATTGCAACAACGGAGCAACAAAACTGACCCAGTTTCCTGATCTAAAAGGAACTCTCAAGCTGAAAGAATTGTAAGTATTATTTTGTACATTTTTTTTACAAATTTACATATATATATATATATATATATCAACTTTGTTATTTATCATAGACAGTGGCAGAAATTATGCAGGGTCTGAGGGAAGCTGCAAAGCTGGTGAAAAATTATTAAGAATGCCAAAAATGGATGTAGATAGGAAAGACTGTCCGCTAAAAAGGCTCAATTTCTGCCACTGAGTTTAGATCAGATCGTTTCAGTGTTTACTGCAATGTTAATCCTGCTTATATAGCAATATAGGTGGAGTCTCTACTACATTAGGCCCCATGAACTGCTAGAGGTAGCAAATGTATGCAAACTAGCCTGTATATAACCAGAGCTTAAACGGAAGGAAGGATATCGCTTTTGTATTGAATGTTATGCAAAGTTTGCAAAGTTTTGTATCATTAGGTCAAGAGTTTAGATAAGTTTCCATTGTTCCTAAAGCCAACACCAGTATTTGAAACCCTTTCATAAAAAACTAGGCATTGTCTTTACCACGTTACTGTATGCTTCGTTTTCAGTTAACATTCTGATCAGTCAAACCTTTTTCTGGTGTCTTTATGCTTATCATGTTCATCACCCTGATTCAGCATGACTTTTGTAGCTCCCTTCAAAGTATTATGCCATCAGGAATATTATTGAACCCCCAGAATAATGTAATGTTAATTTTTTAGATAACCATCATTATTATCCCTACAAATAACTGTTTCTAAAATGCTGCTTTATTTATTTTTTCAGGGATCTCACGTACTGCAATCTTCAAGACATGCCTGCTGACTTCTGCCAAAATCGAACTCATCTGATAACACTGTATGGATATGTATACATTTTTCCAATAACAATAGTATTTGAATTTTATCCTGCCATCAATTTTATTTGCCTACTTTTGCCATCAGGATTGTAACGTAAATTCTATCATACAGTCAGATATATTTGTCTACTGTCGGACATTAATAATGAAAGGTAGTTCTATTGTAATATTCTAATCGCAACCTGTATTTATGAGGGCTTGTCGTTGTGAAATTAATAACCATCTGCCACAGATGTTCTGGCAACTAACTTTGTAATATAAATCTGACATTTGAGTTGATTGGTTGTAACAAAGTCTTAATTGGACTTCTGCTCTAAAGATATTTGTGGACCAATCAACCTTTATTAGAAAACTGTATATTGAATTAATTTTGAGTTGTTAGTGGTGTAAATAAATTTTATGTTAATTTTGCAGAAATCTTTTATGGAACAAAATCCATACATTGCCAAAGATGCAGGCGTGCAAACATTTGAAGTTCCTGTAAGATTTGTTACTCTATGTTAAATATTAAATCAAAACTACCATTTTTTGTCCTAGAGCTGAGATGAGATCCTTTCTTTGTCCATAGATTATATATATAAGCAATATTGTATATTTAACGTTTCTAGCTTAATACAAATAAAATATCCAACGACTTAAGGATGGTATTGTAAAATGGAAACTTCCATTGCTTTTCCTCTTCGACCCATAATTTTATAGTATGAAAAAGCAGGTTTATATCCATTAGAAAATGTGTAATGGTATCAATGTACTTCGATTTTACCAGAAAAAGCCCCCCCCCCCCCTTTACTCTATTAAGCATTTCCTCATTAAAACCTTTACTGGTTTGTATGCAAGACCTATTTCTCTCATTATCTCCAGAATCGTCTTTTCTACTAGTCTGTTTAACACAGCTTTCTCTGTTACACTTGTTTCTCTGAAGGCTATCAGTTATCATATAACTCCTGCACTTTCAATGCTGCTCATTCGCTCATACTAAGGTATATTAAATGACAGAAGCTCCTCTTCTTTTCCAAATTTCTGTTCGATTTTTGCCATGTTTATCTCAGATCAATTAAGGTTATAAAAATTTTGTTTTGAATTTCAGTGATCTGAAGCATAATAGAATCGAATCTCTTGATGGGGCTCTTACGAATGTGAAAACGTTGATGGATCTGTAAGTTCACCTCAATTGTTTGCTGTTAATTTGAATCAGGCCTAGAACCTAACACTAGTGACTTTGTTGTTTTTGATTGCGACTTCTGTTTCTTTGTGACGAAAATTGAAGATATGCAGGGGAGAGAAATTTTTCGCTTGTTAAATATTTGATTCTGATCGCAGACCACTGAAACAGGCTATTTATAAAAAAAGACATAAATGTGTGACTTGTCATTTGATATGTTTATCAGTGTTTTGAAGGCCTAGTTAAAGGGCCTTAATAATGTCGATTTTTAAATTGTATTATAGATTTATGTGTTTATATATCTTGTTTATACAACTAATTATGCAACTTTATCTTGTGAAAGATTTTTTCTCATTTGTCATTTACATAATTTTTCTACTAATCAAGAACATCAATTTTCAGGGACTTGAGTTCAAATCACATCAAACGCATCGAAAAGGATGACTTTCTTGGTTTGAAAAGGGTTGATAAACTGTAAGTGTGATTATATTTCCATAAGTGTGATTATTATTTTATTTTTAAGTTAAAGGGATATATTTTGTACAAAATGATATCAAATTGAAAAATTAAAATTGATAAAATGTTTTGAAAGGGTTTTGAATATTATTTATTCTCTCAATTTTTGTGGGCAAGGTTGATCATCAAAAGGTGGAATATATTGTGAATGGCATTGATGTATATCCATACCAGTTGGAATTATGTTTAGACAATCCACGTGGCGATGTTTGAAAGAAATGAAAGCTGCTTGCAGCTAACAGATTCAAATTCAAGTCTCACAGACGAAACGTGTTCCCACGTTGACACCCAAGTTCCCTTACACCCACACAGCGTCCCTAAATAATTTGCAATTCGAAAAATTCAGTAAAGTTAGATGAAAAGTTGAGTCACGTTTTGCAACCATTGTGAAAGAAATGTTTAAGGAAATGTTTCGCTTGCCAGGGCTTTAATCCAACTTCTCAGACATAACTTATTCCCACATTGACACCCAGCAGAGAGCAGGAGATTTTCGCCAGTTTGATAACAAATATGAATCTGGTTAATTCTCAGCCGTTTTGTTCCAGCTGTGACTAATGGAAAATTTTATTCTTTTGAAGTGACCTTTCGCATAACCTTATCGAAGATATCCACCCTGGTGCGTTTGAAAGCTTCCACAAGTTGGAAGTATTGTAAGTTCTCTCGCTACATTTTAACCGTTTTTCTAATCTCTTTCTTATGTTTAATTCAAACACAGTCGTGTTATTGCAGAAACGGAACTTCTTGAATTCAGTGTCACACCCTCCAATTTATGCTTCCGGTGACCGAAAGAAGCGCTAACGATCTGCATGATGACTGCCGAGAGTAAATGCATTAGCTGCATGTCAATCTCAACACTGTCTAAGCACAGGATAGGCACATTTCATTGTTGACCCTTTCTCAATTAGCTCATATCGAGAAACCCAATATGAAATACTACACTACTACAAACTGACTATTTTTTGTGTGCCAAATATAGCTTCGTTGTTAAAGTTACCTTTAAACCTAGTTTATCAGCCATGGTATGGCAAAAATAACGCACAGCGCTGTGTCTTAGGTAGCTCGACGATTTAGAGATTTTCCTCTATGTCTTTAATCAATCTGGTTTATTTTTTCTTGTGCTCTGGTTTAAAAAAAGAAAGAAAAGAGTTTCAGTATTTTTTAGCAAAATGAGCGATATTGATTTCAAATGAAGATATTGATTTCAAATAAAGATGTTTATTTTATATTTGCAATGTTCAGTCACTCTGCTAAATAAAACGTACTATTTTCAATGCTCATATTTTCCATTCCGCTGTGACATATTTTAACATCTTTAAGCTATTTATTTGGCACCCTTAGCAAACACAAATCTAATAAATACAATTTTCCCCAATTTCATGATTTATTTAATATGATGTACAATCTCATAAGAACATGGAAAGAAATCAGTCTATTTTTGGTTCTTATCTTTGGGTGCTATTTTCCACAAAATCAGCCTGCATGTTCTTTTTTTCCTATGTTCTTGTTTGCGGGGTTTTACTGTATCTAAACTCATCCAATCAAAAGGGGCAATAAACATTTTTTAATGGGATTGACCTTTTTGATGCCCCTTCATAGGGTACCAGATTGAATTCTTTTCCTAAAGGCCAAAGATGCTCATGGTACGCCACAACCAAGCCCTTTTATTTTCCATATTGTCTTTAGGAACCTTTCGGGAGAGCGAGGGTCTAATAGTGGAACTCTTATTGTATTCTATAAAATCCTTGGAAATCCTTTTGTTTTTGTGGAATTCTCGTATGTTATTTGCAAGAATGAACTGCCTTTGCAGAAGAGCATGCTGTGAAATTGTCTGTTCTATTTCTTGCAGATCATTGGAGAGCAATAAGCTAAAGAAATTCCCGACCAATGGCCTGGAGGCACTGACCCTCATCAATACAAAGGGTAACCCTGACATGTTTGACTTCCCATCGCACAGTAAGTTACCCAAAATTAGAGCGCTCATCGTGCACTACCCGTATCATTGTTGCTATTACAGAGACAAGGAGCTTAAGGAGGAGGACTCAGTTGTTGTTAGAGGCTTGTCGCAATGGAAGTTCAATTGGCTTTGGGATAGTGGAAACGAGACTGTTTCTGATGACGATGACGAATGGCCTACGGATATCCCAGATCATGTCGAGGAGGAGGATCTAGAACCATTAGTTAATATTAACTCCACTAACGGAGATAAAAATGATCACGTGTCTATACCTGTTCTTAAGGATGATCCAATTCCGCTGAAAAAGAAGGTTGAATGTCAACCAAGACCAAACGTATTTTATCCCTGTGATAATTTGATGACGAAGCAGTGGCTGAGAATCTGCGTGTGGATCGTGTTCCTGTTGGCACTCATCGGCAACAGCGTTGTGCTTTTTGTAATTTTTGCCAATTGCTCCAAGTTTGACGTCCAGCGATTTCTGACTCTCAATCTGGCCATTGCAGATTTGTTGCTTGGCGTTTACCTCGGATTTTTAGCAGTTGTTGATATCATGACGTTTGGAAACTTTCGCGCCAAAGCTCTTGAATGGCAGTTTAGTCCACAGTGCAAAGCGGCTGGTTTCATCGCAGTTCTATCCAGCGAGTTATCCGTTTACACTCTGCTTGTCATTACAATAGAACGTTTCATAACCATTAAGTACTCTATGTATATCAACAAGCAGATGAGCGTAACCAAGGCTGTTGTTATCATGATCTTTGGCTGGGTCTTTTGCATAGCATTAGCAGTGATGCCAATACTGCAATTCAATACTGAAAATGGTGTTCTCCATTTTAGTGGCTACACAAAGTACAGTATTTGTCTTCCATTTGATGTCCCAGATGAGTCATCTATCTCTCACACGCCTTCAATTGTTTATCTTTCATTCGTTTTGGTTTTCAATATTTTCGCATTTACCATGATCGTGTTCTGTTACGTGAAAATCTTCCTCTCCGTTCGTGGTTCTGGTGCTTTCAACTCTGGTGACTCGCGTGTTGCAAAGAGAGTCGCGTTGCTTGTTTTCACCGATTTCGCATGCTGGTTTCCAATCTGCATACTTGCATTGGCGGCTATCCATGGCGCACCCCTTTTCAAAGATCTCTGGTTAGCCAAAGTGTTCACTGTTTTTGTCTTCCCCCTGAATGCCTGTGCCAATCCTTTCCTTTACGCCATATTTACCAAACAATTCCACAAAGATTGCTCTGCCATGTACCGCCAGATGAAGCAATCAGACATTCGACTATTTGATCGTCTGAACAAGAAATTGCACCCAAGTAACTGGAAACTGTCGCCAAGTTACCAGGCTTTCCGACGTGGATCATCCTGCTCGTTTCACATAGGACGACGATGCTCGACACGCGGCGATGAATTACGAATGAGCTCTCGCTCTACGTATAGAACACCGATGAACACCGATGATGAGCGAGAGCGTGACAGAGAAGATCGTTGCGATAATCGCATAGAAGAGATTCACGAGAGAGAAACATGCCTGTAGTCGGACATGTTCCACAAGTTTCCACCGTAGCAGCGCATCTCAAGAAATGAAGCACTGTCGTCACGATTCCAGAGCTACATTTGTACCATATACTGCATTCATTCGATTTATGAAGATAATCATAGTGATATAAGGATGAAATGTGGCATTTGGATCACGTGACAATAAGGCCTAACCAAGCGACAATTGCCTAATGTTAGCCCTTTCGTTGTGAAAGGGCTATTCTTGAAGTTCTTCACCGCCCAGGAGCCTTTTCCACCACCCAGGAGGCTTTTCCGCCACCCAGGAGCCTTTTCCACCGCCCAGAGAGGCCTTATCCTCATAAATTCAAAGTTGTCGAAGTTGTTTGTATTGCCTTTTTGGTTAAATTGATACAATGTTGACATGATTTGTTGATCAGTAACATGGATAATCGCGAATTTTGCCAGAAATAAGAGAAGTTACGTGCTTCCTTTGCATCAGCAAAACACAGCAAAGAATTTTTGATGACAAATGGACCGAATGGATGGATCCACCGATGGAAGAATCTTTTGCTTGTACCAGGAATTATTGTTTTTCATTTATAAGGTATTCCTTATACGATAACACTGAACCGGCTTCCATTGTTGGAAAGAACGTAATTGATATAGAAAGAGACCGGAGGATAAGCGGGATCAAGGTTTTCTCTGGATTGTCCGCAGCCAAAGAGAATAACTGTGATATTTTAATCGTCTCTAGAGAAACACTAGTCTCAGATTTGAATTTTTTGAATCTAATTATTGAAATTGCCTAGCTCCGTTATAGTGTAAAATATCTTTGTCATTGCTATTGCTAATATCTTTGGTATAAAAATCTATCGTTGCAGTTATATAATTACCAGAATATATTGTCTTTGTGTAAATATGAAATATCATATGTTATCTTATAGCCGTACTGTATATATAAGGTATTGCGACAGTTTCTAACAAAAATCTTTATATTGATGTATACACGTATGTCAACACAATATCCCCCCGCCCCCCAGTCTGTAACGCTGCCTCGCAAAAGCCTTATCGCCGTATTAAAACTTTTTTTCTCAAGATTTTTTAGGTGCCATTTCAAGTACTTTTTCCCCAATTCCTTATTCAAGACTATTGACTTGTATTCATTTCTGACTTTAGTCCTTTAAATGAACTTCTAAACAATAATCCTTGCCTGTGTCGGTTTTTTACATTCCCATACCAGAAAATAGGGATGGAGGACCCTCTTCCCCTATAGGGCACGTTTTTAAGATATTTTTTGTAAAATTTCTATGCTCTACTTCTTGCTAATATATAGTGTCCAGGATCTGGTTTATTTGTCAAGGGTGCCCTGACCGTTATTAACACTTTGCAGTGCTTTTACCAATTCCTGTATTGTACAGACTTGAAGATAATCAATCGTTAAATTGTGAGTTAGTTTATTTCATATTTTTTAAGAATTTAAATAATTAGATATCATTACATTACGTTTTAATTACTTGTTCCTTCTCCTTTTGGGAATTACGACTAGCAAGATGTGTAGGATGCACATAGTGAAAGTACTTGATTGTCCCATACCTTGATGACAAAAGGATGCCCCCTTTAAGGTGGGGGCGAGTTAAAGGGAGTATCCTATTCTCTACATTTTGACCACGTTTTAGTTATTCGATGATCAAATCCTTGCCTACAATGCTTTACCTACAAAGTACGTTGAGCATTCAGCGATTTGTGTTGCAGTTTATATCTTTCATTGCTTTTCAAATTAGAAATTACTAATTCCGCCCCTTCCCCCTAGAACATCAATGTTGATAATTTAGAGAAATATCTTAAAAGGAGCGCAAAAGAAAGTGCTTCCTAAATTCCTAACCCGTTTCATAGTAAATCAACATTGTGCCGTGGGGAAAGGGGGAAGATTGGTTTTGACTTTGCAAACTGACGTCAGCATTCCAAGACTTTTGGCAAGCATTGTAGTTTAGTCTGTTTATTTTTCCTTATTTAACAGTAGTTTGCGAACTCGAAGCGGCCGGTACAACGCGAATAACAAGTTTAAAAGGTGAGACGTCACGTAAGAAAGTTTAATATCGCAGACAAAAAATGACACCACGTGACTATAATATTGCCCGATGTAAGACATCTGTTGACTGTTGGCTTTTGTATCAAATTTCTTTTTTCAAACTAAGGGCAATCTCAAAACATGTCACAAGAAGCCCAAGTGGTCTTCGTTCTAACGAGACATCATCCACGTCTTAACTGTGACAAGATCTTAACTGCGTTTCAATTATTCACTTAATCGTCTTTCTTCACACATTTTCTTTTGAAAGAACCTTTTTGGTAACAAATATTTGATATGTATTTTTTCAAGCTATATGTTTGTTTCTCGAAATAACCACCCAGCAGTCCTCCCTCCACCCTCGCATCCTCTGATTACTGCCATCCAAGCTTTGTAAAAGACCTACGGCTAACAAGGATTTTATTCGCCTTCGTTGGTGATATTATATAATAGCACGGTAGAGCGGTTAAGTTCGCAAGTGCATCGCATCCAATGGAATTCTGTTCTCACCTTTGTTACTTGTGAGTGACATCAAATAGAGGCTGTGTCTCCTTTGCAGTTTAATTGTGTACATAAGAGCAACAATATGATGTCTGGTAGTCAAGCCCCCAAATGAAAGTCCATGTAGGTAACGCTGCCTCAGTTACTGGTTATTCTTTATAATTTATGGTAATTGCATTTCATTTATGGGTCGGTTGTTTCTGTCCAAGTTTGTTTGTGATTTTGATGAAAGAATGGTTTCACAATTGATTGCCTGTGATTACGCGCAGCTACAGGTGTCGCAGGGTTGGAGTTACTAATCAAAGATGCGAGGTCGACAAGATGATCGTTTCTCGACTCATGTTTTCTTGATATTCGCATCAAGATATCTATAGACCCAGTGAAACATGGCTAGTGAAGTTTTCGAAGTAAATTAAACAGTAAGTACATTATTCTGATATATCTGAGAATAAAAGATTTACTCGTTAAAAGTAGCGGCTAAGACTTGCCGTTTTAACCTTTCGCCAGGGAAACTGTGCTTTCCTAAAACTAGATTACATAACAGTCGGTTTCTTCAAACCATATATTAAATGTCTAGCAAAGTTTTTTAATAGATAAGGGGCCAAAGAGATCACGAAAAGCCTACCCGGATTTGAAAACTTCATCCTTGTGAAACTCGGAGTATTTGCTTGACCTCCCCCCCACCCCTCCCTTTGATAGTCTTAAATGTATCGCATTTACGCCATTGAAGTGAACGTTTAATAAAATGCCTCCAAACGTTTTTAAGCGCCATCCAATCAAAGACTTACTGATAATTGTCCCCTAGAAGTGTGTTTAACCCAACAGCGCATGTGCAAGATAGGCCTATTACTTTTTACTAGTGAGATTATTAGGGTACGCCGTAATCACCGTTTTGCAGTATCAAAAAGGAAATGATTTAAGCTGGAGAAAAACATCTAGCAACAACCATAATCATACGATTCGTTATAGAGACCCAACATTCAAATGAAATATGTTTTGAAGCAAGTATCAAAATAACAGATAAAAGTCACACCACACTTTGGGGTTTAGTGCTGGACAGTGTTAAGTTGCAACTCCGAATTTCATGCCTTATGCAAACATCGGAAGAACTAACTATATGCATGATGCCGTAAAAACACAACAAGGGCACGCTCCATGAAATTACATCGTCTCAGACTTTGCGTTAGCACCAAAACAACCATACATAATATCTGGCTTGTCCAGCTGGCTCCAAGTCTATGTTGTAATGATTTTAAAGATCACTTTGAAAAGATATGAAACTTTAAGTAAACTTTTTTGTAGGAGCGTTAGCTAAGGCAAATAGCAATAACTACTTGAAAAGGCTTTCTTTATTCGAATTCCGCAAATTTTCTGATTAAACTTTGTTATGAGAAAAATGTTTTTATTTCCTAGATGTTGGTCCACGTCAAGAAGATTACAGTTTTTCTTTTAGCATTTCATGTGATATGCGAAGGTATGAGAAGACATTTTGATGAGGTATTAGTTAGTTAAAAGTTCTATCAAGGTTGGGTGCAGCTGATAACAATTGTTTTTTATCATGATTGATGTACCTACTTCCTATCTTTGCTTCCCCAGCAAAATTGCCCTCTAAAATCTATTTCTTTCTAAGTAAATTTTGTTTTGTATTGAACCATTATAAATTGCTAAAGATCTTAGCAAGGATAGTTATAAACCATAAGAGTTTTTGTTTGAGTTGAGAATAAAACAACGTATCAGGCAATCGAATTGTACGTTTTAGTTTATACCCAAACAATTTTCTTAAAGGTCGCTCATTGAAAGAATCGTTTCGAAAGAAGAACACCAAGCTTGAAAGCAAAGGAGGCCATGCCTTCAGCCACCATGAACGACCAAAAAAACAGCCTGTTAAGAACGCACGCGGAAAAGGCAAAAGTTCTTTCGACTTTGAGTATGATGACGTCATATCAGAAAACGGGATGAGAGGAAGTGACCCGAAAGATTTTATGAACTTTTACAATCCAGAAACAGCACTTGAAAAATTAAAAATTAGGCCTGTAGATGACAGTCATTCGGTCAGTGTGAAAGGGCCGCATTTGAATTTTGACTACTCTTTCCGCGATACAGATCATCCTGCGCATGAGACTCGCAAAAGAGTCGATTCTTACGCTGGTGATATGATAGATGATGAAAATACTTTATCAAAGTTCATTGCACCTCCGGTCTTTGAGAATCACAAGAAGAAAGCTCACGAGGACGCAGCTACCAAGATGCTTTACGGCACACCCGAGGCGCAGAGTGCTGAGAACGCTAACACGAAAACTCTGCTAGCGAGCTTGAATTCGCTTATGTCACCATTGGGATTCTCGCGTGATGAACAAGAAAGAAATGACGAAATGGAGGGTGATCAAAGGGGAAGAAATGTTGAGTACAATGGCAAGTATAAAGTAATGAACAACAACAACGACCAAGAAGGTAGTGAGACACGTGACTATAAAAACGATGATTATAGCAGATTCTACAACGAGGATAAAAATTATGGAAAAGAGGACAAAGATGAAGATAGACATTATTTTGAAAGACATGATTATGATGATAGCGCGCGGAGATATAACGAAATTGAAGATGAAGCACGTGATAAGGATGAAGCACGAGAAGCATCTTATCATAAACAGTGGAAGGGAGATTATGATCACGATAGTGAAGATGGATATGATGACGAAAATGAGAGAAAAGCATTTGATCACGAAGGTGAGAATTATAATAATGCAGAGACAAGATCACAAGATAATCATATAGAGAGATACAGGGATGAGGAAGAACGACCAGATGGTCATTTCAATGATCGGGAGAACGAACACTACTCTAGGTATAATGAGGAAAATCATAGCGAAAGACAACAGAGTGCAGATCAGTTGGGAGGGAAGCCAATTGAGGTTGTCCAGGATGATAATGGAAAACTGCACCCAATGTCGAATGACATTTCAAAGGAGGAACTTAATAAAGAAGTTCAGCATTACGTGCATGGGCCACATGGAGATTGAAGTTAATTAGTAGCACTATCATTGAAGTGACGATGATACCAAAAAGATTGTGATGATGATTATTATGACCCCTACTTCAGTTAACTAGAGGGTTCTTGAAAATCTATTACCCTTCTCAAAAATGAACACATAGATCAGTGTTATAACCATCTTAAGGCTATCCTCGTGATGACGAACTTGCGATCATGACAATTATTGTCATCACAAGACAGTTTTCGAAAGTTCTTATTTTCTCTGTCGTTTTAAAGTAAGGATATTACGCAAGGCATGCGAAATTCAGTTGTTTAATTGTGCTTGTGTATTTCAGGTACTTAAGAAGATGCCTTATAGTTTTAATAAAAGGTTCATTATAAATAATGTGAAACAATTCAAGTGGATTAGATAGAGGTAATTGTAATAAAGACTTCAGGATTAAGTGATTTAGATATATAGGAAGATATATAGGACATGGTTGTCAATATAAGTAGTTATTTTTGTTTTCATGTAACGTAGTTATTCAAATAGATAAGAACATATTTGATGGCATACATTACCTTAAAAGTTCATTGAACATATTCTTGAATCTCTTCTTTGCAAAATTCATAATCCAGTGGGGTTGTCCGATTTCTGAATAATGCGTGGAAATGCCGGTAACAGCATCATACGTAAAAAATTAACCTACAAAGACGAAAGGTTCACTTCCACACTCGAAACTTCTATTCATTTTTCATGTAACCAGTTAAGAACTTGTTCTTGAAACAATTTGGCAGGTATTTCGATAAAGACATTTTTTATCATATCGACTTTTAAAAGCAGCTTGCAATGTTGTCACAGATACAGGATTACTTAAAAGAAAACTTAATTTAACGGGTCGTTTTGTCTGCGTTCAAATCTGAGTGATTGTACTCCATCTATCGCATGCGCCGAAAAAGGGAGAGAGGTTGACGGATCGCAAGTGTAGGCATTGTGAAATTTCTTGCTCCTATAGTTTCTATTTTGCCTATTGCGGTTGGGCTAACGTGTAGGGTTCTGATTGCAAAAATTACTTACTTTATTGTAACCCGCATTTGTTTCTTAAATAAACTGCCAGGATTTTTTGGCCAGTCTACCACCCTACGTATTTCCTCTTCTTCATCTCCTCCAAAATTTCCTGTCATTGCCATTGTCATACCTCTGCTCCACTATTTGTTCACCCTGTCCATACCTTGAAATCGAAGAAATGGATACAAGTTATACCAGTAGTGAAACGATTGATTTGTTTACAAGAGAATAGATTTTGCCTGGTCAGGAAGCTGAATTATCCAATGTTATCTACCCCGAGGCAGTTTTTATCAACCATTTTTGATCCACGGAACATTATCTAATTGAAAAAATCACGAAGCACAGCATAAACAGGCAATGTTAAAAATTTAATTGTGTGGCCTTAATTCAAAGTGTCTTGAATAGGAATCAAATAAATTTGAAATAATTTTTTTTCACACAGTGTGAAATCTGGGTCTGTTTTTTAGACCTGAAATTAAAGGACGAACTTGAACCCATAAAGTGAAATTGAAGAATTTTTCACAGCACACCAGATGATTTCTCACTAGTGGTCAAAACACTGTTCTGAGGAATACTTGGCAAAAAGGAAACTCCATTGTACAGAAAAAAATCTGCCCAAAAATGCTTGAATTCATTAGATTTTTGTTTGCATCTGTACCTCATGTATTTATAATTAGCTTCAAAGAATTGGCGACATAGCAGATTTTTCAATTTACGTTAATCCAGCAATTTGTACATTCTATCATTTCTTCAAAATTATGAATGAATTCTTCAGTTTCTTCACTTCGCAGACCTTTCGTCAGCTCCATGGTGATTATTTCAATGCTCACAAACAACACCCTTCCTAGATGCAAAGCTTGGAATTTCCCATTTATCTGATCAAACGCCTTTTAGCTTTGCAGCTTAATTGTTGTATTAAGAAAGTGTTTTCATATACTTCAGTAGTAAGATATGCTAGTAGGCCAGTGGCGGGGCAACAGCGGTTTAAGGGGGAGTATAAGAGGGGTAAGGGGCCGAATGGTTAAGACGTTCGACTGCCATGCTAGCCCGGATTTGATCCCTGCTCGCTGAAGGCCCCTCAGTTTTCTCTGTGGTTACCTAGTTGAAACATACTAAGGAAGTAAAAAGCAGCGCGGAAAGGAACTGGCCACACTACCACACAATGCCGTGTGTGGCTCGTGAAGATGCGCCCCTTAAAGCACATTCCCCAACATACGATATGAAATTCTCGATATCTCATGACGATATTAAAAATCTGGTTATATTGAAAATGGGTGAAATAATTGTTGCGTTAAACATTTATATGTTCATATGTATATTTAGATATATATATATAAATATATATATGCAATGAATGTTGAACTGAGAGGGTCAAGGTCTCTTAAAAAAAGGCCCGGTCTGTAAATTTTCTCCATGGACTACGCGTGCTGTTTTGAGTACGTTCACCAGAATCTGCTGCTGTAAACAGAAAAACAAACTGGATGTTTGTTAACTGTGTCTACTCAATTAATTTGCAAGCGCTGCAAACTTCTAGCACCGAAATGGCTCCATATTGTAGTTGGGAAGAAGTGGATAGGTTCGTTGCCAATATCACCGATCCTTATACACTCTTTTTTCATATGAATATTGTTTATAAGAATATTCATCCAATATCTAAGAATATTATAAGAATATTGCTCAGCCTCAGCTCGCGTATTTGTCTTATTTTTCAGCGATCGCCTTTTTTGCGATGTCGACAGCAGATAATTGTGTGACAGAATATCTTGTTTTCTCAAAAAGCATGGTTTTTTGCGAAGGCGGGCGATGTTCCCCTGAAACCGGACGTTTCGCTAAGTTGTACTTAAACTTTTTGGATTCCTCGTATAGCCCGGATCCGGATGTTTAGATCTAATCCTGGTAGCTTCCATGGGTAAACGCATTATCAATCAAGCTATTCATAACACATTCATAACCACTAAACATAGTCATGGGTCATTGGTCATGATTAGGTAAGAGCGTGCAGAGCAGATCCCTTCGGAAAAATATCTTTACTAAAACACAAGTTTTTATATTAACGATTTTCTCTACTTTTTCTTCTGTTTACGTTCAGCAATGTGTTAGCTGCTCTTTGCAGACATTCTAGGATATTTTGAATCGCAGGTGAGTGATTTTGTTTTGTAAATTTGTTTGCAAATGCCTTGACTGTTGCAGGTCCTTGTTTGTGCAAACAAGTAATATAGATATGCAATTTCTGCAAACACTCGTTTGAAACAAACCCTCTGCTCTTTATCTTATAAAATGATCCTTTCGATGTACAATGCCTGCCAAAAGTCTTGGAACACTGACATCAATTTCCAAGGTCAAAACCAATCATCCCCCTCTCCCCCACGGAACAATGTTGGTTTACTATCAAACGGGTTAGGATTTTAGGAAGCACTTTCTTTTGCGCTTCTTTTATGACATTTCTCTAAATCATCAACATATTTTTTGGGGAAGGGGGCGGAAGTAGCAATTTTTTTCATGAAAGGAATGAAAGATATCAAATGCAGCGTAAATTGCTTGGTGTTCCAAGTACTTTTGGCAGGCATTGTAGTTTGACATGTTCATACTGAAAACTATATCTAGCCATTCTACAAGTGTTTGAAGGGGTAAAGCAGGGTGTGTACAAATCAGACAGATCTTTGGAAACAAGCACGAGCCTTGCTTGTGTTTTATTAGCTAGAAAGTGTAAAATTTTGAAAACAACGGCAAAAAGCAATGGAAAGTTGCAATAACTGGCAAGTTTTCTGCCGAATTGAGCTTACGATTGAGCTTCTTAAAACTCTTCCCTCTTCTGGGAACATTATTAATTAATCCCGCAATGCATCATTATCTTCTATTTGAAAGATTTGCTGTTTTGTCAAACTGCTTATCAATTAATGTATTCTTTTACGCATTTATTCCTAACTGAAGTTGCCAGTGTACATCTTTAAACGCATGTCTGGTATAAGTGGACTATTCAAACTCAAAGGTATTACTGGCATATTCAAGCACTTGTGTTTTTGAGTTGATTTGATTGAAGTCAAAAGAAAAAGTGAAAAATGAGATTTAAAGATGGCTCGAAAAGGGAAGCAGCAATGCCACAATGCAAGAAATTATTCGTTTTGTACTGCAAGACTGTTAAAAACGCACGCTATGATTTTTTCGATCAACCCTGCAGTTCAAAAGGTTACTTTCATGATCGAGCTGCTGGTTTCCTCAACAATTATCTTTCTGGTATACACTAGAAATAATGAAATGTTCCTTTGCAGATTTCAAAATGTAGGAGGTCATTGAAAGCAAGATTATTCTAATGTTTCGCTTTGTTTAATTCTGAGGAGGGTTTTTAATACTTTTAGCCGGTCTGCTCTACTGGTTCACGTGATATAAAATCATCTGTCTCTAGGTCGATATAAAACAGTTATGAGAAAATGTACTGGATCTTGGAACTTTTCCATCAGATGGATTCCTCCAACATACAGTCATTATTCTATTATAGTTTGCATGAACTTTTTCAACTAAAACCACGAAACAGTGTAGTGTTAATATTGTAGTTTTAGAGTTTCTAAAGACGTAAAATTCTTACAATTTTTGAAAAAATCTACTGTTTTTAGGTGCAATGCAGCAGAAGTGATGTGAAACAGTTTTGGTTAAAGCAATGAGAATTCAAGCTCTGTTTACGGTGCTGCTTTTTGGTAAGTATTAGAAAAATTATCATTTTTCCTGCTATTATGCATAAATAAACTAATCCAAGGATTGACCAGTGACTTCTGGTGATTTTTTCCCATTTCCGTGAAAAAATTAATAACATTCCGTAACGTGAGATCTTGCTGAAGCAAAAATGATAGAAGGTTGCCAATGAGTCGTTGTTTTGCTCAAAAGACCTTCCTCTTTGTTCTGCCATATTTCGTTGCATTCTCAAAGTCGAGTCAATTTTTTTAGCGTTACATTTTAGCTTAAACCTCAACATGCTAATAGAATCAAAATAATTTTTTGGCAAAAATGCCCCCCTTCCCCTCTTTGAGTATCTATTTTTCGAGTATCTTTTTGAGTATCTACCCCCGGAAAACCTCAGAAGAAGTTTGACTTGATGCCGAATGCTCTGATTATATCTAGATGAACATCGATGCTTTCTACTTAATTGATTTAGAAAAATAAGATAACGGTTTTCATGGGATGTCAGAACTTTTGCTTTTGAATAATCTCGACAGTTGCATGTTTTATCTTCAAAGTTTAATATGCCCTTCGAATAAGCCCCCGTTTTAAATAAGCCCCCCTATTTGAATAATCTTCCTTTTGAATAAGACCCGTTCAACCCTCGTCGAAAAAGACTCTTCCAATTATTCTTTGTTATGATCAGATTCCTAGAGGGGTGGCTTACTCGAGAATTCGTGATACCTTTGTTTGCTGTTATCAATGCATCCATCAGGAAACGAATTTTTTTATTTTATTCATGCTCTCCTTAGATTTTTGCCTTTCATAAAGAGCCTCTTGAAATTTGTTATAAAACTTTCTTATGGTAGTATTGTACGTTTCAATTTTCAGCATCCAGCGTGTCTGCTACAAAGTTGCCGGAGCAAGGTAAGAAGCTAAATCGAACTGGTATTTCGATCAGTCCGCTTGAAAAAAAATCGAATCCACCTTCAAAGGATCTGAACGCCACTTTGACGGCCAAGTCAAATGTACAGGATGCTCCACAACAGGCAAAGCGTAAATTGGCTGCTGCGGCGCATCATTTGCACAAACTAGCCAAAAATGCCTCGCTAGCGGCATCACAGAGGCAACTGAAGTTAGAGAACTTTGTCGATAGCCACAAAGGTGCAATTGTCCATTTACTTAAAAAACTATTGTTGCCAAAGCTCAAAGCAAGGGCTTTGCAGCATTACCATGGAGCTTTGTCACCAGGGCAACAAGCAGCACCTTCCACTGAGCCTTCGAATGGTAATCTCGATAAAGAGGCTATGAATTATGAGCTTGGGTATTTCCTTGGTCTACAAAAGGCGTTTAAGAATAGACAGATGTTATTGGGAGACACCGGAGAAGAGAATCTTGTCCCTCTTAAGCTGACCAACCACCATGGAACAAAAGCTGCTTTAAGTGACAGTGGTGGCCCTTTGACTGGTTATACGTCAGTATCATTGCCATTTCATAAACTAAAATCATCTCCGGTACACGAGAATTTACAGACTTTGTTTTCTCGTTATGGAATTCAGGACCCAGGTTTCTTGAAAAAAGTCACAAAAGCTGACGAGAGAGATATTCTACAGTTTGCTGGAAAGCACAATATGGATGTATTTGCAGAGCGAGGTGATTTAAAGGGGATATCAGATTATTTATCAAAACGTGCACACATCAGTAGGCCGTCAAAATATGAAGAGACAAACGAAGGAACATCGCAGAGGATAAAGAAAGATGATATTTTTGCACCGTCCGTTGTTGCAAATGAGCCTGACCGTCAAAAAGAAGATGACGAAAACCCATCAGCGATGGTATCATCTGGGCCAAACCCCCTGGAAGATGTACCAACTCCTCTTCACAAAATAGTTTCGCAAGCACACCATATCTCTTCTGGTGAACTTCATGATCTTTTGCAAGGAACAGGAGGGCATGTCAACTGGGATGAAATATCTGGGCTGATCGGAGAGGATGAGGATAAAATAAAAGAGAAAGCCCAGCAATTTGATGATAAAACACCAGAAGTCGGTACGGTTTATGGAGAGGACACAAATGTCTTAACCGAAAAAGATTTTGACGGTAGGCCTAAAGAGCAAGAAGTCGATGGGGAAGATATCCAGAACGCTGGCTATGGGAAAGAGGATCATGAAGTCGAGAAAAGGACATTCAGCAATTTCTTGAAGTTAGCCACACACAATGGTTATGAACAGAATAAAAATGAGCTGCGAGACGTTTTGAAACGAATCATTAGCAGATTGTCCGAGATTCCTGAAAGTCATGAAGAAAAGCGCTTGCCTCTATACGAGGTACCATCGTATAGACGAGGCTACGTTAGCCGTACACCATTACCAAATTACTACAGGTCTGTTTATTCGGACTTCCCAAGTTACCCAGTCGAAAGGCTGTACCGACGAAATACAGTTCCTCGGCCTTCCTATGCAACGAAGCGGGCTAACCTGCCACAGCAGTATTCAGTATCGACAATTCCCGTGCCTGGTGAAGAGCAAATGAATGGAGAATACGGTTACAAATCAGAACAACAGAAGCCAATTACTGTTGAAACGTCAGGTGGCGTGGAAGCCTACGCTTTGCAAAAAGAAGATGTTAGTCCAGTCCCTAAGATCGAGAATTACATGGCTGCTCCAAAGGATGAAACATACGCAAACGCTATTGCTATGCTAAACAAAGGAAGCTCCATCGATGATAGTCTTGGTGACCATTTGCAGGCAGGATTTCTACAGAGATTTATTTTGCCAGAATCACCAAAATTGTTCAGGAGAAGTCCTTTAAGTCGTTTCAGATCGCCAATGCTTCTGAAATACCGAATGAGGCTACGCAGGTCGGACTCTGAGCCAAAGAAGAAGCCACAAAGAAGGGGAAAACCATCACCAACAAAGGTTTTTTCAAATGTAAACAAAGCATCGAAAAAGAAACAAAAAAAGTTGAAATCGAAGAAATATTTGAAGGCAGATACGCGAGAGAAGAGCCAAAAGAGCAAAGCAGCTCCAGAGGTAACCAGCAAAGGGTCGAAAAAACACGAAATTATGAGACAAAGTAGCATGCCTTTTCTATCTCAATTGGATAACTTGGTTTCACCGCCTGTTTTCGAGAGTCAGTCTCAGAATTTCTTCACTCAAGGGGGCCACGATCAATCCAAACTATTTAGCCAGCTGAATGGCAACACAGTTCTAATATCAGGGCCACAATCTGGTGTAGGGACAGCTGCAGGAAAGCATTTTTCAGGTGAGCACACGAACAGACCTGCTTACCACCACAAACCGTTGCCTCAGAACCCCAAGATGCTTGAACAAATAATTTCAAACCCCAGCATGTCTTCACTGCGTACTGACTCGATTACAAGAGGTGCGGGAAGATCAAAGCTTATTGGTAATAGGCGAATTTCCCCAGCTTTAGATATTTATCAAGACCATTCTGTATCGTCCAATGGTGACACACCAATGATGGAAATCCAAAGTTTGAGGGCAAGTGGTGCTATTCAGGGAAAGGACAGCATGAAAGGGGTACGTTTCTTTCATCAATTGTCAAAATGGTGAAGTTTTTATTCCGTTTATGAGCCCTAAGGAAAGCGGGTAACTAGGTAGAAGCGGGCTTGCAATCGCAGTAAACAATAGAAACAAAAAAAGGCAAAAAAATGAGTAATATATTGAGCAAAGCCTATACTGATTCCACATTGTTGTAAAAATTGATAACACTTCCCCAAGTAGAAAGAGGAAATTTTAACAGTTCGAATGGGTTCAAAACATTGATTTATCACAGGCATGGCATATTCGACTTTATATATTGCCCCTCCCTATAATCCCAATAAACTGAAAATTGCCTCTAAATGCCACGCAAAATTTCGACATCTAAGTTAGAGTAAGAGCTGTGTGATATGTCATTGGTATTTGTTCTTCATCAAAGCAATTGTTTTTGTTATAGTTTCAAAATTTCAATGGTGATATCCGAAATGGTGCTGAAACAGAAGGTCAGGGCACCATTGAGATGAGCAGTAACTATGAAGTAGTCAAACCTCTTTCAGCGGGAGCAGAGATGGAGGAGGGTGGCATGCAATCTGTCAATGAAGATTTTGTTTCCCAGCAGAACAATCGCTTCATGGAAGAGCCAAAAGGAGATGACAATACGGGGGCAAGTTCCATTAGCATGGAGGATGTATCCGGGGAAACAAAACAGGCAATTTCAAACACATTAGCTGCTATGGACAAGCAGGGAATTGCGGGAGCCAAATCGGAGCTGGAGAGTTGCTGTCAGATTGATCCAAAAGCACCTTGCTGTGACCAGAACGGCAACTTTCGTTTATTCAACAGTAAGTTCTTATTTAAGAAATTATGCTATATGTATTTCGAAAGACCAACTTTTCGAGGGGGGGTGGCTTTATTACTTCGAGCATTAGCCGTATTAGTGGAATAGCCAGCGTATTGAAAATTTGTATTTTCCTTCAAAATCAAAGAAACAATACATTGATTTTATATTGATACAAAAGATAATTTTTGTTACCAGATAGCTCTGCATATAGAGTGTTGGCATCTCTTTTACATTAAGCAAAGGTTTTTAATTTCGAAACCAAATCAATGCCTCCTTAGAGAGAACGGGATGTTGATGATTAAAAGTAATTTGAGAGAATTGAAGAATTGATATCAGGCTTGCATTATATATTTAAGATTGTACTAATTTGTACTGTGTCATAGTGCCATCTGTGCCAATGTGCCACTTTGCTAGTTTACCACCATGCCAGAGCTCCATTGTTCCAATGTGCAACTATGCTAATGAGCTACTATGCCAGCATACCTATGTGTCAGAAAATTATTTATCAGAAATCAGCGAATTTGATTGTTGCTCACAGAATTTTTGGAATTCTTTTTCAGATCATAACCAGCCAACTTTCATGGGTGGAGCCACATTTGGGCAATCAGTTGGGGGATCCTCTGTTTATGATACACGTCCGATGTCAGATCATAGCCTTGTTCAGACAATGACAAGGGCTTCTCAAGGACTGGACGAAGAACTAGTAGCTGGGGGAGCTACCCATCATGGATTGGAGGATAGGGGTAATGCCTTCTGATCCTTCTGTTTTGTTTTGATTCTAAAAGCATGTTTAAAGCATTTGTATGCTAAAAAAGCTAGTGATATCACATTGTTAAGACCAGTCATAATCAGAAAAGGGAGAACTAGTTACGTTTTTAATCAGCTGGCCAATTTAGAGCCATCTCATGTTATGTTTTATATAGCAAGAATCAATGGGACTTTCCCCTTTTTAGTTGTAAATCATGTGTATTTGCCAGACGAAGACTTTGACGGCATAGATTGGAGAAAACTTCACCAGCCTGTCCATGGACTGACGGGGTATGATGCACACAGTAAAGAGGATATTCAGTTGCTTTCAGATCCATTCTTTTCTCTGGGTGTTGGTGAACCAATAGGTAAGTAGGCCAACAAAGAATACTTTGCAAATCAATTTTCCCCAATTCACGACCAACTTTTTACACTTAAGCTGACTCTGACGTAACACTTGAGTAGAGTCGAATGCCCTTCCTAACACTTACCGTAAACACAGTTAATCAAAAAGCCTGAGCCTCGAACACCCGTTTGAGTCGATCGTTATCACAATTTGGACTCACTCTTATCTGAAGCTTAATGGTAATATATGGCACACAGCCAATGTTGATTCCACATTGGTATAGAAATTGATAACACTGCCCCATGAAGTAAGTAGACATTTCAATAGATGCCAGTGGATACAAAACGCTGATTTATAATAAATGCTCAAAATTATTTTGAGGTAAATTTGGGCTACCCTTTATCTGAAGCTAATTGTGAACCAGTATCAAATCCAGTAAAAGCGAGTTTTCTCGATTTCACCTTTTTGTCCAGCCACTCTTTGTTAAGTTTAATACTTTTCACAATAGTATTAAACATACTTCTAACATTTAAACATGTTAGAAACAAAAGTTAGCAGCATTCCTGATATTTTAGAAACCCAAATAGGAGTTGTTGCGACAGTGCAAGCCTTATAAATATTGTTTAGAAGAAGAAACCTCTCTCGATGTTGTTAGGGAGTATGCTTTCCAGCCATAGTGATTTAAAATTGCTCATTCTTTAGATACATGCAGTTATTTTGCTTACCTAAACTTATATACCAATGTATACAAATTGGCATTCTAGAAATTGCAGGCCAACTGTTACAATCCTTTCATTTTAGGTGACCATTCCAAACCATCGATTGTGTCACAGTCCCTGCTTGGTCATCCAGTCAACCATTTCACAAAACCCGATAACGTTGTCTCTTCGCAAACTGTAATCACAACTCCAACAGTCACTAACGCCAAAGATGCAGCGCATGCAGTTTTGACTGCAGACGCAGTCAATACCGCAAAAGCAATTACAGCAGCTGGAGCGGTACATGACATACCAGGCGTGGCTGCGAAAGCAGAAGCATCTCCAGGTCTTCAAGCACCAAGTATGTCAATTTTTATGCCAGAAAGGAAAAGTTCTGATTAAAAGATTAAAGGCCTAACTTCTTCTTTTAGGCCATTTTAAATCGGCAGCCGTTGCTTTTCGCCTGAAATAATTTTAAACGCCGTTATAGATGTTTCGCAACTCTCGACCAAAAACTTTGCTCCATCTTTCCATTTATGAATTATCTGGTCTTTTTTAAAAATTTCACGACTGTTAAAACAAAATCATAATGAGAACAATTACTTGTAAGTACTTTTGTTCAACATTTCAATAATTGTGGGTACGGCGCCATACCTCCTCTTAGAACCCTTGATTAGGATGCAATAATTCTACCTTGAAAATCAACTGACTGCCAATTCGAATGGCAATACCACAAGTGCTTTTGGGAGTTTGTACAAGACCCTAATAAGCAAAAGTAACGTTTACGCAAGACAAGTTGACCTCTTTTCATGATGCACTAAGGATTGTCGTCTGACAGTACGTAGAGTATTTAACGTCGGAATAACCCTTATGGATGGAAATAGGCCTTTCAACTATCTTGTAAAGCCTTTAATTTCTTGATACATTTCAGATGCAGTCCAAGGTTCTTCAGTTGCCATTGCCGCAGCTGCCGCAGCCGCCGCCGCGTCTAGTAATTCTGGAAATAATACATCTGGAACACACGAGCAACAACATAATGCGTATCTACAAAACGTACACAATTTGCATAAGGAAATCGTTGCAAACGCAGAGCAAGCCGCCTCAACTGTAGGAACCGTTATAGCAAACGACGTTAAGAACACTACGCATACGCACTTCATTGCGGATGTCAAAGATGCCGCCTTAGCCAAGATAAAAGACAATAACGCGCACGCTGCGGAGCTTCAACAGCTCGCAAACACAATAAAGAGTGGGAATAGCAAGGTAGCTGCGAAGGCAAATAGCCTTGTAAATAATGCTGCTGTGATGGCAACCCAGAACTTGGAGGTTCCAGGTAAAAGATTTATAATATGAAATGAAATACAATCATTAGACCGTTTGTAAGTGGGTGAATACTTTTTGAAATTGCTGGTACGGCTTAGAAGACAGATGAAAACGAATTCTGACTCTAGGTCAGCGACAGCAGGAAATTATGCGCTTTTAGCTCGCTCCTTCGTTCTCCGCAACCGTGAAGAATGAGCTGAAAAATCTCTGTGAAATATTGTGATAAATCTTGGGCATTCTATAAGCTAATGAAATTAGAATTCTCGATGCACAATTCTATTGGGAAAGAGCTGTGTGCTTCTAAAAATATTGTCAATGATACTTTTTAAAAATAACTGCATGCAGTTAAATCGTATTTAGTAACAGTGTTGTTTCATTATGGTATTAAGGGAAAAAATTTTATTTGGAAGAGTCACCATAGCAGCTTTGCTTCCAACCAAATTTCGCTTATCGGAGTAAACTTCGTTTGGTGTTCAACTGAAGAGCTTACTGTTTGGCTCGATGATCATTGATGGATAATATGTCGGTTGCTGAAAGATGCAAAACATTATAAAGTTCAGCAAAATCAGTGACATAGTGAGAGGGAAGCAAGAGGCCCCCCTCCCTAATGGCAAAAGATCTCTTTAAAAATGGCGTTCATAATGGCTTACACCCCTAGGTTTCCCTTGCTCAACTCGCCTCCCTCCCCTCCCAATCTCACTACCCAGGCTACGCTGTGAGCAAAGTTCTATAAATTGTGCAGCGATTTATACCAGAAATCTGTAAAAAATTAGCAAATTTGACAATCCAGATAAACCCTTGATAGGTGCGCGTATCAGAAGTAATTTTTCAACTTGTCATAGCAGAAGTATTCTTATAACTCATAATTCGATTTTATTCAGTTATCTCTCCTTCGCAGTGACACCACGGCTAGCAAATGTGACCAGCAATATAGCAGGCCATGTCTACTCATCCGAAGAAATGATTCATTCTCTCCAAGACCCTCGTATAAAAGCATTCGATGATCTTGAGGTGGAGGCTAACAAGTTGGAGGACCTTCATCATGTAAGCACGATTTCTTTCCTTCTCAACCTTTTAAATGAAAGTTTTGTGCACAATAACCTTACAGGTGTTTTTTGAATATCTTTATCCATGTGCTTCGGACTGTTAAGCACCTTCTGTCTTTGAACATGCACGATTCAAAAGCTACAGTATGTATCTTTATACAAACATTGGACCTGATTAAAATATGTAGCTTGAAAGAACAAACGAACTACATCGAAAGTCTTTAAAAGGGTCAAATTCACCTCCAATTAAAAAGGGTCAGATTCAAGTTCTTTCCTCTCTTTCTTGTCACACTCAAGATAAGGTGATAATTTAACATAACTTCAGGAATGCTGGTCCTGAACTCACTCTGCTTGAAAATAATTTTATTTTAATCACATCAAAGCAATCATTCCAATGTTCTGATTATATACAGCTTTCAATTCTGAAACGAGATTTTGTTACTTTTGGAATCTCTTATCTCAGTCATCTTAATTTAAAGCAGTTGCATGTCATTACAACTTAAGCAAGGATACCGGGTTAAATCCAGCATTTGCCAAGCTTTCGCAAATCAAAGTGGGACATTTGACGCGAATGACCTCGACGAAACATCCGAGAAATGGTGCAATTAAGAGGCTAGATCATTTTGATTCATGACAACAATTAATATGTTTGGAAGGCCCTTAAATTTTGAGCTATGAACAGAGTGTAATTCACGTCATGATTTGTCAGAAAGGTCCGAAGTCCCAAGGCAAAGAAGATTCGCTTTGATAAAGCCCCATATGCCGAGGCGAAATATTAGCCTTTACTTATTTACGTGTATTTGTTGTTGTTCATTCTCATTGCATTGCGGTGTTTCTTATTTGCTACAAAGAAAGCTTTCTCTTTCATTCGATCCGGCAATTTTTCTCCACGCCCCTGTGCAGAAAGATCCTGTTTTGCATTTTGCTTATCTTTTAAACTCTTCATTTGACCAGAACTCGCTGCACATGGGGACTTACCTCAATCAAGATGCATTGCATTCAATGAACCCTGTCAGTATCAGCAAAATTCTATCTCACGGCCACGTTGATGCCAATATGCATGTTCCAGTAGTATATGGGAATTGGCACGCGCCTGCACAAGATCTGGAGCATGGTATGTCTCAAAATTTATTTACCTGCATGCTTATGCTATGAAGCAAGGGATATCCAGATTTGAGACATCTTGAAACATACTATCTAGTCATAATATATTTTATAAAATTAAGTGGTGTGCCAATTAAGCGTTCTTTATTTGTCTTTTTTCGTGTAAGTTTGTGTCGATTTAACCAAGGACCGATTTGAGACAAAACACAGCAGGGAGGGCTATGGTTGTTTGCATTTTTCTATTTGAAAAGTTATCAGCTTTTACGTGGATTCTTAAACGAGGATATAAAACTATATCCTGTTGAAACGAAAGATATTGATATCATAAAAGCCCTAGATGTTTACTTCCCTGCTGGAAGAACTTTCTAAGTGAATATGTTACTAAAGCATTGTTGTAACTAGAAGCCTAGAACTGATATCTTGAGCTTGATAATTTAAAGAAACGTTCATAGATGAACCAATTTATCAAAAGGGTAAATTGCATAATAAGAGCTTTAAATCTTTAATATCCTCATATTGAAGCAAGTGGATATCTTAAATCCTTGAATACAATCTTAAGGAAATTGACCATGTCATCTTTATTGCAGGTCACGATTCATATTCATCTCATTGGAACCAGGTCCAACGTGAGTTTAAACCATTTAGAACATTAACAATTCGTAAAATCTTTTAAAAGTATTGAATTCTAAAGGGCAATCTAATAGGTGACAACATCAAGGCTTGTCCCAGATCTGAAGAGGGATTTCCAATTGTCACATCAGTTGCCTATTTAATTATAAAGTTAAGCTTCGTTCTAACTTTTCTTATTCAGCCATTCTCAAGAAAAGCCCCTTTGTGGTCGCATAATAGTTGATAAGAAACTAAAACCTAGAAGCTAAATTTTTGAATGCTGCTAAACATTTTTACCTATGAGAGGGGGATGTCCTTTACCAACGAAATGAATCATTCGAGGTCAAATAGTAGATCTGGAATATGCAGACAGCTAATTTAATAATAATGATAATAATAATACGACATTTTTACAGGTCACCAGATCTAGCTTAATAAAGCTGCTATCAGTCTGGGACCTGTAAAAAGCAAAAGTAAGAATATAGGTATGAGTTTAAAAGGTAACCAAAACTTGTCCTTGGTACATGATCTATGAGTTAAAATGTTCACCTTACTTAATTTTATAACGTAGTAATGAGTTTTCAGTGTTAAGTTCGATTGGCAATTTGTTAAAAAGCGAGGCCCCTTGAAACTGAATTCCTTTTCTATATATGTCAAGTTTTATGTTTGGAATTTTCAAGCTAACCGCATCCCCTCTGGTTCCTTTCCCATGGCTTATTTTTATAAAGTAATCTTTAAATATACGTGGTGTTAATCCATTTACACATTTGAATGCAAAAATGCTGCTATTTTTTATCTTTCCGATCGCAACGACCTGAAGAACCGAAGAAGATTTCCTAAATACACAAGTTTCCGCTCGATCTTGGAGCTTCTCCACCTTTTTTATGTTTAAAATCGATAAAAACAGCAATACTAGGTCTGAATATGTAATCAATGGCCGTATCATGCTTTTGTAGATTGACTCTGCTGTTTGCTTTGTCAGTTTTTGTCTGACGCGCTGTAAAAGATGCACTCTATTTACCCTTTCGCGCTAAACTTTGTTAAAGTGTTCCGAGAATGACAAGGATCTGTCCACACTTACACCAAGATACTTAAAGACCTCACTGCTTGAAACTTCAGTGAATTGATTATAATTTTTACTCCAGGTGCGCCTTTCAACCTTTGAGTGGTTCCATAAAGAACAAACTCTGTTTTCCCTTTTTTTAGATTTAGCACGAACAAATTTTCTTGAAACCAGCCTGCAATTTTGCTAATCATTTTATTTATGGAGTTTTCTATAACCTTGCTGTCAGAACTAGCATAAGAGATGACGGTGTCATCTTCATACATCATAATAATTCAACTTTCGAGTGTTAAATGTAGATCATTGAAGTAGATAACAAATGACAGAGGTCCTAAGATTGGACCTTGTGGGACACCACATGTAATATACTGTTTGCTGGAGTAGGTGTGCTCAAAGCAAACATTTTGTTGTCGATCGAATAGATGGTTCTGAAACCATAGTAATTCCTTATTTTTGATTCCATACAACTCCAGATTTGACAGCAACTTTCCATGATTTACTTTGTTAAATGCCTTACGTAAGTCCAGATATAGTGAACCAGTAAGTAAGAAGAAATTGTTTCGTGTCTGGTGAAGCCTCATCGCAAAATATAAAGTAGATAATGTTTTCAGTACAACGGAAATGTTTTCATTTTTCTATCTTCTTCAACAACGAATCATTTCTTCTTACAGTTGACTCTCATCCAGAACAGGTGGATATGACGCCTATGACGCCCGGCGGAATCCAATTCACAAACCCAGCAACAGCTGATGTCCATGGCTTTACAGGTGTGGGTCTTCCAACTAATGCTGGAGTAGGGACAGCTGGTGGTGCTGTTGGTATCGCAGCTGGCACCGCTGCAGCTAACGCGGTTGGTGCTGGTGCGGGTAACGTGGCTGGTGCTGGTGCTGGTGCTGGTGCTGGTGCTGGTGCTGGTGCTGGTGCTGGTGCTGGTGCTGGTGCTGGTGCTGGTAACGCTGCCGCTAGCAATGCAGCTGCTGCAAACGCTGCCATTAGCAATGCCGCCGCAGCAGGAATCGCAGCTAATGGTAATGGTGGAGCACCAAGTGCCGGTACTGCAAATGCTGTTCCTAATATCTTGGGAAATGCGGCTGCCAGTTCTGGTGCAGGTCCCGCAGCTAAAAATGCTGCTGCCGGTGCTGCCGCAGCTGTTGCTGCTGTTGCTGCTGCTTATCCAGCAAATGCTGCAGGAAAAATGGAATTTGGTGCAGGAAAGACGGCTGCAAACAACATTGGTAACGTCGGGGGAGTTATGAAGCAAGGCACCGTTGCTGCATCTACAGCTAAGGCAGTTTCATCTTCAAAGGACAAAATTGTCGCAGAAGGTGGTCAAGGAGGCTACCCTGATCTTACAGATAGTGACAGTGATAAGCGGACTACCTCTACTGAAGAAAGCTTTGACGATGATGTATCCAAGAAGAGTGACAGCAAGAAAATAGCTAAAGATAAGCAGGAAGAAACTGGAAGCGGCGAAGGCTCTGGCCTAGACGCGTCGACAGCGTCAACCGCTGAGGTTGAAGAGGGGAGCAAGATTCAATTCAATTCAATAAATAATGACGATTTTCAAACAGCTCAAGATGGCCAGAGTCAACAAGAAGATACATTGGACGGTAAAGCAACAATGGAATTCAACAAGACCAACGATTCTGGCCCGGGTGAAGAGGAAACTGAGAAGAGTATCGAAAATTCACCAGCAGGTAGCTCCGGGACCTCTGAAGAGTCTAACGTAACTGCAGATGATAAAGCTACCAGCCTGGAAATTGGGAATTTAAAAGAGACAAAGGTGAAAAACTTCACGGAGGGCGCAGCTCCTGTAGATAACGGAGACGGTTATAAAAGCTTTGTCACAAATGCAGACGTAAAGAACAGGTCAGCTAAAGAGAAGAGTCCTAAAAATGGTGAAGACGAGGGTTTGAACACTGATAATGAGGCTGGCGCTGATGATGAAGGAAACGGGAAGAATAGTCCAGAAGAAAAGGAGAGCGAGGATGCGAATGCAGAATCGAGAACTTCCGAGAAAGCATCAAAGCATGCGGATAAAGGAGAGACGTCTGCAGAAATTGGAGAGAATATAGCTAGTGATGAAGCCCTTCGGGGGAACAAGACACCAGTGAAGGTGAGACGTCCCGCCAAAACAACTAGGCCACGTAAGAAAATAACATTTCTAAGAAGAAAAGGATCATTGCACAAAACTGGAATAACAAAACAGCATACTCATGTAAATAGAGTAAATAAGGTGGTTGCAAAGGTTAAGGCTAATAAACCAGCAGAGAAATTAAGCAATTCATCTGAATTCTTTATCGGAAATCGCAAAAATATCAAATCAGATCTAAAGAAGGAAAAAGACCAAAGCCAAGAGTTCTTTACTCCAAGAAATTTCAGCAAGAAAGTTGACAATGTCAAAGTAAGGAAGAAGAATTCTTCAGAGTTTTTCTTGATTAAAACTAATAACCTTACCAACACGGATCCAGTCAACGACGAGGAAATTTTCACGAAAGGCAAGGAGCAAACGGAATTTTTTAAATCACCAAGCTTGAAAAGCGACAAAGAACTGGATGACTTTCAGCTCTCTGAATCAGCAAGGAAGCATCTGTTGCCGGGAGATCTAGAAAAATTATCGAAGCTTCACAATATGTTATCGATGGCACAAATTAATTTGCTAAAGAAGCAGGAAACATTGGAAGAAAATGCCATAACTCGGATGCTTGGATCAGTTGCAAGCCGACACCACCCAGTTCAAAACCGACTGAACAGAGAAGAGGTTGTGCGAGGCAAATATCGAGATGCGATTCATGAAGCACTGACGCAAATCGAGGGTGTGAGAAAAAGCTTAACTAGCCAAGAACAACAACAGTTGAAAGGAAGGCAGCCTAAAAATGAGCAGTATAGCAAAGCTATTCATGAAGCCTTGAAAGAAGTAGATTCTGTGAAAAAGAGTCTAATGCAGACAACAACATCGTCGAAGGCCTTGACTAGTGCATTGGCAATCTCAAACCTTGCCAACTTGTTAAGGGAAAGCACAAATATATTCAACAAAGCATATGGTGTCATGCATGATACCTTACCTGGCTCACAAGTGGCAGGGAATATGGTGACAGGTGGTTTGCTCAACCCTGGTGCATCTGGAGTGCTAATCAACCCAGCAGGGCCTATGAATAACAGCATAAAGCCCAAACGGCCATCGAATGATATTTATGCGGAGATTGGCACGCCGGCAACCAATGAAGACGAATCTTCGGAGAAAAAGTCTCTACATCCATTGAGAATTGCGAATCATTTTAAACCCAAAAATAAAGGATATAGAACCATCAAAGAAATGAAGAGAGGATACATCAGAAAGGCTTAGTACTGTCATAATTTTTTCAGTTCGATAAAAAACAGCGAGTGTTTCTGTGACCATATTTACTTAGAAGCGTTTGTGAATGTAAGAAACATATCCTAAGCTCATGGAAGAGATGATCTGGAAAGGTACTCAGTGTTTGTTTCTGTGAAACGCAGCCATACCAGTAGTTTGGGAGGATTCTCAGTTTATTATGGCCTGAAAGACTCTTTGTTTGAAAGCCTCCTTTAGCAAGTTGCTGTTAGAGGAATACTCAGAGATGTCTCTGCTCCTGTTCTCTCCAGAAACTCCCGCAAACATTGATTATCTCTTCAAAGCTTTTTCATAGATTCCGTGAATGCTCTTTTTTACTTATAAACATTTATTTATATCCCTTAATGGAGATATTCGTGTTAATTTTAGTTTGATATGAATCAATATCGTTAAAGGTGTTAATCACTTAATTGGATATATTTTATTCAGGTGCAATGCGATGTTTTCTGGCCTGAAAAAGCGTTATGAAATACCTGTAAATGAGCACATTCAGTTAAATTTGTCTCAAATCGACTGAAATATGGCCACATGAGCAAAGACTATATCCCCATTAAAGTCACTACAATCTGATCTTAGTTCTAAAGACTATGAACAAGGACAAACCACCAGTACTTTCACTTGCTATTTCTCAGGCACATGGCAACAGACTTCTACCCATTTTGCATTTTCAAAGGTATTTTATGGTGCTCTTTTAGGTATTGTAGTCAAAAGTAAAAGATTCTAAGGATATATTTTCTTATGACGTCACACTTTAAGGCTCTATTTTGTGCATAAGAAAATTCATATGTTTCTAGTACATGAAATATAGTTGAATATCTCATGTTAACGCTGTATTGCAATGGTGGAACCATTTATATGAATCGAATAACTTTTCAGAGAAGTAAGGAATTGTAAATTTTAATTTTTCTCTATCTGTTTATAATGAAATCACTATATTGTAAAAATTGTTTGTGAATGTCTCCAAACATAATCCTTTCGATTTAAGAAATTTATATCCTCTGTCGTTGCAATTTGATTCTACTGGGGGCGTACATTTATGTTGAATTGCCCATTATGGAAAGAAACCCAAAAAACCCTATTATTTCTTTACTGCATCTTTGCGACACATTTACTCCGCGTATGTGCGGAGGCGCTTTCCCATAATGCATAGTTGGCTTAGAAAATTGCGGGAAGGACGAACGAAGGGCACATGCACAAGTTGTTTCTTCTGAATTCGCCTGTTAGGTCAAATATCAAGCAATTAGAGGCTTGCTGACAGAAAATACAATGAAATCTGGTAAGTTCCAATATAATTTTTTTCTTTTAATTCACTTGGCAACCGTTTTGAATTGAAATTGGGAACACCAAAATCAACAAGGCCTTTTTGTCGAAGCTGATTTTGTGATTTATCTGCAATGATTGCACTAGAGTTGCAATTTATTCAAAATAAACTAAACTCGGTACATGTGCTTACTAGGGCTTTGCTACTCATGTAACGAAGTATCAAGAACCACAAAATAATTTTTCTTGTCATATTTTGATCTTACTTTTCCTTAAGCTTATTCACAAATGTAATGCAAACTCAAAAAAATACAATACTTTACCATAATTAAAAATGCAACCCTTTTTACACCACATTTGTATGTACACTTCATTTTTACAAGTAAATTGGAATCTTGTTCAACACTGCAAGTGTTGATTTGTGGGAAATGCTTCTTGTCAGTGGTTTCTGAACATCACAAACCTTTTTACACAATAATCCTATTTTCAAGGTAGTTCATTTGTCTATTTTTAGAATCTAGCCTTTGTTGGTAAACAACAAAACAACAATAATAAGGGGGAAACAAGCAAATACTTTTGTTTTAAAAAGGTTTCAAAGTATGATGCTATGCCAGAATATAGCTATGATACAAGAGGAAAATGGGATTCTTAGCAATATATTTTAAGGTGTATACTTGTGTGTTTAGAATTTTAAAGAAATTGAAAACAGGTTGCTAATAAAGTGGTTTCTTAAAGAAAATGAATTTGATAAATTCGAATAGGATTCTGTCTTTTATTATGATAGCCATCTAGAAAAACCAAAAGATGATCATTGCATAAAAGTTATCTTGGCTAAACCCAATTTTTACACCCCTAACCAGGTGTGAAAACTTGAAGAGACTGGTTGGAAATTCTGATAGAAAGGAATTTAGATTATAATTGTAAATGGTATTTTGTAAAGACAATTTGACAACCCGCTGCTATTTCTGTTGTAAACATTTACAACAAAACACTGTTACGAGTAAATCTAAAAAACATTTTGGCTTTGAAAAAAAGCAAACATTTGAGTAAACTAAAGCTTTTCGTCTGACACTAAAATTTATGTGCCAGTGCGATTCTGGCTACGTAGGACGCACTACCCAAAGATTGGAGGATAGTATAAAACACCATGTTCCGTCTAATATTAGAAAAAAATCTCATCTCCAAAGAGAACAGCCACCTCAGTCTTGCAGATCTAAAAGAGTACAGCTAAAACCTGAAATTCTGCCATCAGGCAGCATTTACTGGAAAACCCAGATTGTGCAAAAAAACTACAATAACAACATGTTTTGGATCATCGTTTCATCTAGCAGTTTTGGAATCTATATATACATAAGCAGGAAAAAACTGCTATTATGTAGACAAAAGAAGTTCATTTTCACCTTAGGACTCCATTGGTAACATTCTCAATAGGCAAGCAGCACTAATTGGTCAACCTTAACAGTCATGTGATCGGGTTTCTGATTGGCCTGGCATATTTCAATCCAAAACTGGGTATATATTTTTCCTAACGTAGGGTTTCCAACCTATGCTCTCGCATTTTATACTCTGAAGAGTGTCAGATGCAAAGTTTTAGTATACTCAAGTGTTGGCTTTTTTCAAGTTTTGTATCTACAAAAGATTGTTTAAAAAATATTTACATTCAAAACCAGATGTTTGACTAAACACCAAAAACTCTTCCACTGTGCCCACTCCAAGTGGACATTAGCCTACATTGTAGACCCCCCCTCCTTCCAAAAGAAGATGGGTCTACGAATTAATGAGGCAAAGCTTGCTACAGACCGTTCTCAAATTCTGGACCTTAATTTATGTGAGAGCATTAATACTTGTATAATTAAGGACATGCAAGTCGATATGACAGTACAATCAGGTGTGGCAGAGTTTGATGAAACATTCACAGCAGCATTGGGTATTGCATGTATACCTTTGCAAGGTGTGTTTCAAAACACAAGATACATCAATCAACATTTGCATTCCCCGCTATTAGTTCATTCATAATCAATAGAAAGGAGGCCTTTCAATTAACTATGGTTCATTTAACATGTCATTGAGCTTGACAAGGAAAGCCCCAATGAGGTCTGGTAATGATCAATTATTAAAAAATATTTATGCATAAATTAATAACAGCCTCTAGCAAGCTTTGCCCTAATTAATTCGTAGAACCTTTCTTCATTTGGAAGGGAAGGTCTACGGCACAGGCTTAGTGGACAGTTGTTAATGTCCACAGAAAAGTCAGGGGGCCATGGAGGCAGATGTAGTGGATTAACATGTCTCATCATGTAAATCACTCATTATCCACCCAGTTCTGATTGTCTATGGTCCTGTATAGTGTATTTTACTTAGACCTCCACCCCAATTGGTGTATTTTCCACAGAAACTCCAGTCGTGCATGTGGATGTTGACTTTCCACTTTCATTAGAGTAAGTTGATATTTGCTGCATGATTTCATTGGGCTTATTGAGATGTGTATGGAATGTTTTGCTGTTTATTGATAGTTTAGTTTCTTCAGATGAATCAGAGCATTGTCTTAAAATTGGCAGGCTGTCAATTGATTGTTTACTTTCTTCAGATGAATCACAGCATTGTACTAACATTGGCCTTTCAGAATCTTGATTTTTTTGCGTCCTGCAAAAATAATAATAGACCATTATAGATTTGCCAAATTTAACTACAACAAGAAATGTTTATTGGTTTTTCATTGCCCAAAACAAAAAGGAGCCCAAACATAAAAAGTGAGTTTGATTTTTGTTCCTCTGTTTCACTTCATTCATACTGGCAAAATGTGTCAGAAAGTGTAACAGCTGGCAGCACAAAATATCTTGGATTGAGGGCTTAACAGCTAGGGTCTCAGTTGCAGCGGCACATAGGTCAAATTTTTCATTTTCAAGTTAATACATCCAACAACTGGAGAGTACCATTTCTTCTAGTTTTTGGGCATGTTACCCAGCTACCTCAGCTGCACCATGTTTGCAGAAACCCATTTGTGATACATCAGTATGTTTTCAATCAAATCAGGAGTCACAAAATTAAAAAACAACAACCAGTGGAGTTATTTGCATTGTTTCATGAAGTCTGAATAGAAAACTCATCCAAGTTTAGATTATATTGTATATAAACAAGCATGTATCTTGCTGAGGATTCCAATATGGCTTCTTGGTATCACTCTTTCCCCTAACCGACGAAACCTTAGCAGATCCTGGCAGCAATGTCTAAAAGCCAGGTCTGGCTAGAATGTCAAAATAAGTCATGCTTAACTTCTATACATACCCTGAAAATCCTTTCATCTTCTTGCAAAGAACTAACTTACATATACAGCATAACAACAGCAATATGATTGCCAATGATGCGAAAAACATTATCTCAAATAACTTGCTGCTTGAGTGAGAACCTAAGGTGAGAAATTGACATCAATATACTCCAAAAGATGATAATGAAAACGGAACCTTACTTGGTCAGATATATCTGTAATTTGTGGTATTGTGAAGAACCTGACTGATTGACACAAAAACAAATACCCACAGATAAAATGCAAAATTTCCATGCCTTTGCAGGAAAAAAGAAGGGGTGCTTTTGGTCTAACTCAAAGCCAATCCAGGCAGTCAATGATGAGAAGCTGATGATTAATAAATAAGTCTGGCTGTACATTGGCATCTAGTGTTTTGAGTTGCAATAGTGACTTAAAAATAGGTCTTAATGTCATAACTTATCCATGCATCAGTGCTTACTTGCTCAATAGGCCAAATGTGAGAAAAATAATACAAATGTGAGAAAAATATAAATAGTACTTATGAATCGTCGTTCTATTATATAGATGTAATGAGAACCTGATGATTATTAATATTTGTTATTAATATAGATTATATAGATTATTTGTAAATAGACTAAAGGTTTTTTCATACCATTCATTGTGTTTTTCTGGTTCTGGGCTGAAATTGTCTTCACAGTGGTTAAAACAGGTGGAATTGTTAACTTTGGTGAAGTTTTTGCAAATTCTTTGCCCAGCTTTTCGTATTGGCCTTCATTGGCTGGAATGGTAGTAGTTATCACTGGCTTTTGTTTTGTAACCATGGTTGGAGTTGGTTTTGACGCCCTAACTTCAACATCAGTTCTCTCTTGTTTTGATTTTTTGTCATCTTCTGGTTTATAGAGATCTTTTTCTTGTTGTATGACAAGGCTCTTTGGCATTGTTTGTGTTGTCTGTAAAGTGGTCTGGACAGTGGTTGGTATGGTGGTTGGTGTGGTGGTTGGTGTGGTAGTTGGTGTTGTTGTTGGCGGTTTGGTAGTAGGTGGTTTCTCACAGCACATATCTTTACAACTATTACATGTGCCACCTTAAATAGCAATATTTTAATTATCAGAAAACTTGCTGGTTTTAGAAACTTATTTTGCTATGCAAATTTGTATTTGGTAGTGCTTTATGGAGAAATTTCCAGTATGGCTGAGTGTCAAATGAACTCTGAATATATTTATTTTGCAAACTTTTAAAATAAAAATGATGTGTGACAAACATGAAAACTTTTTTAATAACATTCATGATTTGTGATTTTATACTTAAATAAATCTCCTTAATGAAATTGAAATAGATTTTATTTGCAAGAATAGTTCATGCTTTGCTTACTTTCTGGGCAAATTGTAACTTTCAACTTCATGTTATGTGTGAGACACCTCCCTCCAGACTTGCTGTTAAGACCATTCTTTGTGCCATTCCCTGTATCTAAAGAAAAAAAATTAAGACCGTAAAATATTTGAATACACTTAATACATAGCATTTTATACTGAATATTTACACTTACATGACAAAAGTATTAGGAGGATGAATAACAAAATGGCGGCTCCAAAACTAGCATTCTAACATTGATTGGACAAATCTTGCTGTTTTGGTGGGGTTCTAGAAATAGCATCAGCAAAAATGCAATTTGTAGCAAATTCAATTTATTTCCTACCTTTCTATGATAGAAAGGTAACAAAATGTCAAGAAAAAATGGAAAATATCAATGTTTTAGTTTCAAAGCCGAAAACACAAAAACGACCAGAAAGAGAATGAGAAGCAATAAAAAATTGGGTCTAGTGAGTCATTTGTTTGCTGAAACTTCAAGAAAATTTAGTTGCAGCAAGTCTACAATGCATGTAATTCACAAGGACAAAAAGTTAACAAGGCCTACTAAAATTCAAAGAATAGTAGGCCAGGGCAGGCTGACTATTGATTGGGCCTAATGGCAGCAGCAAGCTAGTGTTGTGTGTGTAGTCAATCAAGCTGAATATTTGTTCCAATTATTTGTGGAAAGCCAACAGGCAAATACAGAAATAAGAAATGATTCTTTGCAAAAACCATTTATTTTTAATCAAGACAATAAACCTAGCTATGTTGCAATTGTGACAAAAATTTCCAAAAACAATAACATTGTGGTCTTTTAATAACCCCATCAAAGTCAAAGCCTTGATGTAATTGAAACCAACTAGTTTTCATAAAAAATCCAAGAAATGAAATCTTCTAAGACCAAAAATAAGCTCTTTTAGAATTTTCTTGAGATTTCTTCCTGTATCCGAAGATATTTCGTAGCAACATTATTTCAGTGAGTTCCAGTTCAAATGGCAGCTGCCTAGATTCCTGGAGGCCATCCGACAAAACATAAATAAAGCAATTGTCTAAAAAGTTTATTCTTTAACAGTTTATTAAATATATGTTTATTTTTACAATTGGGTAAAATTGCAATTGAAAATCTCAATCAGCAATCTTGTTATGTTTTACCAATTTTTTATGTTGTTCTTTGAGCATATGGTTAACCACATTTGGTTTGAGGCGATCCTTCTAATACTTTTGTCATGTAAGTGTATTTGTCAGACCTTTAGGGTCTGATTATTTAGGGTTAAGCAGGTCCCTGTTTACATCATTCTCATCTCATTGTGGTTTGTAATCTCTCATGGAAATTCTTGATGGAAAGCCAAAAAGGAAAGAAGAGATATATCTCAATTCAATGGCTTTCCTTTTCTACCAACTTTCTATCTTTTGGCATTAATCAACTGATAGTAGTCTTCCGTCCTCTGTGAAACTTGCTAGAAAAATGGCTTATGTCACATAACTTAGATTATTACATTTGTACAGGGATTGAATATGCCTGTGGCACAGATACATACCCTGATAAAGAAATACTTCTAAATGAGAGAAAAGACCCTGATGACGATCTTACCCACTTTCCTCTCTTTATTTATCAGCCAAATGCAGCTTTGCTTCTGAGCACGAATATTGAGAATGGTGGAAAGACATAGAAATTGCAAAGTTGCCATATATATATATATACTATCAACAGCTCTAACTCCAAGTGTAATAAAAATAATTTAGATCTTCAAGAAAAACCGTCTCATGTAAATGTTCCGACCGAAGTCTTCATCAGTCAATATATATATATATATATATATATATATATGTGTGTTTACTTTTTGTCAGGGCGTGGTTAATGTTAACTTGTGGAGTAGCATCACAAAGCCTTTTCCATGTTGGTCGCTTTTAAGGTAAGTAACTTTTTTCAATTTTAGTTTCAGAGTTTCCGTTTTGATTGGGGTTTCTGATTACCCTGATTTGGTGGGGTCGCTGGGGGTATCATCTCTATTCTTCAACAAGATATAAATGTGACTTACTTATAAAATAGTAGGTATTCCCTGGCATGAATGACCATCCATTCCAATTGAATACATTGAAAGTGACCTGTTCGAATTTGATGCGCGACGCTCTTAATCCACGATCACATTTCAAAAGCAGGCTGTTGGGAAGATCCACTGTACATGAATCGAACCCAGCTTTGGTCACCATGTGGATATTTTCATAGACCTGGTAGGAATCTAAACGTGAGGTAGCATGAGCAACTTTCAATATCACATGCGGGCATAAGAAGAACATTTGGGTGTCATAGTTGAGGAAGATGTGGGCTGGCTTTCTGCACAGTTTATTTGTGTTGTTCTGGAATCTGAAATGACAAAAAGACTACTAGTTGACAAAAATGACAAAGGCAACAATCATGTTAGCTAATATCAACTGTTTAGCAAATGGGTGCATTGGACTCACCTTGTAGGAGGCACCGCGGGGCCCCCACTATAGCCCCCACTTTTTGCCAAAAATGCAAACAATTTACTAATTAATCACCAGTGCTAGATAAAATGAAATGCAGATCTAGTTTTAAACATTCACCAAAGGCTTTATTTAGACTGAGGTACTTATACCTAGTCCACTGTTGGCTATCGCACTAAAACTTTATGACTAGGCAAGTTGTACAACTGAAACTTTGTTCTCTGGCGAAATCTGACGTGCTTAGTTAGATAGAGTATATGTCCAGTCTGCGAAACAAAGAAGCAAACTACCTAAATACCTATAAAATATATGTTTGGAAATAACTTGATGCGCTAAATACTTTATAAGAACTTTTGGTTTGATTTTTGGCAGTTGAGCTGTTGATCGCTTGCCACGTCTTTTTAGGCAAGCTTTGATGAGAAACACTATAATCAGGGGCGTTGCTAGCGGGGGGGTGTAGGGGATGTAACCCCCCAATACTTGATGAATTCGTCGGTAAATCTTCAGATTGTTTATAAAATTATTAGTTTGTCGGAAAAATCATCTATCAGTAGGTGAAACAGCACCTAAATTCTTTTCCACGGTAAATTTTTCTATTGATGACCCTCCACACCCTAGTCTAGAATGTCAAGCTTATGATTCATGGAAATTGGAAAGGGATGTGAAGGAAATTGCTGAGCATCAACACATAAATTCTACAAGGGACTATGAAAAGTTTTCAGAAATGAATAACACTTCATTCAACAAGTTTTGCTCTTTGCAAATCGTCAAATTGGTCATTGGGAAAGCCAAAATCGTATGATCACATCACAAAAATACGTTGCCAAAATATTACCACTCCCCAACATTTTCTTATCGAATATGTCCTCTCCAGTTCTCCGCGTGGCGCCGCCAGTGGCGGATTTAAGGGGGGGCATCTAGGGGCAGTTGCCCCTCCCTCAACGAGTTGAAGCAAGTCTGGCGCCCTTTTTTTGGAAATTGTGCGCCCCTTTTGAAGAATGACAATCAGGTGAAAAAGTTTCTGAGAAAGATAGGTTAATTTGCTTCAAGGATTACCTCAAAGTTATGTTGTATATTCTGAAAAGGTATCTGAAATTGTTGTATACAGCGTACTCTCGTTACCAATTTTTGAAATTTTTCAGCGCCCCCACTACCAACTGCCCCTCTTTCAAATTTGCTCTGGATCCGCCCCTGGGCGCCGCTACTGCAGCACTTCAACAATCGTCAGGGGAGTCACAATTGGAGGGGGGCTGGTAAGTCTAGAGTGGGTTAGAAGTTGCAAAAAGAAACATTGTACAAAGGTTTAGTCAAAGCCGCAACCATGGTTGGCGGCAAGAGAAATTTAATGTTCCCAGGGCTTAAAATGATCAGTGGCCTTTACTCTTGTGATTTAAACTTTAAAAACTTCTGTTTCCCAGTTTGCTAGATTGTTATGCAAAATTCCCTGTCGGTCATGTTGTTTTTTATGGTTCTTTTTAAAAATTAGTTGTTTACTGTCAAAAATTTGTTTTTCACTTCTCGTCAGGTAAGTTCTAGAATTGGGCTATTCTGCTGTCACTGTAAACAATAGTAATTAAATATTTTTTCGTTGCTTTTTTCTCGTTCTTGTACGTAATGTTTATCACTCATCGTTTGAAAAAGATTGTTTGCTGTTTTCACAATAAAAAACATAGAAGGGGAATACATAACGGGAAGGAACCATGCTCTACAGGTAATCGTTGCGCCAGGGTAGATCATGAAGGGAATGGGGTTGGTCAAAACTTCGACAACACCTGAAACTGCTCTACGAAATTAAACGACAATGGATCAGGATGGTTGAAATAAGAGTTGGGTGGCTGGGAAAGTGTTAAAAAATCAATAATCTGGTTTTCATTGGACGGAGATTATGTGGTTTGAATATGGTCAAACGAGACACTGCCGCAATATAATTCTGCAAATAAATCTGCCATATACAATACAGTGTGTTTTATCACCATGGAAACAAGGCAAAACAAAATGTTCGGTTAAATGTATAAACCGTTGTTCTTTGAAGTCAGATTTGCTTGTGTTATTTTTAGATACAAACCATGCAGCGGCACACAGTACATTATTGTTCCCAGTTATAGACGTCGATCCAAGTTATAAAACTCATAATTTCTTGCCTAATGTTACGCTGACAACAGTCAAGAGGTTTGGAGCTTGGAACTTCATCCTATTTGGGAATGGGATTTTGTGGCCATAAACACAGTCTTAGAAAAAAAACGATGCCACACTACACGATTCCGCGAAATTTGGTGGGATTAGAAAATTGCTGATAAAGCAAAAATTTGCTCCCTCATTAACAAGATATCTGGGCGGAGTAAAACAAACCTTCCAAGAAACCCTTTCAAGATACATTTCATTAGGTTTTCAAGGGCCTAAAATATGGAATTCACTCCCGGAATCAATAAAGACAGCACAAAATACTAGACAATTTAAGAATTTGATTAAAACTTGGTCCCTTGAAAACAAGTGCACTTGCTCGTTTTGCAGTAAATGAGCTGTCTTATGCAATCGTTGAAATTGCTTCATGTTAGTCTTAATTAGTGTATATTCACTATTGTAGAAACTAACGTTAAATAATCTACAATACAATACAATACAATACAATACAATACAATACAATACAACACAATACAATACAATACCTTCTTCACCAAAAACCCCCGAACACATTCCCAAAATTTTCGCGATTTCAGATTATTCTTGTGTAAGTTTGTTTTGACTTCCTAGTAAAATAACCCCCTTCTCATTTTGCCACTACAAATAACATGCCGGGCATCGGGGCTTCCGGGCACTTTTATTCCCTAAATTCAAAGACCCCCTTGCAACAGGAGAAGGCATTGTTTTATATAGAATGCGAAAAGAGTCAAAAGAAGGCTTGTGCTTCGAATAGTTCTTTCATAACGGTATGTAAACAAACAATAAATAAAGGATATCCAACCGATTACCAGAAGCTCGCATCAAGGAGCGATTTCCTGCGATTGTTGAGTCAACCCGTCTCAAGCTTTAGGCTTGGAGGTAGAGAAAAACAAAGGGACACAAGATCAGTGGCATAGCCTGACCCTCCAAAGTAAGGGGGGGGGGGGGTCATCAATAGAGCAATTCACCGACGAAGACACGGGTGAAGAAAAAATTTAGGTGCCATTCACCTACCGATAGGATATTGTACCTACCGATAGGAGATTGTAACGGATGTTGTGGACCAGATGAAGATCTACGAACCAACTCATGAAGAATAGGGGGAATCACACCCCCGAAACCCCCCCCCCCCAGTTACTTACGCTACTGTACAAGATAGTAAAAATATTCATCACATTATGCCTTTCTTTTGCACGCCAAAGGGTCTGGGTGCGAGTCAAAGCGGCACCCCACGTGAGCAGCTAGGCTTGTCAAGTGAAAAAGGTTTATTTTCACAATTTAATCCATCTACACAAGCAAAAAAGCTTTTCAAGAAAAATATATGATAACCCAAGGTTCGAATGCAGCTTAGGTGCACTTGCGACATAACCCTGCGTTTGCGGACAATTGCCAGTAGGAGGAGATGACGTAAATTGCATAGGCGATAACATAGATTGAATTCATTCGATAAGGAATTCGAAACGGGATGTTTAATAGGAAATAAAATAGAAGCAAAATAAGAACGCTTTCTTGTGGAGGGCTTCTGTTTGATCAACATGTTTACGCCCTCCCGTTACTGGATTTTCTTGTTATCAACAGTTTTCAAAAAGAAATCATCTCCGGAAAGTGGAAATAATGAAAGCGGTTAGAATTCAAGAATTTGCATTATTTTTCTCATGGCAGTTAATGATAAAGATTACAAAAGTTGATAACGTGACAACTTGCGTGTTTGGAGAACAAAACAAGTGATATAGCAACCGATTTTAACGCGAACATTCATAGAACATATCTCTTCAGGCCAGACTATCTAGTAGCCAAATAAAGTCCTGTTTTGTGTCCCTATTTTCGAGAAACCAATAACATTTCTGGCAACTAAACTGCTCCCACCGAAATTAAACTTAGATACGGAGTATAAGTAGATCCAGAGTTTTAGCTTATAGTGAGAAAACAAAACTGGGCGAAACATTAGTCAATTTTCATATCACTAAGCCAACTCTTTTCATGCATAATCCACACTACTTTTTCGCTGATTGGTACTTCTCCTAACCTAGGACCGATTCACAGCCTTTTATTCATTTGGATACGTATGTAACTTCGTCTTAGATCAAACGAACTCAACTAATCGAAGGCTTTTAAATTGTAAACACACATTTAGAACATGTGTTATGTATTCAGACAGCTGCAAATTCACAAGCAATTGCACAGAAGAAAGGAAGATACTTCAATTCTTATTTCCAAGAAGCAAACTTATTCGAAAGAGAAAGATGATGTACGACTGCCACCAGCACACTTCCAGAAAACATTGATTTCGTAGTGTGTTAAAGGCCACGAAAATTGCGAGATTACACAGGAATTTTTAACAAATATCGCCTGTATTATCTATGATCCGAAACAACAAACTCACCATTATAGTAACTGAACTCAAGGATCAACTAAAAAAAATTCGTAAAAAATAAGATATGAGGGTCCCCCTCGTCATCCCCATTATCTTTCTTCCCGACTCAAGCGTGTGGAAACCTGATATGTCTTGTCAGTAATAAGAAAACTAAGTAATAAGCAGTTTATGGTAGAAGTCTTTGGGTTTCTGGTTTCTTCTTAAGACATGCAAACAGTGCTGTGGATTGCTGAAACTGCGTGTGAATTTGTTCGCATCTGAACAATAACAGCCACCAACTGCTTTACAAACAAAACGCCTTGTAGCAAACCCAGCTAAAAATTGATACAAAGCTATTCAAAGAGTCGAAGATTCTTTGCTTTGAT